AATCAGGAAGTTTTTTTAATTTAGAGACACGCCCCCTTGTTTATGATTGGATGCTCTGACTTTTTTATAACTACACATCCCTGGGTCTAACAGCAGAGTTAGACCCCCCGCGTTTAAGGTCTGAAGCGTGATCATGTGATCATCTCTGGAGCTCTGAGAATGCCGAGTCATCTCTGAACAACGCTGACTCACAGCCAGGGGTCATGTGACCTGTGATGTCACACTGTCTTTATAAACACTAAATATCCTGGGAGGAATGGAGAGAGAGAGAGAGAGAGAGTGTGTTTTTCTGTGTGACCTGAGATACACTAACACACACACACACACACACACACACACACACACACACACACACACACACACACATGCACGGTCTGTGATTGGTGGAGCTGCATTTGGTATCTGAATCTGAATATAACAAAAGGAAGGAAAGAAGGAGGGAAAGGAAAGGAATGTAAGAAGGAAAGAAGGAGGGAAAAAAGGAAGGAAGAGTGATTGATGCGTCATCATCGGAGTTCATGTCTACAGACTGAATCCTGAATGAACGTGTGAATCAGGCGATGAATATCTGAGGACGAAAATCTGAACCTCTTTGACAGGAAATAGCTACTGACACTAAGACTCCACGCTAAAGGACCCGTCAGACATTACCCACAATCCTCTCTGTCCTGTCCAACAGGCTGAAATCACCAGCTGCAAAAGGAGCAGTGAGTTTCATCCACAGTTCTCAACCCTCAACCCTTAACCCTCAGTCCTCAGAGCTCAGTCCTCAGTCCTCAGTTCTCAGTCCTCAGTTCTCAGCCCTCAGTCCTCAGTCCTCAGTTCTCAGTCCTCAGTTCTCAGTCCTCAGTTCTTAGTCCTCAGATCTCAGCCCTCAGTCGTTAAATCTCAACCCTCAGTCCTCAGATCTCAGTCTTTAGTTCTCAGACTTCAGTCCTCAATCCTTAGTCCTCAGTTCTCAGTGCTTAGTCCTCAGATCTTAGCCCTTAGTCTGTAGATCTCAACCGTCAGTCGTCAGCTCTCAGCCCTCAGTCCTCAATCCTTAACCCTCAGTCCTCAGAGCACAGTCCTCAGTCTCCAGTTCTAAGCCCTCAGTCCTCAGATCTCCGAACTCAGTCCTCAGTTTTCAGACCTCAATCCTCAGATCTCAGCCCTCAGTCTGTAGATCTCAGTCCTCCGATCTCAGATCTCAGCCCTTAATCCTTAACCCTCAGTCCTCAGAGCTGAGTCCTCAGTCTTAAGTTTTCAGCCCTCAGTCCTTAGACCACAGTCCTCAGATCTCAGCCCTCAGTTCTCAGTCCACAGATCTCAGCCTTTAGTCCTCATTTCTCAGTTCTTAGTTTTCAGATCTCAGTCCTCAGTCCTAAAATCTCAGTCCCCAGTTCTCAATTCTCAGCCCTCAGTTCTTAGTCTTAAGACCGCAGTCCTCAGATCTCAGCCCTCATCCTTAGTTCTTAGCCCTTAGTTCTCAGCCCTCAATCCTTTAATCTCAGCCCTCAGTCCTCAATTCTTAGTTCTTGGTTCTTAGCCCTCAGTCCTCAGATCTCAGCACTCAGCCCTCAGATCTCAGTTCTAAGTCCTTAGCCCTCAGTACTCAGTTCTTAGCCTCAGTCCTAAGATTTCAGATATCAGTCCTCAGTTATCGGTTCTCAATCCTAATTTCTTGGTTCTTAGTTCGTAGCCCTCGGTCTTCAGATCTCAGCCCTCCGCCCTCAGATCTCAGTCCTTAGCCCTAAGTACTCAGTTCTCAGTCCTCAGTTCTCAACCATCAGTCCTCAATTCTTAGTTCTTAGCCCTCAGTCCTCAGATCTCAGTTCTCAGTTCTTAGCCCTCAGTCCTCAGTACTCAGTTCTTAGCCCTCAGTCCTAAGATTTTCAGCTCTTAGTCCTCAGATCTCGGTCCTCAGTTCTAAGTCCTTAGAACTCAGTCTTCAGTTCTCAGCCCTCAGTCCTTAAACCTCAGCCCTCAGTTCTCAGCCCTCAGTTCTCAGTCTTTAGCCCTCAGTCCTCAGTTCTGAGTTCTCAGTCCTCAGTTCTCAGATCTCAGTTCTTTGCCCTCAGTCCTCGGATCTCAGTTCTCAGCCCCTAGCCCTCAGTCCTCAGTTCTGAGTTCTCATTCCTCAATTATTAGCCCTCAGTCCCAAGATCTCAGCCCTCAGTCCTTGGATCTAAGCCCTGAGTCTTAAGATCTCAGTCCAAAGTTCTTAACCCTTCAGTCCTCAGTTCTCAGCCCTTAGTCCTAAGATCTCAACCCCTCAGTCCGCATATCTCAGTTTTCAGATTACAGCTCTCAGTCATCAATTCTCAGTCCTTAGCCCTCAGTTCTCAGCTCTCAGTCCTTAGCCCTCAGTTTTCAGCCCTCAGTTCTCAGATCTCAGCTCTCAGTCTGTAGATTTCAGCCCTCAGCTCTCAGATTTCAGCCCTCAGTTCTCAGTCCTTAAGGTCCTTACACACCGGGCGAGAATTCGCCAGGCGAATTATTTGCCTTTTTTTAAAACAGCATAAAGTCAATGCAAGCTTCCACACTGGCGGCGATTTTTCCGCGGGGCGAAAAGCCGCTTTTATTTTTTCGCTCCTGTGTCGAATTTTTCGGATATTTGCAGGCGAATATCTGGACCTGCTAGACCTCTGGCCAATCAAAAGTCATGTTGTTGATGACGTCACAGACCCATACGGCTGGAGGAGAGGGAGAAGTTTGAGATTATGAAAACGCAGACAAAGACAGCTGAGGTGCATCCAAAACTCTTTCTAATTACAAATGAAGTAGTTTTCTCACAAGATGGCACTCTCTTGTCTTCCTTAGGAGACAGATGTCATGCACACTTCACAGGGTGACCGCCTCATCATGCCTGATTCTCCCTCTCAGCTGTTTGACATACCGATGATCTGCAGCTACAGGGCCAACAGAATGACCAGACAACTTGAAGGATCACTGCTCAGCCCTCGCCTCTCCTGGCTGCTGCGGCGTCTCTCTCAGCTTTTCCTCCTCTTTCTCCCTCGCTCATAATGCTAGACATGTCAATCAGCAGCCATTCACACGACACACACCATCACTGGCACCAAGAGCAACGATGGGAGAGAGGCTGGTAATTGCGGTACAGGACCACCCTGCATCTCCTCTCCTCCGTGCCGCAAAGCGACTTTATTAATTCGCTTTGCAAAAAATATATGCATATATTCGCTTTGCGGCCGGTGTGTATAGGCGAAAGCGATTTTTCGGACCTGCGAATATTCGCACTTTTCGTCTCGCTATTTCGCTTCGCTCCGCAAATTCGCCGGTGTGTAAGGACCTTTAGACTGCAGTCATCAGATCTCAGCCCTCAGTCCTCAGTTCTTAGTTCTCAGTCCTTAACCCCCATCCTAAGGTCTCAGCCCTCAGGTCTCAGATCTTAGTCCTTAGTCCTCAGTACTCAGTTCTCAGTACTTAGTTCTTAGCCCTCTGTCCTAAGATCGCAGCTCTTAGTTCTCAGATCTTGGTTCTCAGTTATCGGTTCTCAGTTCTTAGACCCCAGTCTTCAGTTCTCAGCCCTCAGTTCTCAGTCCTTAGCCCTCGGTCCTCAGTTCTGAGTTCTCAGTCCTCAGTTCTTAGTCCTCAGTCCTCAGATCTCAGTCTTTGGATCTCAGCCCTCAGTCCTTGAATCTCAGCCCTCAGTCCTCATTTCTTGGTTCTCAGTTCTTAGCCCTTAGTCCTCAGATCTCAGTTCTCAAGCCTTAGCTCTCAGTCCTCAGATCTCAGCCCTCCGCCCTCAGATCTCAGTTCTTAGTCCTCAGTCCTCAGTACTCAGTTTTACTCCTCAGTTCTCAGCCCTCAGTCATCAGATCTCAGCCCTCAGTCATCAGATCTCAGTTCTCAGTCTTTAGACTGCAGTCATCAGATCTCAGCCCTCAGTCCTCAGTTCTTAGTTCTCAGTCCTTAACCCCCATCCTAAGGTCTCAGCCCTCAGTTCTCAGTCCTTAGCCCTCGGTCCTCAGCTCTGAGTTCTCAGTCCTCAGTTCTGAGTTCTCAGTCCTCAGTTCTTAGTCCTCAGTCCTCAGATCTCAGTCTTTGGATCTCAGCCCTCAGTCCTCATTTCTTGGTTCTCAGTTCTTAGCCCTTAGTCCTCAGATCTCAGTTCTCAGGCCTTAGCTCTCAGTCTTCAGATCTCAGCCCTCAGTCATCAGATCTCAGTTCTCAGTCCTTAGTCTGTAGATCTTAGTCCTCAGACCTCAGTCCTCAGTTCTCGGATCTTAGTTCTCACAGATAATTCAGTTGCAGCAAATCCAAACCGATCCCTGACCCCTGACAGACTGTTTTTAGAGTTTTAAGACCGTGTCTGTTTTTGTTTTCCACAGAGTTAATGTGTTTATCCCATAGACTGTATAAAGAATGGACAGAGTCTGCCTCCTCGCTGGGTGAAGCCACTCCAAGAACAGCACCCTCTGATGGTGGGCTGCAGTACAGGTCATAAATCCCGCCTCCGCCAGCAAAGCTTATGGGACTGTGGACAAACTTTAGAAATTTATTACACAGAACATAAATTTTTCTCCCCCCCGCTTGTGATGTTGACATGTAGTTACTGTCAGACTGGTTTGTGCTCAAGTCCTTTTTTTTTCTGTACAGCTCAGTTTTTAAAAGTTATTAGGGGGTTCATGTTTGCTATGATTGACACCTGATACAGCCTATGGGCGTTCAGGGATTGTGTCGCTCTCCCGGGGGGATGCGCTGTTTGAGCCGAGCGTCATCACAGGGACTCTTGGCGACTGCGCGGCCGAATGCGCGCATCGCTACTGCGCAGCTCTGGTTTCAAGGAAGTGGTGAAAAACAAGGAATTACAGAGAGCTTTTTGGCTTCAAATCCGTATACAGGCGGAAGGCGGAGCCAGGTTGTCCATCTTATATACAGTCTATGGTTTATCCCTGCTTTTAAGGTTAACATGGGGCTCTATGGGGTCTGACTCACTTTGGGAGACGACCTCTGGTGGACACATAAGGAGCTGCAAGTCTGGAGACTTCTATGTTTTTCTTTTTGCAGCTTGTAAAAACTGACTCCAAAAGTTGTTGTTTTTTCATAAATATTTTTTTTTCTTTACACTTCTTTTCTTCCTTTAAAAAGTTTGAGTATTTTTTTTTCTGTTTCCTGACTAAAAACATGAAATATTCGGTATCAGACCAAACCATCTCAAAACATCAGGCTTCATTTTTAACTCCAGATGTTGCCGCTTGAGCGAAGTACTAAAAGGTGCATTAACTCGTAGATGTGTCATTTCCAGTTCCAGAAGGTGGCGCTATCTCTGTGGTTATTTACTCCCAAGATGAAGGACTCATCAAACTTGTGAAATTATACCTGATTGATCATTGATGACTCATGAAACTTTGGCGTCTTTTTGACCAAAACTCCTGACATGTCAAGTTTGAATCTTTGAATGGCGTCTGTGAAGGATCAAACTGAGCCTGTGGGAGGAGTCTGTTCAGTACAGACCCTGTGATTGGACAAAGAAAGTTTTCATAAACATGCCTCACCTCTTTGTCGGAGATGTAGAGACGTTCTCCTCTCAGCAGGATGAAGCGACTCCTCCACAGCTCCCTGAAGATCCCACGACCACAAAACTTCCTGATCCAACCGGCCTTCTCCATCTGCTGTACCGGCTGCTGGACCGAGTCCTGAACGCCCTGTAACACACACACACACACACACACACACACAACAGACACACAAAAAATACTCAATTAACACACAGAAAACATCGACCATGTTCTGACAACACAGACACACAGAAAACTGGACAGTAATTAAACCGCAGTGTCACCCTAACTCTGAAACACACTGAGTGTCCTTCATTAACCCAAAAAGAAACACACACACACCATAAACAGCCAGACAGTAAACACACAGAACCACAATCACAACCAATCAGCAAACATCTGACCCAAGTCTAAAAGCCATAAAACACAACAAACCCCAGACAGGCAAAAAACAAAACAAAAACAAACAAAAACACCAAAAAAACCCACCAAAAAAAAAAAAACACGAAATGAAACACCCCAAAAAAACACCAACAAAATCACAACAAAACACCAAGCATGCATGATGTCATCACGCGGCGCGAACGGTGTCCCATTTGGCACGAAATGCTAAGAAAGCTTAGCATTTTTCAAGCGCGCATTTATGCACGCTTTTGTGCCCTTGGTATCCTAGAATTCTTTGCGTGCCGCTGCACAGCTGCGCATTTCGGGTGAGAGGCTGGACTCGCTTGGAGACGCAGCGCGTCTTTAAAGAAAAAACAAGAAATCCAAAAACAGCAGACAGTCAGCTTAGGCTGCATGAGCTCATTAAAATCTGTAAACCAAACATTATAGTATTTAGAGACGAACTGATCCGCTCTGCTTCAACAATCAAAAACATTAGAAATAAGAAAGCTGACAAAACTACAGCAGAGTATCAGGACAACATTAAGTTTTTTTTTTTTTTTAAAGACTTAGAGATTAAAGTTGTAAATTCAGGAGAATAAAGTCATAAAGTATATAAAGTCATAAAGCTGCTTTTGTGGAGGGGGAAATGACTGAAGCTGGTCATCTGCAGGGTTATCTGTGGATGTATCAGCGGGTCATTCAGAGAGATTTTGTGGTTTCTGAAGAAACAATCCAACTGATGATCAACATTTGTGATCCAGAGGGAGTCGAGCTCCGACGAGCACCACGTCTCTGACACCGGCGGTAACCTACACCTGCAGAGACACCAACACCTTATTACTGCATATGGATTCATATCATAAACTAAAGCTCAATGTCATTCACGTCTATTTACGGCTGCATTGACAGATATATCCTCAGCATATTCATTTCTGCCTCCACAAAAGCAGCGATTTCCTCCAAGTACACCAGTTTTTTTCCCCGTGGAAAAGACGTATTTCTCATATATTCTTTTTAGGTTTTTAAACTTGTGACAATGTCATGCTGATGTGCCAGAGGATGAAGAATCTCCTTGTTTGTGAAACCTGTACTGAAGTTCCTTTAAATGCTTCATGGCCCTAATTTTAACAACTCCCCTCTGAAATAACAGGTTATGACTTTATTCTCATAAATTAATGACTTTATTCTCGTAAACTCACGACTTAAATCTCAAATGACACAGAACAGTGATCTGGACCTGTTGGTCTTGTTGGTTCTGTCAGTTCTGTCGGTACTGTTGGTCATGTTGGTCCTGTTGGTTCTGTTGGTCCTGTTGTTCTTGTTGGTTCTGTTGGTTCTGTTGGTCCTGTTGGTCTTGTTGGTTCTATCTGTCCTGTTGGTCCTTTTGGTCTTGTTGGTTCTTTTGCTCTTGTTGGTTCTGTTGGTCCTGTTGGTCTTGTTGGTTCTATCTGTCCTGTTGGTCCTGTTGGTCTTGTTGGTTCTTTTGCTCTTGTTGGTTCTGTTGGTCCTGTTGGTCTAGTTGGTTCTGTGGGTCCTGTTGTTTCTGTTGGCTCTGTTGGCCCTGTTGGTTCTGTTGGTCCCATTGGTTCTGTTGGTCCTGTTGATTTTGTTGGTCCCGTTGGTACTGTTGGTCCTGTTGGTTCTGTTGGTTCTGTCAGTCCTGTCGGTCTTGTTGGTCTTGTTGGTTCTGTCGTTACTGTTGGTTCTGTTGGTTCTGTTGGTCCTGTTGGTCTTAGTGGTTCTGTTGGTCGTGTTGGTCTTGTTGGTTCTGTCTGTCCTGTTGGTCCTTTTGGTTCTGTTGGGTCCAGTTGGGCCTGTTGCTCTTGTTGGTTCTGTTGGTCCTGTTGGTCTAGTTGGTTCTGTTGGCTCTGTTGTTTCTGTTGGTTCTGTCGGCCCTGTTGGTTCTGTTGGTCCTGTTGGTCCCTGTTGGTTCTGTTGGTCCTGTTGGTTCTGTTGGTTCTGTCTGTCCTGTTGGTCCTTTTGGTTCTGTTGGTCCAGTTGGTTCTGTTGCTCTTGTTGGTTCTGTTGGTCCTGTTGGTCTAGTTGTTTCTGTTGGTTCTGTCGGCCCTGTTGGTTCTGTTGGTCCTGTTGGTCCCATTGGTTCTGTTGGTCCTGTTGGTTCTGTTGGTCCCATCGGTTCTGTTGGTCCTGTTGGTCCTGTTGGTCTTGTTGGTTCTGTCTGTCCTGTTGGTCCTTTTGGTCCCATTGGTTCTGTTGGTCATGTTTGTTCTGTTGGTTCTGTTGGTCCTGTTGCTCCTTTTGGTTCTGTTGGTCCTGTTGGTCTTGTTGGTTCTGTTGGTTCTGTCAGTCCTGTTGGTCCTGTTGGTCTTGTTGGTTCTGTCTGTCCTGTTGGTCCTTTTGGTTCTGTTGGTCCAGTTGGTTCTGTTGCTCTTGTTGGTTCTGTTGGTCCTGTTGGTCTAGTTGGTTCTGTTGGTCCTGTTGTTTCTGTTGGTTCTGTCGGCCCTGTTGATTCTGTTGGTCCTGTTGGTCCCTGTTGGTTCTGTTGGTCCTGTTGGTCTTGTTGGTTCTGTCTGTCCTGTTGGTCCTTTTGGTTCTGTTGGTCCAGTTGGTTCTGTTGCTCTTGTTGGTCCTGTTGGTCCGTTGGTCTAGTTGTTTCTGTTGGTTCTGTCGGCCCTGTTGGTTCTGTTGGTCCCATTCGTTCTGTTGGTCCTGTTGGTTCTGTTGGTCCCATCGGTTCTGTTGGTCCTGTTGGTCCTGTTGGTCTCGTTGGTTCTGTTGGTCCTGTTGGTCCTCTTGGTCTCGTTGGTTCTGTTGGTCCTATTGGTCCTGTTGGTCCTTTTGGTTCTGTTGGTTCTGTTGGTCCTGTTGGTCCCATTGGTTCTGTTGGTCCTGTTAGTTCTGTATTTCCTGTTGGTCTGATTGGACCTTTTAGTTTTGTCTGTCCTTTTGGTTTTGTTGGGTCCAGTTGGTTCTGTTGCTCTTGTTGGTTCTGTTGGTCCTGTTGGTCTAGTTGGTTCTGTTGGCCCTGTTGTTTCTGTTGGTTCTGTCGGCCCTGTTGGTTCTGTTGGTCCTGTTGGTCCCTGTTGGTTCTGTTGGTCCTGTTGGTTCTGTTGGTTCTGTCTGTCCTGTTGGTCCTTTTGGTTCTGTTGGTCCAGTTGGTTCTGTTGCTCTTGTTGGTTCTGTTGGTCCTGTTGGTCTAGTTGTTTCTGTTGGTTCTGTCGGCCCTGTTGGTTCTGTTGGTCCTGTTGGTCCCATTGGTTCTGTTGGTCCGGTTGGTTCTGTTGGTCCCATTGGTTCTGTTGGTCCTGTTGGTCTCGTTGGTTCTATTGGTCCTGTTGGTCTTGTTGGTTCTGTCTGTCCTGTTGGTCCTTTTGGTCCCATTGGTTCTGTTGGTCATGTTTGTTCTGTTGGTTCTGTTGGTCCTGTTGCTCCTTTTGGTTCTGTTGGTCCTGTTGGTCTTGTTGGTTCTGTTCGTTCTGTCAGTCCTGTTGGTCCTGTTGGTCTTGTTGGTTCTGTCTGTCCTGTTGGTCCTTTTGGTTCTGTTGGTCCAGTTGGTTCTGTTGCTCTTGTTGGTTCTGTTGGTCCTGTTGGTCTAGTTGGTTCTGTTGGTCCTGTTGTTTCTGTTGGTTCTGTCGGCCCTGTTGATTCTGTTGGTCCTGTTGGTCCCTGTTGGTTCTGTTGGTCCTGTTGGTTCTGTTGGTTCTGTCTGTCCTGTTGGTCCTTTTGGTTCTGTTGGTCCAGTTGGTTCTGTTGCTCTTGTTGGTCCTGTTGGTCCGTTGGTCTAGTTGTTTCTGTTGCTTCTGTCGGCCCTGTTGGTTCTGTTGGTCCTGTTGGTCCCATTGGTTCTGTTGGTCCTGTTGGTTCTGTTGGTCCCATCGGTTCTGTTGGTCCTGTTGGTCCCATTGGTTCTGTTGGTCCTGTTGGTTCTGTTGGTCCCATCGGTTTTGTTGGTCCTGTTGGTCCTGTTGGTCTCGTTGGTTCTGTTGGTCCTGTTGGTCCTGTTGGTCCTGTTGGTCTCGTTGGTTCTGTTGGTCCTGTTGGTCCTTTTGGTTCTGTTGGTTCTGTTGGTCCTGTTGGTCCCATTGGTTCTGTTGGTCCTGTTAGTTCTGTTGTTCCTGTTGGTCTGATTGGACCTTTTAGTTTTGTCTGTCCTTTTGGTTTTGTTGGTTTTGCTGGTACTGTTTGTTCCGTTTGTCCGTTTGGATCTATTGGTCCTGTTGGTTCTGTTGGTCTTGTTTGTTCTGTTGGTCCTGTTTGTCTTGTTGGTCTTGTTGGTTCTGTTGGTCCTGTTGGTCTTGTTGGTTCTGTTGGTCCTGTTGGTCTTGTTGGTTCTGTTGGTTCTGTTGGTCCTGTATGCTGATGACATGAATTGAACTTGGCCGATCACCCACCTTGTCTAATACCCTCTGAACTACAGAACCTTCAGTGATGTCCTCACACTTTGGACTAAAACCGGATCCTCTCAGTCACAGAACCCGAAGATTTCTGAGGAATTTAATTTACAGATGTGACCAAAGGAGGCGCTCATGAGATCTCATTCATAAGTCATATGTGCTGTTTGTTTGTTTGCTGTGGTTCTGATGTCGGGTTTGTAAAGTCCTCTTTCCTCCTCTTTGATTGATCGGGTTGGTTTTTGGTAAAATGCTTATTGTCTGTGAGCTGAAACCTGAAGTCATGTGGAGTCGCGCTATATCGGTGGTTCTCAATTGGTGGGTCATGACACAAAAGTGGGTCGGGGACACGATCTTGATGGGTTGGGAACAGATGGTTAAAAAAGGAAATATTTGATGAGCATCTGATGTTTGACGTATTTTATTTTGAACAATGGCTTATTTTGAAAAGGCACGCGTTTTGTCGTGGTCCTCCTTGGTTTCTCAGTAACCTTAATGCAGTAAAAATACATGTTTTTTTTATGGTCTTTATTTTGTTTAATATGATATTTTTTCACTTTTGTCCTCCTCAGGTTCTTCTGAATATGCTCTGAATGCAGAGATGCAAATAAGTCAAATTTTTCATTTTGCTGGTCTCCATTCTGTGCAATTTGATATTTTCTGTTCAAGCAACTTCAGTAGTTGTCGTCCTCAGTTCATATGTTCTGAAATGCACTTTACTCAACAAAACTGGTGTATTAATGTTAAATATTTGAGTCTGTAGAGTTTTTTTAAATATATATAACATTTGCCTGGTTTGAATTTTATAAAAACCGGTTACAATTTAAGGACCATGGGAAAATGTGGGTCCCAGAGTGAGACCAGTTGAGAACCACTGATCTATTTTATATAGAGATTATACTTAAATTATACTGTAGACAATACAGGAGGAAGAATCGACAGCAGAGACATTCACAAACTTTAAGACTACAAGATAGAAATTGGGATTTAAGACGTGGTTGTAATTTTAAATCTAGTGTGAATTTAAACTACATTCAAACATAAACCTGATCTTGGTACGGTCCAGTCAGGCGTTCGATCTGGACGGTTTTCTCAGCCTGAAGGTTCGGGATTTGTTCTCCTCTTCCTCACTGATGATTTTAATCTCATGAATGATTCACAGAAACAGCAGAAAAATTTCTGCACCAACTAACCTACAGTTCGGATTAAATATTCATGTTTCACTGAATTAAGACACAGATCTGGATTTACAGTTTCATTAATAATCAGAATCATGGTTCTGGTTCTGATCCTGTTGGAGTTTAAAGTGAAAATGTTGAGAGTGATGGTTATTGTGCTGTGCAGTGATTTACATAAATCTGCAGACAGCAGAAGGGATTCCTCTGTGAATATTTTACACTCTACAATAATTAGGTCTGTAATTTAATTTCCTTATTTTTACAGATTCAGAGTTTTAACCTTAAATTTGAGCTGAAATAAATCTGCAGGTTTTTAGATTGAGGTTTTCTCTCATGACTTTCTTTGATGTTTCACACGCACATACTCAGAATAATAATCCCGCAATCTGATGAGAATGGGGGGATGAGGATGGAGGGATGAGGATGAGGGGTGAAAGAGTGATGAAATAAATACAAATCTAAACCCGCGGAGTGTTAAAGAGAAAACGGGATTTCCGCTCCTACCCGTCTGCCCGGGTTGCTCTTCTTCATCCTCCTCCTCCTCCTCCTCGCTTCGGGGCTCTCCGGACGATCACACCGATGGGGAGGAGGTTTGGTCCGGCCCGGCGGCAAGTTCGGCCCGGCCCCGGTGACTCTGAGCCCGGATAGTCTCCCTTGAGTCGGTGTCGGTGTCTCCGTCGGTCCGCTTGGTGTGTCCTCAGCTGCGCGTCTGTTGTCTGGAGCAGCGAGGAGGCAGTGTGTGTGTGTGCGTGTGCGCGCGCTCTTCGAAAACTCGTGCACGCGAACAGTCACGCGGACGCGTACGGTAGCCTACATTCCGTTATAGGAGCTCGACAGCACCACCCAGCGGCGGAGAAACGGAGAGCTCAACAAAGAGCCATTAGAGGAGTATCGATGAAAATATTGATCAGAGTATCGATCTGAAGGTGATAATGAACCAAAGCCTCGATTTAAAACCTGATACTTAAATTTAATCTTCTCAGTTTATTCAGATAAATTAGGTTTAATTCATAATTACAGTTTAATGATGTTAAATTTAGAGTTTTTACTTTTGTTACCTACATTATTTAATCTTGACTTTAAAAATCTTGATTCAGTGAGTGCACTTTTATTTATTTATATATTTTTGTAATTTTTCAGTATTTGTAATAATATCCGTAATAATAAAGTGCATCAAAACTTTACCTTTTATTGTTAAAAATAGAATAAATAGAATAAATAAAACTTTATAGACATTTCATCCGACTTACAGTCGGACTCGTTTGCAGTAAGGGTTGGACTCCACCAGGGCTACACTTTGTCACCGGTTCTGTTCATAACCTCTATGGACAGAATTTCTAGGTGCAGCCGGAGGATGGAGGGTGTCCAGTTCGGCAGGCAGAGGATCTCGTCGCTGCTTTTTACGGATGATGTGGTGCTTCTAGCTTCGTTGAGCAGTGACCTTCAGCTCTTGTTGGGGCGGTTCACAGCCGAATGTGAAGTGGCTGGGATGCGAATCAGCACCTCCAAGTCCAAGGCCATGGTCCTCAGTCGGAAAAAGGTAGATTGCCTTCTCCAGGTCGGAGGAGCAGTCCTGCCTCAAGTGGAGGAGTTCAAGTATCTCTGGTTCTGTATGCTGATGACAAATCAGTTGGATTATTCACTTCAACTTTTTGGCTTTTGAGAGTCTGCATACAAAAATCTGAATAAATCTAAACTGTGTTCAAACTACCGCAAAAATGGCTAGAAAGAAGCAACCGAGTAAAGAAACAAAAGTACAGATTTGTACATTGAGGAAAGAAGGATACACAGAAAGAGAAATTGCAAAACGCCTAAAGGTGTTGAACAAAGGAGTCCGCTACACTGAAGAGACGAGAGGAACCTGGAAGTTATGATGATAGAAAAAGACCTGGACGAAAGAGAGTTACTACAAAAGCAGAGGATAAACATAGCATTGTCACCAGTAAGAGAGATTGGCGAAAAACAGCACCAAAAATAAGGGAGGAAATCAACATGACAAGGTCAAAACCCATATCTCTGACAACCGTGAAATGACGTTTGAGAAAGGCTGGTCTGAAGGGTTGTGTATCTGCAAAAAAACACTACTTCGTCCACAGAACAAGAAAAAGTGATATGAGTGGGCAAAAGCTCACAAAAATTGGACCTATGATGACTAGAAACAAGTTCTCTGGACCGATGAAAGCAAGTTTGAACTGTTTGATTCAAAACGCAGAGTCTATGTCCGCAGACAAACTGGTGAACGTCTGAAAGCTCCATGTGTTACACCCACAATTCAGCATGGAGGTGGTAGTTCCATGGTATGGGGATGTTTTGCAGGTGATGGAGTAGGAGATTTGTTTGAAGTAAAGGGTATCATGAAGAAGGAACAGTACCACTCCATCCTCCAGCACCATGCTGTTCCATCTCATAAGTTTGTTTTGCAACAAGACAATGACCCTAAGCACTCTGCCAAGCTCTGTCAGGGTTACCTAGACAAAAAAGAAGAGGAAGGTGTTCTTCAAAAGATGGTTTGGCCCCCTCAGTCTCCAGACCTTTCTCCAATTGAGCTTGTGTGGGATGAATTGGATCGATCGGTCAGAAAAATGCGTCCCGTGAATCAGCAGTCTCTTTTTAATGAACTTAAGAAAGCTTGGAATGCGATCCCTGGAACATACCTTTGAAACTTGGGGAACAAATGCCTGGTATATGCCAAGCTGTTGTTAAAGCCAGAGGAGGTTACTTTAAAGAAAGCAAAGTCTAAGCAACAATAACTCAAATACCTCATAATTATAGTCAAAATGTCTTCTGATAAGTTACTCTTTACACAATAGTCATGTTTATTGTGTTGCAAATTATATATATGAAACTATGATCTTTTTTTGTACAAACCTGATCTTGCTTCCAAACTTTTGGCCTGTAGTGTATACCTGTTCAAGATCCTCAGAAGGCCATTACTAGAAGTTGGCTGAGAAACAAACCACTGGCTGGACATTGTAGAATAAATTTGATCTATGGAAAAAATGACCTACAGTCTTTGAATTAAAGATGGACTAAATGGCATTTTTATGTTATAGTGTTTGGTTGCCAGGTGATTTTCTGAACCACACCCTCCGTTGGAGTATTTTTGAGGGTTTGAAGAAGGAGGATGTCTGGAGGGAGGAACAAGTTCAGCTCCTCAAAAAACGGAGTCCTAGTTTTCTTTCCTGACTCTCCTCTAGTTGTCTAACGCTGTTCAATCTTTAGTTTGACGGAACATACGATCAGTGATAGACTTTTAGAGACTCACCTGGACCAACCATATGGAGCGTGTGGTTGGATGTCTCGGGGTCAGGGATCGTCATGTTGACGTAGAAGGTCAGACACTTTCCATTCCTGAAATCAGAGAGGAACAAGTCAACAAGTTCAAGTCCAGATGAGCAGAACCTCTATGTGGAGAAAACTCAGTGTTCTTACACAGGAAGGTTTTGTTGTCGGCGTTGACATGCATCTCCACCAGAGAGCTGTTGGCAGCTGAGAGCAGCTGAACCCCTGCGAGATAATCTGTAAAGGCCTCCACCAGAACCCACCGGGCCTGGAACAGCTGCAGAAGTAAAGGGTCAGTCCTTCTGTTTTCAGTCTACAGGGTCACTACTGAATGTTAACGGAAACTTGTTCTCACCTCGTGCAGATTCACAGTCCTTGGGGGCATGTGAAACTCCTCATGGTCCAGTGCTGCGTTGGGCTCAGCACCATCAGAACTAGCAGAACTGCTCTGAACAGAACCCACATCCTGGATCTACAGAAGCTGCTCTGTTTCTAGAGCTGTTGTGTGATGAAAGTGTGTGTTTGTCTCTTTTAAAGGTCTCTGAACTGAGGCCCGGGGGGCCACATCTAATCCAAAGTGTCTGTGTGTTTTTAAAGAACGCTGGAACTGATCCAAACCCTCTGAATCCTGAACTCAGAAACCAGGACTGCTGAGGACCGATACTGCTGCTGGTGGACAACGTAAAAACGTAAGGGAAGGTGAGTTTCCATCTGAAAAACACCTGAAATATACCTGAACTGTTGACATGAAGTTCTGGTTCTGAAAACTAGATGGAGCTTTAAATTAGAGAGTGATTATCACCGAGTTCTGAGCTGGACCCCATTTAAAACCGGTCTGTGGTCTGTGTGAGGCTTCTTGCTGGTTTCTAAAGGCCGTGTCATGAAGTCCAAAGGTGGTGTTTGCTACCATAGACCTGTTGAGGAGAGGAGGACCGGCTCTTGAACCTGATTTATCGGTCTGTGTGACCCTGTACCGATGGAGACACCTGGGCCCACTCAACCTGAACATGCGCCGACATGCGTTATCAAGGATTCCTTTATAGCGTTTGAATGAGTGTGTGTGTGAGTATGTACTTGGTAAATTCAGGCTGAATGAGGTCATCTCAGATGTTTGGACCAAAACAACCCTGAACTCACAGAAATGGGTCAGAGCTATCAAACTGGACTAAAGGTAAGTTTTTACTCCAACACAGGATAAGGATGATAACATCATGATAATAATAATGATGAGGTTGATGATAATAATGAGGATGATAATGAAGAGGATGATAATGTCATGATAATAATCATGAGGATGATGATGATAATAATGAGGATGATCATGATAGTTATAATGAGGACGAGGATGATAATATCATGATAATAACAATGAGGATGATGATAATAATACTGACGATGATAATATCATGCTAATAATAATGAGGATGATAATATCTTGATAATAATGAGGATGGGTAATATCTTGATAATAATAATGAGGATGATGATAATAATACTGACGATGATAATATCATGATAATAATAATGAGGATGGGTAATATCATGATAATAATAATGAGGATGGGTAATATCTTGATAATAATAATGAGGATGATGATAATAATAAGGATGATAGTAATGATAAGGATAAGGATGATAATATCATGATAGTAATGATAATAAAATAATCATATAATTTTGATGTTTTCTGTTTACATCAGCAGAGAAACTTGTCCACTAAAAAGACCCCTAACCTGATCAGATTATTATGAAGATTATAGATTATAATCTTTTTGAATTAAAGGGTTTTCAGTGTTTGTGTAGATCAGTTTATCAGACATTTCAATTTCATTCTTCTAACTCAAACTTTTATCAAAAACAGTTACAGTTTAAATCAGAGGACTTGAACTTTTAAAGGGATATTCCGGCGTAAAATTAAATTAGGGTCAAACACACCGTAACACCGAGTTAGACATGATTACGTTATCATTACCTTGAAGTAATAATCATCATATTAATCATTTTTCACTGCAGACGCGGTAGTTCTTCTGCCTTAGCGTCTTGGTCTGATTGCATTTCCATAAAGAAATTATCATAAATGTTCTTCCTTGAGCTGCATCACCTCGCTGTAGTCGTAATGGACTGGCCTAAGAGTAAGTGTGTTGTGTTTAGTCTCTTTGCTGAAGAAATCAGTCAAAGTTAAAAAGATGTTTGGTGGCTAGTACTATGGCTGGGACTCTATATGTACTGTTGATGAAGTTAGGTGCTGTTCTGAACATTATTTGTGGCTATAGAGTGGCGTTTTGGTTGAGGTTTGTTTATGGCTCCTCAGACCGCTATGTATTGCTATCCTGCGGTCGTTACTAAAGTTGGTATAACTAGAGAAGCAAGTGGTCGGCAACATTCATCTCTGAAGGGGGTGTCTAACTCAGTGTTAAGGGGTGTGTGACCCTAAATTAATTTAACACCAGATTATCCCTTTAACTCAGGGACAATCTGAGAGATTCAAGAAGAAACAGAGTTGTTATTTTGACGTTATTGTTGTAGTTTTAATTTAAAACTTATCAGACAAACAAACAAACAAACAAACAAACAAACAAACAGATAAACCTCGACAGTGTTTTGGGCAAATTGGTTTCCGACCCTCTCTATAAACAAACAAACAAACAAAAAAAGATGGCCGCCACTGAAACTTAGGACTGTCTGATCTCAAACAAACTGTAGAATCGATCTTCCTGATGTTGATCAGCGCCTGTTTCCCTGATGACCACTTCCTGTCACTCTGTCACTGCTGTGACCTGTCGCTGACATCACTTCCTCCAGAAAACTGAGAGAGACACAGAAAATTTCAAAATAAAACACAGCTAAAGGCTGTGAATGTGTGTTCATTATAGTGTGTATTATGCTGCGTTCGAGTTACCTCCGAGGTCAGATCTGGGAGCTGAAAATGACGTCACACCCCAGTTCTCAGCATTTCAGTTACCAAGTCGGAAAAAAACAAAATCGGAGGCCTTGTCCGAATATAAGGCAAGCACCAAAATAACTTTCGTAGATGTAGCCATCTTATTTCTGCCTCCGATTTTGCTTTTTTCCGACTTCGTAACTTAATTGCTGGTAACTCGGGTGTGATGTCACTTTCAGTTCCGACTTCCGAGGTAACTCGAACACAGCATTGGTGCTTATTACAGTGTGTATTGTAGCGTGTATTGTAGTGTGTATTTGTGTTTGTACTAGTGTGTGTGTGTTCGTGTTGTACCTCTTGGTGTTGTGGACGCTGCTCCCGCCCAGAACAATGCGTACTCCAGGTGTGCTGCGGTTCAGGTTGTAAACAGTCAGAGCTTCTTCGTAAGTGGCTCCACCAATCACAAACACGACGATGTCCTGAGGCCTGACACACACACACACACACACACACACACACACACACACACACACACATACACAGCTTGTTATTCTGTGTATAGGTGTGTATTTAGTGTGTGTAGAGGTGTGTGTGTGTTACCTGTCTCTCAGACTGCTGGCGCCCAGGTACGGGAACTGACTGTCCTTCAGACGACCTTTGATCAGCTGATCCAGAGTGTCATGGAGGAGAGGCTGATGCTGCGTGTACACGTTCTCCACGCCCTGCACACACACACACACACTCAGAGGTCACATGATCAGCAGCAGGTTAATGTTTGTATTTCCGTATGTCGGCGATAAAGTTTTGACGTACAGAGAGGCCTTTGAAGAACTGTTTGGTGATGGCCACGGCGTCTGTCGGTGTGATGAGGTCACTTCCTCTGACTCTCTTTCCTCCGTACTCCACCATTGCCTTCACCATCTGACACACACACACGCACACACACACACGCACACACGTTACAGACTTTAACTGTGAACAGTCTCTTACAGGTGAAGCAGCTCCACCTAATGGCGGACCGCTGCCACTGCAGAAACTCTCTCTTCTCTCTTTTTTGGTTTGAAATGATTTTAAAAACTTTCTAAAGTTTCTTGATTTTAAGATCTGAAACCAGGAGCATACAGAGCGTGTGATAACATCATACCCTGCGGTGGCGTTCAGACACGCCCCTCCTGCTCAGCTCGTCCATCAGAGACGGGAGGATGCTGCTGCTGTGGCGTTCGTATCGCAGAGCGTACAGCATGACCAGACGGACGGCGTCCAGCTCCGACACACGAGGGTTCTGCAGGAGCTGCCGCACGCTCTGGAACAGGAAATGCATCAAAGACTCAGCTGATGACATCATCAAACAGGTTTGTTGGCGAGTTTTTGAAGCTGAAACCTGTGCTGCGATTCGTGATACTCTGAAGCGCCTGCAGGGGGTGGCGTGCTGTGTCAGGGGGTTTACCTGCTGGGCGTTGGAGTGGTCGTTCTGGCAGGCTAGCTCTTGCTCCACCTCAGACACCTCCATCAGATTGCGCTCCGACACCAGACGGGACAGCTCGCCGACCACCGTCACGTGTTTGGACACTGTCCCCGACATCTTCTTAAACTGAGGGTAGTTCTCCACAAACGCCTGCAGGTGGAGACGGCGTTAGAGACAGGTGGACAGACAGGTGAGACACAGGACGGGGGGGACGACGACTCACCTTCATGTCCCCGATGGACTCCAGCTTCTGCTGTCCTTTAGGTCTCTTCTTCTGGAAATCCTCCATCAGGTTTTTAATGTTGGTCCCGATCTCTCCGAAGTTCAGGTACAGGTTCTGGAATTTAAATCAAACGGGTTCAGGACTCGGTCCAAAGCGTCTCTCTGCTTCCTGTCTTCAGGGTCACACTCACGTTGGCGTAGAACTCGTCGTTCTCTGCGGACAGGACCACCTCCTTCAGGTCTTTGCTGATCCCCGGGACTCGGGACAAGTCGATCCGGTTGTTGTTCAGACCGAGAAGCTCGTGGACCATTGCCTGGTACGTCCACTGAGAGACCACACAGAAGAGGACCAGGGACAGAGAGACAGGTTAGAAATCCTGGATAATGATGAAATGATGATGGACGAGCCTGACTAAGGGACAGAAGGGGACGAGGGACAGAAGAGGATGAGGGATAGAAGAGGACAGAGACGCAGGTTAGAAATGCAAGATAATGACTGAATGATGAGGGACAAGCCCGACCACAGGACAGAAGAGATCGAGGGACGGAAGAGGACAAGAGAGGACAAGGGACAGAGATGCAAGTTAGAAATCCAAGATAATGACTGTGTGATGGTGGATGAGCCTGACCGAAGAAGGGACAGAAGAAGACAGAACAGGGAGGGGGACGAAAAAAGACAAGATAGATAGGAGGACAAGGGACAAAAGAGGACGAGGAACTGAAGACAAGGGACAAAATAGGACAGATGAGGACAAGAGAGAAGAGGACAAGGGACAGAAGGGGACAAGGAACAGAGGGGGGTGAAGGTCAAGAAGGAAAAGGGACAAAGGGATGGTGGAGAAAGAAGGACAGAAGAAGACAAGGGACAGAAGAGGACAAGGGACAATAGAGGACAAGGGATGGAAGAAGACGGAAGAAAAAAGAAGAGGAAGAGGGACAAAAAAGGACAAGGGATAGAGGAGGAAGAGGGACAGAGGAGGACGAGGGACAGAAGAGGACGAGGAACAGAAGGTGACACAGGAGGAAGAGGGACAGAAGAGGACAAGGGACAAAGAGGGCAGAAAAGGACAGAAAAGGAATAAGGACAGAAGAGGACGAACGTCAGAAGAGGACAAGGGACAGAATGATGATGGGCAGAAAAGGACAGAAGAGGAAGAAGGACAGAAGAGGACAAGGGACAGAAGAGGACGAAGGACAGAAAAGAAGAGGGACCACGAGGGCAGAAGAGGACAAGGGACGGAAGAGGACAAGAGAGAAGAGGACAAGGGACAGAGGAGGGTGAAGGTCAGAAGAGGAAGGAGGACAGAGGGACGGAAGAGAAAGGAGGACAGAAGAGGGCGAGGGACAAAGACAGCAGAAAAGGACAGAAAAGGAAGAAGGACAGAAGAGGACGGTCAGAAGAGGACAATCAATTAATCAATCAATAAGTCTTTATTTATATAGCACTTTTCATACATAACATGTAGCACAAAGTGCTTCACACAGAAAAAGGAATAAAAGAAATAAAGAATACCCAAATCTACCCCAACCCAAGATTACAAGAAGACCCAAATCTACCCCAACCCAAGATTACAAGAAGACCCAAATCTACCCCAACCCAAGATTACAAGAAGACCCAAATCTACCCCAACCCAAGATTACAAGAAGACCCAAATCTACCCCAGCCCAACCCCTCATTCCCACCCCACCATCTGATTGCAACAGAAACAGTATTAAAATGCATCAACTTAAAAAGGAGTGGAAACAGGAGTGTGCGCTCTGAGGAAACGTCATTTTAAAACTCAAGATAAGGAAACACTGGAGGTTTATTTTAAAATCTAAAAACAAAGGAACAAAGAATGACATATAAGAAATAATAAATAAAAACAAGAGTAAAAGATACTAAAATAAGAGCACCAAAATAGCTCAATAAAAGACGATCCTGTGATTAAAACTAGAAAGATATAAATGCTAAAACACTTAAACAGAGTTAATTATATAAAATTTAGTTAAAAGCAAGACTAAAAAGTTATGTATTCAGTTTGCTTTTAAAATCATTACGATTAGGTGCAGTCCTCGGGTCTTCAGGTAAGCTGTTCCATAGACGGGGGCCATAGTTATGAAAAAAGGATGCCTCACCGTATGTCTTGGTTTTAACTTTAGGTATTGTTAACAGAGAACTTCCTGAAGACCTGAGGGCTCGACCTGGATCATAAGGTAAAAGAAGATCAGATAGATAAGAAGGGCCAAAGCCATTAAGAGCTTTAAAAACCAATAAAGCAACCTTAAAATCTATTCTAAAAGAGACGGGTAGCCAATGCAGAGAACTTAAAATTGGTGTAATGTGATCTCTCTTTCTGGTCCTTGTTAACATCCGTGCAGCTGAATTTTGTAATAATTGCAGGTGTGAAATGTTCTTTTTGGGGAGACCAGAAAGGAGGGCATTACAATAATCTATTCTACAAGTAATAAAAGCATAAATTAATGTCTCTGCATTGGCTTGAGAGAGAAATGGTCACACTCAAGCTATGTTTTTTAAATGATAAAATGCCTTCTTGGTGATATCTCGTATGTGAGGCTCAAAGCTCAATTCTGAATCAAATAAAACTCCTAAATTTTTGGCTTATTGACTTGGATTATACGATAATGCTTTAAATTTGTTGACCAGTCTCTCTCTCTTGTCCCCTGTCCCAATGACTAAAACCTGAGTTTTGTCCTGGTTGAGCTGTAAAAAGTTTTCTGCCATCCATGAGTTAATGTCTAAAATACAGTTAAAAAGGGCATTGAGTGGCCCTGTGTCATCAGGAGACACGGCGACATAAAGTTATGTGTCATCAGCATAGCTGTGGAAATTGATGCCGTGCCTCCTGGTGACATTCCCTAAAGGTAGCATATAAAGATTAAAAAGCGTAGGGCCTAAAATGGAACCTTGGGGAACACCATACTTCATGTCAAAACATTTAGATGAGCGATCCCCAAGGTTCATGTAAAATTGTCTATCACTAAGATAAGATTCAAACCAGTGCCAGAGATGCCAATAAAATTACGTAGTCTATCTAAAAGAATTTTGTGGTCGACTGTATCAAAAGCTGCACTCAGGTCCAATAAAACTAAAATAGATGGTAGCTTCTTATCCATGTTGGACCTGAGGTCATTTACAATTTTAACCAGAGCAGTCTCTGTACTGTGATTTTTCCTAAAACCTGATTGATAAATTTCATAAATATTCATGTGATTGATAAAATCATTTAACTGGTTTAAAACTATCTTTTCTAAAATTTTACTTAAAAATGGCCAATTGGATACAGGTCTATAGTTATCAAGTACTGATGCATCCAAATTGCTTCTCTTCAGAATAGGTTTAATAGTAGAAGTTTTAAAAGCAGAGGGGAATACACCTGTCTGAAGAGAATAATTTAAAATGGTAAGAAAATCATGCTTGAAAAAGTCATAAAAGCTTTTAAAAAGGGATGCTGGGATAGGGTCTAAAAGACAGGTAGTTGTTTTGAGTTGTTTAAAAGCTTTTTCAAGCATCTTGGCATCAACCAGGACAAAACTCTCCAGTGTCTCCTTATATAAAAGCAAAGGTTCTGATGGATAAAAACTAAAACGCTGAGAAAGTAAAAGGTTTGATCTGATAAAACTTATTTTACTGCTGAAGTGGACTGCAAGGTCGTCACATGACAGGTTCGAATTATAAGGTTGGTTAAAAACAGGGTTAATTAAATGGTCTATAGTTGAAAAAAGCTCCTGTGGGTTATTTTGAATTTCATTTATCAATTTTGAAAAGTGGTCTCATCTGGCCTGTTCGATTGCATTACTGTACACTCACCGGCCACTTTATTAGGTACACCATGCTAGTAACGGGTTGGACCCCCTTTTGCCTTCAGAACTGCCTCAATTCTTCGTGGCATAGATTCAACAAGGTGCTGGAAGCATTCCTCAGAGAGCTTGGTCCATATTGACATGATGGCATCACACAGTTGCCGCAGATTTGTCGGCTGCACATCCATGATGCGAATCTCCCGTTCCACCACATCCCAAAGATGCTCTATTGGATTGAGATCTGGTGACTGTGGAGGCCATTTGAGTACAGTGAACTCATTGTCATGTTCAAGAAACCAGTCTGAGATGATTCCAGCTTTATGACATGGCGCATTATCCTGCTGAAAGTAGCCATCAGAAGTTGGGTACATTGTGGTCATAAAGGGATGGACATGGTCAGCAACAATACTCAGGTAGGCTGTGGCGTTGCAACGATGCTCAATTGGTACCAAGGGGCCCAAAGAGTGCCAAGAAAATATTCCCCACACCATGACACCACCACCACCAGCCTGAACCGTTGATACAAGGCAGGATGGATCCATGCTTTCATGTTGTTGACGCCAAATTCTGACCCTACCATCCGAATGTCGCAGCAGAAATCGAGACTCATCAGACCAGGCAACGTTTTTCCAATCTTCTATTGCCCAATTTCGATGAGCTTGTGCAAATTGTAGCCTCAGTTTCCTGTTCTTAGCTGAAAGGAGTGGCACCCGGTGTGGTCTTCTGCTGCTGTAGCCCATCTGCCTCAAAGTTCGACGTACTGTGCGTTCAGAGATGCTCTTCTGCCTACCTTGGTTGTAACGGGTGGTTATTTGAGTCACTGTTGCCTTTCTATCAGCTCGAACCAGTCTGGCCATTCTCCTCTGACCTCTGGCATCAACAAGGCATTTCCGCCCACAGAACTGCCGCTCACTGGATATTTTTTCTTTTTCGGACCATTCTCTGTAAACCCTAGAGATGGTTGTGCGTGAAAATCCCAGTAGATCAGCAGTTTCTGAAATACTCAGACCAGCCCTTCTGGCACCAACAACCATGCCACGTTCAAAGTCACTCAAATCACCTTTCTTCCCCATACTGATGCTCGGTTTGAACTGCAGGAGATTGTCTTGACCATGTCTACATGCCTAAATGCACTAAGTTGCCGCCATGTGATTGGCTGATTAGAAATTAAGTGTTAACGAGCAGTTGGACAGGTGTACCTAATAAAGTGGCCGGTGAGTGTAGATGTGCAGTTGTTCTCTGAAAATCTCATAATGAACATTCAACTTTTCCTTTCATCACCTCCGTTCTGCTTTTCTGCAGTTTCTTTTTAGATTGGTTATGTATTTTTTTTTCCAGGGAGGCTTTGGTTTTCTTGATAATTTCTTGGTTTTCATTGGTCAACATGCAGATTGAAATCACCTAAAAAAATAACTCTTTCAAACCTTGCGTGGATAGATGCGAACAGCTCTGAAAACTCAGTGATAAAACTTGTGCAACACTTAGGTGGTCTGTATATAGCTAAACAAAGTATTGGGGGACTGTTAAAAACAAAGGAGTGGTGTTCAAATGATAAAAAATCATCAAATAAAATGTTTTTAAACCATGCTGTGCTAAAAGAGTCCAATTGATTGTCAACATGCAGATTGAAATCACCTAAAAAAATAACTCTTTCAAACCTTGCGTGGATAGATGCGAACAGCTCTGAAAACTCAGTGATAAAACTTTATAATTTGGTGGGGAGGCCTCTATCAGTGTCATAGGTCCATCGGTGCTAAGCCATGTTTCAGTTAAAAACATAAAATCAATTTTATTATCTAAAACTAGAAAAGCACTCGGAGAGCCCCCCACCTTTTTTACCTTGTCCTAAAGAATATAAAAATTTATAATTTGGTGGGGAGGCCTCTATCAGTGTCATAGGTCCATCGGTGCTAAGCCATGTTTCAGTTAAAAACATAAAATCAATTTTATTATCTAAAACTAGAAAAGCACTCGGAGAGCGCAGACCTCCGCCAAGCAGCTCATGTCCCCCCTTATATTGTGATTCACACCAAAACTTTTCCTGTTACGTGTCTTTTATTAACTTTTATTTGTGTTTAAACTGGAATGTTCACTGTTCATAATGTTCCTAAAACAAGAAATGCCCTGACCCAGAATCCAACCCAGGACCTTCTTGCTGTGAGGCGACAGTGCTAACCACTACACCACTGTGCCGCCCATCTACACCACTGTGCCGTTATCTTTCAGCATTGAAAATTCCAACGACACCCTTATTTTTGTGTGTTCTGGATCACAGTATCCGGAATTTTGTCTGGATCAGGATCAACCTTTGACACCTCATAAAACTCATTGAGATCCTTTTGTGTAATTTTTTACTAAAGACTCTGACCATTTTTATAGAGTTAAATGCAAAAATTCCCGAATTTGGCCTTCAAAAAAAGAATCCTTCAAAAAAATTCCTGGATCCAGAAGGCGATCCGGATCACCACCAAAATGTAATGGGATCCTCGTGGGGCTGAGACGCACCTCTGGTGAAAATTTCAGGTCAATTCGTCTGTAACTTTTTCTGTAAAGTTGCTAACAGACAAACAGACAAACAAACAAACAAACGCTACCGAAAACATAACCTCCTTGGCGGAGGTAATAAGGTCGTTTATCAGAAAAGACTTGTTTAAACGAGATCTTACATTTAAAAGTGCCATTTTCAGTGTGTTCTGTGGAGGTTTGGGGGGATCAGCAGGGAGGTTATGTAAATTTATAAATTTGAGATTGTGCAGATTTATGCCTGAGGGTGGTTTTGAGTGACTGGAATGTTTTCTGTGCTGATGACAGGAATAGGGTAGGTGGGGCATGTCATGGAATTGTGCTTGGACTGTCATGCTGAAAAAGCCTTGCAGGAGCGCAGAGTAAGATCGATGTTCAATGATAAAAGACAGGTTCCGGTGTAATTTGGATGGAGTTGATCATGTTTAAAGAGATCAGTTCTTGTATAAAATGATGTGAAGTTGTCCACGTATGGAATGGCCCTGTTGCAGCAGTAGTCCTTAAGCCAGATATAAAGTTGTCGTGAACGTGAGAATTTAATGTCACCAAAGCAGGGGGAGGGAAACAGACCAGAGATTACGCACCGTTTCCCCGAGAACACTGTCAATTCACCCGTTAATCCTCACGTGGCGGACCATCAATGATCTGACAACAAGGACAGAGGAACAGGACGCACATCACCACCAGAGGAGCGAGACAGAGGACTCACCCGAGGATCCGCCGTTTGGGCCGGTTGTCTAGCTGCCAGGGAAGGGTGTGCTACGCCCCTGTTGCGCTTATCCTGCCCGAGTCGTCCAGGACGGCCTTGAGATGAGGGAGACCTCTGTGGAGCGCCCGGGAGAAAGGAGGGTGCTTCAGGGTGCTCTGTAGTACCGAGAAGCACCTTTCACCAGCAGCGGAGGGTCCAGTTGTCACAGGGTTGGTGTTACCCCCGGAGCTCCTCCGCGAGACAGCCTCCTTCAGCAGCTTGCGGCAGACGGAGGATGGTTTTGTCGCTTGCTGCTGTTGGGCATTCTCGCCCAGAGGGAGGAAATCCTTCTTGCTCAGGACATCAAACCTGTTGGTCAGTGGGATGGTCGGAGGTGATGAGAGGGTTGAAGGAGGTACTGCATGGTGTTCATCCCTGCACGCAATGGACCAGAGCTCCAGCTGACATGGAGTGGAGGTCACCGGAGCCTCCACTCCTCCATCAGCGTGCACCTGCGTCTCCGCGGGCACAGGTGAGGGAGCGGGCCCTGTTGTTGGTTTTGGCTTAGCTCCCCAGAGAACCCATGGATCTTCTGGCAGGGCTAAAGCAGCTTTGGGCTCCAAGACACCCATGATAATGGATCCGAACCATGGAACAGTAAGACCAGAGACCATTCCTGGAGCTGCTGCTGGAGCTGGGCGGCGGGAGAGGCAGGCCGCGTTGGGGAAGCAGTGACTGGAGGCGCTCATGACAGTGAGGTGTTTGGCCTGGGTCGTGGCTACAGCAGAGAACGCCAAAATGAGCTTATTTTTCTCCATTACCTCCGCTTTCAGCGAGGCAATGCTTTACCTCAACTTCAAGATGGTAAGTGAGCAAGACACACACTCAGGTTTGCCGTCAGCCATGGTAGCTCAGATAAAAAGTATGAGTATTAAAATTAGTCCAGGTCCTTGGTAGTCCACAAGGCAATAAAATCCAATGACAATAAATAAATAGATAAAATAAAAATAAAATAAAAATAAAACGATTAAGAACACTAAAACGGGATGTTGTAGCCTGAGAGGTGACCACAAACACCAGCACAAACAGGCCGCTAGACTTCCGTATTGAGAAGTCTAGCGAGATCCGTCCATAACTCCTTATTGTGGCATCCGATTATAAGAGCTGTGATTACTAGTTAAAAAACATAAAGAAAACCCCATAGGACCACAGATAAAACTTCAGGTTAAAAACAACAATTCTCTGTCATTGACCAGTGCAGGACCCGGACACACCCTGACAAGGGACAGAATGATGAAGCACAGAAGAGGACAGAAGAACAGAAGAGGTCAGAATAGGACAAGGGACAGAAGTGGACAGAATCAGGAAATGTCCCTCAAGTGACAAAAGAGACCGTTAGAGGAAGTTCTGTTTATGGTCAAACCCTGATGATGTCACATTGTTGAGTGCTGTGATGGTCACCTGGTTGAGCAGAGGCGTGATGGCATCATCGCTGCGGTCGAGAATGAGCAGCAGAGGAGGAACCTCTGTCTTCCTGAAGTCAAAGAGCTCGTACTCCTTCGTGATGATTTGCTGACGGACAGATTAATATGTTAGAGGTAAGAGGTTGACGTGTTTGTTTTTATTTTATTGATGTAAGGTCATTTGGAGAGAGTCTGTTGCCATGGATACCTTGACGCTCTCTGCGAGGCGTTTGGACATGTCGGAGGACAGCTGGTAACGGATCATCGGACATTTCTTAAGAGCGAGGAGGACGGAGGTCAGACCCTGAGTGCAGCGAGACAACATGGAGGGCTCCCAGCTCCGCCCCTAAAACACACACACACACACACACACACACACACACACACACACTTAGGTTCAGCACTTCTACAGCAAGTGTATGTGTGTATGTGTGTGTGTGTGTGTGTTTCTCACCCTGGCCACGCCCTGCAGGTTGAGGGAGAACAGGTGAGGATTGACGGCGATGAAGTCTCCGTAAAACTCCTGCAGACAAACAGAAAACCTTCAGGTTTGACTCTCTGACGCCTCCTGCTGGACAGAAGACAGACTGCAGGAAACAGCACAGACTCACCTGGACCTCCGCCACCACTTCCTGTTCATCTGCCTCCGCCAGAGCTTTGATCTCACTCTTACTGATCACGTTACTGAAGTCTGAAACACACCGACAGGAAGATGAGATCAGCAGGACGGTGACGTGAATGACCGCAGGTAAAACAGGCCAACGTCACATCAAACATGGTGACGTCATGCCGAACACACTGAAGTCACAGGATGTGTTTCCTGTCTGTGTGTTCACAGAGTCTATCTACAGAAAGATCCAGATCAAGTCCAGTCCTCAGTTTTCACACACAGAACTTTACGTGAATTTTTTTTTGTATTGGTTATTGCTTATGGCTGTGCAACATCATCATCTGTCCGGTTAGGGTTATGGTTAGTGATGGTCGATGTACAGAGCCGACAGCCCGCACTCGGCTTGAGCGTGTGAAGACGTTTCCAGCTTTTCCAACCAATCAGAGGCGAAGGAGGCGGGACCTTCCCCTGCCATCGTATGAAAAAAAAATATCGCGAACCTTACTGTATTGTTTTTGACAGGGTGACAGCAACTAGCCAATCAAAGTACATGGGGGTGGGGCCTATCAAAGATGAGTGACACTCAGTCTGTTTTCATGACACTCGGGGCACCTTGCCCCTGTAACCCCGGAACAAAAACAGCAGAGAAGAGGAGTAGCATACAGAAAAAGTAGCGCGTCCATCATGTAGGACAAAAACAACGCTGTACGATCCTCCATCTTCTTGTTTCTCCAAAATGCCCAGCAGCAGTTGTAGACACTTCTGACGTCTGGCACAGACCTGCTGTTGTTGTTGATGGTTGTATGGGGTCAGAAACAGTGCAGCTTATGAGCTTAGTCCGATTAAACTGTGCATGTAAACAGACTGAGTGAGAGGTGCAGAGGTTCGGGGTCACTTACAGATGAAGTAGACGCTGTACTTGGGTCTCCTCAGCTCCTGGATCAGGTGCTCCACATTCTCCTGCACAAAACGAACACACGAGTTCTCGCTGTCGCTGTTTGTTATCAGACATGATGACGTCATGATGATGCAGACAGGTGTGACAGGTGTGATTTACCTTAGTAGGTCTGAGGAAGCAGATGGCCTTCAGGTGCTTCATGTTGTCTCTGTTCTGAGAGTCGATCCGCTCAAACAGGTAGACCTCCTTCTGCAGGATCTCGGACTGTGTGTAGACCACGCTCACAATGCTGGTCTAAACACACACACACACACACACACACACACACAGTTTAATTGTAATTAGTTTTAGTCATAACTGAGTCCAGATAACATGGTCTATGGTCAGTGAGAGACAGGAAGCTGTGTAAAAGACAAACCATCTGATCAATATTATCTGATCATTTGAGTTTGATCACCAGTTTGATATAACCTAAGTTTCATGGTGCACAGTCATCTTAAACTGGACCAACAGATCAGCGCAGTTATTAAGTTCAGCTTTTTCCACCTTAGGCAGCTGGTAAAGGTGAAGTCACTTCTTTTTGAGACAGTAGTCCACGTCTTCATCACGTCTCGGCTGGATTACTGTAACGCTCTTTAGTCAGTCAGTCTTTGCTCGCACGTCTCCAGTTGGTCCAGAATACAGCCGCTCGTCTTTTAACTGGAATCCGTAAGAAGGAGCACATCACTCCCATTTTAGAGTTCATTTTCAGATTCTTTTATTAGTTTTTAAAACCTTAAATGGTCTGATCCTATCATACCTCTCTGAGCTGCTTCACCCCTACGCTCTCAGGTCAGCTGACCAGCTGCTCCTGCAGGTACCAAGGTCTAAGCGGAGGCTCAGAGGAGACAGAGCTTTTTCTGTTGCTGCTCCTACGTTATGGAATGACCTACCTCTCCACATTAGACAAGCTCCCTCACTTTTTTTTTTAATTAACTTTTTATTCAGAAAGGCACAACTACATTACAAATATCATGACACACTTACATTAATTCAGTTAGGACAAAGTAATGTTGTCCATAGTGCCCTTCTAAAGCTTTTTCCACAGACCCAAACCTTTCAGGTGCAAACAACAACACAAAAACTACAGAACCTACAGAGCCCGGGGCCACACCCTTCATTCAAAAAATTTAAAATAAAATGAAGTATAAAAGAGGGTAGGTTTAGACAAAGCACAAGTGTGGTCGAATAAAACCAGGTCTGAGTGGTTTCACATACTCGGTCCATGTGGACCAGATTTTATTTAAAAAAATCTACCTTAACTTTGAGGGGAAAAAGAAATCTTCTCCATAACATAAATCTCATGAACAGTTTCAATCCATTCGTCGATGGTCACTGTCCATTTTTAAAACATGTCTAAAAACCCACTTTTACTCCTTGGCTTTTGACCCAGCATGAGATGGCATTTGTTTTATTGCTTTTTATTATATTTTAAAACAAATATTTATTGTTTTATGTTTTTGTGTTATTATGAGTGCAGAGACAGTTGCTTCTTTTAAGTCAAATTGAAAACTCACTTTTACAGACTCGCTTTTATGTGATGCCGTCTTTTCACTTTTCTCTCTTTTACTTCTTTTATCTTATTTCAACTTCCTGTCTTTTAGCTTTTGATTTACTTTAAATCTTTTCTTAATTAACCTTTTGAGCCTTTCATTCATTTTGTTGTTTTTTCCTGCTCATTTTTGTTATTCCATTTTATCATAACTATTACCATCATTATTATTTTATGATTTTATCATTATTAATATCCTCTTTTATATTTACCATTATGTTTCCTACTTTCTACCCCCTTTTTTATTACATTTCTTTTTCTAACCTATTTTATGTTTTTATTTTAGTCCTCATGCTCTCATTTTATGTTGTAGGGTTCTTGTATTGTCTGGGTTTCTTATGAAAAATGAAATTAGCCTTCAATTCAGAGGCCTTGTTTTTAACTGAGCTTCATTTTTTTATTTTCATGTTCTGTGCTTTGCAACTGTTTGTCAAAGAACTTTGTAACAAGGGCGTAGGTTTGCATAGGGACAGTAGGGACATAACACTACCAACTTTCCAGGATGCTCAAATTGTCCCCACCAACTTTTAAGCAACCTTATTTGCATTATATAATGAGTGCTGTTATATAGGTAATTTAGATTGTCTTCCCATATTTTGTAAGGATAGAATCGACCCTACCATTATTTAGTAAATTATTTCCATTATGTTCTGACTTACATTTACCCCTTTTCACTTGTTGAATTTGCCGGTCCATTTTTTTCCCTCAAAAGCATGTTTGATTGGCTGATGACCAGACCCCCCCAGTCCCAGTCTGTGTTTAACAGAAAAGTGTTGACAATCAAAAAAAACAAAAAAGCAAAATTGATGAAAGACAAAAGCTGTAAATTGAGACTGGGACGTCCCCAGCAAAAAATGTACATGCAGGTTATGCTGTTATATTATCCCTACCAAATGTTGAGACCAAACCCACGCCCTTGCTTTGTAAACTTGTGTTTTTAAAAGTGATATAAAAATAAAGTTGTTATTATCATTAGTATTATTATTATTATTATTATTATGTACAGCACTTTCTGTCATCTTTGGTTGTATTTAAATGGCTCTATAAATAAATAAAGTTAAGTTGAGTCCTCAGCTCTTTTTACACCAACCCTCTGTGGACCTTAGTGAACTCAGCAGACCAGGTTCTGGAGTCTGACAGTCAAATGTTGTCCCAGAGTCAGGCAGACTGCAGCAGAGGGACTAATTAACGGTAATAACCAACTGTAATAGACGGTGACCAGAACCCCCCTCTCCCCGGTGTCTTACCGTCTCCTTGTCCATCAGCAGGACCTTCATCCCGGGCCCGCTGCTTTCGATCATCTTGGAGATGTACTGCTTCACGGCGAGAGTCACGTTCATGATGGAGAGAGAGACAGAGAGAGAGAGAGAGAGAGAGAGAGAGAGAGGACTGTAGAGCTGAGGAAACACACCTGGATCAGCAGGTGAGGGGTTGGACTCTCGGTCTGCTGCTGCTGAAGGTTCGGGAGAAACGATCAGCTGATGAGCTCCTGCAGCAACAACAACACTACAGACTACTGCGAGCTTCCTTCCGGATCCGCTACGTCAGTCTTCTGCTTCTTCTTCTTCTTCTTCAATGGAGTTTATTGGCGGTTGGCAAACCAACTTGAAGGTGCATTACCGCCACCTACTGGACTTTTCCACACACTGGCGTGTGGAACAGTAAATTGGCAGACAAAATAATATACACCTTATTTCCTCCTCATATCCTCCACAATCCAACAACACATGCTGGACACTTTCAGCCTGCCCACTCTGGTCACATTTACCATCAGGGTGTTTTCCTATTTTATACAGTGTATTGTTCAGTCCTGTGCTCAGCCCTATCCTCAGTCGTGTGATGACTACTTCTTCCCTCTGGTTTCTGCCCCTCCTTCTTCCCAACCCAATTTTTTCCTGTATATTGTGAAGGTGTCTTCTTCCCGTGTCTTGGATGCCCCAGTATTCTTGCCACACTTTCTCCATATGTTTCTTGGTTATTGATTTACCCTCTACCTTACTTAATGGAATTTCTGTATCTACAGTGTGTGATTTTAGTGTTTGTTTGGCCAGAAAATCAACTCCTTCATTCCCTTCTATCCCTACATGGACAGGAACCGAAATAAAGCAAATTGTCAAACCCCTCTTGTGCAATCTGTGAAGTAGATTATGTATTTTATATATGAGTCCTTGCGTACAGGACTTCATGGTTTTGATACTTGTAAGAGCTGCCCAACTGTCTGATGCTATTAGTGTATTGTTATGATTTGCTTCTATCCACTCCAAACCTAAAATGATCATTCCTAGCTCAACTGTATATACTGATAAATGGTTTGTGGTTCTTTTCTTGACATGTGTTTTGCTGTGTGGAATGAAAAGCAGCTCCTGTTCTTCCAGTATCAGGGTGTTTTTTTTTAATCCATCAGTGAAAATCAGTGTTTTTTCTGAAAAATGTTGTTCCAGATAACTTTCATCTGCTACGTCATCACGTGGTACGCACAGTGTCAGCGTCAATTTCTTTTTTTTTTTATGCTTTATTCAGAGTTAAATTACAATTCCAAACATAGCAGAATCAGTTCAATACAGCAATTTCAATATTGAAATAACATATTAGTGAGAAATACTTAACAATATGGGAAAGCGACAATGCATGTTTAGACAGGGGGAAAAAAATCAGTAGGGCAATAAAATAAAGTTAATAAAGTAAAATAAAGTGAAGAACAACAAGCAAACAGAAACATAAAAGTAACTTAAAATAAATCAAATAATTTATGCTATGCAAAACTTTACAAGGGTTTTCTTTCTTTTTAAAAACTTTTAGCTGTTCATATCAGTGGGAACATTCTTTAAGTTATCATATAACTTTTGTTCCTTCAAACCAGTTAACATTTTAAGAGATTTCAAATTTTCAAATACATTTTCAATTGGTTTATGAAAACAATAAATCTGTGGGGGGGGGGGGGGGGGGGTAATCTCATAACTTTATTCTTATGGATGAAATATTTGGCAAGACATAAGATTACATTGCAACAGAGTTTATCATTTTTATTTGGTAGTATCATTTCAGAAATAACAAAATCTAGAGAAATACATTGTGGAAATACTGTAATTTTTTGTTTAATCCATTTGTGAAAAATATATGGTCCGTTGTTTCAGTATCATTTTCACAAAAAGTGCACGTTGTCCAGCGTCAAATTATACTCAGACCTGATGAGAAAAACCCAGAATATTAAGACAGAGCATTAGGGCCTCATTAAGAAAAACAAAAGAAAGACTTGGAGATTAAAGTCAATAATTTAAGAGAAGAAGTCATTACTAACGAGAATGAAGTTGTACTAAAATCATTTCTTACAAGAATAAAGTCATAATAGAGTAATTACTTCGGAAAATAAAGTTGTAATAAACTACTACTTCTACTATATTTATAATATTGTGGTGCTGATGAGCCAAAAGATGAAGTATTTCCTTGTTTGAGAAATAGATATTAAAGTACATTTTCACAAAATGCTCCATGCTCTCATTTCATCTTAAACAGCAGGTTAGAATATAAGGACTTTATTCTGACTTTACTCTTGTAAGTAATTACTTTATGACGACTTTATTCTCCTAACTAATGATTTTATTACAACTTTATTCTCATAAGTTTATGACTTTGATCTTGAAGTCTTAATTTTTTTTCTTAATGTGGCCCTAATACTCCATCGTAGAATATAACTTAAATATGTTGCTTTGAATTGATCAGTACACCCATTTTTTCTGCTTTTGTTTGTTTGATATAGTTGGTGTCTGATTAAACTAAAAAGTAAGATCATAATGAAGCAGGAGAAGTACTGATGTTACTCTATTTTCAATATGTTTAATCTCTTTACTGATCCATTTAAACATGAAAACGGAATAATAGAGCTAACCCGAATGTGCTGTTTCATGAGGTTAGTTATGTCATCTTTATCTTGTAATTTCACGTATCTTTAAAGGAACAGGAAAACGTAACAGTCAATTTAAAGAATATTTATGTCTGACATGGAGTGAAACATGAACTAGTGGAGTTTTAAATTACGGTGCAATAAATTGACTCAAAATTATGTAGGAAACAAATAAAAACAGGGCGAGTTCTTGAATTAAAAAAGACTCGTGGATAATGAAATTATTATATTTAGCCATGTTGTTTGACCTGCTCTGTCATATAAAATTATTATTTTGTAGATTTTTAAAATGCCCACTTGATTTTAAAAGTAGGTAGACGTGATCTGCTATCTCCCCATTTAAAAATAAAAAAAACCTTACTTTTTGTTTGTTTCCACCATAGACTGTATAGAATAGTATATAATAGTAATATAATAGTATATACAGTCTATGGTTTCTACCCCTGTCTTGTACGGTGTCCTTCAGTGTTTTGAAAGGTGTCTATAAATAAAATCATCATTATTTATTGCTGAATCTGCTGTTTGTTTTCAGGTTTAAGTTTATGACAACTGTGTGAAATATGCAAACAGTGTTCAACAATGCAAAGCATGGCTGTAAGGGATAAGGCGTTTTTTTAACAACTTGTACCAAAGGGTTCTTGTAAGACTTACTTTAGTTGACGTTTTTCTATCCTTTAACCAAATAAATAACTTGCTGATTGCTATGGTTAGCTAGCTCTTGTCCTGGTGGAAAGCTAACTAGGAGACTAAGCACCATTGTACTACATAAAGACAATCTGCCTCTTCTACGTAGATACAAACTATGAACATTAAGAAGAGGACTGCTGTTGTTTGTAGTTTGCGTTGAGTAAATCTATTATATTCCTTTTACTTACAGAACTTATCATTTTCGATTAGCATTAGCGCTAGCTAGCTCTCTTATAACACAGAGCTACATGAACAGCAAACTAAAGTCTGCTAAAATATCATTATTAATAATAACATAACTTTTTATTCGTCGGGACTTAGTTTATGCCAGGGAAAGGATGAATTACGTTTATTGACCTTAAATCGCATGATCGCAGCCATGTTCTTTTGCACTTCGCTGCGGTGAGCGAACTGACGCGCGTTTGTAATGATTGTGTGTTTCTTGCGGCAACTCCGCCGAACACGTCAGACCGGGATACCTTAGCGTCGCAAAACAAGCTATAGAGAAACGTCCTCCCTCAATATATCATAATTATCCTCTCTCAGAAAAGGGTGTCGTGATGTTTGGTAGGACGTCTTTTCAGGGAGCTGTCTAGTTTGAAAACACTCACAAATACCCCACACTTCGCGTGAGGGGATAGTGTCTGTAAGAGTTTAGCTCACTTAGCTTAATGTTCCCAGAGAAACGTGTGAAAACTCATTTTCGTCCTTCTCCCGGTTCTCACCCACTTACACTTTTTGTGTAACGATTTCACTTTAATGAGCCGCACTTTCACATACATTACATTTATCAGCGTACTTTTATGTTAACCAAATGTAGCATGCTAATCCCGGTTAGCATGCACGGAGTAATGTTTAGGATGTTGGTTTGAGCTCTGACAACAGATCACAGGAAATGATGACAGTTTAACATGCATTAAAAAAGGTAAAGGGTCATTTTTAAACGAAATTATTGTGAAATTATGTTAATATTATTGTTCTGTTCCCTTTTGGAAATCCCTCCGCCCCGCCCCTCTCGGGGTTCCTGTGGGAGAGTAGGCGGCGGAGGGACAACGTAGTTCCCCTTCATAACCACACAGTCTGAAAAAGCATGCGTGGAGCTACCGGCTAACGGCTGTTATCTGTGCAGATCTCTGTCTAATCTCTGAAAAGTAAAACTTTTAAAGTGGGATTTTGATGGATTATGTATTTATTCGGGATATAGAAGGTCTGGACACGGTAAGATAACGCGAACTCTACAGTTTTAGGCGGATTTCATGAGAAGTTAGAGAAGTCAGTTAGTTAGCAGCTAAGCTAACTGTTAGCCTTTTGGCTCCATGTACATTTGCTGTAGGGGAGGCAGGGAGGAGATGAAACATATCTGACAGACTCAGAGTAAGTAGGTATCAGAGAACGGTTCAGTTAAAGACAAAAGTTAGACCCATAAAAAACGCAGCTGTAAATGAATGAAAACAAGAAAAAAGACAGAGAGCAAATGACAAAATTAGACTTATTTTCCATCATTTATGGGATAAAATCTTACAGTTTTAACTTCTGTTGAGTCCCTGAAACTGATTAATTCCTTTAGTATTTATAACAGTTTAGACTAAAGATAGATGTTTAATCAAAAACACTATCAGACAGACAGAGCAATAGGGAGAGCCATTTAATGACTGTGCATCATTATAATACACAAAAACACTGCAGAGATGATCTAGATATACTAGACTCAACTTAGAGACTTAGATTTTCTTCATTTGTCAAACATAGCAGTGATTTCTTTCTTTGACAAAATGTCGTTACTTGGCTGCCATATCACAGCATGATGGTGTTTAATTTAATATACAGGAAAAATAAAAACAATAAAAACTAAGGGTAAAATACCAGCATGGTGAGTGATATTGCACTTTCGGGAGGTAGAGTGGTTGTGGAATAAAAACCAAATAAATAAAAGTATATATAAAAAGATATATGTTCTTATTTACACATAATAAATAGTGATGAATGGCAGAGAAATTTTTACAGCTCAACCAGGACAAAACTCAGGTTTTAGTCATTGGGGCAGGGGACAAGAGAGAGAAACTGGTCAGCAAACTCAAAGCATTATCCTATAATCTTAGTCAGCAAGCTCAAAATGTAGGTGTTTTATTTGATTCAGAATTGAGCTTTGAGCCTCACATACGGGATATCACCAAGAAGGCATTTTATCATCTAAAAAACACAGCCTGACTGCGACCGTTTCTCTCTCAAGCCAATGCAGAGACATTAATTCATGCTTTTATCACTTGTAGAACAGATTATTGTAATGCCTTCTTTTCTGGTCTCCCCAAAAAGAACATTTCACACCTGCAATTATTACAAAATTCAGCTGCAGGAATGTCAACAAGGACCAGAAAGAGAGATCACACTACAGCGATTTTAAGGTCTCTGCATTAGCTCCCCGTCTCTTTTAGAATAGATTTTAAGGTTGTTTTATTGGTTTTTAAAGCTCCTAATGGCTTTGGCCCATCTTATTTTTCTGATCTTCTTTTATCTTATGATCCAGGTAAAGTCTTCAGGAAGTTCTGGACGTTCTCTGTTAACATTACCTAAAGTTAAAACCAAGACGTATGGTGAGGTATCTTTTATCACTATGGCCCCCGTCTATGGAACAGCTTACCTGAAGACCCGAGGACTGAAACTAGTCGCAATGATTTTAAAAGTAAACTGAAAACATACCTTTTTAGTCTTGCTTTTAACTAAATTTTATATCATTAACTTTGTTTAAGTGTTTTAGCATTTATCTCTTCTCGTTTGAGTCACAGGATCATCTTTTATTGAGTTATTTTGGTGCTCTTATTTTAGTATCTTTTACTGTTGTTTTTATTTAATTGTATTTATTATTTCTTAAATTTCATTCTTTGTTCCTTTGTTTTTACATTTTAACCTAAACCTCCAGTGTTTCCTTATCTTGAGTTTTAAAATGACGTTTCCTCAGAGCACACATTCCACATTCCTGTTTCCACAAAATCAAGCCCTTCATTGGTCATTCGACCATCCTCTGGCGGTTCGACCACATTATATCGAAGTGCTGATAAAAATAATTGAAATGATAACTTTAAAAGATGAGATAACAGTTGCAGATGGTGTTTGATTGTTTTCATAGGATAAAATTGTCTGAAAATCTTCTCTCATCCTTTCTTCAGACAAAATCTTTTAGCTGCAGCAGAATTAAACAGTGGTATGGAAATTATAGAACAATAATTAAAAGAGATATTTTATATTTAATATCAAACTAAAGATTTTAGCCAGCGCAAAGGTCCTGGTCTTCATTTTAGTCTCAGCTGTAAATAATGACAAAAATTCAAATTCATTAAAGACTGTTGGGTCAGTCCCTCGCTCTGTGACCATGTCGGTTAGGTAACTGTGGTGAAAAATGAACCACAAACCTGGTTTCAGGTCCTGAAACGTCTGCTGATTCACTTTAACAAACAGCTCACCTCCAGGTGTGTCCTATGGGCAGGTGAGGAGCTGATGGAGGAAGGGAAGACCACAAACAGTGAAAATCAAGGAGGAGAGGGAGCTGAGCAGTTGATGGAGTGGGATGAAGAGCAGCAGGAGGGTTTCCCTCAGGAGGAGAGAGGAGATGAGACGGAGGAGAAAGGTGAGACCGTCCCACAGACCCTGTGAAGACGTTTTTTTGTAACCAAAGATCTAAACTTCACCAGTTCAGTGGTCCCCCACCAAACCACAGACGGAGAGCACTGAGCTCTTACAGGATGTTCTGATTAGCTGAGTTGGATCTGTATGAAGAGTGCTTCACAGGACTTGACACTAACTTTTTTCACATGTTCTCCTAAGTTGAAAAAGCAAGGAGCACACAAAGAACTTAAGGGGCACAATGAAAATTGATCAAATAATGTTTGTCTTATTGATTGACCGTAGTACTATTATTTGAAATACATTTTAGGTCTTTTGGTCACATGACATGGAAGCTATTGAAGGAAAACAGCCTTTTCTGAGAACATCAATTGGTAATTTATTGATGGTCCCTTATACAACACCTGACGTTGACAGCGAGGGTGCAGAGTAGATTTATTCGCACTGCTGTTGTTATTCCCGGTTATGGAGAGTGAGAAGACACCGATAGATCCTCCGTGAATGTCCGTTGAATATCCAACCTAAAACTAACCACTGCCGTATTTACAGGTAAAAAACATTTATTGATTTTTTTTTTTTATGTGCACATGTAACCCTAAATACATTTGACAATTCACACACATCTATTTTTAGTCGCAAATGGGAGTGAAACATTCGTACCGTCGAGCCCTGCTTCACCTGCATCGACACTTTTAATAACGGTTCTGATCCGAGTTTCCTCATCTGTCTGCAGGTTTGATGGAGGATGTCAGGATCGTCCCGATCCCGGTTCATCCGGACAGCAGCTGCAGCAACAACACACACACACACAACCTGACACACAACAACAGAGTGAAGGTGAGATGGTATCTGAAGATGATGTCATTCCTTCTGTTTCTATATGATTCATTCATTCATTCATTCATTCATTTATCTGTGTGTGTGTGTGTGTGTGTGTGTGTGTGTGTGTGTGTGTGTGTGTAATCAGGGTTCAGGGGCCCCTCTCAGCTTTAAGGTGAACGGCCGGCTCGTCTCCCTGCAGCCTGGAGGTCAGAAGAAACCAGATTTTAGTGTTTGTGGTTTTTCTGAAGAGACTCTGAACTGACTCTGAGGACAGTGTCTGTGTTTGTCCGTGTTTGTCTGTGTTTGTCTGTGTTTGTCTGTTTGTACGTTTTTGTCTGTTTGTCAGTGTTTGTCTGTTTGTTTGTGTTTGTCCATCTTTGTCTGTGTGTGTCCGTCTTTGTCTGTGTGTGTCCGTCTTTGTCTGTGTGTGTCCGTCTTTGTCTGTGTTTGTCCGTCTTTGTCTGTGTGTGTCCGTCTTTGTCTGTGTTTGTCCGTCTTTGTCCTCCAGGTGGCACCGCAGAGTTAAAGATCTGCTCTCACCCCCGAGGTTCAGCCAGCGGGTTCACCACGGTCCAGATGTCCAGTCCCCTGAAAGTCCAGGAACCTGCTGAAGCCCAGACCAACACATCCTCCCTGCAGGCCCCTCTTGCTGGATCTGACCCCACCCTGGTCATCACAGGTAAGACCTCCACCTGAGTCTGAGTTCGCTGCCGTAGACCCCGAAGGCGTCCTGGGCTCACTGTGTCTCTGTGGTGCAGGTGTGGTCTCAGGTGAAGCTGCTCAGAGGGTTCTGAAGGACCACAGTAAATCCAGGACCCCTCTGACAGAGAAGAAGAACCAACCTGGAGTCTCCACCCCGAACGTCACCTCCAACCCCCCACAGATCAAACCCACATCCTCCAACCAGACCAGGACCCCTCACACACCCAGAGCAGTCCAGGAGAAAGGTGTGTGTGCGTGCATGTGTGTGTGTGAGTCTGAGTTCATTCACAAATTCACTCATTCATGTCCAGTTCTCCAAGAGCCATATGATGGTCTTTCAAACCCTCCAGAGTAGGATTGGGCGATATCCAAACATTGATACTGTCATACCGTCTCCACATTTTACCGCGGTGACGAATTAAAAATGATGACTTAAGGCTCAGACAGCGTCACCAAACTGTTGGCTTGTACAAACATTGTTTAGAAACTGAATACCAAACACTAATAATGAAACAGTAACAACATAATGTGCACAATATTAACAACTTTTATTAGAAACAGCTTAAAAAGTCAAACAATTAAATGAACAGAACCATCCAGAACTGTTTTTGCGCAGAATACGCCGCACACACATCAGTTACATTAAATCACAGCCTGAGCAACTTTGAATAACTCAACTCAACTCAACTTTATTTGTAGAGCACTTTAAAACAACCACAGCTGTACAAAGTGCTGTACATAACAGGACAAAAACAACAAGATAAAAAACAATCAAGAAACAATTAAAACAATGGATAAAATAAAAGCAGAATTAATGATAAAATATAGTTTCAATGTTTTTAAAAACTAATTTAAAAACATAGAAACAAATAACTAAAAACAAACCATAAAACACTAAAACAGGAGCCGAGTCTCATGGAGGGTTAAAAGCCAATGAATAAAAATGGGTTTTAAGACGAGTTTTAAAAATGGACAGTGTGGAGGCTTCTCTAATTTGGAGGGGTAGCTTGTTCCATAAAATTGGGGCAGCAACAGAAAAAGATCTATCCCCTCTGAGCTTCCGTTTGGACCTCGGTACCTCCAGGAGCAGCTGATCAGCTGACCTGAGGCACCGAGCAGGGGTGTAGGGGTGGAGAAGCTCAGAGAGGTATGATGGAGCCAGACCATTTAAAGATTTAAAAACAAATAAAAGAATCTTAACGACAATCTTAATAACAAAAAAGAGCGGCTTATAAAAAAAGTACAAATACAACAGTCAAACAATTAATTAACCTGACCATCCAGAACACTTTTTGCGCAGGATGCTTCTTTTCCATCGTTTGGAAAGAGACCGTTTCCTTTGCCAAGTATTTTGTCACTGTATCAGTGCAGGTTTTCCAACACAATCCCTTTTGTACTTTGTGTTTGTCCTGAAGGCCCCCGTTATTGTCCGTTGTGTATAAGTGGCGGTGGACTTAGTTCTTGTTGGTCCTGCATCGGTATCAGCGGGAGGCGTTTAAACTGCTGCACTGAATGAACTCAGGGACAAATGCATCCTCGCAGCAGTGAGTGGATGTTTGAATCGGAGATACCTCCTTAGGTTAGAAGTGTTTCCATCTCTCACAGTCACCTTTTTATTACTATAATTTACTACTATTTATTGCTATATTTCTAAAACAAAACACTTTTGTTCTGTCTTACTTCACTCTCCTTTTCTCCCTTGTCTTCTGTCAAAGTTGCAGTTTTGGTGATACCGTTCAAGATTACCCTAATAGTTAACCTTTATTTAACCAGGTTTGTCCCATTGAGACCTGAGGATCTCATTTGCAAGGGAGACCTGACCAAGAATGGCAGCAATACATAGTTAAAACAAACAGTCACACAGACTCAATACAGAACAAAAATGTGAGGAAACATCAGTTAAAACAGGGACATTCTGAGAGTTTGTACTCCAGCCTTTTAACTGCAGATATAAAAATAGTCCAAGACACCAAGTTTTGCAGCTTAAATTCAGTCTGCAGATTATTCCATGCAGAGGGGGCAGAGAACCTGAAAGTCTTCTTTCTCATTTCAGTTTGGACACTGGGGACAACAAACTGTGCCTTTGTAAATGAAAACGTACCAGTGACCAAGCCGACGAGTACCGTATTTTCCGCACTATAAGGCGCACCGGATTATAAGGCGCACCTTCAATGAATGGCCTATTTTAAAACTTTGTTCATATATAAGGCGCACCGCATTATAAGGCGCATAGAATAGACGCTACAATAGAGGCTGGGGTTACGTTATGCATCCTTTAGATGGAGCTGCGCTAAAGGGAATGTCAACAAAACAGTCAGATAGGTCAGTCAAACTTTATTAATAGATTACAAACCAGCGTTCTGACAACGCCTTGAGTTTGAACTCTGCGTCGTAAGCGTGTCTCTTAATAGGAGCCATTTTGGGGTCTTTACATAAACACACAAATGGAAATGAAACGGCACGCCTCGCGCAGTCATATATCCCAGCATGCACTGCGCGCTTCTTCTTCTACGGGGGAAAATGAAGTCCGCGGCTGCTTACCTTAGTTGCGAGACCTGTTGTGGCTCAATATTGGTCCATATATAAGGCGCACCGGATTATAAGGCTGTTATAAAATTGGAGGTTTTAGGTGCGCCTTATAGTGCGCAAAATACGGTACTTAAAGAAGTACAACTGACTTTGGAGTATAAAGTACAGCGATGAGTTAAAAATCCACAATTTGTTATAAATCTCAGAGCTCCATGGTAAACACTGTCCAACATTTGCAGACTCTGGGCAGAGGCATTCATGTATAAAACATCACCATAATCAAGAAGAGGTAAGAATGTAGACTCCACAAGTCTGTTTTTAACATTCAAAGACAAACAGGACTTGTTTCTATAGTAAAAGACATGCTGAATATGTTCTTTAAAAGACAAGTTTTCATCCAGTAAAAACCCCAGGTACTTAATAGAAGACACAAGCTCAATTTCTTGACCGTCAATATTAACAATTTTCTTAGACAGTGTTTCTTGTGATGCTTTTGTAGATGAAAACAACATGAGTTTAGTTTTCTCCACAATAAGCACAAGTTGTAGCTGCCTAAGCTGATCTTGGACTAAATTGAAAGCATGCTGAAGATTTACAAAAGCCAGCGCAGGTGTTGGTGCACAGCAATAAATTACTGTATCATCTGCATAGGGATGAAAATTTGCATTTGGAACATTTTGTCCCAGGCAGTTGATATATATTGTAAATAAGAGCGGTCCCAGAACTGAACCTTGAGGCACACCTTTGTGAATTTAAAGTACCATATACACCATAAATCATATACTGACGCACCTGACTATACACATCAAGCCCAATGTGATTTTGCGACTTTTGGGGGGAAAGACGCATCCCGGGGAAGACTTTTGCCGGGGAAAGTCCCGTCTCCTTCACCTCTGATTGGCCAGAAAAGCTGGAAACGTCATCACATGCTCAAGCCAAACGGTCAGCACTTATAGCCAATCAGAGGCGATAAGATAAGCACATGAAACTATGGTAACATCCATTAGCTTACGTTAGCACAGATGAAAGTTAAAACAAAAGCGTTTAGCAAACTGTTAAAGCACACAAACCATCATCATATGAGAAATCCAATGCTTTGTTGTCCTTCAAGTCGTTATCTTTGTAATATTTGTCGTTTTTATCAAAAAGCACTCTGTTCTCCGACACGTAAACAATCAGCCGGTCGCCCATGTTGGATATACCGGTGAATCAGACGTCGCAACAACACGCAATCTGATTGGTCTGAAGTGGACACATAGTATGCTGAAACTTTTGAAAAATCGACCATGATCCGAAAATAAAAATGCTGCAATATTGCAGGGCGTGAAAAAGTCGCTGATGTGAACACTTGTATTGACAGGATATGGGTTCGAAAAAAAATATTGATGTCCAAAATAATCGCACGACAAAGACACCGCCGGTTTATCTTATCACCGCCCAACCCTACTCCAGAGCCCAGAGAGCAGACTTCGTTCTTTACTTGTAATAACCACATGACTTTGTGTGTGTGTGTGTGTGTGTGTGTGTGTGTAGGTCAGCTTGGACCCGCCCCCCCTGACTGTCCCGTCTGCAGGTCTCAGTTTAAGTTCATCTTAAAGCTCCGAGGATTCATGTGTGTAAGTCCCTTAGCCCCGCCCCCACTTTCATTTGATGTGTGACATCATCATGGATGCCCCGCCCCTCACTGTTCTCTGACACCTCTGACCCTCCTCCTCCTCCTCCAGCTGTGCTGCCCCGCCATCGCCCTCAGTCTGGAGAAGGTGAGGAAGAAGAAGCAGCAGAAGAGGAGCCGCCTGAAGAGGAGCAGAGACATGATTCGGGTCTACAGAGACCCTCAGACCTTCAGACATGCAGGAGCCCAGACCAGACCAGGACCTGGACCCTTTGCTGTGAGTGGACCTTAACGTCGTAAACTGAATCCAGGTGTCACATGACCTTTGATAACACTCTTTCTCCCCCATTATAAGGTCGTGTCTCCGCCCCTGAGGACCTTCAGAGTCTCGGAGGACAAGCTGGAGTCCCTACAGACCCCTCAGGGTAAACTGGTCATACTGGTGGAGGACTTCTATTATGGCTCTGCCCCCGGAAGACACTGCACAAACAACCAGACAGATGACGGAAACCACGGACCGTACGACTGCATCCGCTGTCAGAGGACGCTGCACAACAACATCGAGTGAGAGGCACACACACACACACACACACACACACACAACGGACACACACACACAACGGACACACTGGTGTGTGTTCAGAGGAAACAGAAAGACATTCAGACCAATGTTCCCTCTAAGCTGCGCGCCTGCTCACACATTGTCAGCGCACAAGAAAAGCTATACAGCGCATGTCTAACACAGTGAGTGATAGATGTCCAGCCAATGATGTGATACGGTTCACTTACGCTACGTAGCCAATCATCGCATTGATATTGCTTACATACTGTAAATTCCGGACTATAGAGCGCACCGTTATATAAGCCGCAGATGCTTATTTTAGGGAAAAAAATAACTTTGTACACGTATAAGCCGCACCGGTAAATAAGCCGCGGGTGTCCACCTGGTGACATTGTCACCTAGAAAGTAAATTAAAATGTTTTTTTATCAAAGTCTGATATTTATTTTGAAATATTTACTCAGCTACACACAGATAGCGAAAACATATGGACAACAGTAAATCTACACAAGCAGTCGTCAGCGCTGCTCCGTGTGTGCGGGTGTGTGTGTGTCTGTCTGTGTGTGTATAGCCCTGTAGACGACTTTCATTCACGGATACATAAAAGAAGTGGACAAACATGTTTGATACAGTCAGGAAAACATAGCGGCATATCCATGATAGCTCTGAAACAACAGTTGGAGGAGCAGAAGCGCTGCGGAGAAATACGCGGCCGGTGGGAACTAAAGGCTGCGCTGAATGGAAGCTAGTGATGTGTCGGTCGGTGACCAGAAGGAGCGCCGCGATCGTGCACTGCAGATAGTTTCGGCACCGGTTTTATTTCCTTGCGCGAGCCGCGTCACACACGCACATAGACACACAGACACAGACTTACAGACACAGTGCTGCAAGTGAGCGTCGTGAGTAAAAAGGGAGCAAACGCAATGAATGATGAAAAGACAGCTTTGGTGTCTAAGCCCAACGCAACAGCCCCAGTGTGGGAACATTTCGGTTTTAAACAAAATGAAAGAGGTGAGCCCACGAACACGGACGAGCTGATGTGTCTAGGGCTGCAACGATTAGTCGACGTAATCGATTACGTCGACACGACAAATTCATCGACACGAAAACCAAGCGTCGACGCGTCGTGTTATTGTTGTTAAGAAACACATGCCGGCGCCTCATGCTCATCTATAACTGCAATGCACTACAGGATGTGCTGGGGGCAGTAGCGCTCGCTGTTTACATCCCGCGAGCAGACACAGAAGAAGAGTGCACACATTATGGCAGAACAAACTGAAAAAGACGCTCCAAAACTCTGACCCAAAACTTCAAAAGTTTGGGAACTTTTTACGGAGAACAAACCAAAAAAAACACGTCGATCAAAGCTCAGCTTTCCTACCATAGCAGCACCACGGCGATGCATGAGCACCTGAAACGCCGACGCCCCGGAAATAGGTGTTTATAAATAAAGAAGATAGTGATTAATCGTGATTAATCGGACGACTAGTCGGACGACTAGTCGACAAAAAAATAGTTGTTAGTTGCAGCACTAGATATGTCGCATTTGTTCGAAAGTTGTGGTGACAAAGAAGGGGAATACAACGAACATGCATGCGCACCTCAAGCACAATCATCCCCGCCATTTTTCCCAACTGAGAAATAAAAGTACTGCCGGAGGTGCTGCGGAGCCATCGTCCCGGCAGGTACCGCTTACTGAAGCGTTTGGTAAGCAAAGCAAATATAAACCAAACAGCGCAAAATGGTGCGCGCTGACAGACCGTGTCGTTCGCTACATTGCAAAAGAAATGCCAATCATTCAATACGGTCAAAAAGCCAGCATTTAGAGTAATATTACAAACATTTGACAGACAGTACGAATGGCCTGGAAAAACTTACATTTCACAAACGGCAATTCCTGGACTCTATAACAGAGTGAAAGAGGATGTACTGGACGACATCAAAAACATTGCATTTTACTCCGCCACCACAGATATGTGGTCCAGCTCAAACATGACCCCCTACATGAGTCAAACCATACACTACATAACTGCTGACTGGACCTTGTCCTCCAAGTGTTTAGAGACCAGGTATGTGCCTGAGAACCACACGGCCGACATCCTGGGAGAAAACCTTAAAGGGGACCTGCCATCAAAAATGTAATTTTGTGTGTTTGTGTGTCAGATAAGGTCCATATTATGTTCGTCTTATGTTGTAAATGTGAAAACAAACCGTTACGTCGTTTCCATTCTGTAAAGGTTTAAAATAAAGAAACGGGTAAACCAGGCCAATTGAAAAAGCAGGTCCCTCTGACGTCGCGCTGACCTTGCTCATTATTATTCAGGAGCGCGTCCTCAGTGAGCCGCGCCCACTCTCTCGTTCTCGTACTCATTCACAGTCAACATCACTCTCCAGCCAGAGCGAGACCCAGCTACCACTGTATCCGCTATGGGTCTCTTCCAAACGACCGGTGTTTCCTTGGGTTCACTGCCGGGAAAATGAACTTAAAGCTGGGCAGAATGAATGAAAACACCGCTGGAGATCTCCGGCTTCTTCTTCAACTTCCACCTCCTCTTCGAACTCGGGGTCTAAAATATATGGTTTAATACCTGCCATTTTTAGCCTTTAGCATAAGGTGACCAGACGTCCCCGATTTCCGGGGACAGGTCATCCAATTCGGGGACTGCAAAAGCTGTCCCCGAAAATGTCCCCGATTTAAGCGTTTCATGAATGAGAGCAAAAATGTTGCGTGTGGGCTCGAACAACGGTTATTACAGTAGCCGAATGGGTAGGAAGCACAAGTAAGCAGTCCTGAACAACAGTTTTTAAGGGGGTTATTACAAGGGGCATGCGCTGCTACTAAATAGTACCGTGATTTTGTCTGTGATCACGCAGCCCCTGCAGCCCCTGCACACTCCCCGCCGCCGCCGCCGCACCGAATATCCCCGGATATTAGAGATGCACCGATTGCAATATTCTTGGCTGATACCGATTTCCGGTTTTAAAGGAGGTCTGACCTGCCAAAACCGGTTTTTCCGATACCGATTTTCTATCTAAGAAATAATTATAATCATATAATAGACACCATATTTGTTTGGCTTGAGTACCCATTCCCAATTTTAATTTAAGTACCCCTCTCCCAGACAACATTTTGCTTAACTGCAATTAAAAGCACAACTAATGGTAGGCTATATGCTATCATAACCCCCCTTTTCAAGAATAAAATCTCACAAATAAGAAATAGAGTGAGAGTTTCAACAGTGCCTCCTGAGCAGATTTATTTTCTACACTGACCATAAAATTCAGTCCAGTTTACAGGTCAGTAACTAACTTACATTCAAACAACATTCAAAAAACGTCCCAGCATTTGCCTGGTACAATGTAATTTATTGACTACCCCTCCAGTACCTCTCTCAAACGACTCTGGCAGCGCTGTGTCAGAAAAGTACCGCCTACTTGATAGTTTGTACCAATCAACGCCTAAGACATTTGGAACAACAAACTTAATACGCCACTTGGAAAAGAAGCACCCAGGCGTGTTTAGCAAATAACAAGTAATACACTGCCGCTAAGAGGAGGGATGCAGCAGAGTCGCAGCGACCACAACAACCCTCCGCCGTGGCTCCTATGTTCGACATCAGCACTGAAAAGTCCAAAGCCACCACTAGGAAAATAATGGAGTTCGTGGCACTGGAGGACCAGCCGTTTAGCGTAGTACAGGATAAAGGCTTCGTAAATCTGCTGAAACACCCTACTTGGTCATTTGTACTTTGGACTCAGGTGTTTCACCAGATTTACGAAGCCTTTATCCTATATGTGGACTTAAAAGAGCCAGTGGGAGGTGGAGAAGGTACCAGTGGTGTGACCTGCAGCAGAACTGCTGCTGGAGGAAATGAGGATAAACTTCCTGCACCCACAAAGAAGAAAAGACTGAGTAACCTTCTTCAAAACTGAAGAGCTCACTTCACAAGACAGGCCCAGGCTGCAGTTCCAAAAAGAGTGCAGGCAGATGCAGAGCTGACCAAATTCCTCCAGGAAGATGTACTTGAAGCATCTTCTGATCCTTTAATGTGGTGGCGTGACAATCGGAGAAGATATCCGTTGATGGCCAAGCTGGCACAAAAATACATGTGCATTTGTGCAACAAGCACCAGCTCTGAGAGAATGTTTAGCATAGCTGGCAACTCCGGAGAGATTATCTATAATCTAAAAAACGGTGTCAATAATATCGTTTGTCGGCAATAATTTGTAGCACAATTATCGTCCAGCAAAATTTGTTATCGTGACAGGCCTATTAGTACTATTATCAAAAATCAATTTTAGGTCAATTGGTCACATGGCATGGAAGCTATGGAAGCAAAACAGCCTTTTCTGAGGACATCAGCCGGTAATTTATTGACGGTCCCTTATTCAACACCCGAAGTTGACAGTGAGGGTGTCGAGTAGATTTAACCGCGCTGCTGTTGTTATTCCCGGTTATGAAGAGTGAGAAGACACCGGTAGATCCTCAGTGAATGTCCGTCAAATATCCAACCTAACACTAACTTCACCGCCGTATTTACAGGAAAAATATTTGTTGATTTTTTTTTTCATGCGCACATGTGACCCTAAATACATTTTACAATTCAAACACATCTATATTTAGTCGCAAATGGGAATGAAACGGTCGCACTGTCAAGCCCTGCCAAACCACCGCTACATTAAATAACTTTTCCTCTCAACAATAACATCTTCAGAGGATGACGCGAAGTCGTGGCTGACATCATTCTGTTCTGTTTACTTCTCTAGTAACGTACAGAAGTGAGCAGGAAAAGCTTGACTCTGATTGGCTGTTGTTACGCACATTACCGCCATGTTTGATCGCGTAAATATGCTTACAGCTGATCGCAATTGTATAATCGCCCAGTCTGAGTTTGACCTCTTCATTCTAACAAAGTGACTATAATCAAAACGTCACTCTCTATCAGTGAACTTGACTGAATGTTAACCCGTCGCTTACTTCCTGTTGTCCTCCTGATGTTTGTGTTTGGTTCTACAGTTTCTCCTCCTACTTTAAATGAACTCAAATCTTTTTAAATCACTCTGCCTCGAACCCTCAGTCACAGTTTATCACTAAATCTCTTCTCTCTCTCTCTCTCTCTCTCTCTCTCTCTCTCTCTCGCTCTCTCTCTCGCCTTTTAGGTTGATGAACCACGCAAAGCTCCACATCACATCTCAGCAGGACAGACGGAGAGTGTCTTCTTGTCCTCACTGCCTCAGACGCTTCACCTCCCTGTTCAGCCTGCAGCGCCACCTACAGGCTGTGCACAGTCCGTGTGAATACAGAGGTGTGGTCCAAACACACACACACACACACACACACACACACACACACACACACACACCTATGATGGAGGACACATCAGCAGCATCAGTCAGACCTGTGAAGAGGACCACCTTCATGTCTTCATCTCCGAATCTTCAGCCTCATGACATCACAGTTAATAGATTCACTTCCTGTTTCCAGCTCAGTGTAAGATCTGTGAGGTGACCTTCATGAGCGAGGTGGACTTCCTGGACCACATGAAGACCAATCACAAACCGGGAGAGATGCCGTACACCTGCCAGGTACAACTGCACACTCACACACCCACTGCTGCTGCTGCAGGTGTGTATGTCCTTGTTCATGTGTGTGTGTTTGTCTCCTGTAGGTTTGTGTGTACTCGTTCGTGTGTGTGTGTGTGTGTGTGTGTGTGTGTGTGTGTGTGCAGGTGTGTGTATGTCCTCGTTCATATGTGTGTGTTTGTCTCCTGCAGGTGTGTGACTTCAGGTCGTCCTTTTATTCAGACATCTGGTCTCACTTTGAGCGCGCTCACTCCAACTCCAAACACCTGCTGTGTCCGTTCTGTCTGAGAGTGATGAGCCACAACACCTGCTACCAGCAACATGTGAACCGACACCAGGTACAAACACTTGAGACACACACACCTGAGACACACATCGTGACACACACCGGTTAATACACACCTAAGACACAAATCTGTGTAACACACACACCTGAGACACACATCTATATGATACACACATCTGTATAATACACACCTGTATAATAGACACCTGAGACACACACCTGAGACATACAGACCTGAGACACACACACCTGTATAATACACACCTGAGACACACACCGGTATAACACACACCTGAGACGCACACCTGTAAAATGCACTCACCTGTAAAATACACACACCTGCGACAAACACAACTGTAACACACACCTCTGACACACACACCTGAGACACACATCTGTATGATTCACACCTGTAAAATACACACCTGAGAGACACACACCTGTATAACACGCACCTGAGACACACACTTGTATAACTTACACCTGAAACACAGACCTGTAACACACACACCTGAAAAACACACTTGAGACACACACACCTGTTTAACACACAACTGTATAACACACACCTGAGACACACACCTGTGTAACACACACCTGAGACATACACATGTATAAGAAACACCTGAGACACACCTGTAAAATACACACACCTGTGTAACACACACACCTGAATAAGACACACCTGTATAACACACACCTGTATATTACACACCTAAGACAAACACCTGTATAACACAGATGTTTAACACATCTGTATAACACACACCTGAGACACACACCTGTGTGTTATACTGATGTGTGTCTCAGGTGTGTGTTATACTGTTGTGTGTTTTAAACAGATGTGTTTCAAGTGTGTGTCTCAGGTGTGTGCAGGCCCGGATTAAACCTTCTGTGGCCCCTGAGGCTAAGCAAACCTAATGGCCCCCCCCTCTGTCCCGCGCACGCAAAAAATTGGCAGTTTTTATTGGTCATTTTGTGTAAATTACTGCAGTTATGGGTGGTTATTTAACGGTTCCACTAGCCACCACCTCTAGCCAAACCACTGGGTTAATACAACTGTGTGTCTGAACTCAATTCAACAAGAGGTAGTGAAAAAAGTCTTCAAGGAAAGCACGAAGGCTGGTGTACAGTTCACTTTTTTACTGTAGAAAACCTCAGGCATTTTAAATTATAAGTATATAGCAAGCATTATAAATAAAAGTGCAAGGCATGATATGAAGGCCTGTTATGGTTATACAATTTGTTTTGTTTAAAGGATTGCTACACTGAGATTTGAGATTTTTATTATTTTTATATTTGTTCTACATTTGTCTGCGTTTGTGTTTTGATCTTTCTTTTCATATTCTAGAGGGACTGATAAATGTCAGAGGTTTTGACACTGTGATACTTGAATAAATGTTTTATACCATATTTTGAATTAATTCAGACCTTTTGTGCATTTATTTTTGTCTTGTTACATTTTTCCATTATTCCAATTTTGGGGAGCGTGGTAGCAATTTGACTGACTTTCAGCCATTTATGGCCATGATGTGCTGTTTATATTTTATTGCTTTTATTACACAGTAGGTTGTGTCATTTTTATGTATGAAACATAGGCTTTTAGCTAAATTTAATTTATATATTTTATTGTGCTGGGTGCAAATCACTTGAGTTGAGACGTTTTCTTCAAGAAATTTGCTACATTTCATAATCTGAATTCACTTATGTGTATACTAAGGCACCAATAACTGTTTCAGGTGTTAGGTAGATGTATTTATGACATCTGAGAAAGATTTTGTCTTGCCAGAATCAACATAGCAGTTTCTACAAGCAAAAACAGCAGCACCATATAATCGTTTTTTGTGTTACTCACATATATGTACATTTCTGGCTGGTCCTTAGTCTCACCCTGTAGAGAAAGACACTTTCTAATACTAGTTCTGTAAGTTTCCCAACGTGTCCTTGTAAAGTCGAGAACGTCTTCACTCTGGACAGATGATAGATGCATATAGCATCGTTTCGTTCCTTTTTGATGCACTTTTGAAGGCTGTTTTCTTTTTTTCCTGTTCTTTTCTTCTTCTTCGGTTGTCTCGCTGCTAGATGCGCTCGTCGCCATGTTTGTGTATTTCTGATACTATGGCAACGAGACTCGGCTCCTATTGGTCCACGTGACAAAAATCGCTTCACCCCTCTGCATATTCGATTGCGCATGTGCAAGTATCACTGCGCCGCAGAAAGGAAATAGTTCAACACCGAAACACTGATTACTAAAAATCGACAGGATGGCATGAGTAGATATTTTTTTTTAGTACTCACTATCAATATAGCTATTTTATGAATCACAGTTTATGTTGCCCCACTGAAGTGGAACGAGATTCACTTTCTAGGCACTTTTTCCTCTGTCCCAATACAGCCTAATCCTCCTCACACCGGGCACAGCTTATCAGCGTCATAGCGGCTTCTGCTCGGGCTGAGTGTCCCCCCCATAGCCAAACGACCTGAGGCTTCAGCCTCACTATGCCTCATGGTTAATCCGGCTCTGGGTGTGTGTTATACAAATGTGTGTCCCAGGTGTGTGTGTTATACAGATGTGTGTCTCCTGGCTGGCTCGCCATTATGTTGTGGAAAATCCAGCATAAGTTTAGTAAAACAGTGCACAGGAGACAGGATGAGATCTGAAGAACAGCCTGGGCATCTTTTCTGACAAACAGAGTCTTGACAAGACTGAGGGAAGCCTCCCTAGCTTTTCTTCTACTCCCTTTTATGCTGTTAGGGGTGTGTGTGTGTGTGTGTGTGTGTGTGTGTGTGTGTGTGTGTGTGTGTGTGTGTGTGTGTGTGTGTGTGTGTGTGTGTTCTGTCATCATGGATATGTCATATCAATTCTCCAGAGGGCTACCCATGATGACATGTCGTTCTGTTCTGACCCTCAACACTTTGTTTAGGCTCGTATTAACTCTCGCAGAGATTAAATGTTGCAACAGACGGATAGTTCGGGCTCCTGAAAGACAGCCCTGCTTACAACCTCAGGGTCATGAGGATGCATGAGCAGGCCAACCTAGATTATTTGTAGCTCCTTACTAAAAGATAATAACTCTATATTTCTTAGTCTAAATGTATGAAGAGATTCTCCTACAAGACACACACACCTAAGACACACACCTGAGACACAAATCTGTATAACACACACCTGCCACACATATCTGAGACAAAAATCTGTATAACACATACACCTGAGACACACATTTGTATGACACACATCTGAGACACACACTTGAGACACACATCTGTTAAGCATACACACCTGTATAACACACACCTGAGACAAACATCTGTATTACACACACCTGTGTCACACACCTGTATAACACACACACCTATACACACATCTGTGTAATACACACCTGAGACACCTTATAACACAAACCTGAGACACACACTTGAGACACACATCTGTAACACACACACCTGTGACACAAACACTTGAAATACACATCTGTATGATACACACTTGAGACACCTTATAACAAAAACCTGAGACACACACCTGATAATACACATCTAAGACACACACACCTGTATAATACACGCCTGAGACGCACACCTGAAACACACACCTTAGACACACACACCTGTATAACACACAACTGTATAATACACACCTGAGACACACGACTGTAAAACACACACCTAAGACACACACCTGTATAACACACACCTGTAAAGTATACACACCTGACACACACATCTGAATAACACACACCTGAGACACACGCCTGTAACACAGACATGTGAGACACACATACCTGAGGCCTACACCTGAATAATACGCAACTGAGATACACATTTTATGACACACGCCTGTTTAATACACACACCTGAGACACACACCTGTAACAAACACAACTGAGAGACACACCTGTATAATGCACACGTGAGACACACACCTGAGACTAATTCCTGTAGAATACACAGCTGAGACACACACACCTATATAAAACACACCTGAGACACACACACCTGTGAAATACACTTGATACACACCTGTATTTCACACTTACCTTTTTCATTCAGATTAATCAGCTGTATGTCTCACCTGACTAACCCTGTGTGTGTGTGTGTGTGTGTGTGTGTGTGTGTGTGTGTGTGTGTGTGTGTGTGTGTGTGTGTGTGTGTATCTGTATTTGTGTTTGTTTGTCTGTTTGTTTTTGTATGGATGTGCATATGTTTTTTGTGTGTCTGTGTCTCTATGTGTATATGTGTGTGTGTGTGTGTGTGTGTGTGTGTGTGTGTGTGTGTGCCCGTCCTCAGTGTAAGATGGCGTTCAGCTGTGGTCAGTGTCGTCTTCATTTTCTGCACCCAAAAGAGCTGAGTCAGCACAAACTGATCCACCACTGTACCCACATCAGACCAGCTCAGCTGACTGGACTCAGACCTGGAACTAAGGTAGACCTCCAGTCCTCCCAGTGTCTCCATCATGTGTGTGTGTGAGCGGACGCACTAACAGGTCTTACCTGTCTGCAGGTGACTGTGAGGACGTTCTCTGTGGGGGGGCGGTCTGAGATGGAGGAGGGACAGAGGGACACGTCTCCATCTAAGGTCAGTCTGAAAAACCAGCTGGACTCCTTTAACCAGGTTTGAGGTCTTTCAAAGTCTGTCCTCAGGTCTGGATTTGATGTCCAGACCTCCTCATCTTTTCTCAGGTGTCTCTCGTGTCTTCTTCTTCATCTTCTTCTTTTTTTTCTTCTTCTGTCTTTCAGGTGGTAAATTTCGACACGTCCCCGAGCAGACAGGAAGCTTCAAAGAGGAAACTGGTGGAGAATCTTGGAGGTCTGCTGTCGTCACTCAGTCAAGACAGGTACAGGGTCTGCAGACGTGTTCACCGTGAGGAGGTCTCTCTGGTTTCAGGTCTTTGACACGCCTGTCGTCTTCTTCTCTCTCAGCGGGTTGGACGGCGGCGTCTCTCGGACCTCCTCTGTCTGTGTGGAGTGTCTGTCTTCAGTTCAGGACTTCCAGACTCACTTCCCGTCTCTGGTCTGCTGCCCACTCTGCAGCTTTGTAACCTGCTGCTGTACAGCCTACGCTAACCACATGATCAGGTAATGGCGAGGTGAACAGACGCTAAAAAAAGATGTCTAAAAACGGCGAGTTTATCAGGTTTAAAACACTGTCAAACTTCTTCTTTAAACAAGGGATGGTTTAGATTTTACAGGAGGAGCGGTCATGTTTAGAGCCTAATCAGTAAATCTCTGATCTATACTTGTGTGTGTTTAATGTGTGTGTGTTTAACGTTTGTCGTTGTTTGACAGTTACCATGCAGCCTGTGGGACGACTCCTCAGTACGCCAACATCTTCGTGTCACAGCCCAGGTAAATACGACTAATAATGTAGACCTGACCACCATCGTCTGTGTTTTAATGTTCATGATCATCAGAGGCTGAACCAGGAGATTCTCCCCCAATTTCCACCGCATCCTGAACGTCTACTAAAAGGTGGTATCCACAGATCGTAACTGATCGTAACCATTCAAGGTAACGTTTCAATTTCCACCAGCTTCTTTCCGTTCTGCTGCAAATCGCCGTGCTGGAAAGGAAGTCGGGCACAGACACAAAATAAAACATCCATCTTTTTTTCAAAATAAAACACTATGTTTCAGGAGGATCGTATTTCACACCATGCAGACGGGCGGAGACGAACAAGTGAAAGTCATTTCACCCCATTGGCACCATGGATTAGGAGATGCTGATTCTAGAAGTCTAGAAGTAGATTTCCTCCTCTGGAAGGACACAATCTACTGCTTATATGTCTATGTGGCTGTCTTAATGGAGACAACTCATTTTTGTGCGATTGAACATGAATCTGCGGGTTCTTGTGAGTTCTCGCAATTCCCGCTGTGCGTAATCCGCCATGAAATTCGATAGGAATTGGTGGACGGTGAAAATCACTGCTGTTCTGGATCAAAGCCGTTCCGAATGCGGTGAAAATTGGGGGTAACTGATTAATACTATCAGTAATCAGATCATAACAGTTTAGACCTGAAGACACCTCTGTACCTGAGTGTGAAACCTTCACCTGGTAATGCAGTCACTCTAACACACATATGGACACACTGTGGTTTGGTGTATTTATTGTGTGTGTGTGTGTGTGTGTGTGTGTGTGTGTGTGTGTGTGTTTTCAGGTTGTCAGAGAAGTTGCAGTGTGTGACGTGCTCATTTTCAATAGACAGAGGAGACATTATGGCGAACCACCTGACAGAGAGACCACAACACTGCTGCGTCATGTTACATGAGAACGGTAACAAACACACACACACACATACATACACACCACATTCTGCCTTAATTATGAGCGTGAGTAAAGACAACGATAAATGTTGAAACTGAAAGATGTTTTTTATGTTATTAAAGGGATATTCCGGCGTCAAATTAATTTAGGGTCAAACACATCGTAACACCGAGTTAGACGCCCCCTCCAGAGATGAATGTTGCTGACCACTTGCTTCTCTAGTTATACCAACTTTAGTAACGACCACAGGATAGCAATACACAGCGGTCTGAGGAGCCATAAACATACCTCAACCAAAACTAACTCTATAGCCACAAATAATGCTCAGAACAGCACCTAACTTCATCAACAGGACATATAGGGTCCCAGCCATAGTACTAGCCACCAAACTTCTTTTTAACTTTGACTCATTTCTTTAGTAAAGAGACTAAACACAACTCACCTACTCTCTTCAAGCAGACGCTTGTTTGTAGCGAGACCTCAGGCCTGTCCATTACGGACTACAGCGGGGTGACGCAGCTCAAGGAAGAACATTTCTGATTAATTCCTCATGGAAATACAATCAGACCGAGACGCTAAGGCAGAAGAACTACCGCGTCTGCAGTGCAAAATGATTAATATGGTGATTATTACATAAAGGAAATGATAAAGTAATGATCATTAATGTTTTTTAAGGTTAGATTAAAAAAAAGATGAAAAACATTTTTCAGTTTCAATATTTGATCCGTGGTTTTTGCAGCGTTTCCAGTTAAATACAGACTTGGACTGCTTTAAGAACCTTTGGACCCAGTTTCTTTTTACATCATAGTGTTCAAACTCAGTGCAGGTGAGCTGACATAGGAGAAAAATGTTTTCTGCAGTGGATCCTAAGTGGATGTGGAAATCCTAAGGTTAGATATTTAATTCGCTCAGCTGTGAAAACAAAAAGAATCGAGGTGGAGGTTCACGGGTCAAAGTCATGATTATCTCCCCTCTCCACCCTGACCGCGTGAGTGCAGTAAAGTCTGACGTCTTTATCCGTCTGGGCGCGATCAAACATTTCGAAACAGCTAAAGGAACCGATCACTTGGAGGCGTTTGATTCTGACGGACAATTTGGAACCCGTTCTCGATTCCCATCCCTGATGGTAAGTACGAGCGACACTGAGAAACTAACAACCCCAGCCTCACATCACCTGTCTGATCTATATCTGTTTCTAACCAACAGGTAAAGACTAGTTAGCCAGTGTTAGTTTTCCTGCTCTCTGAGAGCTCGAACATGTTCCTCTGTCAGGGTGAGATCGGTTCACATGATCAAATTAAAACACCCCTTTGACACAGCTCCAGGCCACACTGGGCTCAGCATGTTTAATCAGGCCGGTGAATCAGGGCGGCACCCTTAGAAAGAGCAAAACTGGTATATGACACACCGTGTGGGTTTTAGGGGTTAGCTGGTCAGGAGGGGTCATGATTTTCAGTTACGGTTGGTGGTACTCCCCCATGAAAAGCAGAGGCAGGGAGAGCAGCAGCAAAGACCCCGACCTGCAGAGGAGGGGCAGGAAGAGTAGACAAGCTTGTTAGAGCCCGATTTTTATCAACTACCCGAAATGTTATAAAGACGAATTTAATAACTGACCCAAATTTTTTTACATGTTGGGCAGAGAAGTAAAGAGTTATCAGGTTTTTGGCTTTTGGCGTCTTGTTATGACAAGTTATTTCATTTTGGGACAGTCTTCGATACCGGGCTCTAAAGCAGCTAAAATAATACAAACGTTTTCACATTAGACTGTCGGACAATTGGAGTAACCAGCTGAGAGCTCAGCTGATCTGGGATGGTGTTCGCTGATGTTAAACAGGCTTAGCTGAATTTGTGACCTGCCTGATCTAACACTCTGCTTTAATGATGCTGTTTTTCCCCTAAAGCTCCAATAGAAAACAAGTTACTTTAATCGCTGTGACATGAATCGTAACGGTCTGATAAAGAGTCATAGGGGGTCAAAGCAGCAAACAGTGTTCACTAATTAACATGATGTTAACATGTCTGCACGTGCATCTATGTCTGTCTTTGTCTGCGTCTTTGTTTGCATCTGTGCCTTCGTCTGCATCTGTGTCTTTGCCGTGTCTGTGTCTGTCTGCGTCTTTGTTTCTACGTCTGCATCTGTATCTGCGTCTTTGTCTGCATCTTTGTTTCTACGTCTGCATCTTTGTCTCCGTCAGCATTTTTGGGTCTGTGTCTTCGTCTTTGTCTGTGTTTGCATCTGAGCCTGCATCTCTGTCTGCGTCTTTGTCTGTGTCTGTCTTCATATTTGTGTGTGTGTGTGTGTGCATCTGTGTCTGCGTCTTTGACTGCATCTGTGCTTCTGCCGTGTCTGCGTCTGTCTGTGTCTTTGTTTCTATGTCTGCATCTGGGTCTGCATCTTTGTTTCTACAAACGTCTTTGTCTGCATCTTTGTGTCCGTGTCATCTATGTCTGCGTATGCATCTGAGCCTGCGTCTCTGACTGCGTCTGCATCTTTGTCTGTGTCTGTCTTTATATTTGTGTGCGTCTGCATCTGTGTCTGCATCGTTGTCTGCATCTGTGTTTTTGCCGTGTCTGCGTCTGTCTGCATCTTTGTTTCTACGTCTGCATTTGTGTCTACATCTTTGTCTGCATCTTTGTGTCAGTGTCTTCATCTATGTCTGCCTCTGCATCTGAGCCGGCGTCTCTGTCTGCGTCTTTGTCTGTGTCTGTCTTTATATTTGTGTGCGTCTGCATCTGTGTCTGCGTCTTTGTCTGCATCTTTGTCTGGATCTGTGTTTTTGCCGTGTCTTCATCTGTCTGCATCTTTGTTTCTACGTCCGTATCTGTGTCTACATCTTTGTCTGCATCTTTGTGTCCGCATCTTCATCTATGTCTGTGTCTGCATCTGAGCCTGCATCTCTGTCCGCGTCTGCACCTGCGTCCGTCTCTGTCCGTGTCTGCACCTGCGTCTGTGTCTGGGTCTGTCTTTATATTTGTGTGCATCTGCATCCATGTCTACGTCTGTGTCTGTGTCAGTGTCAGTGTATGCGTCTGTGTGTAGAATAGAATAGAATATTCCTTTATTGATCTCCCATGGGGGAAATTTTTTTGTCACAGCAGCATCACAGACAAAGAGTTCAAAAATGCAGTTATAAAAATAAAGATCATCATATTAAGAACTTAAATAAATGTAATAATTAAGAAAAAATTTAGAAAAAGGAAAAAAGGGAGAAGAAAAATAAAACTATATACAATATACACAATTTAAGTACCAGAAAAAAGTGGTGGTGTGAGTCCAGTTCTATTACAGTTCGTTGTAAAGTCTTATTGCAGAAGGGAGGAATGACCTGCGGTAGCGCTCCGTCTTGCAAGGTCGTAGTCTCAGTCTGCTGCTGAAGGAGCTGCCTAAAGCCCCCACAGTCTGGTGCAGCGGGTGAGAGGGATTGTCCATGATGGATATAAGCTTTGCTAACATCCTCCTCTCACCCACCTCTTCCAGGGAGTCCAAAGAACAGTCCTCCTGACCAGTCTGTTCAGTCTCTTCCTGTCCCTCTCGGTGCTCCCTGCCCCCCTGCAGACCACTGCATAGAAAAGTGCAGATGCTACCACAGAGTCATAGAAAGTCCTGAGCAGAGTCCTGCACACTCCAAAGGACGTCAGTCTCCTCAGCAGGTGGAGACGACTTTGGCCCTTCTTGTACAGGACGTCTGTGTTGGTTGACCAGTCCAGTTTATTGTTGAGGTGGACACCCAGGAATCTGTAGGACTCCACCATCTCGATGTCCAGACCCTGGATGTCCACTGGAACAGTCTGAGGTGTCCTCCTCCTGCGGAAATCCACGACCATCTCCTTTGTCTTACTGGCGATGAGCTGGAAGTGGTTTGTGCCACACCAGTTGACAAAGTCAGTGATGACAGTCCTGTATTCCCGCTCATCCCCTGATGATACACATCCAATGATGGCTGTGTCATCAGAGAACTTCTGGAGGTGACAGCTCCCAGAGTTGTAGCTGAAGTCTGAGGTGTACAGGGTGAAGAGGAAGGGGGAGAGCACTGTCCCCTGTGGAGCCCCCGTGCTGCAGACCACCATGTCTGACACACAGTTCTAAAGCCTCACAAACTGGTCTGTCAGTGGTGTAGTCCACGGTCCATGCAGCTAGGTGACAGTCCACTCACGCCCTCTCGAGCGTCCCCCTGAGCAGTGAAGTCTGGATGCCGGGTTTCTCCCACGAAGGTGGCCGGGCTTGGCGCAGCGCCAACAGCTGTTCACGGCTGTAAACAATAGAGCCGCTGAATGGGTCACCAGACGCGGACTTAAAAACTCCGAAAATTAGAAGAAAACAAAGTGCCAGAGTCATGAAATGCACATCCATGGTTGGAATATGCAAAACACAACACTGCTTAATAAAAAAAAAGACAAATAAGGTGCAAAAAACAACCATTAAAAGGCAAAAAGCACTGTGAGGAGCTGCTGTGACTTGCTGCCACTCTCAGGGCGCTCAGTCACAAGCGTCCTGAGAGTGGCAGCAAGTCAGTGTGTGCCTGTGTCTGCGTCTGTGTCTTTTTCTGTTTTCGTATTTGTCTGCGTCTTTACGTCTGCGTCTGTATCTGTGTCTTTGCGTCTGCGTATTTGTCTGTGTCTGCGTCTGTGTCTGCGTCTGTCTTTTTGTGTCAGATTCAGTTTATGTAGAAACTGTCTTATGTTTCCCCTGATGGTCTAAAATCGCATTTTTCTGGGTTTGTCTTAAAAGAGGACAAAATTGGTCACAGATAAAACGTTTTTTTGACGTCTTTCTTTTGTCTTTTTGGACTTTTCTGTTCTGACCTTTGACCCTTCTTCTCGGTTACAGTACCCAGTCCTCTGGACGAACCTCCTGCAGACGATCAGCCATCTGACAAGCTGCTCGCTCCATTAGAGGACGAGTTTGAAGAACTCTGTGAGAACTCTGATGGACACGTGCGACTCCTGAGTCCAAAGAGCGAACCAGAGGACAGGGACTACCAGGACCAGGAGAACCAGCAGGTCCTGGAGCACCAACAGAACCAGGACTCTGAGGATGAGAAACCGCCACGCTGGGAGCAATTCACTGACAAAGACAACGAGGGGGTGCTGGGCGACCAGGTCCTGACCCACGAGGATGGACAGGTTCTGGTTTCCCAGCAGCAGGGTCCGGACTTTGATGGTTCCGGGAGGTTCCTCTTTTTCCATCTCATAGATGAGCGTGGCCAGTCACATGACATCTATGACTCGATTGTCCCCACGCCGCCGGTGGCCCCTACTGTGAACCAGGTCAGGAGCAGAGGTACCAGGAGGGGGCGCTTGTCGAGAGGGGGTACCAAGTCCCAAGTGGCGCCCCCTACAAAGCGAGGAGGAGGAGCTCAGGACTCGACCAGCCAAGTCCGGCTGACGCAGATCCACCAACACATCGAGTCCTTTCACCCCACAGCGGGTCACTACGGGCGGACCCAGGCCCAGGATCAACGGTTCCTCCCAAGTGACGTGTCTCTGCGGCTCATGTTCGAGGACTTCGCCGCCAACCACAGGACTTCCTTCAAACGCTACCAGAAAGCATTAGAGAGCTGTGGCGTCAGCTTCAGCCGACCGGGGGAGGAGCCATGCGAGCTGTGTCTGCGACATCAGCACCACATGAGCGTCCGACACCGGGACCAGGACTGGGTCCAGCACCTGCAGGACCCACCTCCAGACTGCATCACCTGTCGGATGTGGGAGGAGCACAGGGAGAAAGCGGAGAAAGCGACGCGAGACTATAAACGAGACGCAAGGAAACAGCAAAGCGGCGAGCTGTCCATCCGGAGAGTCGACCTGCAGCGGGTCATCCTGCTACCCAGAATGCCCGGCGTGAAGCCGGCGCTCCTCACCAAACGACTCTTTGTCTTTCATGAGACGTTCGCCACGGTGGGCCAGAGGAGGGGGTCGGAGAAGAAGAGCATCTCTGTGATCTGGCATGAGGGCATGGCCCTGAGGAAGGCGGTGGAGGTGGCGTCAGCGTATGTGGTCGCTCTGCAGAGGGAGCGGGATGTGGCCCACGTGGTTCTGTGGGTGGACGGCTGCACGGTCCAGAACCGGAACTGGTGTCTCCTGACCACGCTCGTCATGGCGGTGAACCAGCCCTGGAGCTGCACGGAGGACGTGACCCTGAAGTACTTTGAGCCGGGTCACACCTTCATGAGGACGGAGTGTTTCCACCAGCGGCTGGAGCACGAGATGGAGCGCCAGCCTGGAGGCAGGGTCTTGGATTTCCAGGACTTCAAGAGGGTGGTGGCGGCAGCCCAGTGGGGCGAGGTCGACGTGGTGGAGCTGCAGAACGAGGACATCCGGGCTTGGAAGGAGGGAAACTCCCGCAGGAAACTGACAAACACGCCGCCACTGCCTGAGCTGGCTCAGGTCCAGGTCAGGAGGGGGTCCAGACTCCTGTGGGTGAAACTGTCCCACAACCAGGAGGACTTCACACCTGTGGACTTCCTGAGGAACAGAACCCGTCTGAGTGTACCAGAACTGCTCCGACCCGCAGACCGGGGCGTTGGGAGGAAGAAGAAGGCGGAAATCCTGAGGAAGCTCTGCCCACTGCTGCCAGAGAGGAGCCGGATGTTCTGGGAGGGACTGACGGAGAGCGCAGAAGAAGAAGAAGAAGAGGACAACTACGATGAAGAGGAGGAGGCGGAAGAGGAAGATTGAGCTGAGGCAGCAAAACTATAGAGACTCAAACCGGAGTATTTATTGAATTATAAACAAGGATTTTACTGTAAAAGTACTGCAGTATTTTACTGTTATTATACTACAGTATTTCAGTGTAATAATACTGCAGTATTTTACTGTAATAATACTGCAGAATATTAGTTTAATATTACTGAATAATATTACTGTAATAATACTGCAGTATCTTCCTTTAATATTATTACAGTAACATACTGCAGTATTATCACAGTAAAATACTGCAGTATGTTACTGTAATAATACTGCAGCTTTTTACTGTCATTATAGTGCAGCATGTTAATTTAATATTACTGTAATATTTCTGCAGTATTTACAGTAATAATACTGCAGTATTTTACCGTAATAATAGTGCATTTATTACTGTAATAATACTGCAGTATTTTACTGTAATAATACAGCAGTACTTTACTATAATAATACTGCAGTATTTAAGAATAAGAATAAATGATCCCTAAAGGAAAATTCAATTGTCTGTCCTCTCATTTGTCATGTCTCTTAAAGTCATAGACGATTTAAAGAAGACTTGTAAACTCTGATGGCTGTTTGTACAAAAGAATGTAACCACAGAGCCAGCCTTTTTCACCAGTTTGTTTAGACGTCTCCATTTTTGTGTTTGATACTTCCTCCCCAGCAGACTGCAGCGTAGAACAGAACACTATAGATCTACACCACAGACTGATAAAACATCTGTAGCATCTATCCTGTAGATGTCTAATGATCGGAGTCTTCTCAGGCAAAAGAGTCGGCTCTGCCCTTTTCTGTAGATGAAGTCTATATTCTTAGACCAGTCCAACTTATTAGTTATTTAACTGTAATAATACTGCAGTATTACCCCCAGCCTCTGCACCTTTGAATGGTTGAATTTCTGTCCTTTGGTTTTTGGTTTTTGCTGTAAAATAATAATAAAAAAAATGTTTATAAAAATGCTGAAAATATAACTGAAGGAAATACAATAAAAACCAGAATGGTTTTGACTTTTTTTTTTTAATCAGATTTTGGAGCTTCTGTTAATTACAGGGTTCAGTTATTTTATTTGAACACAAGAGGGCGCCAGAGGAACGTCATTGGTTCTGGTATAAGTCTGTGGTAATGAGCCGAGATATACAGTGAAAAAAAAACAACTGATGAAAACTCAACTTTGAATCACACTCAAAAAAAATTTCTGATAGAGAAAGAACCAAAAGGGTCAGAAGTTTCTAACAGTCCTTTTGGAGATCCTTGACTCTGCATCCTCCTTAGAGTAGAGGGTCCTCCACACTTGCTCTCAGCAAGTCTGGGGACCATCAGAGTCCATGTCTTCTGTGAAGGCTCCATTAATGCTGATTATCTCCAGGTTTAGGAGCAACATCTGCTGATTACAACATCATGGTTCTGTAGGAGAAGAGTCCTGCTGAGAAACTGGATTGATCCGGTCCTGACTTAAAAATAATTGGACCATCAGGGACAAAAAAATCTGATTTTTTTTTTGTTTTAGGCCTGAGTGGACGGTCCTGGATCACAGACTGGCGCAGAAGAAATCACAGGTAAACACAGAGACACACGCCATCAAAATAAAAGCTTCTCATTTCTTTTCTTTCTCTTCATTTTTTCCTGTTTCTTCTTTTTTTCTTCTTTCTCTCTACCACATTTCCTCAACTTTATTTCTGCTCTTCATTCTTTACCCTTTTTTAATTTCTCTTTTTTTTGTTCTTTTTCTCATTTTTTGTCTTTCTTTTGCATCGTTTTTCTGTTGTTTTCTTTTTTTTTCTTCTTTTTTAAGAAATCTTTGTCTCTTGTTTTGTTGTCTTGTTTTGGTTTTATCTTTTAAGTCCGTAAAAATGAAAGCTTTTCATTTCTATTTTTTTCTCTTCCTTTTTTCCTTTTTTTCCCCTTTTTCCTGTTTTTCTTCCTTCTCTCTACCACTTGTTCTAAACCTTATTTCTGCTCTTCATTTTTTACTCTTTTTTGATTTCTCAGCTGCCTTTTTTTACTTTTTCTTTGTTTTTGTTTTTTTATGTTTTTGTTGCTTTCAAAAGCTTTTTGTCTTTTCCTTTGACACTTTCATCCTTTTTTTTCTTTTTCTCATTTTTCTTTTTTTTAACTTAGCATTGTTCTTCTGATGTTAGTTTTCTTTTTTCTTCTTTTTTTTCCTCTTTTAATCTTTCTCTTGTTTTGTTTTTATCTTTTAAGTCCATAAAAATAAGATAAAAGCTTTTCATTCCTATTTTTTGTCTTTCTTTTTTTCCACTTTCTTTTTCAAATTTTTTGTCTTTTTTTCTTTCACTCTACCACTTTTGCTAAACTTAATTTCTGCTTTTGATTTTTTGCTGCTTTCAGAGGCTTTTTTTCTTTTCCTTTGACACTTTCATCTTTATTTTTTGTTCCTTTTTGTTCTTTTTCTCATTTTTTCTTTTTCTTTCTTTTGCTTTTTTTAAAATCTTTTTAAAAAATGTTGTTCCTATTTTATATTTTTTAATTTTTTTCTTTTTCTTCGTTTTGCATCGTTTTTCTGTTGTTAGTTTCCTTTTTTCTTTTTTTAAATCTTTGTCTTTTTTTAGTTTTCTTGTGTTGCTTTTATCTTTTAGGTCCATTATAAATAAAACAAAAAATAAAAGATTTTCATTTCTGTTTTTTTTCTTCCTTTTTTACTATTTCTTTTTTCTTCTTTTTTTTCCTCTTTTAATCTTTCTCTTGTTTTGTTTTTATCTTTTAAGTCCATAAAAATAAGATAAAAGCTTTTCATTCCTATTTTTTGTCTTTCTTTTTTTCCACTTTCTTTTTCAAATTTTTTGTCTTTTTTTCTTTCACTCTACCACTTTTGCTAAACTTAATTTCTGCTTTTGATTTTTTGCTGCTTTCAGAGGCTTTTTTTCTTTTCCTTTGACACTTTCATCTTTATTTTTTGTTCCTTTTTGTTCTTTTTCTCATTTTTTCTTTTTCTTTCTTTTGCTTTTTTTAAAATCTTTTTAAAAAATGTTGTTCCTATTTTATATTTTTTAATTTTTTTCTTTTTCTTCGTTTTGCATCGTTTTTCTGTTGTTAGTTTCCTTTTTTCTTTTTTTAAATCTTTGTCTTTTTTTAGTTTTCTTGTGTTGCTTTTATCTTTTAGGTCCATTATAAATAAAACAAAAAATAAAAGATTTTCATTTCTGTTTTTTTTCTTTCTTTTTTCCTATTTCTTTTTTCTTCTTTTTTTTCCTGTTTTTCTTCTTTCTCTCTAATACTTTTTCTAAACTTTATTTCTGCTCTTTATTTTTTAGTCCCCTTTATTTCTCTCCTGCTTTTTTACTTTTCTTTGTTTTTTTTTAAAGTTTTTTGGCTTTCAAAGGCTTTTTTTCTTTTCCTTTGACACTTTCATCTTTATTTTTTGTTCCTTTTTGTTCTTTTTCTCATTTTTTCTTTTTCTTTATTTTGCATCATTTCTCTGTTGTTAGTTTACTTTTTTTCTTCTTTTTTAATTTGTGTCTCTTATTTGTTTGCTTGTTTTGGTTTTATCTTTTAAGTCCATAAAATTGAAAAAAGCATTTCATTTCTATTTTTCCTATTTCTTCTTTTTTTCCTTTTTTTCTTCTTTTACTACTTTTTCTAAACTTTATTTCTGCTCTTTATTTTTAACCTTTTCTAAATTTCTCTCCTTTTTTACTTTTTCTTTAAAGTTTTTTGGCTTTCAGATGCTTTTTTTCTTTTCCTTTGACACTTTCATTTTTTGTTTTTTAATTTTTTGTTCCTTTTTGTTCTTTTTCTCATTTTTTCTTTTTCTTTATTTTGCATCATTTTTCTGTCGTTAGTTTCCCTTTTTTTCTTTTTCTTTTTCCTTTTTTTAAAATCTTTGTTTCTTATTTTATTTCCTTGTTTTGGTTTTATTGTTTAAGTCCATAAAAATAAAATAAAAAAATAAAAGCTTTTCATTTCTATTCATTCTCATTCATTCTATTCACACCGCCTTCACAGTGTGATATCATCCATCTCTAAGAGGGGCGGAGCCTTCGTTCCTATCCACCTTGTCCCCTCCTCTCGGCTGACCTCCACCAAGCTGTCCGTCAAACATGTCCCCTCCCCTCCCCCCCTCTCCTCACCTCCCGTCATGACCGTCAGGTTCCTGGGGGCCCCCTTCCCACCTGAGAAGGTAGGCAGAGAACCGCCGCCTCATCTCCAGCAGCAGATTACTGCTCCACATGTTCAAAGTTCAGAGCTGATGGAGATGATGGTGGTGGTCCAGCCTCCTCCGACCCCTCAGGCTGGGGGTCCTCTGACAGGCTCCCAGCTCTCTGTGGTCCTCTTCGCTCTGAGTCACGGCATTCCTGAGGCGTCCCGCCATCACCACACGTCTCCCCAGGTCATCCGCTCCTGGATCAAGCAGCATGAGCGCGGGTTGTCAGAGAGGAAGTGGGTGTGGAATACGGACAAGGTGGCAGAGTGGGTGCTGAGTCAGAGGGAGCAGCAGATCCAGGTGGCCATAGAAACACTGATGTTGATGGCAAAGGCGGCTCTGGGCGAGGACAGCCTGCTGATGGACCAGCTCAGCTGGAGCGCCGACCTCTTGCTGAAACACAAACTCAGCCTGCAGCCTCTGTGGGCGATGTTTGAGGAGTTCAGACTCCACCGAGGGTTTCTGCCGAGGAGCATCAGAGAAAAAAGCTGGATCTTCAGACAGAGTCTCTCTGAGCAGGTGAGACCCCGACCCTGAACCCGCTGCAGAAACCTGCAGACCAGGGTCCTCATTTATCAATGGTGCGTTCGTACAGATGTGTTTTAATAATGAGTGTGTACATACGTTCCCACGCAAAGTCTGGAATTGATCAACCTATACTTGTTCTTGAAGCGTGAGTAAATTGAAGCCCAACTCTGAGCATGCTTACACACAAACCCTAGTGGTAGAACAGTGAAACTACAACTAGAACCCATTAAAGGAGTCACAGCGTTCAGCAATCTCAAACTTCACATATGTTCTCTGTTCCCTAGATCAATTCCCTACAGAATTGATCAGTTAGTTATTGATCAGACATTTGGAATGATTGGTGTGAAAAGCTATAGAATCAGCTGTGACAGGATAACCTCAGAGGAAGTCTTACAAGTACAAACACAAGTACAAATACAAGTACAAATACAAGTATCATGGTTTATTTTGGACTTGGAGAAGCGTCTGCCACTTCTCAGGGAGTGCGTTTTCAAAGAGCGTGCTGATCTGTCCAATCAGAACACCGAGTGGATTCTCAGCAGGTACCGCTTCCCCAAAAACATTTGAATGGATTTATGATCCGTGATTTACAACCCGTGTTGGAGCGAGAGACAAAACGCACCAAAGCCATCCCAGTGACCATCCAGCTCCTGTCCACCCTAACCCGAATATTTCAGCCTGAGATCAGAGACGTATACGACATTTTACACCCAACGCTAAGCAGAATCATTTCAGCAGAGTTGGATTCAATAATTTCTCTCAACTTACATCCAGCTCCCAAACACACATCAACAACAAGCCAAAATAAAACGGGGATTTCATGCCATCATTCACAAACATAATTAGAGCTGTATGGTGCGTTCCAGCTGTTCTCGGAGGTAGGAATTTACAAGCTACGAGTCGGAACTTTCAACTGAAACAAATGTTGAGGTCGGGTTTCCGACTCTGAAAGTCGGACGGTCAACACAGCCCCCGAGTTGATGTTTAAAGATGGCGGCGCCTGGTTGTAAACTGTAAGTTGAGGCTCCCGTTATTATCCTTTTAATTAACACTTTTCACTATTTATTGTAGCAATAAGTGGAACTGAGGCTCGGGCTACATAAGAAGTATAATTAGATGTATATATATGGAAATGCTGTCATAGTGTAATGTACATTTTTCAAGTGTATATGCAAACTACAAAGCCAGGTAACTGTAACCTGGTAGTTTCAGTCAGTGTTTATTTGTTTATTTTAACTTAAAATTGACAAAATGCGTGCATGCAGTTGTTAAGAACATTCGCCTGTTATTAACTGATGACCAATCAAACTGCGATAGATACTTTTTGTAAACAATAAAATACTTAAAAAGAAAAAAATAGGCTACCTCCTGTGCCTTTGTGTTTCCTCTTCATCCAGCGTATATTTGGAGGATCGCATATTTGTCCAGAAGCTGCTTAAATTCGGACAAGGCAAGCGCAAAAATAACTTTAATAGATGTAGCCATCTTGTTTCTGCCCCTGATTTTGCTTTTTTTTTCGACTTGGTAACTGAAACAATGGTAACTCGGGTGTGACGTCATTCCCAACTCCGACTCTGTCATTCCGAGGTTACTCGAACGCACCAGTGGATTTCACCACATCGTAATAAAAGCACCTTCACACAATAAATTCTGTTTTGTCAACAAGAAAGGATTTCATTCAATCAGTGATGAGTAATCTGAGATGCACATATGGATCTGTTAAACGTTGGAGGAACGTATGACTCAGGCATTTTTAAAGGGATTGTTGATACCATATATGGTCATTTGGAGGCGTTTCTGAATGCAAATGACCCTAACCATGAACGAGCGCGGTAGTAAAGAGCAGGTGGGATTTATCATCAACGATTACTTACTAATGTGCATACAACCGGTGGCTGCATGTTTGAGAAATACAGATTTTTTTGTTCTTACGCACATTCGAAATTTCATTCCTAAGCCAGAATTTAGAACCTTTTCTACGCACATTTGATAAATGAGGACCCTGGACCTGAGTAAAGGAAAAGTTCTTCTTCCATGTAATGTCATTTGGTTCAGTAGAAAGTCTTTAATCGATCTGTTCCTCCTCAGGTCCACAGCACTCGTGTTCCTCCTCAATGTTTCGGCTCCATGGACGAGTTCGCCGTCTTCGTTGACCCGCTGCAGTACTCCAATCGCGAACATTCGGCCTTCCAGATGGCGCTCACGACTGCGGACAGCAAACCCATGTTCGAGGTCGTCCTGTGCGCCCTGTCTGATGGGACGCTCCTGCCGCCCCTGCTCTTCTTTAGAGGAAACCCCTCACCTGTTCCTGAAGGGTTCCCCAACAACGTTCTGCTGGAGGCACGGCAGGAAGGATTCACAGACCAGGAACGCCACAAAATCTGGATCAAGGAGGTCCGCTTCTATTAAATCCATCCCAGCTGACCGGTCGTTCCGTTGATCATGTGACACCATGTTTACCTGTCCTCTCTGTGCGTGTGCAGGTGTGGAGCCCCCATGTGTCGTCTCGGTGTAACAGCGAGTCCGTGCTGATGGTGGACGTCCATCGGGGTCACCTGACAGAAGAGTTCAGGAGTGATTTGGCATCCATGTCCACCGACGTCGTCTTCATCCCGTCGGCGTGTAGCTGCTGCCTGCAGCCACTTGACGTCTGTGTCACACCTGTGCTCAGGGAGTTCCTGCAGGTAAGATCCCCTGGATCAGTCTCACCTGTCTGACCAAAACCAAACTGCCTCACGTGTCTGGATCCATCTCACCTGTCCTACCTGTGTGCTCTGTATCAGTCTTTTTCACCTGTATTAAACCTGTCTCACCTGTTTAGTTCCAATTCATTGATCCTGATATCTTCTGGTTATGACTGACATTTTCTTTTTTTATTGATCAGGATTTATTGATCAGAATTTATTGATCCATGTCTGATAACTAATTTACTTGATCTTGACGTTTGGATCCTGACACACTGATTTGGGTTTAATGATGCTAACAATCTGATGACTCTATGTTACTACTCTGATTTATTGATCCTGAATTTTTTTATCCTGATTTATTGTTGGTGAATTATTGATCCTGGATTAATTTATCCTGATTTATTGATCCTGGATTTATTGATCCCGATTTATTGATCCTGAATTCACTTATCCTGACTTATTGATCGTGAATAATTGATCCTGGATTAATTTATCCTGATTTATTGATGCTGATTTATTGAACCTGGATTTATTGATCCTGATTTATTGTTGCTGACAATCTTATGACTCTATGTTACTATCCCTAAATAATGATCCTGATTTATTGATCCTGATTTTTTGATCCTGGAATTATTGATCAGGCCCGCTGGAACCAGCTGGTCTCTGTTGGGAGTCTGGATGGATTGGGTCTGGATCAGCTCGCTTTGACTCTGGCCTGCTGGTTCAGTGAAGTCTGTTTTACTTTGAACACGGACACCCAGGTCCTCCGCAGGTCTGAACACACACACACACACACACACACACACACACACACACACACACACACACACACACACACACACACACACACACACACACACACACTTTTAAAGCACTAAACAGGAGAAGGTTAAAACAAACAAACAGACGGCTGACTTTTAGGCTTTTATTTTGATAGTCAACTGTCTGAAATTATGAGCTGGCATCCTACTGTCTGTCCCCCTTTTTTTATTCTTTCGCTGTTGCCATGGTTACCCCTCAGGTCATTCGCTCTGGCCTGTAACCCACAGGAGAAGGAGAACCGGTGGGAGGTGGAAACGATGATCAAGACCCTGACGGAGGCTCTGGTTCAGCCTTTTGAGACTCCAGAACCTCAATTCGACCCTAATCCAGAGCCAGAACCAGAACCAGAACCTGCTCTGTTTCTGGTGTTGATGATGGAGCAGGAGAGAGAGAGGATGGAGTGGAGAAGGACTGAGAAGAACGTGGAGACAGAGAGGATGGAAGAGAAGGAAAGGATGGAGGAGAAGATGGAAGAGACAGAGAGGATGGAGGAGAAGAAAAGGATGGAGGAGACAGAGAAGATGGAGGAGGAGGAGGAAAGGATGGAGGAGACACAAAAAATGGAGAAGAGAATGAAGAGGAAGGAAAGAATGGAGGAAAGGATGGAATAGAAGGAGAGGATATTAAGGTTGTTTGAGGATCAAAGTGACGAGGAATGGTTTCAGGGCTTTGAGGATGTATGTTGAAAGGCCGCTGCATCTCTTTTTCTTTTTTCTGATTTACTTATTTTTCTTCTTTCTCCCTACCACTTTTTATTAACTTTATTTCTGCTCCTCATTTTTTACTCTCTTTTTCATTTCTCTCCTTCTGCTTTTTTTACTTTTTTTTGCTGGTTTTTGCTTTTTTTGTTTTTTATGTTTTTGTTGCTTTCAGAGTTTTTTTCTTGGTCTTTTTCCTTTTCACACATTTGTTAAGTTTTTAATTTTTGTTTCCTTTTTGTACTTTTTTCTCTTTCTTTATTTTGCATTGTTTTTCTGTTGTTAGTTTCCTCCTTTTTCATCTTTTATTTTGATCAGTTTTTTCTATCTTTGCTTTTTCTTTTTTCTGTTTTTGTTCTTTCTCTCTACCACTTTTTCTTACCTTTATTTCTGCTGTTCAGTTTTTTACTCTTTTTTTTTTCATTTCTCACCTGCTTTTTTTACTTTTTCTTTTTTTCCGCTGTTTTTTTAAAAAAAAATATGTTTTTGTTGCTTTCAGAGGTCTTTTTCATTTTGACACTTTTGTCTTTTGTTTTTTTTAAATTTTTTCTTTCCTTTTGCTCTTTTCTCATTTTTTCTTTTTCTTTGTTTTGCATTGTTTTTCTGTTGTTAGTGTCCTCTTATTTCTTCTTTTTTTCTTTTTGTTAGTCTGTGTCTCTTAATTGTTTCTTTGTTTTCGTTCTATCTCTAAGTCTGTTTGTTTTTATCCTCTTTCTTTTCTTTTTCTTGTCAGACTTTTTGTCCTACTCTTTTCTTTTTTCATTTCTAAAATGAAAACAGGAATGAAAGATCAACTTTGCTGAGGATTTTTGTGTTGAAAGTTTCCTGGTGGGTCGTCAGACTCACTGAGGAGGATCCGAAGCGAAGCTGTCTCTGCTGTGACTTTATCTATGACCGTCAGAAACTTCAAGAAACGCTGAAAACGTCATCCCGACTTTTTATTGCTGCTCAGTTTCATCATTTTATCCTGTGGATCATGAATTATTTTTGATATTTTGTACAATAAAGCAAATTTATTCACAGACAGAGTGAAGACTGTTTTTTAGGAGTCATCCGTTTTCGGCTTCTGTTGGGGTTTGGAAGGTCACGGAAAACCTGGAAAAGTCGTAAAAAGCAGTTTGAGGATTTATGAGTCATCCTGCACGTTTCCCCCTTTTTTTCAGCCTTTTTCTGATTGGCTGACAGTCGATCATGTGATCTTCACAGTTGGACCCTCACCTGTGTGTCTGAGGCTGATGTGAGTCGAGTTTCCCACCAGCTGCTCGTGTTTACAGCCTGATGTCAGGAAACACTTTCAGCAGTAAACACAAGCTTCAGTAAACACACACACACGCTCTCGGGATGACCTCAGCGGGCTCTCACGGTGTCCTGAGCAGCGTTGAGGAACATTAAACGTCCCTGCTGTCACAGTTATATATAGAAACCTTGAGAACATTACATTTTTCCCAGCTTGCCCTGGGGCGATGCAGCAACCCCCCCAAGGATGTTCGTGATCAGCTGGGAGATGCATGCTGGGAAAGATTTGAAGACAGGGTGACCTTCTCTGTCTTTGTTTTTATATTTAGTCTCAGATTTAGGACGAAGATCAATCCTGAAGAGCTCAGCGCTAAAGCTAACTGCTGCTAACGTGTTCTTAGCATGTTTGTTTCTACATGTGATCCATCACACCTGTATTATGTGACTCATACAGGTGAGGGGGTGGAGTCTGTTCAGTAACTAGTGAAGCTCTGACAGTCTGTTTTGTTCAGAACTCAGAAGGGGTTTTATTGCCATTATCAATAAACAGGATTCACAGAATAGAAATTTGTTTCGGCATGATGGTGCAACACTAAACAGAAAGTAATATAAAATACTTGAATAAAACATTAAAAAGAGCATGCAAGAAAAATATAAAGTATGTTCTGATGTAAGTCTAAGATAAGCTTAAAGATATTAAGTCCTGACAGTAAAAAAAAGTCCTGACAATAGAACAAAGTCCTGACATGAAAATAAAGTCCTGACGACAGAATAAAATCCTCTAATAGAATAAAGTCCTGACAGTAAAGTCCTGACAACATAAAGTCCTAATAATAAAGTCCTAACAATAGAATGAAGACCTGACAGTAAAGTCCTGACAATAGAATGAAGTCCTGATAATAGTCCTGACAATAGATCACAGTCCTTACAACAGAGTCCTAACAATAGAATAAAGTCCTGACAGTAAAATAAAGTCCTGACAATAGAACAAAGTCCTGACATTAAATATTGTCCTGACGACAGAATAAAATCCTGACAATAGAATAAAGTCCTGACAGTAAAGTCATGACAAAAGAACAAAGTCCTGACAATTAAGTCCTGACAACATAAAGTCCAAATAATAAAGTCCTGACAAATAGAATGAAGACCTGACAGTAAAGTCCTGACAATAAAGTCCTGACGATAGATTACAGTCCTTGAAATAGAGTCCCAACAATAGGATAAAGTCCTGACAACAATGTCCTGACAATAGAATAAAGTCCAAATATTAAAATAAGGTCCTGTCAAGAGAACAAAGTCCTGACAATAAAGTCCAAACAATATAATGTCCTGACAGAGTCCTGACAATAGAATAAAGTCCTGACATAAGAAGTGCTGACAATAAGAAAAAGTCCTGACAAAAAGATAAAGTCCTGACAATAGGATAAAGTCCTGACATTAAAATAAAGTCCTGACAATAGAATAAAGTCTTATCTATTAACTCCTGACAGTAGAATAAAGTCCTGATAACAATTTTAAATCCTGACAATAGAAGAAAGTCCTGACAATATAATAAAGTCCTGACAACAAAATAAATTCCTGACAATAGAATTAAGTCCTGATAATAAACACAAGACAATAAAGTAAAGTCCTGACCATGAGGTCCTTACAATAGAAAAAAATGCCCTGACATTAGAATAAAGTCCTGATAATAGAATAAAGTCCTGATGATAAAATAAAGTCCCTACAATAGAATGAAGTCCTGATAATAGAATAAAGTCCTGACAATAGAATAAAGTCCTGACAATAAAATTAAGTCCTTACCATAAAGTCCTGACAATAGACAAAAGTTATGATAATAGAAAGAAGTCCTAACAAAAGAATAAAGTCCTAATAATAGAATAAAGACCTGATAATAGAATGAAGTCCCTACAATAGAATGAAGTCCTGATAATAGAATAAAGTCCTGACAATAGAATAAAGTCCTGATAATAAATTAAAGTCCTGACAATAAAGTCCTGACATAAGGTATAAAGTCCTGACAATAGATTAAATTCCCTACTATAAAGTCGTGACATTAGAATAAAGTTCCGACAATAGAATAAAATCCTGATAAAAAATTTAGTTCCTGACAATGTCCTGATGTTAGAATAAAGCCCTGAAAATAAAATAAAGTCCTGACAGTAAAGTCCTGACAATAAGATAAAGTCCTGACATTAATATAAAGTCCTGACAATAGAATAAAGTCTAATCTATTAATTCCTGACAGTAGAATAAAGTCCTGATAACAATTTTAAATCCTGACAATAGAAAAAAGTCCTGACAATATAATAAAGTCCTGACAACAAAATAAATTCCAACAATAGAATTAAGTCCTGATAATAAACACCTGACAATAAAGTAAAGTCCTGACCATGAGGTCCTTACAATAGAAAAAAACGCCCTGACATTAGAATAAAGTCCTGATAATAGAATAAAGTCCTGACAATAGAATAGAGTCCTGATAATAGAAAAAGTCCTGATAATAGAATAAAGCCCTAATAATAGAATAAAGACCTGATAATAGAATAAAGTCCTGATAATAAAATAAAGTCCCTACAATAGAATGAAGTCCTGATAATAGAATAAAGTCCTGACGATAGAAAAAAGTCCTGACAATAAAATTAAGTCCTTACCATAAAGTCCTGACAATAGAAAAAAGTTATGATGATAGAAAATAATCCTAACAAAAGAATAAAGTCCTAATAATAGAATAAAGCCCTGACAATAAAATAAAGTCCTGACAATAGAATAAAGTCCTGATAATAAATTAAAGTCCTGACAATAAAGTCCTGACATAAGGTAAAAAGTCCTGACAATAGATTAAATTCCTTACTATAAAGTTGTGACATAAGAATAAACGTCCGACAATAGAATAAAATCCTGATAAAAAATTTAGTTCCTGACAATGTCCTGATGTTAGAATAAAGCCCTGAAAATAAAATAAAGTCCTGACGGTAAAGTCCTGCCAATAGAATAACGTGTTAACAATTAAGTCCTGACAACATAAAGTCCTAATGATAAAGTTCTGACAACAGAATAAAGTCCTGACAATAGAATAAAGTTCTCACATTAGAATACAGTCCTGACAATAAAATTAATTCCCAACAATTAAGTCCTGACAATAGGATAAAGTCCTGACAATAAAGTCCTCCGCGCCGACAAGGCTTTTTCAAGCCGAGCTGCGCAGCCCAGCGTAAATATCCCCCCTCCCTAACTCAGCTCCTCCGAGCGGCGTAAGTCATAGCGAGGGAGGAGAGAGGGCGTAAAGTGGTTTTAACACAGCCTAGACCTGTATTGACCAATAACATCAGCTCCTCTCCTCACCTTTAAATCCACCACCGGCGAGGCGTATTCCAATTTTTGTGAAGTAGTCAAAGAGATTAAGAGATGTCTGAAGACAGTAATGCCACACGATGGCGACAGAAGGCAGCTCCTCAACAAGTGTCACTGTAAGTGCTGCATTGGGCGTCCTCCACACTCTCTCATGTGAGCACGGATGGATTTGGTGTGTGTAATGTTGGACCCACTGGTAAGACAAAAGCCCTTTTCCACAAATAAAGACACTCACATAAAGTTGCATATATTCAAACCTCACGTGACAAAGGTGGGTTGAGCGCACAGATCACATCATAAATTCCATTAATGGCATTAAAATCGGAACCATCTGTGCGTAAATGACGCATCGCGCTCCGTGGCCTGGCTCTTTGGTTCACAAAACTGAATATTGTAATATTCGTATGTAGGCTTAAAGTAAATAACTCATCTGAGCACTGAAACAAATCATCTGTTCAGCCATCAGGACGGAGAGAGGACACAGAGACATGTCCAGGTCGACCTGCGCGAGAAATAAGAGGAAGAGGAAGAAAGAAAAGGAGGGAGACAAATTAAATATCTTGTTAACTTCATCATGTGTGTTTATTTACTAGATATTTAATTTAATTTAATGCGGTTTCAGCCGTGTTGATTCGGTCAGGTTGTGTGTCCAAACGCGTGCCAAACGCACTCATCAGATCAGATATAGATCAGAATATATCGATATAGATCTAAATGTATGTGCTGACTCAGATTAATAGTTGTTGATGATTATTTATTGCACTGAAATGTGCCTGACACTGTGGAAACCTGCTGGTGAGGCATCGGTGACGTATGCCGATACGCCGGTCTACCACAATACCACTAGACCAGCTGCGCTCCGTCTGCGCTGAAAGCTGAACAGGTTTGAATCGGCGAGCTTTCAGCGCACTTTATACGCCACTGTCGAGCGCGAAAATGTCACTGCGCCCGCTGATTCTGTCGACACCTCCCCCTGCCACGCCACCACGCCCAGCTTGGCGGATCTCCGTTCGCCTCTGTGCGCCTCAGTCCATGAAAATACCAAACTGGCTGTACGCTGGGCTCCGCCAGATGGAAATACAACTGCGCAGGGTCCGCCACCCTCCGCCGCCTCACTGGCGCGCACGAAAATAGAGCCCAAAGTCCTTACAATAGAATGAAGTTCTGATAAAAGAACGAAGTCTTGACAATAGAATAAAGTCCTGATGATAAATTTAGGTCTTGACAATAAAGTCCTGACATTGGAAAAAAGTCCTGACAATAGATAAAAGTCCTGACTATAAAGTCTTGACATAAAAATGAAGTCCTGACAATATAGTCCTGACAATAGAATCAAGTCCTAACAACAAAATAAAGTCCTGACTATTAAGTCTTGACATTACATTAAAGTCCTGACAATGAAGTCCTGACGTTAGAATAAAGTCCTGACAAGACAGTCCGAATGTTAGAATAAAGTCCTGACAACAAAATAGAGTCCTGTTATTAGAATAAAGTCATGATGATAGAATCAAGTTCCGACAATAAACTAAAATCCTGCCACAAAAATAAAGTCCTGACAATAGAATAAAGTCCTGCTAATAAACTCCTGACAATAAAATAAAGTCCTGACAATAGAATAAAGTCCTGATAATAGAGTCCTGACAATAGAATAAAGTCCTGACAATAGAATAAAGTCCTGATAATAGAGTCCTGACAATAAAATAAAGTCCTGACAATAGAATAAAGTCCTGATATTTTGTTTTGAATTTCTAAATTTGTCACCTTAAAAACTTCATTAGTGCAAATGTCTTTTAAAGAAATTCAGCTGATCTCTCTCTTTCTCTTTCCCTCTCTCTCTCTCTCTGTCTCTCTCTCCCTCCCTCTTTCCCTCCCTCGTGTGTTCAGCACACACACGCAAACACACACACATACACAAACAAACAAACCGTGTTTGTGTGTGTGTGTGTGTGTGTTGAGTGTGTGTGTTTTCAGTGTCTTCATGTCTGAACCTGAGGGGGTTGTAATCTTCCTCTATGTCTGTATTTATCTCATCATGTTTTTTTCCCTCTCTGATCTCAGAGGTTTTTTCCCACGATGCATTTCAGCAGGACCAGGAGGACGTCAAGAGTTTATTGGTTCTGGTTCTGGTTCCTGTCCCTCCTCTTCTTCATCCTGGACCTGCAGGAGTCTTCAGGTTAACCCCGTTTCGCTCCGGTGGTCCTGCAGAGATCACAGTTTAAGAGTCTGACAAAATTACACTGCTGCTCTTCTTTTAACAGGTAAACATAAACATGATTGCATCACTCCTGTTCTGGCATCCCTCCATTGGCTTCCCGTTCATTTTAGAATTCATTTTAAAGTTTTATTATTTGTTTTTAAATCTTTAAATGGATCAGCACCACAGTACATCTCTGACCTATTAAATGTTTATATCCCCCACGTACCCTAAGGTCTGCTGATCAGCTCCAACTCCTCGTTCCTCAAACTTGTTTAAAAACCCCTGGCAACCACATTGTGGAACAAATCAAGATTAAAACACCCCCCACACTTTCTACTCTAAAGTCCTGACTATAAAATAATGTCCTGACAATAAAAAAAATCCCCACAATAGAATAAAGTCCGGGCAATTTAGTCCTGACAATAAAGTCTTGACAATAAAAAAAGTCCCTACAATAGAATAGGTCCGGGCAATTTAGTCCTAACAATAAAGCCCTAACAAAAGAAAAAGGTCCTGACAATAGAAAAAGTCCTGACAATAAAGCCCTGACAATAGAATAAAAGTCCTGACAATAAGTCCTGACAATTGAGTCCTGACAATAGAAAAAATCCTGACAATGAAGTCCTGACTGTAGAATAGAGTCCTGACAATAAAAAAAGTCCTGACAAAAGAGTAAGGTCCTGAAAAAACAATAAAGTCCTGACATTAGAAATAAGTCCTGACATTAGAAATAAGGTCCTGACAGTAAAATGGAGTCCTGACTATAGAATAAAGTCCTGACAATAAAAAAAAAGTCCTGACAATAGAATAAGGTCTAGGCAGTTTAGTCCTGACAATAAAGCCTTAACAATAGACACCACAGTACATTTCTGACCTCTTAAAAGTTCCCTGGGTTCAGCTGATCAGCTCCAACTTGCCATCACTGAAACTCATTTAAAAACTTGTGGTGACCGAGCTTTCTCAGTTGTGGCTCCCAAACTGTGGAACGAATTGAGATGTAAACATCCCCCACTCTTTCAACTTTTAAATCACGTCTTAAAACTTTGTTTTTATTCTTGGCTTTTAGCTCAGCATGAGAGTTGTGTGATCTCTTTCATCACTTTTATTTCTTTCATGCTTTTGTGTTTTTATTTCATTTATTGTATTTCATTTTAAATGTTTTATCATTACCTGCTTTTATTTATTTCATCTTGATGTTTTTCTGTAGTGTTTGTTCTTTTAATTTTATTGAGCAGCACTTTGGTAAACTTTAATGTTTTTTAAAATGTGATATAGAAATAAAGTGGATTGGAAACAACCTTGGGGTCCAAAGGAGAGACTCCTGCAAATCCTGAACCCCCAGGTCAGTTCAGGACTGAAGAGCCATGTAAAACGTAACACCCCAGAATCCTGCAGAGCCACACATACCGGTCTGTAGAGGGTCACGAACCAATAGGAGACGCCCCCGAGACCGCGTCCATGTTGGAGTCTCTGCTGCAGATGTTCTCAGTGGGACACGTTAAAACCGGAGTCAATCCGGCTCTAATCTGGTAACAGAGCCGGATTAGTCCAGATTAAAACCAACAGCCACTTTCTCTCCCACAGGTCAGAGATTAAACCTTTACCTGATGCTGTAAACCTGATCCAGGATCAGTTCTGGAGGGAGTTTTGGCCCTGGATCAGCAGGATTGGACTGAAGAGGACTGTAATTCTCAGAGATTTGGAGGTTTAATCCCCCAGAGAGAGAGAGAGAGAGAGAGAGAGAGAGATTTTCAGATTAAAGGTTTGAGTTCAGGCAGGAACAAAAACGACTCTGAGATCTGTCCGAAAACCCCCAAAACGGGTCTGTGAGAGCGGACACCCTCAGAGATCTGACCCAGAGACAGGGCCAGACTGGAACAAAACAATGACCCAGGCAATTTTGGCCATGGTGGTCCACCATGATTACGATCTGCAGAGGCACATATCAGAGGATTCATGTGCATGTTTTGTCATTTTAAACATTAAAATAAAATGCAGCAGCCTACATGAAAAGATTAACCATGTCAAAAAACAGATACCCTTTTTTTACTAAATACAGAGAATTTAATTTGAGAGATGGTCCAATCTTAAAGTGAAAATGGGGTCAAAGAAATACTGCTAGTAATGTTTTTTTTTTAATGTTTAATAAATAAAGTGTTTATAAAAATACACAATTATGCCCACACTAAAACCATACATGTAAATATAGAGACACCTTATCAAAGTGGTAACTTAAAGTATGAAAAACAGAGAGTGAGAACGAGAAAAACGCAGAGACAATAATTTGTGTAACTTCTGAATTGAGTTATATTGTAGAGTGAGCACCCGATCCCTCCTGGGTTTGCAGGAACAACAAGCCTAAATGAGCAACTCCACTTTTGGAACAAGCCCCCCCCAAAAAAATTTACGAGAACTTTTCAAAAAAGAAGCCAAATTGGCTTATAATAAGCAGACCTGGCAACTTTGGCTCCTGCGTAGTTGTAGATGCGCAACATGACTGTTGCCAGGAAACGGGGGTGAGGAAAGGACAACCTACCATCCTCATGTCTTGTTTTCTTGTGGGGAGCTGAGTGATAATAAAAGCAAGTCCAAAGTCGCTTGTAATAAGCGGACATGGCAACACAATTGTTGTCCCGGTCTGCGCGCAACATGCTCCCTCATGGGGCGCTGACACCAAGAGCGAGGAAAACAATCTACTCACTTAATTCGTGTGAATTTACTCGCTTCATTCGCACGAATAACTCATTTGAAGTGACACTTTCTGCTTCCTCCGTGGCTAAAGTTATAACTTGGGTTCTCGTAGATGCGCTATACTAAAACGCTGAATTTGGGACGTTTGCAGGTCATCCAAAACAGGATCTGTCAGGATCTCGGTAACTTCTTTCTGGGCTGACAAAGACAATTCTGGCCTCCTCCTCGCACTGTCCCTGGGTCTCCTCCTCACATCGGCCCTCATTTATCAATCTTGCGCAGATCTGAGAGCAGGATTCATCCTACGATAGGACACACGTGAGATTTATAAAGGGTTCGTATCTGACCAATCCCAGTGATTGGGTCTTCATAAATGCGACGGCTGAAATTGATCGTCATTTACATGTTACGCCCATAAATATTCATGGTTCAGAAGCCCCGCCCACTAAGGTCAAACATGGAAGAGGAGCAATATTAGAAATCGACTGTTTAATCGACTGCTCTGGTGTCCGCGCCACACGGAGAAGCGACACTGAAAACTCGAGTCTTTCTAATAAAGTTTTTGTTGTTGCTGTCGCTACTGTACGTAGTTATTAACACGAAACGTCACCCCAAGTAATTGTTCCCCCCTTAAATTGGTTTTAATTCGTTTTCTTCGACACAAGAATCATCAATATGACCTTCTGGAGCTTTTATTTTGGCACTTCCGGTTTCCGACCGTGAATTTGCATATTAGCTAAATATTTAGTTTCGCCCAACACATTTAGATTTAACATTTAACATTTAGATTTAGATTTAACATTTAGATTTATATTTAACATTTAGATTAAACATATATATTTAACATTTAGATTTATATTTAACATTTAGATTTAGATTTAACATTTAGATTAAACATATATATTTAACATTTATATTTAGCATTTAGATTTAACATTTAACATTTAGTTTTAGTATTTAAATGTTGTTGTAAATGTGCAAAAAAATGACTGCCGAAAATTCACATCACTTTTTTAAATGCTGTTCGAAGCTAAATGTGACCAAATCTTGCTGTTGTTTTTTATAATGGGCTGCTTTACAAACGGCACCCCATAGTTATTGTTCTCCGGGCATCAGGTCCTCACGTTGCACCGGCACAGCCAACAGCACTCCATTCACCAGTGCAACACTGTTCAAAACTGTACTGGCCCAAATGATGTCCCACGCCCTTTCAGGAGTGAACAACAATGTCCCCCCTTCTGGGCCAAGACAGAGACACCTGCCTTTTAGGAGTCAAACGCAGCGCTCCACAGTGGCGCGTGTGCGTGTGTGCGCAATGTTAAAACGGCGCTCCTGCTGTGTGGCAGTGTTTCTTGGCAGAGTTATCAAATAGGCCTATTCACTAAGGACATAACAAATTTATTTTATTTTATTTTATTTACGTCTTAATCTTTATGAAATCTGGCTGATTGTGCTTAATGACAGGTTTCAAGTTTGTATATCAGTTATTTTGAGACAGACATTTGCTGCACCGCAGATCCACACTGACTCAAACTTGCGTACACGATGTCAGACCTGTCGTGAGATTTGGTCGTAGCGTACGCTCACGGGCAAATTGATAAATGCCAATCCTCCCGTCAAAATTGTCGTACGCAAGGTGTACGCAAGTTTTCTGCCATACGCAAGCTTGATAAATAAGGGCCATTGTCCCTAATGATCCTCCTCACTCTGTCCCCGGGTCTCCTCACTCTGTCCCTGGGTCTCCTCACACTGTCCCTGGGTCTCCTCCTCACTCTGTCCCTGGGTCTCCTCCTCACACTATCTCTGGGTCTCCTCCTCACACTGTCCCTGGGTCTCCTCCTCACTCTGTCCCTGGGTCTCCTCCTCACACTATCTCTGGGTCTCCTCCTCACACTGTCCCTGGGTCTCCTCCTCACTCTGTCCCTTGGTCTCCTCCTCACACTATCTCTGGGTCTCTTCCTCACTCTGTCCCTGGGTCTCCTCACTCTGTCCCTGGGTCTTCTCCTCACTCTGTCCCTGGGTCTCCTCCTCTGTCCCTGGGTCTCCTCCTCACACTGTCCCTGGGTCTCCTCACTCTGTCCCCGGGTCTCCTCCTCTGTCCCTGGGTCTCCTCCTCACACTATCTCTGGGTCTCTTCCTCACACTGTCCCTGGGTCTCCTCCTCACTCTGTCCCTGGGTCTCCTCACTCTGTCCCCGGGTCTCCTCCTCTGTCCCTGGGTCTCCTCCTCACACTATCTCTGGGTCTCCTCCTCACTCTGTCCCCGGGTCTCCTCACTCTGTTCCTGGGTCTCCTCCTCACACTGTCCCTGGGTCTCCTCACACTGTCCCTGGGTCTCCTCCTCACACTATCTCTGGGTCTCTTCCTCACACTGTCCCTGGGTCTCCTCCTCACACTGTCCCTGGGTCTCCTCCTCACTCTGTTCCTGGGTCTCCTCCTCACACTATCTCTGGGTCTCCTCCTCACACTATCTCTGGGTCTCCTCCTCACACTATCTCTGGGTCTCTTCCTCACACTGTCCCTGGGTCTCCTCCTCACTCTGTCCCTGGGTCTCCTCCTCACACTATCTCTGGGTCTCCTCCTCACTCTGTCCCTGGGTCTCCTCCTCACTCTGTCCCTGGGTCTCCTCCTCACTCTGTCCCTGGGTCTCCTCACTCTGTCCCTGGGTCTCCTCCTCTGTCCCTGGGTCTCCTCTGAATCTCCTGGTCCTTCCTTTACCATCCCTGCTCCCGTTGCCGAAAATGAAATAGGTTGGGCAAACATTTCTGTCAGTCGGCACATTTTGGCGCTTCCACCTGAAGCTTTTTCAGCCGTTCGATGCGCAGCTTTTCTGTCCCCTCCCCATCCCCCTGCACTTCTGAGTTTGGTCCATCTCCCGCTCACTCCTCCTGTCAGTTCAAACTGACAATTTGACAACCTTGTTTAAAGAGCAGGTTAGGGGCAGGCTGAAGAGGGCTGAGAGATTTCGTTGGATTAGCCCAACGTCCTTCAAGAAATTCAGCCCATGGGCTGTCGCGGTTGATTGAGATGATTTACAATATACTTTAATGGGCAGATTATGACAGCTCCGCCCCAGCCGCCATATTTTTGTTGTTGTAGGGCAGTAGGGGAAAGTCCCACCTCCTTCGCCTCTGATTGGCTAGAAACGCTGTAAACATCATCACACGCTCAAGCCAAACGTGGGCTGTTGGCTCAGCCCGGAACAGAACATTACAGAACATTATCGCACTTCTGAATCTCCGAACCCAACAGACGATGATATTTCACAGCCATTAGGAATAACCAATCAGAGCCCAGCATTTCTTGCCAATCAGAGGCCAAGGAGGGCGGGACCTTCCCCCCTACCATCCTACAAAAAAAAATTTGCGCTCCTTCTGGCCCAAATGTGCGTCGGCCCACCAGGCATTCCCCGGTACACCCTATGGCCTGTTCACGCCTGCCCAGAGACCCTCGGAGTCACTTTGCCTCAAAGTCTTAAAATCTGCATCAAAAACCAGGACAGAGAAAAACCATTACAGTGAACTTCCTGTCTTTACGCCCTGAGGCAGACTGCATGCTGGGATATCATTCCTGATGCTAATGCTGGATGCTAATGCAGATCTCCAGCTGTGAGGACAAGAGGGCTTCAGCAGGAAGAGGAAGGATCAGTTACCACAATAAAAGCCCCCCCATGATAAAACCATGATGAACTGACGGACTGAACGCCTATGGAGGAGCTATATGGGGGTCTCTGACATCACCCATGATGTCACGGCGAGGTGAGTTTCTTTGTTGACCCGAAATAGAAAAACGAGTCACTGGTTCGAGTCTATTGTTTCACACCCAGCTGTGAGGCCCCACTTAACCCTTTAAACAAACACACACACACTCATTCAGGTCAGGATGGTCCAGTTCTTCATTAAAGGGGGGTCAACTGGACCTGTTTGAGGTTCCTGAAGACGTTTCCACCTCGAGACTTGGACCCTGGAAAGTCCTGGAAAGTCCTGGAACAGAGTGAGTGGTGAGCCACTTTATGAGTTCTGGGATTTCTTTAAGACCACCGTTCATACACACACACACACATGAAGGTATGAAGACCTACACACAGAGTCCATATGGGTCTGCTGTAGTTCATTATAGACCCAGAAGGGACCAGGTTGAGTGTTGAAGCTCCTCTCCTTTTTAAAGGCAGGTCCACCTGGAGCCCACCTGGGGAGTGTGTGTGTGTGTGTGTGTGTGTGTGTGTGTGTATTTACTCTCATACACACACTGAAAGTTTTTGGATTCTCTCTCTACAACCCTCTCTCAATCTTTGTCTCTCACTCAGCTCATGTTTGGCGAACAGGGAACAGACTTGGCAGGAAAACCAGATCAGCCTCCTCCTCCCTCCCTCCCTCCCTCCCTCCCTCCCCTTCCTCTCTCTCTCTGTCTTTCTCTCTCTCCTCCCCTTTTCTGTTTCTTCCTCCCTCTCCTCACGTTCATTCACAGCTCAGATGATCAGACCATCACACCTCTATGCTCTCTCTCTCTCTGCTCTTTGTCTCTTTCTCTGTTACTCTCTCGTCCCGTCGTTCATCATTCATCCTCACTCTCTCTCTTGCTCTCTCTCTCTCTCTCTCTCTGGATCATGCCTTCTCTCAGTTTTCTCTCCATTTATCTGAGCGCAGCCTCACTGATCCTCCTGCTGACTGCTGGTGAGTCCTTACACTCTTCTGTGTGTGTGTGTGTGTGTGTGTTTGTGTGTGTGTGCGTGTGTGTGTGACATGTTGTTCATGTGCGTTCTGCAGCTGTTTAACTTCCTGTGCTCTGCGTGTGTGTGTGTGTTTTATGGTGAATTTATTGAACAGTTTAACTGTATGCTGACATGTGTAACCACATACACACACACACATTTTTCTCCTGAGCTGAAAAAAAAACAAAACTTTTTCGTACTTCGGTCGATTTGTTCGTAGATCACTCACTCTTTTTTTTTCATTCTTCAGAAATTTTGTTGGAAAAAAAAGAAAAAAAGTTTAAGTGAACTGCAGAAAGTTTGAAATGTTTGAGAAAAAACAAAACTTTGGTCTGACACTCAGAGGAAAGGAGAGGAAGGAAACCGAGGAGGAGAGGAGAGAAAAAGAAAGGAAAGGAAAAAGAAAGGTAGAGTAAAAAGGAGGGAAGGAAGAGCTATTGTCAAAGACAGAGGGAGAGGAGTAAGAGAAAGGAAAGGAAACAAGGAACTCAGAAGAAGGAAAGGAAGAATGAATAGGACAGAAGGACACAGGAGGAAAGAGAGAGAGAAAACAGGACAGAAGGAAAGAAAAAAAATATTGTCAAAAAAAAGGAAAGTAAGGAGATGTAAAAGAGGAACAAAAAGAAGAGACGACAACAGAAAAGTAAAAAAACTGGGAAAAAGAATGAGAGAGGAGAAAGGAAAGAGAAAAGGAAGAACGAAAGAGAGAAAGGAGGAAGGGAGGAGGAGATGAAGAAGGAAAGAGAGAAAGGAAGAAGGAATGAGAGAAAGAAGGAAGGAAAGAGGAGAATAAGAAGGAAAGAGAGAAAGGAGGAAGGAAAGAGGAGAGGAAGAATGTAAGGGTGAAGGGACAGAGGAAAGAGGTGAGGAAGAAGGGAGGAAGGAAAGAGATAAAGGAGGAAGGAAAGAGGAGAATAAGAAGGAAAGAGAGAAAGGAAGAAGGAATGAGAGAAAGAAGGAAGGAAAGAGGAGAATAAGAAGGAAAGAGAGAAAGGAGGAAGGAAAGAGGAGAGGAAGAATGTAAGGGTGAAGGGACAGAGGAAAGAGGTGAGGAAGAAGGGAGGAAGGAAAGAGATAAAGGAGGAAGGAAAGAGGAAGGTGAAAGGATAAAAAGTCACCGCTGAACAGACAAAAGGAGAGAAGGAGAGGAGAGGTGTGAGTTTGATGAACAGCTGGTTTATATAAAATTTCTGAGTATCATGTGACTCTGCCAACAAACACCCTCCCACTCTAACTCACCCTCTCGCTCTAACTCACCCCACACTCTTTCCTTCTTCTTCTTCTTCTCTCCTACCTTCTTACCTTCTCGTCCCCTCTCTCCTTATCTCCTCTCCTTGTTTTCTTTACTTGTGCCCTTTTCTTTTTCACGATCCTTCCCACACCTTTGATTGATGGCTGACCCTACACAGTGTGTGTGTGTGTGTGTGTGTGTGTGTGTGTGTGTGTGTGTGTGTGTGTGTGTGTGTGTGTGTCCCTCTTGGGTTGAAGATAAAATGTTTGATTGACAGGCTCATGAAGATGACACACATCCTGTTTAAGGACAATTAACATCCCGCCCACTCAGTTCCCATCAGTGTGTGCGTGTGTGTGTGTGTGTGAGCATGCTAACCAGCTTTAGCTTTATTGCTAATATGTAACAGACATGTGAGTCTGAGCGGTCAAAGGTCACGGAGGAACATTGGCACACGTCTGATTTTCCAGATTACAGAGAGATTATCGCAGACTGACCTCATTCATAAATGCGTGTGTGTGTGTGTGTGTGTGTGTGTGTGTGTGTGTGTGTGTGTGTGTGTATGTGTGAGTGTGAGGACAGTAGTTCCTCCTGCTGGTTTCATCATACCAAGAACAGCAGCTGTTTCTGAACCTCCGTGTTTGTTTATTTACCCTGAAAGACATGACCGACGAAAAAGTCTTTGTCTGGATCGACGCAGATGTTGCTCCTAAACCTGGAGATCTTGTTTCAAACTGAGGATGCAGCATCTATGATTTCCAGTTCTTCAGTTCTCCAGTTCTTTCACCTAAGGCGAAACGTCTCAATTAAGTCCAGGTGTCCTTTCCAAAAGAGGGTTACCTGGGATTTCCACCGCATCCTGAACAGCGGTGATTTTTGCCATCCGCCAATTCCTAACGGACCCATTTGTGAGGTGAATTTTGTGGCGGATTACAAACAGCGGTAATCACGAGAACTCAGAAGCACCCGCAGATTCACGTGCAATTGCACGATAATGAGTTATCTCTATAAAGACAGCCACATAGACATATAAGCAGTAGATTGTGTCCTTCCAGAGGAGGAAATCTACTTCTAGACTTCTAGAATCAGCATCTCCTCATCCATGGTGTCATCGGGGTGAAATAACGTCTAAAAACCTTTCACTCGTTCGTCTCCGCCTGTTTGCATGGTGTGAAATACGATCCTCCTGAAACACGGAGTGTTTTATTTTGAAAAGAAGCCGGCTGTTTTATTTTGTGTCTGTGCCCGACTTCCTTTCCAGCACGGGTTAATCTGTGCTGAATTTATCCGCCATGCTCCGGCGTCCGGAACAAATAGAACTCTTGTGATCAGCTGTGGAGTCCGGCGATCCGCAGAGGAACGGAAAGAAGCCGGTGGAAATTGACACGTTAACTTGAATGGTTACGATCAGCTATGATCGGAGGATATGACCTTTTCGTAGACTTTCAGGATGCAGTGGAAATTGGGGGTTAGATTTATGCTGTGTTCCAGTTGTACTTGGAAGTTGGGAACTTGGCGACAATGTCATAATTCAAGATGGCAGCACAGTGCATCGACAGTAAAGAGTAACAGTAAAAGCTCTCGTAATGTTTTATTTCTTCGCACTTCTGTTTTAGTTTTGTCAAATTAAATAAGTGGTTTATGTTTTACTGACCAACGTCTAACTGTGAACATGGTGATATGGTGTTTGTGCGAGTAAAATACTGTGTTGTGCGTTGTTTACAACTGGTATCGCTAACAACAACTAACAACAACTAACAACAGCTAACAATGGGTAACTGTAGGCATCCATCTTGGTTTTCCGAATTGTTGACTGGAACGCCATCAACTCAGGTTTAATGTCATTCCCAGCTCCAACATCTGACTTCTTAAGGAACTAGAATGCAGCTTTGGATCCATCAGCCCTCAAAACAGTTCTCCTCTTCTCCTCAGTCCACCTTAAATGGAATGGAGTCGATGGTTTTTGAAGTGATTCTGAGTCCATGCTGTGATTTCCACTCCAGAGTTCTGTCTTTTTTTAACGCTCTGTAGATCAGGACCAGCCAGTCCTGGTTCTGGTCCTTGTCCCCCTTTAGTTCAGAGATTTCTCCAGATCTTGAACTCCCGGTTGTTTCCTCTCATGCTGAGTATTTTTCTGTCAAACTTCAGCTGAACTCCAGAGAGCGAGAGGGTGAGAGAGGGAGTTTTTCAGAGCGATCGAGAGGAGCAGGAAATAATCATCTGTCTGATGTTTTCAGTTTTCGGGTGAATCGTGACCTCTGCTGTAGACGGGAGTCTTCACTGACAGGTCCAGATACTGTCTGACATAAACCGCTCCAGTCTGGGTGAACTAAGCGCTCAGTTCTGCTCATATGAATGGACATTTGTAAACAGTCAGAGTAAACTGTAATTAAAGGGACATTCTGGCATAAATTAATTTAGGCATCTTTTTAATCAGGCTTTTAATTGACTAGTTTAACTCTTTTAATCTCTTTTATGCTCACTTTTATTGTTTTACTAATTAACACTTTTTATTACCGTTCTATTTTATTCTTTAATCTATCAATTTTATTATCATTATTTTTAGTCTAGCGTGTTTTACAGTGCACAGAATCATTTTATCTTACATTATTTACTGGGTCTGTCTTAGCGATTACAGTTTTAGTTTCTATACTTTTATGTCTTATTTTATTCTTTTAGTCCCTCAGTTTTTCCAGTGTTTCCTCCTGGGAGCTGCTTCACCGGGAGCGGGTTCTGGTCTGTTGGTGGGGGCGCCGTTCTGGGGACAGCTCTGGCCCGGGTGGAACCAGAGAGCTCTACACCTTGGTGCGGAGCCTCCTGTCTGCCTGGGCTGGTGGTCCCTGTGACGGCGCCCCCTGCAGCAGCAATGGGCCGGCATGCCTCCCGGTCGACGTGGCCCCCAAAGGTAGCGTCTTCCTCACCTCAGATCTCAGTGCCCAGTCATGTCTCCTCACCATCAGCTGCTAACTGTGTAGGTGCGTATGTATGTGAAGTTGTGTGTGTGGAAATGTATGTCTATGTTCACGGGTGTGTGTATGGGTATAATTGTGCGGGTGGGAGGTTTGGGGTTTTCTTGGGGATTTTAATGTTTCATTTTCTTTTTATGCTTTGTAAGGCACTTTGTGTTACAACTTTGTATGAAAAGTGCCATATAAATAAAATAAAGTTGAAAGTTGAAAGTAGGGTCAAACACACGGTAACACCGAGTTAGACCCCCCCCCTCCAGAATGTTGCCAGAATGATGAATGTTGCCGATCGCTCGCTTATCTAGTTATACCAACTTTAGTAACGACCGCAGGATAGAAATACACAGCGGTCTGAGGAGCCATAAACAAACCTCAACCAATACACCACTCTATAGCCACAAATAATGCTCAGAACAGCACCTAACTTCATCAACAGGACATACAGGGTCACAGCTGTAGTACTAGACACCAAACATCTTTTTAACGTTGTATTGTGTAGTTTAGAGTTGTGTAGTGTTGTGTAGTGTAGTCTAGTGTTGTGTAGTCTAGTGTTGTAAAGTGTTGTGTTGTGTAGTGTTGTGTTGTGTAGTGTTGTGTTGTGCAGTTTAGTGTTGTGTAGTCTAGTGTTGTGTAGTTTTGTGAAGTGTTGTGTTGTGTAGTCTAGTGTTGTATAGTGTTGTGTAGTCTAGTGTTGTGTAGTCTAGTGTTGTATAGTGTAGTGTTGTGTAATGTAGTACAGTGTAGTCTAGTCTTGTGTAGTGTTGTGTTGTTTAGTGTTGTGTAGTGTTGAGTTGTGTAGTCTAGTGTTGTAAAGTGTTGTATAGTGCTGTGTTGTGTAGTGTTGTGTTGTGCAGTTTAGTGTTGTGTAGTCTAGTGTTGTGTAGTTTTGTGAAGTGTTGTGTTGTGTAGTCAGGTGTTGTGTTGTGTTGTGTAGCGTTGTATTGTGTTGTGTTGTGTAGTCAAGTGTTTTGTAGTGTTATATTTTGTAGTCTTGTGTAGTGTTGTGATATGAAGTCTAGTGCTGTCTTGTATTGTGGTGTGTAGTCTAGTGTCATATTGTATTGTGTAGTGTTGTGTGGTCTAGTGTTGTGTTGTGTAGTGTAGTCTAGTGTTGTGAAGTGTTATGTAGTCTAGTGTTTTGTAGTGTTGTGTTGTGTAGTTTAGTGTTGTGTTGTGTAGTCTAGTGTTGTGTTATGTTGTGTAGTCTAGTGTTGTGTTTTGTTGTGTTGTGTAGTGGTGTGTTGTGTTCTGTAGTGTTGTATAGTGTCGTGTTATGTAGTCTAGTGTTGTGAGGAGTTGGGTTGTTTAGTGTTGTGTTGTGTCATGTAGTCTAGTGCTGTGTAGTGTAGTGTTGTATACTGTTGTGTTGTGTAGTCTAGTGTTGTGAATTGTTGTGTTGTGTAGTCTAGTGTTGTGTAGTCTAGTGTTGTATAGTGTAGTGTTGTGTAATGTAGTACAGTGTAGTCTAGTCTTGTGTAGTGTTGTGTTGTGTAGTGTTGTGTTGTGTAGTGTTGTGTTGTAAAGTGTTGTATAGTGCTGTGTTGTGTAGTGTTGTGTTGTGTAGTGTTGTGTTGTGCAGTTTAGTGTTGTGTAGTCTAGTGTTGTGTAGTTTTGTGAAGTGTTGTGTTGTGTAGTCTGGTGTTGTGTTGTGTTGTGTAGCGTTGTATTGTGTTGTGTTGTGTAGTCAAGTGTTTTGTAGTGTTATATTTTGTAGTCTTGTGTAGTGTTGTGATATGAAGTCTAGTGCTGTCTTGTATTGTGGTGTGTAGTCTAGTGTCATATTGTATTGTGTAGTGTTGTGTAGTCTAGTGTTGTGAATTGTTGTGTTGTGTAGTCTAGTGTTGTGTAGTCTAGTGTTGTATAGTGTTGTGTAGTCTAGTGTTGTGTAGTCTAGTGTTGTATAGTGTAGTGTTGTGTAATGTAGTACAGTGTAGTCTAGTCTTGTGTAGTGTTGTGTTGTTTAGTGTTGTGTTGTGTAGTCTAGTGTAGTCTTAGTGCTGGACCCCCCCTCCCCCCGGGTCCCCCCCTACCCCACCCCCGGTCCCCTCTGTTGTCACGGCTCTGTGAAATCCCTTCTTCAGCTCGATCAGACTTTATGAGAGTTTTCCACTCAGACCAGGATCCTGCTGGATCCTGCTGGGAGCTGACGAGTTCAGATCCCTGTCCAGACTTAAGCACTCTGGGAAATTTAAGTCCTGCAGGGTCTCTGCAGCATAAACACACATTTTTGTGTGCTTTACCGTGTGTGTGTGTGTGTGTGTGTGTGTGTGTGTGTGTGTGTGTGTGTGTCCTCGTAAATCCTCCTCCAATCAGAGTCCTTCAAACTCTGGAGGTCGCTCATAAAAAACTGTTTCCTGTTTCTGCGGTGAGAAGAGCTGCAGATGTGAGCCAGGTTTAGTGATGTGGATCCAGTTAGACCGGTTTAGTTTGTGGTTTTATTATCATCTGTGTGTTTGATTTAACCTCATTAGATATACATCAAATTAATTGATTAATTAATTAATCCGTTCATAAGGGGCCAGGAGCAACTCTTAGAGAAAGAGACTGATGATGAGAAACACAGACGCAACATAAACACTCAACCTGCTGTCAAACACACACACACACACACTGATAACACACACACACACACACACACATGCACTCATGATGGATGTGAAGGGAGGAGGAAATATATCTTTAGAGTGTTTCCCATCAGACTGTAACTCTGTGTGTGTTTGTGTGTGTGTGTGTGTGTGTGTGCGTGTGTGTGTGTTTGTGTACATGTGTTTGTGTTGATCTTGTCTTATAAGAACTGATCCCTGGTTGAGCTTTTATTGTGATTTTTATTATCAAACTAAAAAAGTCTCAATGTATTTACAGTAACAGTTTAATCGGACTAAGCTCATAATTCGTTTTTTTTTCATCGAATCCGACTTCTCTCCTTGTCCTCGTATACATGCAGCTGAGAAAATTAAATTATTGACGTGAACATGTCCTCCTCCCCAAAACTAGGGGGCGATATGGGTCTTTTCAGCAGCGCTCCTTCCAACCCCATACAACCGTCAACCACAACAACAGGTCCGTGCCAGACGTCAGAAGTGTCTACAGCTGCTGCTGGGCATTTTGGAGTGAAAAGATGGAGGATCGTACAGCGTTGATTTTGTCCTACATGATGGACGCGCTACTTTTTCTGCAGATGAGACGCACACTACTCCTCTTATCTGGGGTTTTTGTTCCGGGGGTTACAGAGGTGTGGCGCACGCACACATGCATTGTCCGATCATACTCCGACTACGCTGGTTACATGGAAGAGAATATTGAATTCCAATGGCATTAGCTGGATGTCTTAATCGGAGTTCTCGAACTCTGATTATAGTCGGACTAAGGTGTTTACATGCACTTCAGTTGTTCAGTCTTAATCAGAGTAAGGCGATAATTCGGTTTTCTCGAGTGTCATGGAAACCTACAGAGTGATACTCACAAATCTGATCGAAGTGTTTAAGACATGAGCCGCATGATTTGGTTACCCGTGTTCCTGTGTACCTGTGTACCCGTGTACTCATGTGTACACCCGTGTACCTTTGTACCTTTATACCTGTTTACCCGTGTTCCTGTGTACCTGTGTTAGGACTGTTTTATGGACATTTTTTGCTCCTCCAAGTTTCAGTCGATTGTGTTTTTGTCTCTTTAAAACCCCATCACTTCAGACAACAACCTCAGTGTCCTGAACACACCCAGACACCCACCACCATTTTCCAAGCATACACACACACACACACACACACACTGGGCACACACAGAGTTTCTATTGAAGGCAGATGTAGAAGGATGAGGGGCTGATGGGAAAAATGCGGAGGTGGAGGATTTGGATATCAGACACTCCTGACTGATCTCTCCAGGGACTCACTGCAGGAGTCAGCTGATGAAAACATGAATCTTCTACATTCCCTGAACTTTGAACACACTAAAGAGATAATTCTGATTCTGATGAGCTAACATCCCACACCTGTGTGTGTGTGTTTGTGTGTTTTTAGTTTGTCAGGCCCAGTATTATGACTACACACCTGCTCCAGACTACGACGACGACTACAACGCCACCTTTGAGTACAGCCTCTTCAGTAAGTCACAGATGACAGAGTGAGACCTGATCAGGTTTTTAATCATTATAACTAAAGAGAGGGAGGTTTTAGAGGGAACAGGCAAATAATTTGCTTTGTTGACTATTTTTGTTTATTCTTGTTGTTTGTTGTTTATTTTTGTTGTTTGTTTTGTGTGTCATTGTTTTATTGTTGTGGCGGGGTGCCACTAACGCCGTCCTCATCGCGGCTGGACGCCTGCTCTACCTCGCGGCTGGTCGCCCTCTCTCTCTCACTCGCGGCTGGTCGCCCTCTCTCGTGCCTTCTCTCCCTCTCGCGCTCCCTTGCCGCTGGACCGGGCGTGGGGAATAGAGTGGCCACTCGCTACTGGAGTGACGGACGGGGGGGAGTTAAGATGAACATAAATGACAATAATTTTCCTGGACTCTTGCGTCCCCGTGGCCGGTGTTAGAGGGTGCACACTCAAACACCTGCGCGGGTCTCGCTTACACTCACGCACATATGCTGTGTCCGAATTGCCCGCTCGGATACTACATGCTACTGCTACATGTACTGCTAGATCCTACTCCTACATACTAAACACGTTGGCCCAATTCGGACACACTAGACGAGCGGTGGGGAAAGACGACCCCCGCAGGCAGAGAGTAGGTACTGCGCCCGTTTTTGAATGGTAATCGTGCAAGTGATGGATGCTGCTGTATTATATTCCTGCACTGCTTTAGAAATTCTCAAAGTAGCTTTTCCATGACTTTTAGCCTTCATTTACTCACGTGGTGATCGTTTGTTCAATGAGATCTGCCTGATTACTGCAGCTGTGCAGTTTGATGATGGAATAAGTGAGCTTTACCTCCATGATGTCGCCACATGTTTGCTCATAAAATGATTACTTGGGCAAATATGACACCATGACATGACAAAGAGATACAACCGCTTTACAACCATTTTTTAGGACAGTGTGCGAAGTTACATGAAACTTACATCTGTACTGCTGCGGTCCTGCCTGCTGCTGCTGCTCCGCCATGGTGCGCGCTGCTGTGGCCAGCCGGCGTTCGCGATGCATCTAAATAGGCAGCAGTGGGTGGTGCTAGCATCACATGTGCTTCTACAACTTTTAAGAGGACGAAGAAGAAGTCTGCGGTGCATTTTGGGTCAGTAGCATGCCCGTAGGATGCACCGAGACCAACCTACAATGTGGGCGTGTCTAGTATCTTAAGTAGTATCTGAAGTAGCATGCTACTCGCTCCGGTGGCCAATTCGGACATGCTAGATACTACTTCGACTACTACTTGGCAATTCGGACTCAGCAATACACTCATCTGCTGTCTCCGGTTCACGGACTGAACAGAGGCAGTTCCGGGTCACCTGTTAAATAACATTAGGTGACGTGCTTCCTCGGGTCAGGTGACCCAGGGAGAAACCAAAGTCAGTGAATTAGTTGATTATAGTTAAAATATTGTGTTTGTGTTAATATTGGCTCAGCCATATGAAGGGTGTGAGTAACAGAACAATTGGTTTGTATTCTATTGTGTGTTTGTAGAAATATACCAGTTGATATAACAGCTGATGTCTAAAAAACCCCTAGATTGTGCTGATTGGTTTGTTCGGGGGAGGGGCCAAGGGGTATTTGAGGGAGCTCAGCTCACTTGTTGGGGTGTGCCTCCTGGTTGAGCAGACATATGTTGGTCCTGGGGGGTATTCCATCAAAGTCGCTAAGAAAATCGGGACTATGGTGTAATCTTGAAGCTTGAATAAACGGCCACTCCAAACCTAGCCCCAACCCGTTCCATCAAACGAGATCAGCTGGCTCCACTTGACGCTAATTCCAGCCTCACCTGTTAAGCCTCACACTGAGCGCCTCCCCGCGGAATATAAAAAGACCCAACAAGTCGAGTGCTGAAAGTGTTGCAATGGCTCAGAATGCCGCAAAACCACGGGCAGAGATTTTCTCTGCTGCTGAGCAAAACCTCCTTATGGAGTTATATGATGATTACCGTGATATAATAACTAAAAAAGGTAACACCGCTCAAATAAACAAAGCAAGAGAGGCAGCATGGAAGACAATTGCCGACAGGCTGAATGCGTAAGTGATGTTTCATCCATTCATTATTTCAGATGATAATCCCATCTCAATGTTAATGATACAACCTGTTTGACATAACAGAATTGTAATTTAGGCTGTAAAATTAAAGAAATTCACTACGAGACAAGTTGTAGGCTACAGATAGTGATTTATTCAGATTTATAATCTGAGTTGAAGTGGCTATAATCAAATTGTTTTATATGCAAAACATTTATCACACAGTTGATCATGTATTATCTCATTTACCTAATTCCCCCTATTCAGAGGAGCGCTGTTTAAATGTTTGCAGGGGTTAATTGATTCTCTTGTTGCATAAACAGGAGCTAATTGCTTCATTTTACCTTCATGTCTGTGCAGTAGGATGAGGAACTAACTAAAACTCACTCAGCATTCACTGTGTCTTTTATTAACCTCCTTTTACTGTCAAACAGAAGCAACCTCGGAGGCCAGAAACGCACCTGGCAACAGGTCAAAATAAAATATAAAAACATCCTTACAAATGGTCAGTGATACAAAATAATTGTAATGTGATGAAGATATTGAGGAACTCTTTAAGGGCAATACAGACTGCTTTTACCTGTAATAAAGTTTTTTTTTTTTGTTCATTTATTAATTCATATCCATGTCATGTGATCATCTTGCAACCTATGTATGATGTTTGGTGATGTAAGAAATAATCCAACTGATCTAAGTAGGCCTACCTCTCTGCAAACAGTTGCCTTACTTAGTCCCTCAGCATCTCCAACACTATACAGAAATATACCGCTGGCAAAGAACCGCAGTGCAATACATACAGATTGCACAGGGGTCAGTGATTGGCTGCGGTGAGTGACCTTCCTTATGTGTGGCTCCAGCAAAGTGCATAAATACACTATGCTCTGCCGGCTGAATCGATACCTCTCCCACAGGAAAGAATCACTTTGTTCCAGTGGGTTAGTCCTCTCCTGGAAGACCCTCGGGGCTGGTGGTCGCCTGAAGAAGGCCCTTTGAATTATTTGTGCCCCTTCATCAATTGGCTCCTCATACTCAATGAATGGACATGCCATGTTCTCTTAGTCTTTGTCTCTGCTGAATGTGTGCCCCCCTACCTGTCTTGACTGCTCTGCTTAATAGTCTACACCTTGCCATCATTGACTGTCAGGGGCAGTCGATTGGAGGACATTTTAGGTGACTGATGTAGGCTTCCTCCATGTGTTTTAATCATAAATTTATTCATTGTTATTTTTTTTATTTTTTTTTTATTCATCTTTATCTATAAGGATGCAATCAAGATAAACGAAAACGGATTGATTTTTATTTTTTACAAAATCAGAATACTTACCAAATGCACTTTTTGCTTAGTTTACAAAGTGGATGGAAAGCACGTTTTGGTTTCACAAATTATTTTATCAGTGCATTGTGTATGTAAATGCAAAACAGACATGTCTTTTGGACATTTTTTGGACATTAGTGGAGTTAATCTTCACCTTAATCCTGCTCCAGACCAGGTTTGGCCGGCAGCATAAGTCACCATGGTTACAAGGCTGGCATTCGTGTTAACCACTTTGATGGAACAGAATTGAGGCTCAGGTTAATGGAACAGAAAGTCAGAGCTTAGCTCCAAGTGTCCGGCTTAGCCAGAACCGTGTTTCCATAGTTACCAAGTTGGAGCTAATCTTAGCCACATTGGTGAAACTCAACTCTCACTAAAATAAGCAAGACTTGGCCATTTAAGCCAGACTTTGAGCTAAGCGAGCTTGATGGAATACCCCCTTGGTTGTTGAATTGCGGTTTGTAAATAGTTTTCCCTCTGTCTTTTTGTAAATAAGAGTTTTCACCTCTGGGTATTTTTGGTTATGGTGTTAATAAAAGAAAATCACCATACTCGAGTTTCGACTGTGCCATCATCTTTTCCTCCACAACCGAAAAAGAAATTTAAAGAAACTGAACCCCAACAAGTGTGTATAGTGTTTGTCCTTGACTGTTGTTGTTTATTTGTGTTTATTGTTGTCTATTGTTATTTATTTCTGTTGGTCGTTGTTTTTTGTTGTTTGTCATTGTATATTGTTTATTGTTGTTTATTTTTGTTTTTCATTGTTGTTGTTTTTGTTGTTCATTTTTGTTTGTCTTTTGTTGTCTTGTTTATATTTGTTGTTTGTTTATTGTTGTCAATTTTTGTTTATTGTTGTTTGTCGTTGTTGTTTATTTTTGTTTGTTGTTGTTTTGTTGTTGTTTGTCATTTGTTTTTGTTGTTTGTTGTTGTTTGTCATTGTTTTATTGTGTTCATTGTTTGTTGTTGTCTGTTGTTGTTTGTCACTGCTGTTGTTTATTTCTGTTTGTCGTTGTTTTTTTCCTTTGTTGTGTATTGTTGTTTATAGTTGTTTATTGTTCATTTTTGTTGTTTGTCGTCATTGTTTGTTTGTCATTTATTGTTGATGTTGTTTGTTGTTTAAAGTTGTTTATTGTTGTTCATTTCTGTTGTTTTATTGTTGTTTTGTTGTCAGTTGTTTTTGTTGTTTATTTTTCTTGTTTGTTGTTGTGTACTGTTTATTGTTGTTTATTTTTGTTTATTGTTTTTTGTTGTTCATTTTTGTCATTTGTTGTCGTTGTTTGTTGTTTATTTTTTGTTCATTTCTGTCATTTGTTGTTGTTGTTTGTTGTTGTTCATTTTTTTCATTTGTTGTTGTGTATTGTTGTTTATTGTTGGTTCATTTTTGTCATTTGCTGTCATTGTTTGTTTGTCAGGTAACACCAGTAACGAGGACCTGGACAGACTTCGTGAACTGTACATCGGTCCTGATGACAGGGAGGAAGAGGATGCAGGAGGAAGGCAGGAGGAAGAAGAAGTGCGTGTTACCGCGGCAACGACCAGAGGACCTTATAGGAAGGGCGAAGTAGACGGGCATGGAGCTGCATCACTTCGTGTTTCCCCGGTAAGTATCACCTGATAATCTGAGCGAAGAAATCCTTAGGGCCGTTTCCTTTAACCAAAATAAACTTAAAATAAATAAGAAGATCGATCATTTAAACGTCAGGTTCAACAAAGCTCAGCTGTTGATTAAACCGAAGAGTTTTAATGTTCTCATGAGTTCAGTAAACCTCAGACTCAATTCAAAGTTTGACTTTTAAACCCGACCTGAACCAGAAACTACAGCAGAACCAGAACAAAGTTTAGTTTCAACAGAACCAACAGGAACCTGTTTGTCTAAAGAACCAGCAGACTGGTCTGTTCTTATTTTTAGAGGACTGATTATGATGACGAGACAAAACACAGCTGTGTGTGTGTGTGTGTGTGTCTGTCCATCTGTTTCTCATTAATATGAAGCTGATCTCTGCCAGCATCAACAAACTCAAACAGTCTTTATGTCTTTAAAGCAAACTCTTTAAACTCTGCGGCGTGTCGCAATCTGTGTGGGTGCATCAAAAATACAACTAACCCAACACTCGTGTGTGTGTGTGTGTGTGTGTGTGAGAGAGAGTGTGTGTGTGTGACATAAATGTGACAGTACACAGCTGGAGGACAGAACACAGACTCTGTTAAACTGGTTCTGAGATTTCTGTGGTGGGCCGGTGCAGACATGTGGACCAGATGATCAGACCTCAGAACTCTAAATTTCTTGTGTGCGAAAATCAAATCCAGCAGAGGAGAAGGAGGAAGTCTGAGGAGGACACAAAGACTTCTTCATGGAAACATGTTGTTTAGATTGAAGTTTGGGGATTTTGATTCTCCTGACTTTAGTTCAGACTGACGTGGAAACCACAACAGATCCTGATTGGTTCACTCATGAATGCAGATTATTGTGTAAACCGCAAACCGTCATGAACCAGGATAAACAACCTCTGCTGTTGAAAAATGAACCAAACATAAATAATAATGCATCAGATTTCATATACTGCTTTTTGTCAGTGACCTCAAAGTGTTTTATATTGGATCCAGCATTCATTCACTAACTCACTCACTCACTCACACTTTGGTAGTGGTAAACTACCTTAGTAGATTACCACTAGACCTTAGTAGTCTGCTCTGGGACAGACTGACAGAAACATGGCTGCCAGTTTGCGCCTACAGCCTCTCCGACCACTCAACACTCACACACCAGTGGAGGGCACACACTGGGAGCAAGGTGGGTTAAGTGTCTTACCCAAGGACACAACAGACAGACGGATAGGGGGTATCATACCGCCAACCTTCCAGTTATTGGCCGACCACTCTACCTCCTGAGCTGCTGCCACCCCATGGAAACATGGAAGTCACAAAACTGAAGTCCCCCAAAACCTCTCTGTCATCTCTCTGTTCACCACATCTTTATTTATACAAACGTTTAAAGACCCACAAAGGAAACAGTGCCGTAAGCTCCAATTTTCACCGCATCCTGAATGGCGGCGAGTTTTGCCATCTGCCAATTCCTACCGGACCTGATTGTGAGGTGAATTTCGTGGCAGATTATGGACAGCAGGAATCACGAGAGCTCACAAGAACCCGTGGATTCACATACAAGTGCGCTTTAACAAGTTGTCTCTATAAAGACAGCCACATAGACATATAAGCAGTAGATTGTGTCCTTCCAGAGGAGGAAATCTACTTCTAGACTTCTAGAATCAGCATCTGCTCATCCATCGTGCCATCGGGGTGAAATGACGTCTAAAAACCTTTCACTTGTTCGTCTCTGCCCGGTGTGAAATACGATCCCCCTGAAACACAGAGTGTTTTATTTTGAAAAGAAGCCGGATGTTTTATTTTTGTGTGTGTGCCCGACTTCCTTTCCAGCATGGGTCAATCTGTGCTGAATTTATCTGGCATGCTCTGGCGTCCAGACAAAATCAAACTCTTGTGATCAGCTGTGGAGTCCGGCGAAATTGACACATTAACCTAAAAGGTTACGATCCGTTAAGATCGGAGGATATGTTCAGGATGTGGTAGAAATTAGGGGTAACCTTGATAAACTGGTCCCAGTTTCACGTAGGCCCGACCCTGACTTGGCTAACAGCCAGTCATAATCCTTTCTCACAGATGTACTCTTGAATATTTCTAGAACTTTTGAGGACAGGCTGCCCCAGTGTTTTCGGGTTGGTTCCTTTCCTCCTTTCCAAAAACCTGAAAACGTCAGGGAGTTCTCGAGAGTTTAGCTCATGTATGAAAACCACTCTGGTTCTGGTTCAGGGGTCTGTGGGGGCCCAGGCCACCTTGGTCCCCCCTCTGTGATCTCCCCTTATATATTAAAAAAATAACGACATGCAGATTTATCCTTTTTAACTGAATGAGTAAATATCGTCGTTTTCTGATGATGTATTCACTGTCCGCAGGAAATGTGGACGCTACTCTGGGGTCTGATCATCCTGATGGGCTTGAACACACAGCAGCTACAACGCACACTGTGAGGCCGATATACACTTCACAGGTGAGACACACACACTTGACAAAGAAGCTGTAGAGGGGTCACCGCGAATACTTCTGTGGTGGTGAGGAAGGCCCAGCAGCGTCTCCACTTCCTGAGAGTGCTCAGGAAAAATAACCTGGAGGAGAAGTTGCTGGTGACCTTCTACAGAGGCACCAAAGAGAGCATCCTGGCATACTGCATCACAGCTTGGTATGTGGGGCGCTCTGCAGCCGACAGGAGAGCACTACAGAGGGTCATCTGCACAGCCCAGAAGATCACAGGCTGCCCTCTGCCCAGCCTGGAGGACATTGCCAACTCTCGCTACCTGAGCAGAGCTGGCAACATCATCAAGGACTCCTACCACCCCGGAAACCACCTGTTTGACCTGTTACTGTCTGCAGTGACCTGTACCTCACACAAAACAAGGACCAACAGACTCAGGGATAGCTATCACTGCAGTCAACAACAACAAGTCCAGGTTCAACTGGACCTCACCTGTGCAATTATCGGGTTTCATATCATTCATATTGTTCATTCCTGTTTGATTATATTTTATAATATATATATATATATATATATGTATATGAAAGTATGATCTTTTTTGTACAATAAATGTAAATGTCAATGTATATATACACACACACACACACACACACACACACACACACACATATATATATATATATATATATATATATATATATATATATACACTACAGGCCAAAAGTTTGGAAGCAAGATCAGATTTGTACAAAAAAAAAACATTAAACATAAACATGACTATTGTACAAAGAGTAACCTATCAGAAGACATTTTGACTATAATTATTAGGTATTTGAGTTATTGTTGCTTATTTGCTTTCTTTAAATTAACCTCCTCTGGCTTTAACAACAGCTTGGCATATACCAGGCATTTGTTCCACAAGTTTTTTAAGGTATGTTCCAGGGATTGCATTCCAAGCTTTCTTAAGTTCATTAAAAAGAGACTGCTGATTCGTGGGACGCATTTTTCTGACCGATCGATCCAATTCATCCCACATAAGCTCAATTGAGAAAGGTCTGGTGACTAAGGGAGCCAAACCATCTTTTGAAGAACACCTTCCTCTTCTTTTTTGTCTAGGTAACCCTGACAGAGCTCGGCAGAGTGCTTAGGGTCATTGTCTTGCTGCAAAACAAACTTATGAGCCACAAGTCTGAGTCCAGATGGAGCAGCATGGTGCTGGAGGATGGAGTGGTACTGTTCCTTCTTCATGATACCCTTTACTTCAAACAAATCTCCTACTCCATCACCTGCAAAACATCCCCATACCATGGAACTACCACCTCCATGCTGAATTGTGGGTGTAACACATGGAGCTTTCAGACGTTCACCAGTTTGTCTGCGGACATAGACTCTGCGTTTTGAACCAAACAGTTCAAACTTGTTTCTAGTCATCATAAGTCCAATTTTTGTGAGCTTTTGCCCACTCATATCTCTTTTTCTTGTTCTGTGGACGAAGTAGTGTTTTTTTGCAGATACACAACCCTTCAGACCAGCCTTTCTCAAACGTCATTTCACGGTTGTCAGAGATATGGGTTCCTCCCTTATTTGTGGTGCTGTCTTTTGCAGATCTCTCTTACTGGTAACAATGCTATGTTTATCCTCTGCTTTTGTAGTAACTCTCTTTTGTCCAGGTCTTTTTTCTCTCATTATAACTTCCAGGTTCGTCTAGTCTCTAGATTTATTCAGATTTTTGTATGCAGACTCTTAAAAGCCAAAAAGTTGAAGTGAATAATCCAACAGTGATGTGTTTGTTTTTTTGCTTTTGCACTGAAGTTGTGACTCTTGCAAATGTTTTCAATCCTAAAACTAAGCCCTTATTATCTTTTGCTGACATATATTTAGCAATGGTATGTTCATATTAATGTATATCTAAAGGTAAATGGAGTAAAATGGTGCATTTCCATGAAAGCAACATCTGATCATGGAGTAAATACATCCCAAAATACATAAAACTCATGCTGGATTTAAAAAAAAGCATTGTGAACAAAAACTTGAAGTTACTCCCAACTGTTCGGCCTGTACTGTGTACAATGGCAGTAAAGGCGATTCTGATTCTGATTCTGATTCAATGAGAGTCAGTGAAGGTGTGTGGTGTTCCTCTGAGTCCAGCAGGGAGCAGCAGCCTCAGACTGACTCTAACACACGGCTTTTCTGTGTCTCTGTTTTCAGCTGATTCTGGATCACCAGGAGCCAGTCTGGGTCACTAGACCTGAGGTGGGGGAGGTCAAAGTCTGTTCTGTGACCTGTGACCTCTGCACCGCCAGCACAGGGAGGAGCCTGTTTCCTGGACGCAGGCTCTCAGGTGAACCTCAGCCAATCACAAAGCTTCTTCAGCAGCACAGAGTTCTCGCACATGGAGTCAAGTTTCACTTTTTCACTTTTTATTGAAATACCCCACCAGAAACAAAAAACAAAGATCCTCTTTTGATGACAGAGATCCTGTATTCATGACAGAGATCCTCTATTTGTGACAGATATCCTCTGTTTATGACAGTGATCCTCTATTCATGTATTCATAACAAAGATTTACTAATCGTGACAGAAATCCTCTAGTTATGACAGAGATTCTCTATTCATGACAGAGATCCTCTTTTCCGACAGAGATCCTCTATTCATGACAGAGATCCTCTATTCATATATTCATAACAAAGATCCTCTAATCCTGACAGAGATTCTCTAATTATGACAGAAATCCTCTATTCGTGAAAGAGATCCTCTATTCACAACATTAGACCCTGTATTCATGTATTCATAACAAAGATCCTCTAGTCATGACAGAGATCCTCTATTCATGACAGAGATTCTCTATTCATGACAGAGATCCTGTATTCATGTATTCACAACAAAGATCCTCTGTTCCTAACAGAGATCCTCTATTCATGGCAGAGATCCTCTATCCGTGACAGAGATCCTCTATCTATAATATAGATCCTGTATTCATGACAGAGATCCTCTGTGCATGACATAGACCCTGTATTCATATATTCATAACAAAGATCCTCTATTCATGACAGAGATCCTCTATTCACGACAGAGATCCTCTACTCATGTATACATAACAAAGATCTATTATTCATGACAGAGATGCTCTATTCATGACAGAGATCCTCTATTCATGACAGAGATCCTCTACTCATGACAGAGATCCTGTATTCATGTATTCACAACAAAGATCCTCTGTTCCTAACAGAGATCCTCTATTCATGACAGAGATCCTCTATCCGTGACAGAGATCCTCTATCTATAATAGAGATCCTGTATTCATGACAGAGATACTCTATTCAGAACAGAGATCCTCTATTTATGTATACATAACAAAGATCTATTATTCATGACAGAGATGCTCTATTCACGACAGAGATCCACTATTCATGACAGAGATCCTCTACTCATGACAGAGATCTTGTCTGAGTGATGATTTCTTCATTTAGAGCTCAGGTGTTCCTTCATGACAAACCTCTGTTTCTTTAGAGTTTTGGTAATCTTTAAAAGGATCAATATCGAGATCAAGTTGATCTAATCCAGTTTATCTTTGAGATTTAGGACTGAAGAGATCTGGATTATCTGATGCTGGATGTAAAAAAGGAATTAATAAACTGGGATCTGAGTTTGTCTAAAATCTTGAACCGAATTTTTTTTTTCTTTGGTCTTCCTTTGAAAAAATAAACTTCGACATTTACAGATTTGACTTTGATGGTTTTGTCTCAGAGAGGAGAAATAGCGCCCCCTGCTGTCTCACTGCACTTTTTTTCTGACATTCTGATTTATTTTCACTGCAAGATAAAAAACAAACTGTGAAGACAGGAAGAAAAAGGGCTCTTATTTTGAAAAATCACTTCTCTCCCTGTCTTCTCCATGGTTTTCTTTTTATCCTCCACATTTCATTTTAATCCTTGCAGCACTTTGTGAACAAACAGCACTTACATGTTTGTCTTAGTTTGTTTATTCTGTTTTAAATAGTTCTTATGTATCAAAATAAAAGCCCTCGGAGAAGGCAATATGGGACAGATTTGCCCTGCAAAAGTATAAGTCTGCTAAAATGTCATGTTTCTGTGCAGCTGTTTATCAAATAAATCTGAATAGGTTTGAAAATGAAACCAGACGAATGTTAAAGAAAAGATGGAGATGTTTTAAAAAGTCGACAGAATTTTTTTTTTTTATCAGGATAAAAATCAGAAAACAAAAGAACTTACAACAGATTTTGATGCTTTTCTTTATATTTCTTTTTCAATAAAAGAAAAAAAAAAGATTCTACAGACTCTCGTTGTCGTTTTTTTTACACATCTCATAGATTCATGGAGTCTCGGATCACTTATCCCAGGCCCCCTTTTAACCGCGACCTGGATGGATTAAAACCTACACAGTTAACAAGAGTATGTCCCCCTGTGTGTGTGTGTGTGTGTGTGTGTGTGACGGTTTGATCGTAATCAGAAATGTCTGTTATAGAGGAAAACTGCGTCAGTGTCAGCCCCCCACAGCGAGAAATGACAAGGATTGAGAGCAGGAAGTGACGGACGCCTCGAGCGCCACGTTTATTTCAGTCAGAGAGGAAGCTGCCTGACCCCCAACTGAGACAAACCTCCACAGATGGACCCCCATGTGAGGGTCCTTCTTGTCTGCACTTAAAACAAATCAACAAATAATGGGCATTTATTTTAAAATAGAAAAACTCCAACTCCCATGATTCATTTCACTCAAACAGCCAATCACAGATCTCAGTGTTTTGATGATTTTACAGTGCGTTTATATTTCAGGGTCGCCTGAATCAATCACTGACATTACCAGCTGTTTTAACACAGTGTCAGTCACTGCTGGCACCCCCCTACAAGTCGCTGTGTGTACTACAGGCCAACATGAGTCAGAGTGTGTGACGCACACACACACACACACACACACACACACACACACACACACACACTCAGGTGATTAAAGGTGTGTTTGATGTGAGAGCGAGTTTAAAGGTGTCTGAGTCTGTGACCTTCAGTGAAACCCTGCTGTCAGCTGATAACACACACACACACACACACACACACACACACACACACACACACACACACACACACACAAACTCTAAGGTTTTTCTCGATAACGGAGAAAAAAACTGAAGTGAATAAAGTTTCTGTCAGATTTATTTTGAACAATAAAGTTTTCTGGAAAAAACAAAACAAACAAAAAACTGTTTTTTCTCAAATGTTCAGGAAAAGATTAGTCCAAGAACTAAAGACCAGGGGCCTCATGTATCAACGCTGGCGGCGCCTGAAAACCTTGCGTTCGCCAAGATCGGCGCACACGTCCAGATTTATCATCGCGACACGAGCGTCGGTTCCAGCGCAAATCCACGCAAAGTGAGGAGGTGGTGTAGAAGTTGGCGTTGAGCCGATACTTGCGTTGACGGCACTTTGGCGACGCTGTGTGGCGGTGTTTGGTGACTCACTATGTGACAAGCGTGCACCACATCCCCGTGGCCGAACATGACGAACCAGCAGCAGACGGAGGGATGCGAGCTGCCCTGCCGGGCCGCCGTCCTCGCGCGGGAGAATCTCATCGCCACAATGTGAATGGGTAAGAAGTGAATACACAGTTCAATGAGCCAAATTAATTTATTTTCGCCACCAGACGCTCGAGGACATTTACGAGGCGGTCCAGCCGCTCGTTGATCCCCGCGATCCCCCTGATGATTTCTTCCTGCGATTGCAGGACTGCCTCCGTGAGGACCCTTCCACTGCGTCCGGGTGGTCCAGCTGAAGCGCCGCGGCTGGTGGACGCTCCACGGCTTGTCTGTGCCCTGGTGCTGGTGCTGGGGCCAGGTCCTGGGCTGGCCCAAATGCTGCTGGTCCTGGCCGACGACTCCGAGCTGGCGGACGGGCTGCCGCAGGCTGGGGTTCCGCAAGCCAGCGACACGGCCGACACATTAATTTCTGTGACACAATAAAAATATTAGTTCATTTCAATTCCTGCTTCTGTGTATCTGTTGCATTTACATCTATGGCAAAGCACGTGGACATTTGTGTGACACGCCACTTACCTCCGGCAGGCTGTCTGAGTCGCCGCGGGTAGCGGCGACAATCCCCCCCACAGAGGTGCCCCCCATAATCGCCACCACCCACTGCTCAAACGGCGTGAGGGTCTCCTCCCCCGGACCCCCACCTGTCTGGCCGGTACTCCTCTGGAGGGCAGCTGTACGCCGCTTGACCTCCACCTTGAGGTCCGACCACTTTTTTTTTAATCACCGCAGGGGTGCGTGACTCGGAACCCACCGCGTTCACCCTCTCGCAAACTTTCTCCCACTCCGAGTGTTTTCGTTTTGCACTGACGCCACTGGACAGGCTGCCAAACAAAACACGCTTTCGCTCCTCCACCTCGCACGCCGTAAATTTCGTTTTTCTTGTCATTTTGTCTGCGAGCGAGGACAGGGAGACCCTATTTAAATAAATCTGCATATTTATAGGAGGGCGTAACGGGGGCGGGCCCGGTCACTCCGACATCTGCGCTGAATTCCACGCTGATTGGGATTTATCAAGGAAACACACGTGGATTTCGGCGCCCGCACACATTGATACATACAGATTTTTTTCAGCGTGATGGACCTTGCGTGCGCTCGTTTCTGGTATGAGTTCCACGCAAGTATTGATACATAAGGCCCCTGGACTTAGACTTAAACTTAGACTTGGACATGGACTCGGACTTGGTGTGGACTTGGAACAGACTCGTACTTCAACTCTGACTTTGATTTGGACAAAGACATGGATTTGAAAGTTGACTCAAATTTGGACCTGGACTTGGACACAGTTTCTCAGTAGAAAGTGAAACCGCGTCCCTCTGAGTCCCGGTCTTCCTCCTCTTCTCTGATTAGATCATTTTTCTCCTGAAGGTCTCTGAGGCTCTGAGGTCGAGCTGTCTCTTCTTCTTCTTCTTCTTCTGTGGTTTTCTGAATAACACTGAATAAACAGTGAGGATGATGTCACCGGCGGCCTCGACTGTCTGCTCTCTCTTTCTCTCTGACGGGAAATTTATCTTCCTGTAGTTTCAGAAACGAGCCGCAGATCAAACATTTGAATAAAGTGAATAAAGGTCAGGGTGGAGGAGAAAAAGGCGAATGTAAATCAGGAAAAAACGAGACGGTCAGGTTTTCTCGTGTTTCTGTCGGCATCTCTTTAGGAACTTTTTTCTGATGATCTGTGGGTCAAACCGTCGCCTGACACTGATGTGGACATTAATCGATATAAAAATTTATTTCACATTTGTACTTTTAGTCCTGTCTGACACACTCTCAGGTCTGTGGTCGTTCTGTTTCGTCGCTCAGGTTGACATTTAACCAATAATGAGGGCGAGATGAAAGTGAGGGCTGAACTCGCTCTGATCGAATCGGCGAGGAGCCTCGGGTCGCCTCACGCCACAAATCAGACAAGGAAAAGGGCAGAAAACGTTTCGCCCTGCGTCATCGCTAAACACCGTTCTGATGTGAGGTGGGCCCAGGTGCATGATGGTAGATTTCTCCACAAACGGGTCCAAAATAAAGACATAATTCCCAGAGGTCCTGACCTTTGACCTCCACAGAAACCAGCAGGTGGAGAAAAGGGTCGTCAGTGACTCGCTGTGTTTGTTCCCAGAAGGCAATAAAGTCGATAAACTCGGTGGCGTTTTCATCTGCACTTTTTAACGATCAGCTGATTCTTCTTCACTTTTTAATTATATGCTGTTTTTAACTTTAGATATCTGCTCTTCTCTCACACAAAAACAAAAAATTTAATAAAGACAAAAAAATCAAAAACAAATAAGAGACAAAAAAATAAAAAAAGAGAGAAAGAAAAACTCCAGGACAAAAAAACAGATTTACACAAAATCCACAAAAACAAAAAACATATGTAGATGAGGTTATTAATTAATCAATAATTAATCACTCAACAGATTAAGATGAACTAACAGGTGATCTTTTCGCTCCTCTGAGGTCAATCTGACCTTTACCTTTGACCCACACCGTGACCTTTGACTCTCCAGAACACACGTATGGACAAGAAGCATCGAGCGTTTTAATATGAACACAGAAACACTGAAACACCATCAATCAGATTTATCTGATGGGCTGAAGGGGAGAGAAGGGAGAGGAGGGGGAGGAGAGGGAGGAGGAGGAGGGTATAAATACAGGAGGATGAGGAGGAGGACACACTCAGCTGAGAGAAGAAGAAGGAGCAGCAGGAGGAGGACAAAGACACCATAGAAGAAGAAAAGTGGTGAGTTGAGTTTTTAGGATATCTGTGAAATCCTCATCTTCGTCTCCTTCTTCAATCTTCTTCATCATCACTCTGCTCGCAGGTTTTTAACCTGCATCTGAAGATGGAGAGCATTCGCACCGTGGTCTACCTGTCCGTCTGTCTGTCTGTGATGACATCACTCTGTCAGGGTCAGAGGTCAGCCGATAACCACCTGCCGTCTGCACCTGACGAGCCGCTCATGGGACTCACAACCAAAGACCTGGTGAGTCATTTGTTGTGGTTAGGATCTTTGGAGTCAGTGAAAATGAGATGTCTGTGTGAAAGTCGTATTTTCATCAAAGTCTCTTTGTTTTTTTTTAAATTATTATTTTTATTTTGTAGATTTTAAAAGTTATTAAAGAGAACGATGAGCTTAAATTAAGAACATTAAAGTTTTCAGGATTTGTTTATTATTTAAATATTTGAAATGATAAACACACATTTAAAACAGGTCTTTTATTGTGAAAATTAAACTAACTAAACTAACGAGTAAAAAAAAAATGAATTAAGAGTTTTCATAAATTACATTCAAATCATAAGATTTTCAAAGTAAAGCCATTTTTATACTGATACTTTTCTGAGAAATGTATTAGAATGAGTTGAAAAAATTTGTTAAAAAAGTTTGATGAAAAAATATCACAGTGAAGTATATTCATTAAACTGTTAGTATAGTAGCATATGTATATAAAGTTTAGTAGTATAATAAAAATGTCATGGTATCATATGAAAAAGATATATTACGGTACAAAAAAATGTCATAGTGTAGTATGTTAAAAAAATGATGTTTAAGTATTAAAAAAAATCATAGTATAGTATTATAAAATGTCAAAGTATAGTTTGATAAAAATGTCACAGTATTGTTTGATAAATATATCATTGAATGAAAAAAATCATTGTTTACTATGATAAAAATATAGAGGATATATTAAAATATAAGTATATTATGGGAAAATTGCCATTGTATAGTATGTGAAAAATATTATAGTTGAGTATTTTAAAAATATCATAGTTAAGTATCTATATAGTAAAGTATAATAAAATATAATAAAATGTCATTTTATAGTATGAAAAAAATATTGAATTTTAACAAGAAAAAAACGTCATAGTACAGTATATTAAAAAATATCATAGTATAGTAAAATGTCAAAGTATTGTATGATAAAAGTATCAAATGTTGGTGTTATTGTTATTGTATAGTATGTTAAAAAAATTTGAATTTTAGTATTAAAAAAATCATAGTACAGTATGTTGAGAAAGTCATAGTTTGGTGTGATAAAAATTTCAAGTTTATTATGATAAAAACTGTCATAGTATAGTATGATGAATGATGTCATGATATAGTATGTTAAAAAATTTTGCACTCCAATGTGATAAAGAATTCAAATTTTGTTTGAAAAAACTGTCATAGTACAGTATGTAAAAAAATTTCATAGTATAGTATGATAAAACTGTAACTGCACAGTATGATAAAAATTTCAAAATTTAGTTTAGAAAAATTTCAATAGTATGTTATTAAATGTCAGTAAAAGAATGATAAAGATGCCATTGTTTATTATGATAAACATTTAAAATTTTAGTAAACTCAAATATACTCATTTGAGTTCAAATTCTAGTAGGTAAAAAAGTCATACATGAGTATGAAAAAATATCAAAGTATAGTATGTAAAAACAATGTCATAGTATAGTATGAAAAAAAATGTCATGGTATAATATTGTTTAAATTTTCATATTTTAGTATTATAAAATTCATATTTTACTATGAAACAAATGTAATAGTATTTTACAATAAAAAGGTCATAGTATAGTATGTTAAAAAATTAAGATTTTGGAACGAAAAAAATAATAACAGTTAAGTATTAAAAAAATGTCATAGTATGGTTTGATAAAAAAATCATATATAAGTATGACAAAACAATGCAAGTATAGTATGAAAAAAAATCATAGTAGAGCATGTTTTAATTTACATATTTTAGTAATTAAAAATTCATATGTTTGTATAAAACAAATGTCATAGTAGTTTAAAATTAAAAGGTCATGGTTTAGTATGTTAACAATGTAAAATTCTAGTAAGAAAAAAAATAACATTTAAGTATGAAAAAATGTTATAGTATAATTTGATAAAAAATGTCATAGGATAGTCTGTTAAAAATTTCAAATTTGAGTACGTAAAAACAATGTCATTTTATAGTATGAAAAAAATACCATGGTGTAGAATGATAAAAATTGATATTTGAGTATGAAAAAATAATGTCATTGTATAGTATGATTAAAATGTTATAGTATTTGACAACAAAAAGGTCATAGTATAAAATGTTGAAAATTTTAAATTCTAGTAAGATAAATAAATTCATAGTTTAGTATAAAAAATGTAATAGTATAGTATGATAAATATTTCATAGTGTAGTATGATAGAAATTTCAGATGAGTATGAAAAAATAATGTCATTGTATAGTATGATTAAAATGTCATAGTATAGTATGTTTAAATTTTTATATTTAAGTTTAAAAAAAGTCATTGTATTTCATGATAAAAATGTCATAGCATAGTATGTTAAAAATGTAATATTAGTATGAAAAAAATTCATGTTTTAATATATATATTTTTTTTTTAATGAAACAAATGTCATAGTATTTTACAATAAAAAGGTCATAGTAACATATGCTGAAAATGTCAAATTCTAGTATGAAAAAAATGTCATAGTTAAGTTATTTAGAAATGTAATAGTATAGTATGATAAAAATGTCATAGAATTGTATGTTGAAAATTTTAAATTTTATTATGAAAATAATGCCATAGTATTGTATGGTAAAAACTTCATATTAAAGTATCAAAAAGTAATGTCATAATTTATTGTGAAAAAATGTCATATTTTTGTATGAAATTTTTTTTCAGTTAGTTTGAAAAAATTACGTATTTTAAAGACAGATGTCATTGTACAGATGATTAAAATGTCATAGGAAAGTATGATGAAAATCTGAAATTCTAGAATGAAAAAAATGTCATTGTTTAGTATAAAAAAAATTTTAGTATAATAAGAATGTCACATTGTAGTATGAAAAATGGTATATTCTAGTATGAAAAAAAGTCATAGCACGGTTTAAAAAAAAAAAGCCATACTATAGAACGTTAAAAATGTCATATCGCAGTGTTAAAAAAATGCTGCTCATGTCAGGGTATGATAAAAAAGTCATAGTATAGTATGATAAAATGTCATGGTATTGTATGATAAAAATGTCAGACCCAACTCGTCTGCCAAATTTCATGAGCTTTTAAGCCCATCTAAAGGGGTTTTAAGTTGAAAAACTTTTAATCGTAATAATAATTATATCAATAATAATAATAATTAATCATTCCTACGTGTTGACACGGGTCGTAATAATAAATAATAAACTCGGACTGAAATCAACATGAAGACACAAATGTCAATGCAAAGTGTCACAAAACAAATGTGAGAAGAAAGAAACACAACTAATAAAATGATCAAAGAGTTTCAACAACAAACAGAAAAAAAAAACAGATAAAATACACAAAATAACAAAATTAATACAAAACAAACATTTTCCCAAAGAGACAACAAATATAAAGAGGAACAAAAAGTTACAGGAACAAACAAACAGGAAGAAGTAACAGAAAAAAACATGCAGCTTGTTTTTGTCTTTGAATGTTTGTATTTTCAACTTTTATATTTTCTGCTCATAATGAATGACTTAAAAATGTTTAAAACTATTATTTTGATTTTACATTAACATAGTTTTTAATTTTTTTTCTTTTTTGTGTGAATAAAAACGTGATAATGTAGTAATGTGTAAAAAAGAAAAGAGGAAAAAGCAGCTGCAGCTGGTGAGACAGATTTAATATGAATCAGAAACAAGGTTTCCAGGTTACTGATCAATTCAACATTTAGACTTTATAACGATCATTAAACTGTTTTATTCAGTTCTACCAAAAGTATAATTTCCTTAAAAATAAAAGCATAAAAGACAGACTCAAAAATATCTTTAAGACCATGGAGGGTGGAAAAACAGCAGAATATTCCCTTTAAAGGGTTGAAAGTGTGAACATTGATCTATGTGTGTGTGTGCGTGCATAGGCTGAAGCTCTGCAGGGTTTCCTGGATGAAGCTGACAGCAGCGTCGGTCTCTCTGTGGAGAAGAAAGCCAGCGTCATCCCTCGGGTGAGAACATGACTGACAGCTGTCAATCAAACTCCACCTCATCTGGTTTTATTTTAACCTGGAAGTGTTAATGTGACATCATTTCCTCTGACTGCCTCTCTCTCTCTCTCTCTCTCAGTGTGACGTGGGCGAGCGATGTGCAATGAAACATGGACCTCGGATCGGTCGACTTTGCGACTGTCTGAGAGGAACGGCATGCAATACCTTCTTTCTGCGCTGCTACTAAACATACACACACACAGACACACACACACACACCTGTCTCGCCGGACAGTCTCTGCATGTTTCCATCTGTTTTTTCTCGCTCTGGTGTCCGTCCCTCAGATTCATTTATTTTTGTTAAATAAAGATTCTCCATTAAGCTGCTCGACTCTGATGTTCTGATTATTATTCTTCCTAAAAACTGCAGTACCTGTGCTGTCCACTAGAGGCTGTGTTCTGCAGTGAGTCAGTCTCCATAGAGCCCCATGTGAAAACTGTCTCTGCACTGAAAACCTTCACTGGACTCCCTGTAGTAGACCCTCCAGGAATCTGAAGAGAAAAAGTTATGATTCCGCAGAGAACAATCCTGATTCTGCGTAGAGCAATTCTTGAGTCAGCGGAAATCCGCAGCTTGTTGTTTTGACTTTGATATAGTTTGTAAAATTATGATCTTGGGATGTTACTCAGGTGTCATAAACACTAACAGGCGTCCGTCTTTTTTCGAGATGGCTATGGCGGTAGTCATGGTTACAACAACAAAATATGTGAGTCGTGCGCTGCGCCGTGCATTCCGTCCTTTGTCTGTATGGTCCTGAGCGTTAGCATTTAGCATCGCCGTAGCTAATTGGCTTTGCACTGCAAGGCTGCAAGGTTCGAGTGCAAAAATCTTATGTTGTAACAGAGCTCTGGTTGTAATTTTTTTCTATAGTCATGTCTTCCTCCTTCAGCGTGACCCTCCTGGCGACTATAAATTAAATGTCATAAGTTAGCATGGAAAAAATAATTACATTGTATAGTGTGATGAAAATGTTATTGTGTAGTATGTTTAAAATTTCATATTTTAGTTTGAAAAATTTCTTAGTATAGTGTAATAAAAATTTCATAGTAAAGTATGATAAAAATTTCATATTTGAGTAGGAAATGATTATGTCATAGTATAGTTGTAAAAAAATTTAAATTTTATTATCAAGCCCTGAAATGGCTTAATAACGAGCTAATCATTTGAATCAGGTGTGTTGAAGCAGGGAAACATCCAAAACATGCAGGACGGGGGGCTCGAGGACTGGACTTAAGAACCACTGCCGTAGGCGGAGATTAAAAAGCCAATTTTTTCCGTCATTTTTCAGTCAGGTTCTTATATCTTTCCCCTTTGTGTAACACTACTTTGGGCACAGGATAAAAGCTTTTGTTTTTTCCCTGTTCGATCAATTCGAGCAGCTGTAAACGGAGCAAAACATTGGCATGTTGCTGGTCTCTATAGCAGCAACTCACTTCCTGCCCTCCACCTGTGCCACGTTACACAGAAGTGACGTCAAGTGAAAACCTCCTATTGGAAATCAAAAACGGGAAATCAATCCGTTTTGCGTCTGATCATAAAAATCTGACAACGAAAAACAACTCAGTATTTGACTTTCTGTGATGTGGCTTTAACCGGAAATCGAAGATCAAAATACGTGCATGGAAATCTTGTGTTTCAAGTTTCATTCACTTTTTTGTCGCGATGTGGAAGTTGTGATTTGGACCGACTGAGCAAGAGGCTCTCGCTAGCACAGCTATATACACCAGATACACCAGTGTGCTGTTGTAGCCCACTTAGCAACGTGCTTACAAAGCAGCCATCTTGGTGCGTAGAACGTTCCCATTAAAGGCATTAGACATACATAGAAAATAAATATTCTGCTCATTTCTCAATGGTTTACTTTATACTGACTGAGTTGTTTTTTTCGTTCACCGATTTTTATGTTTAAAAGGAATATTGGAAACATTTTTTTCTTATTCCCTACTGGTCGTCGGGAGACGGCCCATCTCCTGATTTTTGTTTTTTTTATTCGAAAACAAAAATCCATTGGCCGCCAAGTACATGGACCGGACAACTGGACAAGTACGTCCATTTGTCCTTTCCATGCGGTGATTCCATGTGGTAGACGATAAAATGCACTTGTCTAATAACCAGCAGAGATTTAACGATCAGTTTCTGCTTCATTAGCATCCTAACTTCGCAGAAGTACCAGCAGAACCATACGGTAGTTCTCCTTGTTGTCCAGTAGAGGGCGCCCTTTATTCACTGTGGCAGATCCTACAAAAAAGAAATATCCAAAAATCACTTCCTGTCTGAAGTTTCTGTCGCACTTTGAGGTAAAAATAGTTGTCAAGCAGAAACAGACATGAACAAAGACTTGGAGATCAATCATCCTCCATCCATCAGCCCTTCCTGATTAGACCCCCAGAGAGGCTGATTGGCCCCGGGGCCTCTTCACTCCACCACCATCAACACAATCACAGAAACAACTACAGCAACCCCCCGCCGCCGCCACTGCTGCCTTCATCAGCCTTTATTAACCTGTGAGAACAGCAGCAGAGCTGACAGATTCAGATCCTTCATCAACACCTCTGCTGGCAGTTCACATGTTTACAAAATAAAAGCATAAACATGACAGCTAAGTGGAAGAGGTACTTTCAAAATAAAACAGTCCAAGCATTGTGATCTAAAATGACTTCAGTGTGAGCGACGAAAACTTCTAAGTTAAAACTCTACAAAGAAGAACTCCTACAATGACTTTTCAAAATAAATGCCTGTTTTATCAAAGAAGGATAAACAGCATTCCAGACTAAAAATGTCAAAATAAAAGCATTCTACAGTATAACTGGGTGATTAACAATTGAATATCTTTTCAGAATAAAAGCACAATTTGTATTTACAAAAATGATAAAGAGCACACTGAAAGGACAGTAAAAACTTCTGTACTTATAATCTGATGTCAAAGACTTATTTCCAAAATAAAAGAACTTTTCACAGTTTTGAATCTGAAAAGAACCTTTATAATAATAATAATAACAATAATAATAATTTTAAAAATATATAATAATAATAATTATTATTATTATTATTATTGTCATCATCATCATCATCATTATTATTTATTCATTTATTTTTTTTAGATTATTATTTTTTTATAAACGGTACTAACATTCATGATGAGATGAGAAGATGGACATGACGCTGAATCTCTCTGAATTTAATCGGACGTTTCAGTTTCTTTTTTTCTGCAGATAACATAAAATCGATCGTCATTAAAATGTTCACAGAAATTTGTTGAATTTACGGTTATTATGTTTGAGGAAGATTCATTTAGCTCTCATCTCCCATCTGTTAACATGGAGGAGGAGGGCTTTACTGCGGCTGGTCAGCAGGGGGCGCTCTAAATGTTTTACGCTTCAGCATTACAAACTCAATTCATATCAATAGAAAAGGAAAGAAGCTGGTCCTGACGGTGTTCGCCCCGATATTCACCAATAACTTTGAAAGTTCCCTCCATCAGTGAAAGGAGGACTCTGTGACCACTCCGGCTCCTAAAAACAGTAATTTATTGTCTCTCAGTGACGACAGACCGATCGCCCTCACTCCTGTCTTCATGAAATCATTTTAACGCATCATTCTCTCTCACCTGAAAAAAATCACCACACCCCCTTAGTGGACCGTTTACAGTTTACATACCGGGCCAACAGGTCTGTTGAGGATGAACTTTGTGCTCCACAGGATACTCCAGTCCTCTCACACCTATGCCCGTGCTCTGTTAATAGATTTTAGCTCTGCCTCCAACACCATCGACCCCGTCTCTGTAACAAACTCATAGACGTGAACATTGATATCACCCTTTACCTCTGGATTAGGAGCTTCCTGTCTTCCTGAAAAATAAATAAGTAAATAAAAACAATAAAAATAAAAATAATTATCTATGCCCAGTCGCCCTCCTTTGTGTGTATTATTGAATATATTAAATGAATAAACAATGATTTTCCTAAAATGTGGTGCTGCTGATCACATGAGAGTTACCTGAAAGTTGTGACTGTATGTGATTGTTCATTTGGCTGGTGTGCCATGGTGGTGGTGGGGGAGTAATCCTGCCTAGGGCACTAATTTAGGTAGTCCTCACTTCATCAATAATCAATAATAGTCTGGACGGAAACTCAGTCACTCATTCACAAAACTTCAACGTTTAATCATCAGATCATCCAAAATCACTGACCACACCCTCCCATCCAAAAAGACATGTCACAAAGCAAGCGCTGAAAATCACCTCAGACCACACACACCACCTGTTCACACTCATGACCTCTAGGGGGCATTACAGGTCTTTGACAGCTGACTCAGCCAGATTCAAGAATAGTTTTTCCCCCACTGCCATACAGACACTAAACCAACATCTGAAGTAATCTACATCTACATCTTTTCTCTTGTAATGTTGCATGTTTTGATTTCTGCATGTATGTTTCTGACTCAGCAGATGATCCAAAGCTCTGCTGTGTGAGCGTTAATAAATAAAAGTAAAGATGATTTCTGGAACTGAATTTTTACCCTTCAAGTGGAGGAAACCGGTCTGTACTCGAATCATCAGCTGTATGATGTCATCAGTGTGATCATCCAATCAGAGACGAGCTGCGTCTGATTCAGGGAACCTTTAAAATGAATGGCTATCACGCAGACTTTATCGACGAGGATCACAGAGACAGGATGGTATTTAAGTCCCAGCAGAGAGAGATAGGACATGCTAATTACAGCAGACACACACACACACACACATACGCGGTCGTGTTTTTACAGTCAGGATTTCATGGACACACTCTCTGCTTCATCGTCTTTATTTAGAAATCATCATTTACATTTTTAAAGTCACATTCTGCAGATTTACAGACCGATCCAAACCATTAAAGGAACATCTGAACTTAAATTAACAGGAACTAAAAACAGGAAGGACCACCCGGAGGATAAAACCAGACGCTCGGCTGTTCATCTGAGTAAAGTTCACGTTCAGATTCAAACCTGCAGGTTTCCTCAGACTGGACTCTTAAAGTTTGTGTTTCACACTCCAGGACTCAGTCCACATTTGAAACAGTTTAAACCCAGTTTTAAGACGTGAGAGACATTTACTCTGCATTTACGGCAACACCACTTGGACAAATTCCATACATAACACAGTTTATGGTCTTTGGGATCAACTGACTGCAGAGAGAAAGTCAAGAGTAACGAGAACTAGGGATGGGAATTGATAAGATTTTATCGATTTCATCATCGATTCAATTCTTTAACGATTCCCTTATCAATGCCTTTCTTTGATTAAAAAATAGTAGACTATAGGTTTTCACCGTTCACTCAAAATTTTGAGTCTCTGATGACAGAAACAGATGTATGCCACCTTCAGTAAGAGTCTTAAATTATTAAACATAATATTATTTGTACAGCATTTCTGGCATGTATTGTGTTTATGTTAACACAGGACATACGTTAGGGTGACCATATTCTGAATCCCCCAAAAAAGGATACTACTACGCAGGGCAGACTTGTGTGTGCAATTTTGAGATTTTTTTTTTTTTTTTTTGGTCGGGTCGAGTGTTTTTATTCCCCTTCTAACTCATTTAAAGGCATATTTTAAATTCCCAAAGACAGCGCATGTGTGCGTCGCGTCAGTGGCTTTGCTTAGAAGTGAGCGGAGGGGTTATATAAACTCCCCTGGACAACCCCCCAAAAGAGGGGGGCTGCTCGAAATAATCCAAGTTTTTCTTACCACTGGGTGGATTCAAAAGAGTGTGCCTTTCATGATTTCATTCAGACTATTTAGATAAGCCGAAAAACAAAAGCCTTCTGATTTGGAATATTTGCTGTCCCGAAAATATAATGTTCTCTACCTTGACAGCTTACTGTACAGTTTATATACCCAAGTACACCTCTATATGTGCATTTTTGAGACATAACAGAATAAAAGTTTGCTGTTCCATTTGACATGTTGTCATGATCCAATACTCATGTTTTTTTTAAATATGAGATCATTTTCTTCCACTTTAAGAAGCTAATGAACAGATGGGATGCAATTTACAGCACAACACCAGAGGAGAGCATACAATACATGTGACTCCTTAGATTTGATGCTGTGCTCCGTTGACAAATGTTGAAGCATGTTTCTGGTGTTTCCACCTTTGTATGTTATCACTGCTCAACAAATGTTGCACTGTTGTTGTCTTTTATAGTAAAATTAAGCCACACTTTAGCTCATTTCTGCCACCTTTTTGTATCGTCCGACATGTTTTTTCCTCTCTCCTTGTTCCCGTTCGCGTAAACTGGCACACACAAGACCGTTTTTAAACGAAGAGGAAGAGGAAAACTCACCCAACAAATAAAATTCACGATGAAAACTCTCAGTGTTTCTGACAGCAGCTCCACATTCTAATCAGTTTTCATGTTTAGACACTGAACAACAAAATTCTGTTTTCAGGTGTTAAAAGCATCAACTCATCTCATTAGGTTCTGTGTCAAAGTTACTCCACCTTTATTTTCATTTCATATAAAAACAAGAAAATGTCTCAGCTGAAAAAAGTAGGACGTCTTATAACCAGGAGACTTTTCAGACTGACTCATTGACTTTAGATTTCTCCTCTATAACACTCTGATTCTTAGTTGATATGAGACTGCGTCATTTTTCTACAGAGTTGGAATTTAAAGCAGAGTGAAGCTCTTTAGAAACATTTGATTCAGTTTTTTTCAGTTTACTGTCCTGTAGCTCCAGAGTTTGGACTTTACAGCTAAATGGTTTCTCCTTCTGATGAATGGCCATGTGCTCTTTTAAGTTTCCCTTCTGTGTGAATTTTTTTCCACACACAGAACAGCTGAAGGGTTTCTCTCCTGTGTGCGTCCTCATGTGTACCTTCAGACTTGACTTGCAGCCCATTCTTTTCCCGCACTGAGGGCAGTCGTAGGATTTCTCTCCAGTGTGCAGGGCCATGTGTTCAGTCAGACTGCCACTCTGCGTGAACTTCCTGTAGCAGAAGGAGCATTTGAAAGGTTTCTCTCCCGTGTGCGTCCTCATGTGCACTCTCAGACTCGTCTTGCAGCCTGTTCTCTTCCCACAAACGGAGCAGCTGTAGGGTTTCTCTCCTGTGTGGATCCTCATGTGTGTCACGGCATGCTCTTTTCGTGTAAACTGTTTATGACAGAAGGAGCAGCTGTAAGGTTTCTCTCCTGAGTGGAACCTCATGTGACGAGCAAAGTTTTCCTTCCGGGAGAAGTTTTTGCTGCAGACGGGGCAGGTGAACGGTTTCTCATCTGTATGAAACTTGCTGTGGCGGACCAACGTTTCCTTGTAGGCAAATTTTTTATCACAAACTGAGCAATGGAATGGTTTCTCTCCAGTGTGGGACCTCATATGCTTATTTAGATTTCTCTGACGGCTAAATTTTTTGTTGCATGTCGAACAGTTAAATCTTTTCTTGTCAGTTCTTTGAGTTTCTTTGGGTTTTACAAAAACTTCCTTTATGGGATCAGCCTGATTTCCTCTCTTTACATCTTCAACGTCTGTCTCCAGTTCAGAACAATCATCAGTTTTGACCTGAGTCTCTGGTCGTACGTGTTTCTTTACATCTGAGGACCTGGCTCGTTCTGGTCCTCCACAGCTCTGTCCATTACCTCCTGGTTCTGCTGCTATCTTGAGTTGGTTCTGATGCAATTCTGAAGCCTGATTTCCAACACAGTCATGTCTTTTTATCTGTGAGCGCCAAGCAAATCTTTGACCACAAACGCTGCAGCTGAAGGGTTTCTCACCCGTGTGCAGAACCATGTGTTGTTTAAGACTACACTTCTGTGTGAATCTTTTGCCACAAAGTGAACAACCAAATGGTTTCTCTCCTGTGTGAGTCCTCATGTGTGTCTTTAGATGTCCGCTATAGCCCAGTCTTTTCCCACATATTGGACAGATGTATGGTTTCTCAACAGGAGACATTGAAATTTGACAAAGTGGGAGTAAATCCTTCATGCTCAAATCTAAACCAAACGGATTTCCTCTGGTCTCTTTGCAGTCTTTGTCTCTAACTTCAGTCTCAGGGTCAGAAAAATCCTCGATCTTGACCTCGATCTCAGCTTGGGAAAACATCTCCTGATCTGAGCTCTTAGCTAGTACTGGTCTTCTACAGTCCTCTCCTTCAGCCCCTGGGTCTGAATTGTAGTTCTGATGACACTCTGACCCCTGACCTCCAACACACTTGTGTATTCTTAACTGAGAAGGCCAAGAGAATCTCTGGTCACAAACGCTGCAGCTGAACGGTTTCTCTCCAGTGTGAAGCGCCATGTGAAACTTCAGCGTAGAGTTTTGTTTGTACGCTTTCCCGCACACAGAGCAGTGGAACGGTTTCTCGTCTGTGTGGACCACCATGTGTTGAGCCAGATTTTTTTTGGTTCTGAATTTTGCGTCACACTCAGAGCAGCTGAAGGGTTTCTCCCCGCTGTGAACTCTCAAGTGTGCCATCAGATTTTCTTTAGTTTTAAGAGATTTACCACAGTCAGGACAGTCGTACAGTTTCTCCCTTGTGTGAATAATCATGTGTTTGTTCAGATTGACTTTTTGGTAAAAAAAATGTCTGCACTCAGAGCAGCTGAAGGGTTTCTCTACAGTGTGAATCTTCATATGTCTGGTCAGATTCAGTCTCCTGGTAAATGTTTGTTCACACTCAGAGCAGCTGTGGGACTTTGGACCCATCTCTGGTCTCTCATCTTCAGGGACTTTTTTAAATCCTGACTGATGCTCTTTAGTCTCCCTACACTCATTACTTTCTTCAGTCTCAGTTTCAGAAAAGTCTTCAGTTTTAAACTCACCCAAAGGTCCAGGTGAGGACTGAGGTTCCTCTTCATCATCTTCACTCTTCACACAGACAGGAGTGAAGGAGAACTTGCTGGTATCAGCCTCCTCTAGTCCTTGAAGCTGCTCTCCCTCCTGACTGTTCCACACTTCCTCCTCTTCCTCTTTAATGTGGGGGGGTTCTGGTTTTGTTGGGTCCTGCTGGTCCAGACTGGAGTTCCACTTCTGCTGCTCCGGAGACACTTGTTTCCTCAGAGACTGCTGCTGCTGGACGTATGCAGGACATGCTGAAAGACAGAAACACATCAGAATCTGCTGACTGGTGCATGAGGAGGGTGTGAGGCAAATTACAGATGACTGTTTTTTGTATGTTTGTGTGAAAGAGTTAAAAAAAAAGTTAAATTAATTTGATCTTTAAACATCTTCACACTCTTCACTTTCTCTCTCTGTAAATCAAACACTGATGCCTCTTTCTCTTTTGCTCAGAACAGCTTGGAGTTGATATCAGGACTGAACTTTTGTCAGATGTTTCTGCTCCTTTTGGATTCTATCAAACCCAAATTTAGATCAGACTTTATCATTCACCGCAGCACCATCGAGAGCATCCTTACCAGCTGCATCACAGTCTGGTACGGTAACTGCTCCACTGAGGATCGGAAGGCACTGCAGCGGGTGGTGAAAACCCCCCGGCACATCACTGGCTCTCCACTCCCCACCATTGAAGTTGTCCACAGCAGGTGGTGCCTACGGAGGACACGCAGCATTGCCAGGGACAACTCTCACCCAGGACACAGACTGTTTACCCTCCTCCCCTCCGAGAGGCACTACAGGTCCCTCCATTCCAGAACCTGCAGGTTCAGGAACAGCTTCTGCCCCTCCGCTGTCACCCTGCTAAACTCTACTCAGAGGTGACCCCCACATCTAAGACTAATCTCACTCCGCTGTATCTGTATACATATTTTATCCAACTATTTATTTAATAACTGTACCTATTCCTACTCCTACTACTAAATATCTTACCGTTTATATTCTTCAACGCACCCACTCTTTAATAGCATTTTCTCTTTTTCACACCTCCATTAATCAGTATACTGTATATATACACTACAGGCCAAAAGTTTGAAAGCAAGGCCATTACAGGCCAAACAGTTGGGAGTAACTTCAAGTTTTTGTTCACAATGCTTTTTTTTAAATCCAGCATGAGTTTTATGTATTTTGGGATGTATTTACTCCTTGATCAGATGTTGCTTTCATGGAAATGCACCATTTTGCTCCATTTACCTTTAGATATACATTGATGTTGACTAGAGATGCAACGATTGCAATATTCTTGGCCGATTCCGATTTCCGGTTTTAAAGGAAGTCTGACCTGCCAAAACCGGTTTTTCCGATACCGATTTTCTATCTGAGAAATAATTATAATCATATAATAGACACCATATTTGTTTGGCTTGAGTACCCATTCCCAATTTTAATTTAAGTACCCCTCTCCCAGACAACATTTTGCTTAACTGCAATTAAAAGCACAACTAATGGTAGGCTATATGCTATCATAACCCCCCCTTTTCAAGAATAAAATCTCACAAATAAGAAATAGAGTGAGAGTTTCAACAGTGCCTCCTGAGCAGATTTATTTTCTACACTGACCATAACATTCAGTCCAGTTTACAGGTCAGTAACTAACTTACATTCAAACAACATTCAAAAACGTCCCAGCATTTGCCAGGTACAATGTAATTTATTGACTACCCCTCCAGTACCTCTCTCAAACGACTCTGGCAGCGCTGTGTCAGAAAAGTACCGCCTACTTGGTAGTTTGTACCAATCAACGCCTAAGACATTTGGAAGAACAAACTTAATACGCCACTTGGAAAAGAAGCACCCAGGCTTGTGTAGCAGATATAAGGAATACACTGCCGTCGCAGCGACCACAACAACCCTCCGCCGTGGCTCCTATGTTCGACATCAACACTGAAAAGTCCAAAGCCACCACCAGGAAAATAATGGAGTTCGTGGCACTGGAGGACCAGCCGTTTAGCGTAGTACAGGGTAAAGGCTTCGTAAATCTGATGAAACACCCTACTTGGTCATTTGTACTTTGGACTCAGGTGTTTCACCAGATTTACGATCGAGGGTTGTTGTGGTCGCTGCGACTCTGCTGCATCCCTCCTCTTAGCGGCAGTGTATTCCTTATATCTGCTACACAAGCCTGGGTGCTTCTTTTCCAAGTGGCGTATTAAGTTTGTTGTTCCAAATGTCTTAGGCGTTGATCCTCCACGGCTGACTTTTGACGTGCAAGCATTACAAACAGCGTGTTTTGGGTCGCTCTGGTACACAGTGTCAAATCACCGACATGTTTTCCTCCTGAGTCTTACTAATTTTTAGCAGTTTTGCTCTGAGCTGATACGCACCGCGCATGCGTGTCAGTTTGCTCGGGGAAAACCGGCAAATTACGACAGTGACCGGCCGGTCACCGGTTGGGGCCGGTTGGATATAAAACCGGCTTTTTAAATCGGCGGCCGATTTATCGGTGCATCTCTAATGTTGACAGACCATTGCTAAATATATGTCAGCAAAAGAAAATAAGGGCTAAGTTTTAGGATTGAAAACATTTGCAAGAGTCACAACTTCAGTAGAAAAGCAAAAAAACAAATCACAGTTGGATCATTCACTTCAACTTTTTGGCTTTTGAGAGTCTGCATACAAAAATCCCAATAAATCTCAACTGCGTTCAAACTACCACAAAAATGGCTAGAAAGAAGCAACTGAGTAAAGAAACAAAAGTACAGATTTATACATTGAGGAAAGAAGGATACACAGAAAGAGAAATTACAAAACGGCTAAAGGTGTTTAATAAAGGAGTCCACTACAGTCTGAAGAGACGAGAGGAACCTGGAAGTTATGATGATAGAAAAAGACCTGGACCAAAGAGAGTTTCTACAAAAGCAGAGGATAAACATATCATTGTCACCAGTAAGAGAGATCGGCAAAAGACAGCACCAAAAATAAGGGAGGAAATCAACATGACAAGGTCGAAACCCATATCTCTGACAACCGTGAAATGACGTTTGAGAAAGGCTGGTCTGAAGGGTTGTGTATCTGCAAAAAAACACTACTTCGTCCACAGAACAAGAAAAAGAGATATGAGTGGGCAAAAGCTCACAAAAATTGGACTTATGATGACTAGAAACAAGTTTGCACTGTTTGGTTCCAAACGCAGAGTCTATGTCTGCAGACAAACTGGTGAACGTCTGAAAGCACCATGTGTTACACCCACAATTCAGCATGGAGGTGGTAGTTCCATGGTATGGGGATGTTTTGCAGGTGATAGAGTAGGAGATTTGTTTGAAATAAAGGGTATCATGAAGAAGGAACAGTACCACTCCATCCTCTAGCACCATGCTGTTCCATCTGGACTCAGACTTGTGGGTTATAAGTTTGTTTTGCAGTAAGACAATGACCCTAAGTACTCTGCCAAGCTCTGTCAGGGTTACCTAGACAAAAAAGAAGAGGCAGGTGTTCTTCAAAAGATGGTTTGGCCCCCTCAGTCTCCAGACCTTTCTCAATTGAGCTTGTGTGGGATGAATTGGATCGATTGGTCAGAAAAACGCGTCCCACGAATCAGCAGTCTCTTTTTAATGAACTTAAGAAAGCTTGAAATGTAATCCCTGGAACAGACCTTAGAAAACTTGGTGAACGAATGCCTGGTATATAACAAGCTGTTGTTAAAGCCAGAGGAGGTTACTTTAAAGAAAGCAAAGTCAAAGCAACAATAACTCAAATACCTCATAATTATAGTCAAAATATCTTCTAATAAGTTACTCTTTACACAATAGTCATGTTTATTGTGTTGCAAATTATAAATATGAAACTATGATCTTTTTTTGTACAAACCTGATCTTGCTTCCAAACTTTTGGCCTGTAGTGTAGATAATATACATAATTAGATTTTTTTTGTTGTTGTTGTATAGCCTGTTCATACCTGCAGTAACCAACACTGTGTATATATTTGTAGCATATTCATTGCACTATAGTATATTCAGTTCATACCTTGCACTTTACTACTTTGTACTTCTGGTTAGACGCTAAACTGCATTTCATTGTTCCTGTACTTGTACTGTGAATCTAATCTACTCTAATCTAATCATTTAAAACCTGGTTATGATCAAAGTTTCAGCAAAAATCTGGACAACTTTGGAGTTTGACTCTTTCAAAAAATTATATTTGTCACTCAGCCTCGTCTTCACCCTTCTTATTTGTGAACCTTCAGAGTTGAAAACCGTGATCCTGACTCACAGTTTCAAAGAATCCATCGATGAGGCCTGAGGTATCAGATTAGGTAATGAGAGTCTATATGGCGGTGCTCGACCCAGAGAGACCAGATTACTAAGCTTCAGCTTCGAGTCTGAGGTTCAGTCTAACACAGAGGTGGGCAATTAGTTTTTACATGGGGCCACATGAGAAACCTAAACTGTGTTGGAGGGCCGAACCAACAATAACTTCAACTTCAAATCAGGGGGATTCACACAGAAAAGGAAGCCCAAATAAGCAACTACTAGTTGCTGACTCACGACTCACTACTGACTCACGAGTTTTACAAGCGACTACTCAGAGAAACAAGCTTAAAATCTTTTATAATAAGCGGACTTGGCAACTCTAAGGCGTCCATGTGTATTTTGCCGACGTTTAAACTTGTCTCTGTTCATAAATGCAGATCTAGGATGGACACACATGCGTCCAAATAGAAATAAAACAACGGCTTGTTTTTCAAAATAAAAGCAACACACTTTTATAGCATGATGATGATCTGACTGACAGACCTCACAAAGGGCCGGGCAGGGACATCCAAGGAGCCGGATGTGGCCCTCGGGTCATAAAATGCCCAGGTCTGATCTAAAGAAGCAGAAGATCGAAACACTGCTCATCCACCTGAACTGAGAGTCTTTTTTAGAGGACTGACTCAGAACTTTTCGGATGAATCCTGACCATCTCTGTGGGAATGAGAACATGAATAAATCTCACAAACATCTTTTCACACCTTCACCGTGACACTCTGGGATCATTAAGAGATTATTAACCCTCTTCTAAATCTGCCAGGGGATTTTCACATCAACAAAACAGACGAGAAATAAATTCATCCTGAATATGAGCGCTGACATGACTTAAAGGTGGGGTAGTCGGGATCTGGTAAAGTTCCAGTTTTTAGGAGAAGTCTTGAATGTCAACTCTACTCCTCCCAACCAGTTTTCCCCTCAGCTCCTCTTCTCCCCTCCCTCGCTGCTCCAGCAATCCCCGCCCACAAACAGACGCTCCTGCTCGCTCGTATCGTTCCAATCAAATTCAGAAATAATGCAGATAAATACTTCAGATCATTACAAATGGGGCCCAGTCAATGTGAGCGTAAAAAGCATTGGTGCTACTGTAGATGCCAACAGACTACCAGTAAACACAATGCTTGCAGGACTTCTACAACTAGGATAAAGTGACATAGTCCAGGACCCGAGGGAGGACAGTTTAGCGGCAACACGCTACAGCAGGTCCTGTTTGACAAAAAGCACTTCTGATACAGACACTTGTCTTACTTTATTAAAGCGGTTTACCTGTCCAGCAGAAAGGTTACAGGGTCACCAAGATCCCGAAGCGTCCCCCATCATTTATGTTGACCCAGCTTTTTCAGCTCTTGTCCGGTCTACCTCCGCCAGAGTCTCCGGTATTTACTTCTTTTTCTTGCTTGTGTCGGCAGTCGTGGCCAAAGGATTCAGACAATTTTCCGAACTTTCTGGTTGGTTTCTACTGTCCGATATTGTAGCACGCTAACTTTGTTTGGGCTCGTGAACGACACGGGGGAGCAGTGTCTGCCTCACAACCAATCAGGTTAGAGGAGGTGGAGAACGGTTTTGTTTACAGTCAGCAAGAGCGGGCCGCTCAAAAATGTTAAAATGTTGACGACACAGATATGAGAGAACACAGAGATATCGATATATTACCAAAAGTCATCAGTAACTAATAACTACTGACTGATATCAAAAGATTTTTTTGTAGATACATCACAAAAGAAGAGGTTTCTTTTACGGATTCATGCCTACCACACCTTTAATTGAGACTGCAGCGCCATCTACAGGCCACTGAAATACCCTCATTCATTCATGTTAATAGTCTGATTTAACCTGAAGTTTTTACCTCCTGGAAGGGCAGACGGACAGATCTCAGAAGAGCTTGGGCAATTTATCAACAGGAAGGACTTCATCTGTCATGAACCTGATCAGCACACCTTCACAAAGGTTCCTCATATTAAAGGTTCCTATAGAGATGTTCTTTAACAAGACCCTTTCCTCGGACCAGGTTTTCGGACCTGGGTTGACCTGCTGACTATTCTCAGACCTTCAGAGTAAAACAGTGAACAGACCTGCTGACTGTTCTCAGACCTTCAGAATAAAACAGTAGTGAACAGACCTGCTCTGTGGAGCTGCAGCTGAGGGTTTAGAAGTGAATCCAGAAGTTTCTCTTGTCTCTTCTTCTCCTCTGATGATTGACAGAGTTTCTCCTCGTACTCTAAGATAGTTTTTTCAAAGATCTCAAAGATCTCCTCTGCAGCTGAAATAAGTCTCTGTTTTATTAAAACCCTCACAGTTTGGACTTTAGACATTTTTAAAACGGTCTTTTCCTCTTTTTCACGGAAACTTCCGTTGGCTCTTCTGTTTTCAGCTGTTCCGTTAAACTCCGCCCCCTCCCTGTGTCTACAGCTAGCATGCTAACCGAAGCAGCCGCAGTTTTAACTTCAAGTGAGACACAGCTGAGCCCCTCAGAGTCTGTTTACAAGGTTTATTTACAGGTACAGAGGCCCTGAAGGGTCAATCTTGCAGCTCACGCGCTCTGAGAACACAAATGACAAAGCTGTTCACACCCGCCGCCATATTGATGAATGCAGCTCGTGCCCCCAGATTAACGACAACTTCCGTCGCAGCGCTGCTGAGACCTTCAGAATAAAAGTCGTTGAATTAAATGAACTCAGAATAAACTCTTTCTCCAAACTTCCGGTGCTGCTGAAGAAATGAGATTTAAAGCCGTAAATTATAGAAAAGATTCCGAAATAAGAGTCAGAAAAATGAAATTTGAACACAAGAGAGCAATCTATGATTAGATCATTTCAATAAGAGAATAACTGTCGCTGTAGTTAAATGAAAATGTAAATGTTCTTTATTCATACAACCCTTTCGATGAACCAAATTGCTTTACAATAGAAAGTAAAAATGAATCAACAAAAACAATAAAAAAAGAACAATACAGAATGCAATAAAACAAAGTGTCACCACACTACAGTGTATTAGAAGCCAGCATAAATGAGTATGTTTTTAATCTAGATTTAAAAAGACCCAGGTCAGAAAAAAGTCTTTTACTTCGGTGGAGAGTTTATACCAGAGCCTGTGACCAGTGACTGCAAAGTCTCGGTCACCCCAGTGTTTGTGTTTTGACCTGGACACCTCCAGGAGGAGTTGGTTTGATGACCTCAGATCTCTACCCGGCTCCTAAACAGTTAAAAGCTCAGTTAAATAGATGGAGGCGAGGCTGTTAAAAGCTTTAAAAACAAACATTTAACGTTTAAAATCAACCCAGAAACGGGAAGACAATGAAGGGAGCTAAGGACAGTAATGATGTGTTCACGTCTGTTCGTGTTGGTTAAAAGACGGTCAGCAGCATTTTGGACAAGTTGAAGGCGACTAAGAGATGATCGGGAGATGCTGACATAAAGTGAATTACAACAGTCTAATCTTGAACTGATTAGAGCTTGTTAGTTACTCTTAACAGGTACAGAGACGACCTCTCTTTAAAGGTTATGTAGATGATGAATCCTGTCACATTAAAGTTGTTCTTTTATTATGGAGGTCTCATTAAGACCACATCCTGCAGAGTTACTAAACCAACACTGACCGTCCTCTGCATGATCTTCTCATGGTCACATACTTACCTTTTTTCTGTGATGAAGAGTGACGTTTGTCTGGTTTCTCCAGACCCTCACTTCGAATGATCAGAATTTACATCTTCACATATTTCTATAATGATCTGAGCTCATTTTACTGGTGTGGTAACATGTAAAAATAACCATGTCTGTTAATAAGGACATGTTTTACACTGATGCACTCCTCCTTTGTTCTTGAATATTTCCAGAATTAAAGTGACACCAGCTTCAGTTTCTTCAAGTTAAAGCTCCTCTGAGGAGTTTTTAATGTTGATGAATTACACTGAAAATTAAACTTAGTTTTATTTAAGTTTCGTTCAAAATCATTTACAGAATCACAGTCATCATATCTGCTGCTTCATACACAAGGTAACAGTTTTGGTACAACAAAAAAGACAAAGAAAAATATAGAATAAACTGAATAAAAATTATATCAGTATACCCATAGCAGGACTCCACCTTTTTGTGAATATATGTTTTTGAAATCTCAGGGAATATGTTATTTGTTCCATTTAAATTGTATTTCCTTTATTTTTTCAGTCCACATATTGTGTGTTGGAGGGTCAGGCTTCAACCACCTTACTGTAATGCATTTAATTGCTGTTGCTAATAGTATATTTTTTGGCTCTTCCTTCAATGCCTCTTGGTAATAGGCCTAGTAGAGCCACCATTGGGTCCATTGTAATATTTCCACCAAATATTATATTAAGTGTTTAAAACACTTTCTCCCAGAATACCTCCAGTTTTGGGCATAACCAGAGTATGTGGGTCTGATTACCAATGTGTGGGCCGCAGTTCCTCCAGCATTTATTTGAGTGTGTAGTGCTAAATTTAGCTGTGACTTCAGGTGTCCGAAAGAACCTCATGACTACCTTCCATTTAAATTCTCTCCATACATTTGAACTGGTTACCAAATGTACCTCAGTGCAAACTTCCTCCCACATATCATGTGATATGCTGGAATTAATTTCAATTTCCCATCATTTCTTAATCTTTGCAGTATTATTCAAATTCTTGCTCAGGAACATCTGGTAAAAACAGCTTATTAATTTCTTATCCCATTTTTTGTTTGTACTTTAATCAATAACTCTTCAATTAGGTTTAGCAACTTTGTCCCAGTCTTTGTGTTTTAATAAGAAAAGCCTTAACTTTAAGTATCTGAAAAAATCTGTGCTGTGTAAATGATTTAAAATTGCCAGCGTTGTGGAGTTGATGTAAATTGGAGAGTCCATACTTTGACCATTTCCTGAAGTCTGTATGTGATTTAGAGGGCACAAAGTCATTTATATATCCAATGTTCGTAGGTGCTGAATTGTTTTAGGCAGCCCAAATACAGATTTTATTGCCTTCCACATATTTAATGTGATTTTAGTCCAATGTCCCATATTTATTTTACTTGGATGGATATCTAAGAATGGCAGGGCCTGTAAAGGTCTTTCACATAAACTCTTTTCGATATTGAGCCAGCTTGTATATGCTAGGTCCTGGATCCAGATTGTAAGCAGTTTCAGTTGCACAGTCCAAAAGTAATATCTCAGATTAGGTAATTTGAGCAACAAATACCTTTTTTTGTATCCAAAAGCAAAAAAAGATCATCAGGGACAAGCTTGGAAATGTTGATACTCTCATTTTTTAATGCCTGAATGTTTAACAAACTCTAAATGTAACAGTCTGAGCTTTTATTTTGACAGAGACTTTAGTGTCACTCAGGTATTTCCTACAAACATGGAGTTTGTCTGCTTTGACTCCACAACAACAATCACCAAAAGTCTTCAAAGAGCTACTCCTAGAGTGATCAGGTGGTCTCTGATGAAGGTTCCTCTTCATCATCTTCATCATCAGCCTCCTTACAGCTGCTTTCCCTCCTCCTGTCTGCTCCACAGTTCATGAAGATGTGAAGATCCTCCTCCACACTTGTGGTTCTTGATCTGGTACAGCCAGGTGAAGCTCCTGTCACAGGTTCTGCATGTGAAGGGTTTCTCCCCCGTGTGAGTTCTTATGTGGAGCTGCAGATGTTCGAAGCGAGCGAAGTGTCTCCTACAGAGGGAGCAGCTGTACGGTTTCTCTCCCGTGTGACATTTGAAGTGACTCTGCAGATGAGCCTTCTGAGCAAACCTTTTCCCACACAGAGAGCAGCTGAAGGGTTTCTCTCCGGTGTGGATTCTCATGTGCGTCTTCAGATTGGAGTTTTGGTTGAACCGTTTCCCACAATGAGAGCAGCGAAATGGTTTCACTCTGGAGTCATCCTCATCATTCCTCAGAACATTGAAACCTGAACCATGATCTTCAGTCTGTGGTCCAGCAGAGTCTCCACTTTTATTCTGAGTCCAGTGGTGAAACCGCCTCTCTGGTTCTGAGTCTCTGGCTGGTTCTGGTTCTTCCACAGGGTCTCGATTCTCCTCATCTTGTCTCTGATGAAGCTGTGAGGACTGAGATTTTTCCTCCTCCTCCTCCTTTACCTCCTCCAGTCTTTGAAGCTGCTCTCCCTCCTGACTGCTCCACACTTCCTCCTCTTCCTCTTTAATGAGGAGGGGTTCTGGTTCTGGTGGGTCCTGCTGGTCCAGACTAGGACTCCACTCCTGCTGCTCACGAGGATCTTCTTTACTCTCTGACAGCTCCTGAACATCTGCAGGAAACAAACAAATGTGGTTTCATGATTTATGAAGTGTGTTACAGCAGGATGATCCGAGGAAACCGGAAATCTGGTCTCTCATGAAAACTCTGATACTGGATCATAAAAACTTCACAGTCTGATCGGACAGTCAGAGTTTGAATCATGAAGTCTGAACATTCCTGTTTTAATCTGTTGGAGGTTCAAATGAAACACATCTGATCGGACTAAAGGCTAAAGATCCATAAGAACTAATGTAAAGACTTGGACCAGAACCAAGCTAAACTGTCAGTGTTTTTGTTTCTGTTTCTACATCTACGTCTGTTTTCCTAAAACTGGTCCCAGAGTAAAAGGAGGGTCCAGCCTCTAAAAGGACCTTTTATAACTCTGTGGTGGAGTCAACCATCTTTTACGGCGTGGTTGCCTGGAGCAGGAGCATCATAGCAGCGGAGAAGAAGAGACTGGACAGGCTGGTAAAAAAAGACGGCTCTGTCCTGGGCTGCAGTCTCAACCCCATGGAGACAGTGGGTGACAGAAGGATGGTGGCAAAGCTGTCATCAATACTGGACAATGTCTCCCACCCTCTACATGTGTCTGTAAGAGCTCTAGAAAGCTCCTTCAGTCACCCGAGATGCATCACAGAGAGGCATCGCCGGTCCCTCCTCCCCCCTGCTATCAGACTATCTATAACCAGGCCTGCTCCTTGCAGACCAACACCACCAACAACAATAACAGTGCAATACTAAACCCTGAATTATTTGTTAATCATGTGCAATATCAATACCATCATCATCATTATATCTATATCTGTTTTTTTTTTTTTTGTCGTTGGCACTGATCTTTGAGGTGAGGACAAAGGAACCGCAGTGAACATGTATATACTCATTTGTACATATTTATATAAACATTTAAAACTGATGTGAGGAGCTTTTAGCTGCTTGTGAATGTGACTGAAGTTCATATTTATAGACTCATTCATATTTGACCTTTTCTATCGTACATCTACAGTCAGTGTTTGTTTGTTGTGGATGATAAGAAAGTGCTGAAGTGATGGTGGTGAACAGACCTGCTCTGTGGAGCTGCAGCTGAGGGTTTAGAAGTGAATCCAGAAGTTTCTCTTGTCTCTTCTTCTCCTCCGATGATCGACAGAGTTTCTCCTCGTACTCTAAGATGATTTTTTCAAAGATCTCAAAGATCTCCTCAGCAGCTGAACTCAGTCTCTGTTTTATTAAAGCTCTCACAGTTTGGACTTTAGACATTTTTTAACGATATTAAATTAATAAAACCCCCTTTTTTCCATTAGCTCTCCTCCTCTAGCTGTGCCGTTAAACCCCACCCTCCCTCTGTCTGTAGCTAGCATGCTAAGCTAACCGGAAGAGCCCTTTAGTTTTTAACGGGAGGAGAGTCAAAAGCTGCGTCCGAATTGCCAAGTAGTAGTCGAAGTAGTAGTCGAAGTAGTATCTAGCATGTCCGAATTGGCCACCGGAGCGAGTAGCATGCTACTTCAGATACTACTTCAGATACTAGACACGCCCACATTGTAGGTTGGTCGCGGTGCATCCTACGGGCATGCTACTGACCCAAAATGCACCGCGGGCTTCTTCTTCGTCCTCTTAAAAGTTGTAGAAGCGCATGTGATTTTTTTTTTTTTTTTTTTTTTATTGAACAAGACAGACAGTACAACCAACGAGAGACACATCACAACAATAACGACAAAAACAGAAAACAAAACACAACCATACAACAGCCAGAGGACTTACAGTTCAATGGTACAGAATTTCTTCATTATGGAGTAAGTTTTGGTAGCTTTCTTGTTTTTAATGTCCTTGATCGTGGCAGCATAACGGAGCAGTTCATTTTTGAAGGGTGCAATGTTTGGCTTGGATTTGGCCCATTTGTTTTTGTGAATATGGAATTTCCCCAAGCTCAAGATCAACTGACAAAAAAAGCACAGATCTTTGTCCTGGTCATCATAATAAATAAAAATATGTTTTTCCTGGAAACTGATCGTTCTTCCTGTTTTCTCGTGCACAAATTGTTGGACATCAATCCAAAAGGTTTTACTGTAGGTACAATGATAGAATAAATGAGAGATGGTTTCATCTTCAAGTCCACAGAAATCACATAAATATTCAATGTCCAGTTTGAATCTTCCAAGAGTTTTCTTTGCAGGGTAAATCTGATGTAATATTTTAAAAGAGACTTCTTTGACCTTGTTATTGAGACAGAATTTTTCACCAACCAGCCATGCATTGCTCCAGTTAATTTCTCCCAATTGTACAGACCAGTTAGTTTGACCTCTAGGCAGTGTCTTTGGTTGTAGGCAGCTTCTCAACAGTCTATTCGAGCAGGCTCTTTTTGTAATGTCTATTCCGCCCACAAATATATCACAGGTGTAATTTCCTGGAATAGCAGCCGTTCTTTCAGACCCTCTAAGAAGTTGTAGCACCCCCTGAGGTAATGCATCAAAAACCACTGCATATTGTTTTGGGGTGACTGGGAGTTGAAATTTTAACATAAATTCTTCATAAGAAAGTACAAAGCCATGGTTGTTAAGAAGTTGGTCGACTAGTAAAATGTTGTGCTCCATCCAGTCCTTGTAATACAGTGATCGGTTTTTGTAAACAATGTCTTCATTGTTCCAAATATAATAGCTGGTTGGTGAGAAATTATGTTTGTAGATCAGTTTCCAGGACAGCAAGGCTTGTTTGTGAAAGTTAGAGAGTTTAACAGGAAGCTTCTCAATTTTGTAATTACATTTCAACATAAAGCGTATACCACCAAGTGAGTTGAATACATGTGTAGCAAAGGAATTCCAGAGGTTGTTCTTCTCTCTACATAACTTACTTAGCCAGTTGATCTTGAAAGAGTGATTCAATATTTCGAAGGTTAGCACATCCAAACCACCATCCCTCTTGGTATTACATAGAATATCTTTTTTTAAATAATGGCGTCTGTTCTTCCAGATAAACCTGAATAAGATTTGATCTAATTTCTTGGAGACTACAGCAGGCATTTCTAGTGCTAGTGATAGATATACAGATCTTGATATTCCCTCAGCTTTGGATAACAGAATCCGCCCGTGTAAAGATAGATCCCTCATTAACCACATATTGAATTTTCTTTGTATCTGTTGAGTTATTGGTTCAAAGTTTAAGCGCATGTGATGCTAGCGCCACCAGCTGCTCTGCCTATTTAAATGTGTCGCGAACGCCGGCTGGCCACAGCAGCGCGCATCATGTCGTCGGAGCAGCAGCAGCAGCAGCAGGAGGGACCGCAGCAGTACCGAGCAGTGGCGGTCTTTTTCAACTTGAGATATCATATCATCTTTAATCATGATAGTAAAACAGATGGGTGGGATCCCTTTTACAAAGACAGTTTATAAAGGAGACTTCAATAATTTCATACTTCATAAGAATGTTGATTGAAGTTTAAGTGTGTGTTTTTTTTATTTTTATGTTTTTATATAAAAAATAAAAAAGAAAAGAAGAAGAAGTTGAACTGTGTGTTTGTTTTTTTATTTTTTAATATAAAAAAGAAAAAAGAAAAGAAAAAGAAGTTGAAATGTGCATTTGTTTGTTTTTATCTTTTAATATAAAAAAGAAAAATGAAGTTGAACTGTGTTTGTCTGTTTTATCTGAAGAAGGTCAGGCTTGTTTCATGTTCTGATATTTGAAGGTTTAGTGTGTGTCATTCATAAAACAAACTGGGTAAAACTCCAACATGTTATCCACGTGAATGTTTAAATAAATCTAAAAACACCTGAATATAAAAATGTTAGTAGTTAGTAGTAGTAGTAGTAATAGTTTTTTTTCTAAAAAACTTCAATAATAAAATCAAAATGATCCTCCAGAACCTCCTCCAATAAAGGGGTTATCATCTTACTGCTGAATATTCCCATCAGTTCTCTTTACAGAAAGGAAAGTTCACCTCGACCACTAGATGGCGCTAATACGACATTTCTACATGCAGACCACCTTTAAAAAAACACCGAAGAAGAATGTGCCCGTTAGTGTTTCCGGGTTTTTGCACGGAGCTCCGTCCGGTAAATGATGATGTTTAAATGGACGAACGGTCCTGGTCCTGGTGTGTGGTCCCGGTCCGGTCCTTGGATGTGTGTAAAATGTCCGGGTTCTTGGATCTGAAAGATCTTCTCCTGACAGGACAAACAACAAGATCTGGAGAAGAAGAGGAGCTCCACCGACCAAGAAAAACTGGGCTGGATGATGATGGGATCCGAACATCTGAGCTGATCCACATGACAGGTCTGGGTTCAGGATCTTTAGGGGGACTTTCTGATGGTTCAGGTCTTAGAGAGTTAAGGTTCCTGTGGTCCTCAGACCTGCTGCTGACTTCAGGGATGACATTATAGCATAAGTGCTATAAAAATAAAGTTATTATTATTATTACAGTATACTGTTAGTCATAGTGTATATAATGTAATTACAGTGGTTCTCAAGTGGTCTCACTCTGGGACCCACATTTTCCCATGGTCCTTCAGTCGCGACCCACTTTTATAAAATTCAAACCAAGAAAATTATTTTTTTATATAAAAAAACCTGTAAAGACTCAAATCTTTGACATAAACACTTGTTTTATTGAGCAAAGTGCATTTCAGAGCACATGAACTGAGGATGACAACTACTGACGTTGCTTATACAGAAAATGTCAAACTGCACAAAATTGAGACTATAAAAAAAGCATGTATTTTTACTGCATTCAGGCCACATTACTACGGCTATGTTCACACTGCAGGTCAATTCCTATTTTTTAACCATATATGACACATATCTGATTTTTTCATCTAAGTGTGAACAGTGCAATTATGAATTTTTCAAATCCGACCCAGGCCTCCTCTGTATGTGAATAAAAATCAGATATGTATCCGATGTGACTGCAGTGTGGACGCTCAGGTCGTGTTCATCCGATCTATACTTCATCAATATGCGACAAACGTCACCATTGTTCAACAACACAAACAGGCGCGGAAAGCAATTTGTACTTTGAGCACATGTGGGTCACTTCACGGACGACACACTCTGTTCACATTAGATGCCACATTTGTTGTTGTAATGTGAACGACCGCACAACAAGATCTAACATATTTAACAAAAATTAAGCAAAAAAAAAAACAAAGAAAAAATTGTGCATCATAACATGCAGTGTGAATGTAGCCTAAGAAACCGAGGAAGACCACGACATAACGCGTGCCTTTCAAAATAAGCCAATTTTCAAAATAAAAGACATGTCAAACATCAGATGCGCATGAAATATTTACTTTTTTAACCAGCTGTCCGCAACCCACTTTTGGGACCCAACAGTTGAGAACCACTGTTGTAGTATATACTCTGTTTGAAACCTCTGCCTTAAAAGGACAGCAGATTAAAATGAACATTTATGCTGACTCTGCTAACTCTATTTCTGCTGACTCAACATATCTACATTGATGATTTTGCTGACGTGTATTAATGTGCTAATGTTCAAACAAATAAATAAAAAATAAAAAACAAAAAGAACTTTATTGATCCCTAAAAAGAAAATCCATGACTATATATTTACTGATAAACCAAAAAAGTCATTCAGTTTTAGAACAGAGACTCTCAGATTTAGATCAATTAGTGTTCACAGGCGATGGGTTATGAAGTGACTCTGAGTCCATGCGGTGGTTTCCACTATTGAGACATCATACTGCTGTCCTTCTGAGGTTGATCTTCAGCATCTTCTCCTCCATCTCTGAGAGTTTGCTTGTCTGTTTTGTCACTGTCTCTCCTCCAGACGTTCAGCAGCTGTCTGGGGTTAAAGAAGAACCTCCTGAGCAACAGGAGTGGAGCTCGAGTCTGGACCAGCAGGACCCAGCAGAACCAGAACCCCCCCACATTAAAGAGGAAGAGGAGGAAGTGTGGAGCAGTCAGGAGGGAGAGCAGCTTCAAGGACTGGAGGAGGCTGATACCAGCAAGTTCTCCTTCACTCCTGTCTGTGTGAAGAGTGAAGACGATGAAGAGGAACCTCAGTCCTCACAGCTTCATCAGAGACCAAGGGACCAGATGGAACCAGGAGCTGATGGAGAGGACTGTGGAGGACCAAAGACCAAAGTCAGACATGTTTGCTGTGAGATCAGAGAACATCAGTCAGTCATGAGACCGGTGTTGGATCAGGATTCTGAACCAGGTCAAACACTTGAAGAGAAGTCGAGTCTGACCACACCTCCAAGAGTTCACACGGGAGAGAAACCCTTCAGATGCAGCGTGTGTGGCAAAGACTTTGACCAAGAGTCGAACCTTGACACACACATGATCATCCACACGGGAGGAAAATCCTTCAGCTGCCCTGAATGTGGCAGCAGATATAAGTACCAAGGACATCTGGACGCACACATGCAGGCTCACACAGGAGAGAAACCGCACAGCTGCTGCGACTGTGGCAAGAGACTTTCAACAAACGCAAATCTGACTGTATATGGAAGATCCCACACTGAGGAGAAACCCTACAGCTGCTATGAATGTGGTAAAAGTTTTAACCAAAAAGGAAGTCTGGCCAGGCATATGCTGGTTCACAGTGGGGAGAAACCCTTCAGCTGCTCCGTTTGTGGCCGAAGATTCAACCGAAAATGGCACCTGACCAGACACATGCTGGTTCACAGGGCAGAGAAACCCTTCAGCTGCTCTGAGTGTAGTCTGAGGTTCAACACAGAGTCTGGGCTCACGCTTCACATGATATTTCACAGAGGAGAGAAACCGTACAGCTGCACTGCAGGTGACAAAAGAGTATCAGGACAGTCCCAGTCAAAACCACGCAAACTTGTTCAAGGTAGAGAGGGCTGCAGGGGACCAGAACCAGCCAGAAACCAAGATCCAGGATTATATTCCCACGCAGAGATTGAGGTCAAGCTTGAAGACTCTTCTGAACCTGAGACTGAGGACAGTGAGGAAGGCTGGGGGGTTCACGAAGTTCACCAGAGTCCTGCAACATTCGTCTCAAATGGGAAACACGTTCTGATATCTGAGTCTGAAGAAACCTTTGACTACACACACCTCCTCAGAAACAATCAGACAGAAGAAGAGGAGGAGGAGTTGCTGACTGGCTCACCGTATCAAGACCAGGTAACAGGTGGTCTATGCGACCACATGACAGACCAGGACGACCCAGAACCATTGATTACAAAACAGGAACAGGAAGAATTCTGGGTAAATCGAGCTGATATCACCAAGTTCACATTCTCTCCTGTCTCTGTGAAGAGGGAAGACTCTAGAGAGGAACCTCAGTCCTCACAGATGGAACCAGGAGCTGATGGAGAGGACTGTGGAGGACGAGAACCAGGCAGGGACTCAGATCCAGGACCACAGACTGAGATCAAGACCCAAGACTCTTCTGAAACTGAGGACAGCGTTGACAGCGATTTTTGGAAGGAGACCACAGACCTGCAATCAGACATTCGCCCAGTAGGGGACCGTCGAGATCCGATCAGAGGAGAGAAACCTCACAGCTGCTCTGACTGTGGGAAAACCTTCAAAAACAAACAGAATCTCTCCATCCATATGACAATTCACACAGGAGAGAAACCCTTCAGCTGCTCAGAGTGTGGGAAAAGATTTAATCGAAAAGGAAGTCTGACCAGACACATGCTTTTGTACAGAGGAGAGAAACCCTTCAGCTGCTCCGTTTGCAGTAAAAGATTTAATAGAAAATGGCATCTGACCAGACACATGTTAGTTCACAAGACGGAGAAACCCTTCAGCTGCTCTGAGTGCAGTGTAAGATTCAGTAAAGAATCTGGTCTGACACTTCACATGACATTCCACAGAGGAGAGAAACCGTACAGCTGCAGCGTTTGACTCTAAAGACAGTGAAGTGTTGGAGGTTGGCTTTAAGGCTCCTTCAAAATAAAACTGAGGAGTGCAGAGAGACAGGAAGTGGATCAGATGGAGAAGATTGTTAAGGACTAGACCAAACTGGATCTTTCTGATCTGCTGCCGGGAAGATGAAGCTCCAGAGTGAAAGCTGAGAGGAAAGAAGGAAACAAAACACCTTGGTTAAAGCTGAAGTCATCGATCTGCATACCTGAAAGAAATTACATCGCTGTTCCAAGTGTGGGAAAAGGGCCTGTCTTTGTTCTGCTCTAATATATTTTAAAATTTCCCACATGAGGATACAAAGAGGAGAGACAATGTGAGTTCACCCCAGCGGTTGATCCAGGCGGTTCATTCAAACAAACATCCAGAGCTTTTATCCGCCATCATTCTGATCATTTCTGTCATCCTGCCAGTGGGTTTTAAAATTCTGTAATACTGTCCCATTCAAAATAAAACCACAGTGTGGATCATCACAGGATTTCACAGATTTTAGATGACTGTTAGAAGAACTTGATCTCTCTGGAGTCTGGAGAAACCATCCAGGCTCTGTAAGAGCCTCTACACCTGAACCATCAGACCCCACTGACCCCTAATCCCTCTATATCTAACTGGTTCTTCTCACCAGCTGCCTCGTACAGGTCCATTTTTACTGGCCTGTTTTTGTGAAGACTTTTACTGACTCTCTGAAAATCCTGTTGAACTCTCTGTCAGCTTTAGTGTCTCCCTTTTTCTGTGGTTCTGGAGAAGTTCATCTTCATCTCTTGGTTCTTGTTCATGCTCAAAATGACATTAAAAACCTGTCACCTCCATATCTCTTATTACTCTCTGAATGATAATTTCTTCTCAGACTGAATGAGTCCTTTAAATGATACTTGGTGATGTTTGTTTGTGCTCAGCCGAGGCTCAACCTGCCAGCAGAGGGCAGCAGAGACTCATGTTGGTGTTAAACTTGCTGCGAACAAACTCCAGGGTCATGTGATAATGGTTAACCACCGATGTGTTCAGGGGTCACAGTATGAGGACAGTTCGATCCGCACCATGTGTAACGATAATTTGGGTTCGGCATTTTGACTACGGCTGTTTGCTTCATCTGAAAACCTGGTCTTTAAGGAGCCCAAGGTGTGAGTGAATGAGGCAACAGACAAATAGAGAGAGGTTTGGTGTTTTGTATTCAGATGAACGGTGAGTTCAAGTCCAGGAACTGTTGGGAAGCTAAATCATTTCACACAGGGACAAAAAAAAACAAAAAACAAACACCATAAATCCAAAATTTGTTCCTGAGTGATGCAGGAACTCCAACAGATGGTTTTGTCCTACCACACTTTCTAGTTCGGGTCAGCCATCTAGTGGAGTTGATGGTTGAGATGAGACATCCTGACCTACAAAAACCAAAACATAAATAAAATAATTTTAACCAAAAGTCATTTAGTCACTATTTTTAAAGTAAACCAACAGAGATTCAATGTCTGTACAAACACACGAGCATTACATATCACTAAATATTCAATATTCAATCAATCAAAATCTTATCAATGAATGCATCATAAATAAATACACACTAAACAGTAATTAAAGTAATTTCACCAACAATAACCTAAAGGTTTCAGTAAAGTTAATAATAATCAATAATTCAAGTCAATAGATAATCAGTTAGTGCACTTCAAATACTTTCAAATCAAATAGTTATCATTAAGACTCAAGCAGAGATCGATGACATTGTGACAACCCCTCCGCTCCTCCTCTGCTTTCTCCCCTTGCATGTGTCTGATTCTGCTCTGTGTTGCAGCCTCAGGGAGATGGTGGAGGGTGGAGCTGGGAGGGGCTGAGTTACCTGCCCAACAGGGCAGGGCCAGAAAGCATAAAAGGCCTGGCTGAAATGCTGTAGCTCTCTCTCACAGCAGGGCCTGCATCTACCACACCAGCCACCACCATTTTGGGTTTGTTCATCTTACAACATCCACCACACACATGCTCACACATCCAACACTTGCTGACACTACTGATCTTAATCCTGACGCCTCATACTGATTGATGATCATTTTTGTTAAATAAAATATCTTGGTTAATGGTTATTGTTGTGTGTTGCCTCCCTTCTTGTTATCTGCCTTCAGCCAGGCAGTAACAACATAAACATAAATCACGGCGCTACAACGGAGTTCAGAGGTAACCAAATCTCATTGCAGTTTAGCACGAGTCTAAGAAACGTCTTGAATCTGCTCAAAAATAATAATGTGACGGAAAAAAATTAGCGACTTTAAAAATTAACCTATAATCTTTAATTCGGCTTTCTTCCTGTAACCAGATTCAATGTTTTATTTTAGTTATCTTTGGTTTTACTCTCTTCTCCATTCACTGACCAACGGCAAACATGACTGAAAACTCTACGAGGATTTGAATGAGGGAAGAGCGACTGAAACACAAGAACTTTAGCGACATCAAAGTTTTAATTAAAATGGTAAAAAACTCACCATAGTTCAAGTTTTAATCCTCTGATCAGAGCGTCTTCAGGTGAAACAGACGCTCATGTTGACATCATCAAAATGTTCACCTTCAACACATTAGGTCCTTCCTGTTTTCTGTCAAAGTTTAGTTTCAAAGTTTTTTAAACGTGTCCCTCTTTTCTTTTTCTCTGCTCAGAGGAATCGACACAGACATGCAGGTATTTAAGGAGAGTTTATTAACAGTAATAATAAAAAAAAAAAACAACTTCATCGATGTCATCAGCTCCAGGTACATTTGTGAAATAATGAAGCTGAGGTGAAATAACTGCAGTAGAAATTAGCTTTTTGCTCACACAGTAGTGTTTTACAATGTCTGGTTGGTTGGCCATTACCATTTTGTCGGTCTGTATCTGTAAGTCCCACAGGATCTTGGCTCGGTCATTCTCCATCACCTTGGGAGGTTCTTCCCATTTTGACCTCGGGGTTTCCAGTCCATATTCTGCACAGATGCTCATGTACACTATACCGCCTACTTGGTTATGGCATTCCATGTATTCTTTTCCTGCCAGCATCTTACATCCTGCTGTTAGGTGTTGGACTGTTTCAGGGCCTTCTTTGCACAGCCTGCACCTGGGACTTTACCTGGTATGGTAGATCTGGGCCTCTCTCTCTCTCCATATATACTGGAGTAGTAGCATTCCAACAGAGCCTTGTTCTCAACTTGTGTCCATTGCCTTTGTTGTTCCAGTAGCCCATCTGTTATCACAATGCCCTGGTTCCTCAGCATGTGACGCAGACCTTGTTAACCCAGGCGATGTCTGAGCTGGTTTGGCTTTCACTGGTATTGCACTCATGTTTATGAGGTAGGCCAAAGCGCTAAAGGTCTTGCCTAAGGACCCACACTTTTAGGTGTAGTTCGCCCTTTACAGATGTGTCGCATGCGGAATTCGTACCCCAACCGCCCAGTTGGTTACCGGATGCCCTACCCGCTGAGCTATACCAGCCGCTATGGCCCAGATCTACCATACCAGGCAAGATCCCAGGTGCAGGCTGTGCAAAGAGGGCCCTGAAACAGTCCAACACCCAACAGCAGGATGTAAGATGCTGGCAGGAAAAGAATACATGGAACGCCATAACCAAGTTGCTGGTATAGTGTACAGAAACATCTGTGCAGAATATGGACTGGAAACCCCGAGGTCAAAATGGGAAGAACCTCCCAAGGTGATGGAGAATGACCGAGCCAAGATCCTGTGGGACGTCCAGATACAGACTGACAAAATGGTAATGGCCAACCAACTGGACATCGTAATCGTACACAAACAGCAGAGGAAAGCCGTTGTGGTAGATGTCGCCATCCCGAGAGATACCAACATCAGAAAGAAGGAACATGGGAAACTAGAGAAGTACCATGGGCCCAAAGAGGAGATAGAGAAAGGTGAAGGCAACAGTGGTGCCTGTGGTCATTGGGGCACTCTGGGCAGTACCCCCCACACTGTAGAAGTGGCTCCAACAGATCCCTGGGGAAACATCAGACATCTCAGTCCAGAAGAGTGCAGTCCTAGGAACAGCAAGGCTACTGCACAGGACCCTCAAGCTCCCAGGCCTCTGGTAGAGTACCTGAGCTTGAAAAGACACAATACCACCTAGGGTGGGCGAGAGAAGAGTTGTTTTTTATATAAATATGAATCAATCAACTGTTTTATTTTGAAAGAATAGAAACATCGACATTAAGTGAAAAAGATTTTGTCCTCCACCTCCAACTCTCTTGTGATGCTACATGGATCCTGATGCTTCAGAGCTGACTAACACAGAACCGTCAGAAAATCAACCTCTCTCTGTATCAATGATGGTCACATGACAATCAACAGTTTTTTCTGGTTACCTTGGTGACCAGTCGCACCCAAACCTATCTATGATTGGTCTGTTGGAGCAGCGACACCAGCACCTTGTTGAGCAGTTTGAACAACGCTGAAGAAACTCTGTCAAAGGTTCAGCGGTTTCTCTCAGTCCTCTCACCTCCTGGTTTGATCTTCTCCTCCTCGAGGAACCTCCATAAAAACCCAACAGACTACCATAACAGTGTCCTAACAGAAGTCTGACCGAGGGTTTAAGTGTCTGAAGTACCTGAAAGTTTTGGCTTTGGCGTGATGTTTGTGGTTACCTGGTTTTTAGTCTTCCTTCCTGTAACTCAGCTTCAGTGAGACCTGTCTTCTTCTTATGCAGGTTTTATTTTCAATGTAAGTACTGAGTACAACTCTACCACTAATGCCCCACTGGATTTCAATTCTACTCTAAAATACTTCCACAGAGCTAACATGAGCCCTATGTTACACAATAAAGTTAAGATTATTTCACACATTGGAGTTCTGCGTAAATCGTTCTTGATGAAAGTTGACGTAAACTATCAGGTGAGACGATCTGCTAAGACTGACAATCTCCTGTTAACGTCAAGATGGTTTCTTCGGCTCTGATTGGACAGTTGGAATTGGGATCAGGACCTTCCCGACGATGACGGTCGTCTCTGTTCTGTGAACCGGCATGTGATGAGTCAGCGATACTTTCTGAGTAAATCTTTTCCCACACTCAGAGCAAATGTATGGTTTCTCCCCTGTGTGATGTCTCATGTGAACAGTCAGTCTTTTCTTCTCAATAAACCTTTGACTGCATATGGAGCAGCCGTATGGTTTCTCTCCTGTGTGCAGTGACATGTGATAGGTCATGTTCCCTTTTTGGGTAAAACTTTTCCCACATACAGAGCACCTGAAGGGCTTCTCTCCTGTGTGAAGTCTCATGTGTGCGGTTAGACTCCCCTGTCCTGTAAATTTTTTACTACACACAGAGCAGCTGAACGGTTTCTCTCCACTGTGGATGCGCATGTGTTGGGTCAGATTGACCTTCCTGGTAAATCCTTTCCCGCAGACAGAGCAGCAGAACGGTGTCTCTCCTGTGTGAACAGACATGTGAACAGTCAGACTCTCCTTTACACGAAATCTCTCCCCGCATACAGAGCAGCCATACGGTTTCTCCCCTGTGTGAAGTCTCATGTGAACCATCATGCTTCCCTTCTGGGTGTATCTTTTACCACACACAGAGCAGCTGAATGGTTTCTCCTCCTTGTGAACAGTTTCATGTTTGGTTAGATTTCCCTTTTGAGTGAATCGTTTTTCACACAGAGAGCAGCTGAACGGTTTCTCCCCTGAGTGAACTGACATGTGTCGGCTCAGACTTTCGGTTTTCCTGAAGGTTTTCCCACAAAGAGAGCAGCAGTGAGATTTACGCTCCATCTTCGGTTTCTTCTCCCCGCTGTTTTTGGGAGCGCTGAAACCAGGCTGATGATCTCTAATCTCCTTCCAATCGTTGTCATCATCATCATCATCCTCCTCTTCATCTTCATCACTGTCATCAGTCTCAGGTCCAGAAGAGTCCTCGATCTCCACTTCAATCTCTGCTTGTAAAGAACTCTGTGGATCGGGTTCTCCACAGTCCTCTCCAGAAGATTCTCCAATCTTCACCTTAATCTCTTCTTCTACAGATCGTTCAGTGTCTGAGTTCCTGTCTGGTTCTGGTCCTCCACAGTCCTTTCCATCAGTTCCTGGTTCCATCTGTGAGGACTGAGGTTCCTCTTCATCATTTTCACTCTTCACACAGACAGGAATGAAGGAGAACTTGCTGGTATCAGCCTCCTCCAGTCCTTGAAGCTGCTCTTCCTCCTGACTGTTCCAAACTTCCTCCTCTTCCTCTTTAATGTGGGGGGGTTCTGGTTCTGCTGGGTCCTGCTGGTCGGGAGGTTCTTCTTTAACCCCAGACAGCTGCTGAACGTCTGCAGGAGAGACACAAAGGGACACGATGAGACACGGAAGGAAAGACAAGTTCATGTTTAAGTGAACCTCAGAGATCAATCAATCCTTTCTTCTATCATTTATTGATCACTTCTGGCCTTTCTTGTTTGACATCACAGAACCTTTCTCCATCTTGTATCTGTGAAGAGTCGAGGTCAGCAGGTCACGTTGGACACCCAGGACCTGGTCTACGTGGTCCACTAACATTCTGGGAAAGAACAAGTCTTACTGGTCTACTCTATGAGACGTTTGTCATTGAGCTCTTCCTCAGTCCTTTAAGCGAGGCAGCTGAGCTGATCAGACAGGAGTCTGTGCTACAATAACCTTTCAAAATAAAAGCCTTTCTGAAGACTGAACATGAACAAAGACCCACTGAACCAGAACCCCCCCTCCCCCCCAAAAAAACGAGAGCGGGAATCAATGAGATTATTGAGGAGTCTTGTCTGAAATGTGAAGTTTTTGGTGTGAATCTATGAGTATAATGTAGAGGTATAGTTTTATGTAAAACAGGAAATGAATATAAAAACTTCAAAATAAAATACCTGAAATTTCACATTTCAGAGGAGCTCTCTTTTCTGTCACGTTTAAAGAATTCAGAAGAAATGAAATTTAGTTTACGGAAATACAAACTTGTTTATTCCTGTGAGAACAGTCCCTATCAGTCTCTCCTCTCTCTCCCTCTCTGTCCTTCTTTATCTCTCTCTTTCCTTCTTTCTCTCTCTCTGTCTCTCTCCTCTGATCATGTTATAGACCAGGTACTTTAGCACCTGAGAGTCCAGAAAACCTGAACTCTCTGAGACCCGAACCATCAGAAAGTCCCCCTGAAGACCCTGAACCCAGACCTGCTGTGGTCATGTGGATCAGCTCAGGTGTTCTGATTCCATCATCATCCAGCCCAGTTTTTCTTGGTCGGTGGAGCTCCTCTTCTTCTCCAGATCTTGTTGTTTGTCCTGTCAGGAGCATATCTTTCAAATCCAAGAACCCGGACATTTTAGACACACCCAAGGACCGGACCGGGACCACACACCGGGACCAGGACGGACCAGCAGACCTTTAACCCGCCCAGAAACAACGTTAGCTCATCCTGCTACATGCTAACTGTGCTCGGCTGGTAACGAGACTCAATGACCCGGAAACAAAAACACTGCTCACCGGAAACCCACTCGGCCTTCAGAATAAAAGGTTTGTTTTAGTTGGTAAAGAGGACAGATTTATTTAACAATAATACGGTCATGTTTGTGAAGTGTGGAGAGAAGAAACTAAAGAGCCTAAAACCCACAGAGAAGTTTAAATCAGAGTTTAATGATCTGAATAATAAAAATGTTCATGTAGAAGAAGTCTTTGATGTGCTTGTGGGTCGGGCCCATAGACTGTATATAGGGTTGCCAATTCCAAGAGATTGAAATAAGGGACAATTAATCTGGCCCGCCGCCTTGGTGTCCAATTTTTGGTGTCCCTTATAAAACATCGGTGTCCCTTATTTCAGGCCGGGCCGAAAAATGGGGGGATTTAGGGTGAGTCAACACACACACCCCTCTTTGTTTTAGTAAGTACTTGTGTCCAGAGCTGTGTAAATGAGAAGCAGTTATAAGCAGTAGATCGTGTCCTTCCATAGGAGGAAATCTACTTCTAGACTTCTAGAATTAGCATCTCCTCATCCATGGTGTCATCGGGGTGAAATGATGTCTAAAAGCCTTTCACTTGTTCGTCTCCGGAGGTTTTATTTTGTGTCTGTGCCCAACTTCCTTCTTCAGCACGGGTTAATCTGTGCTGAATTTATCCGGCATGCTCCGGCGTCCGAAAAAAATAGAACTCTTGTGATCAGCTGAGGAGTCCGGCGATCCGCAGAGGAACGGAAAGAACCCCCTTCTCCCACTTAATGATTGAAATGCCAACATTGATTCAAATCATTGTCAGCAGGACAGTCCCAATAATAATAATAATAATAATAATAATAATAATAATAATAATAATAATAATAATTTACATTTTATTTATATTGCAATTCATGTTTGAAACATCCCAAAGTGTGACGAAGTAGTTGGTTCCCTCCCCATTCATTCTCTGAAGACTGGGTGAGAGCATTTTATAGGGTTTTAAATTAAGGCCTAAATTCTCAATACATTGATGACAATGAGTTGTGATTTTGCTTTAAATAGTCTTCTATTTAAAATATTCTCAAAATATTCCGGAATGTTATTGGTCTTTTGGAATGTCTTTAATCTTCTGAAATGTTCGGTAATATTCTAGAATGTTCTACACCCTCCAGAGCATCACCACCATAGATTGTATATACTCTGGACAACTTTGTTCCACCTTCCGCCAGTATATGGGTAGTGAAGCCGAAAAGCTCTCGGTAGTTCTGAGTACAAACCGGTCTGACAGAAACAACATTTCAACATCACAACCAGTGGGGAGAAACATTTGTATTTTGTGTCATTAATTTATAAAATGTGTCCACAGCTCCATAAGGAGGCGGGATTTATGACCTATACTGCAGCCTGTCACCAGAGGGCGCTGTTCTCAGAGTGGCTTCACCCAGAGAGGAGGCAGACAGCATCCATTCTAAATACAGTATATGGTTTCTACTCTGCGCTCCGTTCACTTAACTCAACATCGTGGACCAACATATGCTGGGTCAGATTCCCCTTTTCTAAAAATCCTTTCCCACAGACGGAGCAGCTGTGTGGTCTCTCTCCTGTGTGCGCTAACGTGTCTGGTCAGATGTACCTTTTGGTTGAATGTTTTTCCACATTCAGAGCAGTGGAATGGTCTCTCTCCTGTGTGAACCAGCAGATGAGTTAAATTGTGTTTAAAGCTGAAACTTTTCTTACATGTGGAGCAGCGGAACGGTCTCTCACCCAAATTTGTCAAATTTGAGTTTTGATTAAATTTTTTGCTGCAATACTCAGAGTAGCTGTATGGTTTCTCTCCTCTGTGAACCAACATATGCTGAACTAGATTCTGTTTAAAGTTAAAGCCTTTCTCGCACACATCACAGCTGAATGGTTTTTCCTCAGAGTGGAGATTAACATGTTGGGTTAAATGTCCTTTTTGGTTGAATCTACTGCCGCATATAGAGCAGCTGTGTGGTTTCTCCCCCCTGTGAACTGACATGTGTTTGGTTAGGTTTCCTTTCACAGTAAATCTTTTACCACACAGAGAGAAACTAAAGGCTTTCTCTCCATTGTGGACAATCAAGTGTTTGGTCAGATTTCCCTTTTCAGAAAATCTTTTACCACAAACAGAGCAGCTGTAGGGCTTCTCCCCCCTGTGGCGTCTTATGTGCAGACTTAGATTTGCTTTGATAGTTAATTTTTTTACCACATACAGAGCAGCCAAAGAGTTTCTCTCCACTGTGAACAGTCATGTGTCTGTTCAGATGGACTTTCTGGGTAAATGTTTTAGCACATAAAGAGCAGCTGTACGGTTTCTCTCCACTATGAACTGCCATGTGTTTGTCTAGATTTCCCTTTTCAGTGAATCTTTTCTCACACAATGAGCAACCATGAGCTTTCTCTTTTCTGTAAATAGACATGTGTTTGGTTAGATTCCCTTGCAGCAATATTGCAGCAATATTCGGCAATATTTTCGGCATCGGAAAGGTTTCTCGACCGTGTGAGTTCTCGTGTTGTTCAAGATGTCTTTTTTTTTTTTTAAGGCGGTCCCATACAGAGAGCAGCAGTGAGGTCTCTCCTTCCTCTCTGGGTTCCCAATCACTGTGCAATCTGTAACGACCAGCCTAGGGGATACTGGAGGTCACATAAAGAGTTTGACCACTCCTCCGTCACTCTCAAGGTGACACAGCACAAAATGACCGAAAACAGGATGTGCAGTCTAAGACAATTAGTTTTTATTGTTCTTTCTCTGTTTTATTTACAAATACTCATGAAATACCTCAGGGAGAGGAAGCAAAACAAACAGTTACAAAAAACACTCTTATAAATCAAAATACTTTACCTGACATCTATGATAGAAATAAAACATATACAAACCTAAATTTGACTCCCTACCCAAAAACAGGAGAAAACAAGGGCTCACTCTCCCCTATGTATACCTACTGCTTTTAACAATACAATGACCCTCTAAGGTCCTTTAATACAATCCAAAATCACACAATATAAGTCAACTCAATGATAGCTCGAAAACGCTGTGCTCTGGCGAGATGTTGGGAGTGACGAAGTGACAAGAGTCGGCGTCCCTACTCCTTCAGCCCAGTTTAAAATGCTGCCCATCAGCTCTCCACCAATCACGAGCCTCCGCTCCACAGCAGTCCTCCAATGCGCGTCTGGTGCGTCTCCACGCTGCCATCCAATCCGGATGCACCACCCGTGCAATACAGCCCAGAGAAGCAGAGAAAGAGAGGAGGGAAGAAACAAAACTCTCTTCTACACCATAAAACGACAAACAATACAATAATTAATACAGTTTAAATGACACACTGTCATAACAAATCATCTTCATCACTATCCCCAGGTTCAGAAGAGTCCTCGATCTCCACCTTGATCTCTGCTTGTAAGGAACTCTTTGGTCTGGTTCTGGTTGTCCACAGTCCTCTCCATCAGCTCCTGGTTCCATCTGGTCCCTTGGTCTCTGATGAAGCTGTGTGGGCTGAGATTCCTCTTCATCATCTTCACCTTTCACAAAGACAGAAGTGAAGGAGAACTTGCTGGTATCAGCCTCCTCCAGTCCTTGAAGCTGCTCTCACTCCTGACTGCCCCACACTTCCTCCTCTTCCTCTTTAATGTGTGTGTGTGTGTGTGTGTGTGTGTGTGTGTGTGGGGGGGGGGGGGGGGGGGGGGGGGGGGGGGTTCTTTAACCCCGGACAGCTGCTGGACATCTGCAGGACAAACCCAAGAGGAACAGAGAAAGACGATAAAAATTAGTTTCTGTCTGAAAATCAGTCGATCACATAATCAGCATCTTTAATTCTTAAATTTGACCCTTGTGTAACATTAACTCTTCTTGTTGTGTTTCAAAAACAAAAAACAGATTCTCTCTAAAGACTTTGAGTTCACGCTCAGAACCATCAGATGAGTCTGACCTTGCAGCAGCAGAAGGTGCAATTCCCGCTATCACTGCATGTCACTCTCTATTCCCCACTTTTCCTGACTCTCTCGCAAAAATGGCCTAAATATAACTTTAAACTCATAATGATGATAACAATAATAAAAGTAATAATATTAATGCTAACAATGATAAAAATAAAGATAAAAATAATAATAGTAACAACAATGTTAAAAAATAAAATAATAATAATTGTTAATTTTTATAACGACAATAATAATAACAAAAAATAAATAAGTTAAAAATAAATAAATTTAAAAAAATGATAACAATAATATAAATAATAATAATAAAAATAGAAATTATAATAACAATAATAAATAAAATAACAATAACAACAATAATAATGATACTTATTATTAATACTTATTATAATTATAGCAATAATAATAATAATAATAACAATGATAATAATTATTTTAACAATAATAACAGTAATAATGATAACAATCATAATAATAATAATATAATAATTTTAAAAACATTTTTCAGAATTTCTCTCACCATATTTCATAAACTGAATGCTTAGCGAGGTAACTTCGAGGGTAAGTTTGGGGTTTCCTGTTCTATGACGCGGGTTCACTTCTTAGCGAGGCAAGTCTCCATGGCAATGTATATTGAATGGCTTACCTGCTCTGGGGCAGGTTAGGTTTCAGATTGAACACAGGGAGTATAAAAACCCCGCCCACTGACCAATGAGCTCTCTCGAAAAATGGCTTGTCCATTCTTGGAGGATCCTATAGACCTTAGTGCTCGCATTGTCCGAGGAGCGCTCTGGCGCACAAGAGTTTTCAGGGACCGCATGGACCAACTTACTTTTCCGGATGATCACCTTTATGAAAGGCTCATATGGCCTACATATCACACAAAAAATGTAAACATGACAGGAATGAACAAATAAATGAATTAATCTTGGAAATGAATTAGACATGTCTGGTGCATGTTGAAAGCGCATGTTGAACAGTGCTATTTCAGGGTGATAATGGCATCAAAGATTTTTTGCACACTATACTTCCGCATTGAGACTGTCGGCAATTTTCTGCCAGCATTCCTTCCGTGCTTTTGCAGCGGCGACGGTGTTGCTTTTGAGGTTTATGATAGATTTGAATTCTTCATACTTTATCATGATCGTTTCCTGCTCCTTGTTTGTAAAGTACGGAGTCCTTTACTCTTCGGCCTGCTCTGACACTCCAAACTGGCCCATGTTCGCGATTGGTCGGATGCAGCGGGCTCCGCCTTACATGCGTGCACGCGCTCATAGCAAAGCTGGTGGTGAGAATTATCTTGATCTTCTCACCGTCAGCTGATCTTCTTTCCAAAGTGAAGGACTCTCAGCTGTTCTCTCTGCAGGTTAAGAAAGTCTTCTCCTGTCCTCTCCTTTAAAGTTGATCATTAAAGTCATTGTCGAGGGTAAGTTCGAAACCCCGAACTTACCCTCAAAGTTTCCTCGCTAAGCAGTAATCCTGCTTCGTAGAATAGGCCCCAGATCAGGACAGAAATGATGATTCAGCAGATCAGAGACTTCAGTTTTATTCACATTAGAACAGAAACAAACAGACAAATAAGAGAGAAACAGATTCAACTGAATAATGAGACCTAATCAATCACATCATGATCGATTACTTCTGTTCTCTGCTGCTGATCTTAAACTCTCACCAAGAAAAACATGCTGACGGTTCAAAGTCGTTCAGTCAGATTGAGATGTTCTTCCTTTGACCTCTTTACAGGGGCTCAACCTGAAACATTTCAGAGACAGAATTGAAAAATAAAAAATAAATCCTGATCTTTCTCCTACCGTAACTTTCAGCTAGGCCTTTTTGATCACAGACAGTAAAAAGAAACGTCAGCTGACGTCAGGATTTTGCATGAAAAAAATGGACATGAGGGTGAGCATGCTGTCCCACTGTCACTGAAACAGAGTCCCAATCCAGGGCCAGAATCATGATGGTCTGAGGGGAACCGGGGAGACCATCCAAAGGTTTTTTAGCGGACCACTTCAGGACGAGAAGCTGCTGTATCTACCGTATTTTTCGCACTATAAGGCGCACTTAAAACCCTTTTGGCTTGTCAGAGCACTGCAGCATACGCCTTATGTATGAAAATAGACGCAAAAAGTTCATTGATGGTGCGCCTTATGGTGTGAAAAAAAATACGGTACTCGTTACTGAGATGACACATTCTCCATCCTGCTGCTTCTTTAGAGTCAAACTCTAAGTGTGGATGTTTCCATCTCTGTGTGTCAGATTCACTTTCCATTGTTCACATCATTAACTGTTTATTCATTTAAGAGTATTTTTATATCCTTCGCCCAGGACAGGGGTGAGAGAGTGTCCACTCTGGGGTTAACAGGAAGAGACAAACATCCTCTCAGGTAGAGTTTAGAGTCACGAGTTCACCTGAGGAAGAATCCACAGACTGAGCAGAGACTCAAACCCTGAGCTGGAACAGTTCCTCATCCCTCAGCCTCAGTATTAACTTGTTATTAAAGATCCCTCAGGGGGGTCCGACCCACAGCAGAACTGATCCTTGTGTGGGTCTGTAACAGATCATTGAGAACAGACTGTGCTGCTGCTCAAAAATTAAAACTTTGGTTTTAAACTTTGATCGACTCAGACGGAGCAATATCCTGATACTGAATCAGCTGATCCGTGCTCCTCCGCTCTACGTCATCAGGACTTCCTCTTTTCTGTGAACTGACATGTGTGTTTTCAGATTTCCTTTCTGGGTGAAGTTTTTCCTGCACACGGAGCAGCTGTACGGTTTCTCTCCCGTGTGAACTCTCATGTGTAAGGCGACACTTCCCTTCTCAGTAAAGCTTTTCCCACACACAGAGCAGCTAAACGGTTTCTCTCCTGTGTGGACAGGCATGTGTTTGTTCAGATTTCCCTTTTCATTGAATCTTTTCCCACACACAGAGCAGCCGAACGGTTTCTCCCCTGAGTGAAGTCTCATATGGCGGTTGACATATTCTTTCCCGGTGAACTTTTTACCACAGATGGAACAGCTGAACGGTTTATCTCCATTGTGGACTGATATATGTTTGGTCAGATGTCTCCCTTGCATAAAGCTTTTCCCGCACACAGAGCAGCTGAATGGTTTCTCTCCAGTGTGAACTAACATATGTTCAGTCAGGTGTATTTTCTGAGTAAATCTCTTATCACACTCAGAGCAGCGGAAAGGTTGCTCTCCGCTGTGAAGGGACATGTGTCTGATCAGATGAATTTTCTGTGTGAATCTTTTCCCGCACTCAGAGCAGCTGAAAGGTTTCTCTCCTGTGTGAATGGACATGTGTCTAATCAGATGTCTTCTTTGGGGAAATCTTTTGTTACACACAGAGCAGCTGAAAGGTCTCTCTCCTGTGTGAACTGACATGTGTTCAGTTAGATGTCCATTTCTTTTGAATGTTTTTCCACACAGAGGACAGCAGTGGGACTTCCTCCTGATATTCGTTTTTCTCTCATTTATATTTTCTAAACAGTTTGAACCTGTTTGATCTTCATCGCTGTCTTCAGTCTCTGAGTCCTCAATCTCCACCTCGATCTCTGCTTGTAAAGAACTCTCTGGTTCTGGTCCTGGTCCCCCACAGTCCTCTCCACCAGCTCCTGGTTCCATCTGGTCCCTTGGTCTCTGATGAAGCTGTGAGGACTGAGGTTCCTCTTCATCATCTTCACTCTTCACACAGACAGGAGTGAAGGAGAACTTGCTGGTATCAGCCTCCTCCAGTCCTTGAAGCTGCTCTCCCTCCTGACTGCTCCACACTTCCTCCTCTTCCTCTTTAATGTGGGGGGGTTCTGGTTCTGCTGGGTCCTGCTGGTCGAGAGGTTCTTCTTTAACCCTGGACAGCTGCTGGACGTCTGCAGGAGAGACACAAAGAGACACACAGTTGAACATTTGTCTTCTGTATTTGTGGAAATATTCCTCCGAAATAAAAGGTACCGGAGCGACCTGACGCGGAACGATCCATGTCCTCAAAACAGAACGGCGCCACCTGCTGTTGATTCAGGAGTAGATGATCTTTGTTTTCAAACCTTGTGTCCATCAGCAGGATCTCCACGTCTGTCCTGATAACAGAGACAGAAACACAGCCGAGACAGAACAAGAGTTAGTGTCTCTTCAGAGATGCTAGTACATGAAAGACTGTCAACTGTTTTTATTCAGTCCTGTAACTCTAGTATCTATAAACCCACTTAAACCAGGACAGCGCGTACGCATTTCAACCTTCCAAATCAGCGGTGCTGCGCATTTCTACCCTTTAAGCCTGGAGCGCGAATATGCCATTTTGTAACATTCTGTAGTTTTTCAGTCATTTCTGGAATCATGGCGAATCAAATCATCATACCCGTCTGCCTCTGATAGGCTAATAAAGCTCAGATTCATGCTCGGATCTTGCTACATGCGTCATGAGGAAAAGACACAATGACGGAGGCAGAGAGCAGCTTTGGAGGACAAACATCCAGCAGTGTGAACAACCTCTACATATTGAGGTCTTTGGCTCACACAGTGTTGCATGACTTTAGCTGAGCACAGAGATGAACACACTGTCAGCCACGTATTTATTGATTTATCTATTTTTTAAGTTTTTAGTGTTCCTTTGTACTGGCATTATACTAGGGCAGCTGCATACCCTTTCAACACCTTATTTTCTACACTCACCGGCCACTTTATTAGGTACACCATGCTAGTAACGGGTTGGACCCCCTTTTGCCTTCAGAACTGCCTCAATTCTTCGTGGCATAGATTCAACAAGGTGCTGGAAGCATTCCTCAGAGAGCTTGGTCCATATTGACATGATGGCATCACACAGTTGCCGCAGATTTGTCGGCTGCACATCCATGATGCGAATCTCCCGTTCCACCACATCCCAAAGATGCTCTATTGGATTGAGATCTGGTGACTGTGGAGGCCATTTGAGTACAGTGAACTCATTGTCATGTTCAAGAAACCAGTCTGAGATGATTCCAGCTTTATGACATGGCGCATTATCCTGCTGAAAGTAGCCATCAGAAGTTGGGTAACTTGTGGTCATAAAGGGATGGACATGGTCAGCAACAATACTCAGGTAGGCTGTGGCGTTGCAACGATGCTCAATTGGTACCAAGGGGCCCAAAGAGTGCCAAGAAAATATTCCTCACACCATGACACCACCACCACCAGCCTGAACCGTTGATACAAGGCAGGATGGATCCATGCTTTCATGTTGTTGACGCCAAATTCTGACCCTACCATCCGAATGTCGCAGCAGAAATCGAGACTCATCAGACCAGGCAACGTTTTTCTAATCTTCTATTGTCCAATTTCGATGAGCTTGTGCAAATTGTAGCCTCAGTTTCCTGTTCTTAGCTGAAAGGAGTGGCACCCGGCGTGGTCTTCTGCTGCTGTAGCCCATCTGCCTCAAAGTTCGACGTACTGTGCGTTCAGAGATGCTCTTCTGCCTACCTTGGTTGTAACGGGTGGTTATTTGAGTCACTGTTGCCTTTCTATCAGCTCGAACCAGTCTGGCCATTCTCCTCTGACCTCTGGCATCAACAAGGCATTTCCGCCCACAGAACTGCCGCTCACTGGATATTTTTTCTTTTTCTGACCATTCTCTGTAAACTCTAGAGATGGTTGTGCGTGAAAATCCCAGTAGATCAGCAGTTTCTGAAATACTCAGACCAGCCCTTCTGGCACCAACAACCATGCCACGTTCAAAGTCACTCAAATCACCTTTCTTCCCCATACTGATGCTCGGTTTGAACTGCAGGAGATTGTCTTGACCATGTCTACATGCCTAAATGCACTAAGTTGCCGCCATGTGATTGGCTGATTAGAAATTAAGTGTTAACGAGCAGTTGGACAGGTGTACCTAATAAAGTGGCCGGTGAGTGTATATTTACATTTGTATTGAATGGACACTTTATCATGACCGCCACTTTTTTTTTACAGAAAGTAAATAGTTTGTTATTCTCCAGTGCAGAGTCTTTACTTTTATTTATACAGCTGCTTTACTTCATTTGAGTTTGTTTGTTCAAGGTTCTCAATAATGTGATGAAGGTTCGGAAAAATAAAAGATAGGTATCTTGAAAGCCACACATGTAAACTCTCAAATACGATCAGCTTTTTGTAAACCTCAACACTTGAGAAAACCTCAGGATCTGGGGGCCCTTTTCAGGATTTCAAAGTCTCAGACAGGGTTCAGGTCTTCATGGGTTAAAGGAAACTGGTGTGTCCTTTCAAAATAAAGGCATACATTTTTATTACCATTTCAAAAGTTGACAAAAAGATTAGAAAAATGTAACAATAACTATAATAATAATAATAACTTCAATTATGAGAATCTTACATTAAAAATAGTGCAAAAAAAGAAGGAAAGGAGGAGAGAGAGAGGGGGAGGAGGAGAGAAAGAGGAAAAGAAGAGAGAAGAGGAAGAGGAGGAGGAGGAGAGAGAAGAGGAGGAGGAGGAAGAGAAGGGAGAAGAGGAGGGGGAGAAAGAGAAGGGAGAAGAGGAGGAGGAGGGAAAGAGGAAGAGAAGAGAGAAGAGGAGGAGGAGAGAAAGAGGAGGGGAATAGAGAAGATGAGGAGAGAAAGAAGAAAAATAGAGAAGGGGGAGGAGGAGGAGGAGAGAAAGAGAAGTAAAAAAGAGAAGAGGAGGACGAGGAAGAGAGGGGAGAAGAAGAGGAAAATAGAGAAGAGAAGGAGGAGGAAGAGAAGGGAGAAGAGGAGGAGGAGGAAAAGAAGAGGAAAAGAGTAGAGGAGGAGGAGGAGAGAAAGAGGAAGAGAATAGAGAAGAGGAGGAGGAGGAGAGAAAAAGGAGGAGAATAGAGAAGAGAAGGGGGAGGAGGAGGAGAGAGAAGTGGAGGAGCAGGAGAGAGAGAAAGAGGACAAGAAGAGATAAGAGGAGGAGGAGGAGGAGTGAAAGAGAAGAGAGAGGAGGAGTAGGAGGAGGAGGAAGAGAAGAGAGAGGAGGAGGAGAGAAAGAGGATGAGAATAAACAAGAGGAGGAGGAGGAAGAGAATAGAGAAGAGGGAGAGGAGGATGGAAAGAGGAAGACAAGAGAGAAGAGAAGGAGGAGGAGAGAAAGAGGAAGAGAAGAGAGAAGAGGATGAGGAGAGAAAGAGGAGGAGAATAGAGAAGGAGAGACGGAGGAGAGAAAGAGGAGGAGAATAGAGAAGAGAAGGGGGGAGGAGGAGAGAGAAGAGGAGGAGGATCAGGAGAGAGAGAATGAGGACAAGAAGAGATAAGAGGAGGAGGAGGAGTGAAAGAGGAGAGAGAAGAGGAGGAGGAGGAGAGAGAAAAGGAGGAGGAGAGAGAAGAGGAGGAGGAGAGAGAGGCTGTAGCGTTGTTGAACTTTTACCTTCTCTCTTCTGTTCGAATTCTTAGACTTGATGTTTTTTTTCTCTTTTTAAAAACTAAAGTTCCTCTTCCTCCTCCTCCTCCTCCTCGTCTTCATCACTCTCCTGTTTTATAAAGACTAAATTATTTCTCACCAGAACACTCAGACAGTCAGCATCTCAGTTCAAGGTCTATGCCTCAGCAATTTAGTGTCAATCATGTGTTCGATGTTTGAACACAGAGAACAAAGTTCACCAGAGTCAAAGTCCTCGTATGTTCACACATACTTGGCTGGTTCTGATTCTGTTTCTGATTCTGGTTCTTGAGGTTCTAAAGGAGGTTTTATAAAAGCTCTTCAAGACTGAAGGATTTGTTGGCTCTGCAGTCTGATCAAATGTTTAAGAGTTAAAGTCAAATCGGAGGTTTAATGATAGCTCTGCAGAACTTTGACGACTTTTTAAAAACGTTTTTTTTTCTTCCACTCAGACAAACAGGATTTAGTTTGTAAAAGGGAGGCTAAATGGTATTTTCTAGTTTTTCCAGCAGGGGGCACCGCAGGCTGCGAGGTCCCCTTACACTAGAGACCTGGGGCCTGTTCTACGAAGCAGGATTACTGCTTAGCGAGATAACTTCGAGGATAAGTTCGGGGTTTCCTGTTCTACGACGCGGGTTCACTTCTTAGCGAGGCGAGTCTCCATAGCAACATACGCTGAAGGGCTAACCTGCTCCGGGGCAGGTTAAGTTCCAGATTGAACTCACCGAGTATAAAAACCCCGCCCACTGACCAATGAGCTCTCTCGAAAAACGACTTGTCCGTTCTTGGAGGATCCTGTAGACCTCGGTGCTCGCATTGTCCGAGGAGGAACACTCCGGCTCGCGAGAGTTTTCAGGGAGAGTTTTCTCCGGATGACCACCTTTATGAAAGGCTCATATGGCCGACATATTACACAAAACATGTAAACACGATAGGAATGAACACATGAATGATTCATCTTGGGAATGAATGGACATGGGCTGCAGGGGCTGCGCGATCACAGACAACATCTCGGTACTATTTAGTAGCAGCGCACGCCCCTTATAATAACCCCCGTAAATACTGTTGTTCAGGACTGCTTACTTGTGCTTCCTACCTACTGTAATAACCGTTGTTCTAGCCCACATGCAACATTTTTGTTCTCATTCATGAAACGCTTAAATCAGGGACATTTTCGGGGACAGCTTTAGCCGGGGACAGATCATCCAATTCGGGGACTGTCACCTTAGTTAAAAGCGCATGTTGAACAGCGCTATTTCAGGGTGATAATGGCATCAAAGATTACTTTTCTGCCAGCGTTCCCTCCGTGCTTTTGCGGCGGCGACGGTGTTGTTGCTTTTGAGGTTTATGATAGATTTTAATTCTTCGTACTTTCTCATGATCGTCTCCTGCTCCTCGTTTGTAAAGTACACGGTCCTTCACTCTCCAGCCTGCTCTGACGCTCCAGACTGATCCATGTTCGCGATTGGTCAGATGCGGCGGGCTCCGCCTTACATGTGTGCACGCGCTCATAGCAAAGCTGGATCAACTTACGAGGTTGTTAACCAGCGTCGTAAAACCGTGTAGCGAGACCGCCGGCTACCTCGCTAAGTTGAGTGAGGTAGCTCCAAGGCTACCTCGCTAGGTTGAACTTGCTTCGTAGAACAGGCCCCTGTGGTCCGTTTCACGTAGGTGGTTCAACAAACTCTGAGTCAAATCCTTAACTCTGAGTTGATCTACTCTGAGATAAGAAACTCTGAGTTTCCGGTTTCACAACACCTGATTTGAGACAGTTTTAGCAACTCCGAGTAGTTTGACCTGGAGTTAAGCACGTGCACGCCAGACATAAACAGCCAGCATCTGTGGAGCCCAGATTCAATGATCAACCAATGGAAACAGGGAGAAGGAGGGGGCAGCAGCAAGCCAACGGCGAATTACAGCACGTTTTTAAAAGAAAGTGCAATACAGCAGCAGCTGCAAAGGAGAGGGAGAGGGCTTGGGAGGAAATCGCTGCTCGCGTCAATGCGTAACTTTAAATCTAGTCTCGTGCAATCACAATGACAGACTGTTGCAGGGAAACTGCTTGAATCATTTTGATCATGTTTTACATTGTCAAGTAAGTATTAAGTGGCAGTTTGATCCCTTAGAAAATGCTCTTTTCACACTCAAAAATGAATTTTACTCTCTTATGATGTTCTGTTAAATGATTAGGAATATTAAACTAACTCTCAGTATGTATATGTACATATATTAAACTAACACACACTACACTCAATATTAGACTTTCACTCAGCAAACAGAAAGAGGGCAGATGCCAGAAAAACGGGTGGTGGCCCAGCAGCCCCACCTTTAACGGAGGCAGAGGAGCTGCTCCCCCCCCCCCCCCCCACCCCGTAGCAGCGATCGTCGGACTGGTGTGCGTGTGCGTGTGGGGGGAGATTTGCGATCGGACCGGCCGCGATCGTCGAACGGGGGGGTGGGGGGCAGCTCCTCTGCCTCCGTTAAAGGTGGGGCTGCTGGACCACCACCCGTTTTTGTGTTAGTTTAATATTCCTAATCATTTAACGGAACATCATAAGAGAGTAAAATTCAGTTTTGAGTGTGAAAAGAGCATTTTTTAAGGGATCAAACTGCCACTTAATACTTACTTGACAATGTAAAACATGATCAAAATGAGAAAATGCCGATGTCTCACCTGAAACTCTGGGTTTACTGAGTTAAACCTGCTCCCGAGCAGGTTAGGTTCACAGAGTCTGTTACTGTGGTAACTGACCGCGAGGTTGAGTTACCTCTCTTTGTGAAACAGGTTAGAGTTACCCCTCTCTCTCTGGTTTAACTAACCCTCCTTTGTGAAACGGAAAACTCAGAGTTTCCCTGATTTCAGGGTTAACAGACTCCGAGTTTCCATTAAACCTGCTACGTGAAACGGACCCCTGTTCTGGAGAGAACCAGGGGCAGGTACAAACAAGATCCGGGTTTACTGTCCTGAATCCATTTTTCATATTTGGGATCACTACATCAAGTCAATCCTAGTTTTGTCTCTAACTAGTGTATCTGCATGTATTTCAGGATGTTGTTCATCCTTGCAAACCAACAGAATGAGTGTAAACAGAACTGTAATCTTGATAATATAGCATACTAAAAAAAAGTGGTCTCCTATGGTCAACTTACCTTGTGTATGGGCTAAGTTGAAAAATTAAGCATTTTGTATCAGGACTGAGCTTGATGAAGAGATCTGAGAAAAAAAAGTTTTAAAAAATATCTCTCTGATATGTTTTTACAGCAGCTAAATTTAGTGGACAAAAACAGCAAGAAGAGAGCGAAAGGGTGTAAAAGTTAAAATCTGACGCTGTGCAAAAAATAATAATGCATCAAACTCAATGTTGTTGATAATATTTGACATATCCATTAGTGTGATAGCATGCAAAAAATCTACAGCCTCTGATCATTTTTTAAAATGAAAATCAGTCATTTTGTGTGTTTTTTTTCCTCAATCAGTGACATCACCTCTGTAACTGGTATTTAAAGGGTTAAAACCACTATTTATTATTTAAAAATCAGTATTTTGCATCAGGACTGAGCTTGATGAAGATATCTGAGGAAAAAAAATGAAAAATAAATCTCTCTGATATGTTTTACAGCAGCTAAAGTTAGAGGACATAAACAGCCAGAAGAGGATGAAAGAGTGTAAAAAGGGAACACAAGGGTTAAGTGATTCAGAACATTCACAGCTGTCAAATATTTCAACAATCTGAACTGAAACTCTGATCCTCTCATCAGACTCCTTTACTTTCTCAGCTACCCCAGAACTACAATGATGACTTTATTAGTCCTCTAAGCTAAAGTGGTGGACCTTCATATAAGGTTTTTGACCTCATGTTGTAGCTCATAGATACCACAATTAATGTATAAAAGTAATTTAAAATGATCTTTTTTTTTATCTGAACACAATTCTAATCAAACTTATGACAGACTAAATTCACTTTCGAACGTGAAAAATGTTTTTTCGGAAATAAATGTCTAACCCCTTCACCCATGTGCTTCTAACCTTCACAGACTCCATGAATTGATGCCCATCTCCTTAATATTTGGTCACATGATCAATTTCTTTTACCATTTCATAGAAACAGGGGGTGGCTCAACTTACCCCACTCTCCCCTATGTGACACCATACACCCCGACCGATCTTCTCCAGATCTTGTTTGTCCTGTCAGGAGCAGATGTTTCAGATTCTCAAACCCGGACATTTTACACACATCCAAGAAACGGACCAGGACCACACACCGGGACCAGGAGGGACCAAGAGACCCACGTTAGCTTATCCTGCTACATGCTAACTGTGCTCGGTTAGAGAGGAGCATTTGTGACCGGAAATGAAACTGTGCTCACATGTCGCCTTCAGAATAAAAGCATACAGTCACACGTTTTTATTTTTTTCATTTATTATTATTATTATTATTATTATTTATTTATTTTTTTTACACGTTTTTATTTTTGTTATAATGTTGGACAACCGAGTTCTGATCAGCCGACAGCCAATATTAAAGTCAAAAGTCAGAAACAGAGAAGAGAGAGAGACTTAAATCTACACTGTGTGCACAATTATTAGGCAAGTGAGTATTTTGATCATATCATTTTTATGCATATTTTCCAACTCCAAGCTGTATAAACTTGAATGCTTATTGGATATAAGCATATCAGGTAATGTGTATTAGTGTAATGAGGGAGGCTGGGGCCTAAGGAGATCAAAGCCCTATATCAAGGTGTGCATAATTATTAGGCAGCTTCTTTTCCTCAGGTAAAATGGGCCAAAAAAGAGATTTAAGTGACTCTGAAAAGTCAAAAATTGTAAAAAGTCTTTCAGAGGGATGCAGCACTCTTGAAATTGCTTAGATATTTGGGTGTGATCACAGAACCAGCAAACATTTTGATGCAAATAGTCAACAGGGTCGCAAGAAATGTGTTAAGAAAAAAAGACGCAAATTAACTGCCAAAGATTTGAGAAGACTCAAACGTAAAGCTACCAGGAACCGCTTATCCTCCGGTGCTGTCATATTCCAGAGCTGCAACCAACCTGGAGTGCCCAGAAGTACAAGATGATCAGTGCTCAGAGACATGGCCAAGGTAAGGAAGGCTGAAATCTGACCACCACTGAACAAGACACACAAGTCGAAATGTCAAGACTGGGCCAAGAAATATCTGAAGAGAGATTTTTCAAAGGTTTTATGGACTGATGGGATGAGAGTGACTCTTGACGGACCAGATGGATGGACCCGTGGCTGGATGAGTAATGGGCACTGATCTCCACTTCGACTCAGACGCCAGCAAGGTGGAGGCGGGGTACTGGTAATAATAATAATAATCTTTATTGTCCCCAAGGGGAAATTTGTTTTCACAGGTCTTATTCAAACACAAAACAGGAGTACAGACAACACATACCATATGACACAAAACATATTACAAGGACAGGCCATGAGAACCCCCCCAGAATACCAAGAGACCATCCTAGCGGAGAGGCAGTTTGAGCTTGTTTACTGCGGCGATGGCTGTTGGGATGAAACTCCTACTGAACTGGATCCTCTTCCACCTGGGTGATCTGTATCTGCGGCCTGATGGCATGAGGTCGAAGTGATGATGTAGAGGATGCTCATTGTCGCTTATCATTGAGAGTGCCAAGCGAGTGATGGCCTTATTGTTCAGATCGGCAAGGGTGGGTGTGGGAAGTCCGATGACCTTGGAAGCAATACGGGTGATACTGTGCAGTTTGTTTCTATTTGGCATGGACAGTATGGTAAAGTAACATGGTGAGCAGTACAACAGAATGGGTTGGATAATGCTTTTGTACAGTAACAGCAAAACATGAGGGGCAACAGATAGTGACCTTAGTCTACGGATGACATGAAGTCGTTGCTGGAAACGTTTATGGATGGAAGTGATGTGTTGATCAAACCTGAGTTTATTGTCCAAGATGAGTCCAAGATATGTGAAACTGTCAACCTGTTCAACTGTTTTGCCATGAATGAGGAGTGGGTTAAGCCTAGTACGAGTTGATGGAAAGACCAGTTCTTTTGTTTTGTCCACATTCAACTCCAAGAAATTGTCCGTGCACCACTGGGTGAAATGGGAGATGGTGTTCTGATGGTCCGTAATAGAGTCATTGTCATGTAGCAGTGCGAGGATGGCAGTGTCGTCTGAGTATTTGAAGTATGTGATGTTGTTAGGTGAGGGGCTGATGCAGTCATTTGTGTACAGTGTGTAGAGGAAGGGACTGAGAACACAGCCCTGGGGGGCCCCCGTGTTGGTGATGACTGTTGATGAGGAAGATGAGCCAACTTTGACTGATTGTGGTCTGTTGCTCAGGAAATTGTGGAGCCAGTGGATGAGGAGTGTAGGAATGTTGAGGAGGTGCAGTTTTTTGATCATGTGATGGCGTTGTATGGTGTTAAAGGCGGAACTGAAATCAACGAAGAGGATCGTGGAAAAATTGTCTGATGATAAGTCCAGGTGTTGGAGAAGGGAATGGAGGAGGCATGCCACAGCATCCTCTGTCCCCCTCTTGGCCCTATAGGCAAACTGATACGGGTCCAGCTGTGACCTGACAGCTGGCAGCATGATGTTCAGTATCAGTCTTTCTAGGAGCTTCATCATGATTGATGTTAATGCAACGGGTCTGTAGTGGTTAGGTTCCGAGGGGCGGGGTTTCTTGGGAACTGGTATGATGGTTGATGTTTTCCACAGTGAGGGTATGGATGCAGTTCTGTAGGATTCCCAGAAGATGGAATGCAGGATGGGGGAGAGCTCCATAGCACAGAGTTCGAGCACCTTTGCTGTGATGCCATCCGGGCCCGGCGGTATGGGCTGGTATTATTAAAGATGAGCTAGCTGGACCTTTTCGAGTTGAAGATGGACTTAAAATCAACTCCTTTCTTCAAGCAGTGGTACAGGCAAAAGTCTGCATCTTTCAAGAAAACCATGATTTTTATGCAGGACAATGCTCCATTGCATGCAACAAAGTACTCCACTATGTGGCTCGCCAGTAAAGGCCTTAAAAACGAAAGAATAATGACATGGCCTCCTTCTTCACCTGACCTAAACCCTGTTGAGAACTTGTGAGCCCTTCTTAAACGGGAAATTTACAGTGAAGGAAGACAGTACACCTCTCTGAACAGTGTCTGGAAGGCTTTGGTTGCTGCAACACAAAAAGTTGATCGTCAACAGATCAAGAAACTGAAAGACTCCATGAATGGAAGGCTTATGACTGTTAATGAAAAGAAGGGTAGTTACATTGGTCACTGATTTTTTTTTTTTAATTTCAACTATTTTTATTTGTAAATTGAGTTGTTTGTTTATCATTCTCACTTTAACAAGTGAAAATAAACAAGTGAGATGGAAAATTTTTAATTTTTAATTAAGTTGCATAAAAATTCTGCACACTAATAGCTGCCCCCAATAATTGTGCACACATAGATATTCTCCTAAGGAAGCCAAAATCTCACTATTACTCCCTTAAATATTAAGGTTTGAGGTTTATTAACATTTTGGATTGACCGTGAGCACTGTAGTTGTTCAAAAATAAAATGTATCCTCAAAAATACAACTTGCCTAATAATTGTGCACACAGTGTATTATATTTATAATCTAATTTATATCTATATTATATTTAAAATGACTTTTAAAAACCGGACTGATGACATGTGTTTAACACTGTAGAGGAATAATGGTAGTGTTGACATCAAAACGTTCCTGAACCTGCCTAAAGGAGCAGCTGTCTGGTCCCTTTTGCATGTTTCTGTTTGGACTGGATCTACCTGGTTCTTCACTCTCAGAAGGTCAGACAGAGATGTGAAAGCTCGTAGAAGAAGAAAGGAGGAGGTCTGGAGAAACTCCTCACACTGTGAAGGAGGTGCTGTGTTGTCCAGATATTGAACAGCTGATCTTGCTCCAGATGATGTTCTGAGGAGTTCAGTCAGATCAGAACTTGTTCACATGTATTCTCCATGATACTGTTGCTAGAATACAGACTCAACATCCTGAGGCTCTTCAATAAAAAGCTCTTTTCTCTCTTTTACCACTTTTATCTCATTTTGACTTACTGTCTATTTAGTTTTTCTTTTACTTATGATCTTTTCCTATTTAACCTTTTAGGCCTTTTATTGTTTTTGTTTTTTCCTGCTCATTTTTGTTATTCAATTTTATCATTACTATTACCATCATTATCATTTAATTATGATTTTATTATCATTAAGATCGTCTTTTTATATCTAGTATCCCGTTTCCTGCTTTCTAACCCACTTTTTAATTACATTTCTTTTTCTTACCTATTTTATGTTTTTATTTTGGTCTTCATGGTCTCATTTTATGTTGTAGGGTTCTTGTATTGTCTGGGTTTCTTACGAAAAATGGCCTTTAATTCGAAGGCCTTGTTTTTCACTAAGCTTTTGTTTTTTATTTGTTTTTATTTCCATGTGCCTCACAACTGTTTGTCAAAGCACTTCATAAATTTCTGTTTTTAAAAGTGAGATAAAAATAAACGTATTATTATTATTAATAATAATAATAATAATAATAATAACTGGAGACATCATCCACGTCCCCCTCTCCTCTCAGCTGATGGATTTATTCAGTTAACTGTCCTGACAGACAGACGAGTTTCTCTGGGGAGACAAAGTGAGCTCTTGTGTCTCATTCTCATCATTATCGATACTTCCTGTCAGGTAGACCGGCTCATGTCTGGATCACCTGTGTGACGTCAGAGTGACATAATCTGATCTTAAAATTCACTAATGACTGTTTCAGAGCTGTGAGCAGAGGAGTGATGCTGACGTTCATCACGAATAATAATCAATACTTGTTAGAACCCTGAATACGTTATTGAACTCAGGAAGGAGGTATAGGGTCCCTCTATGTAAACACAACAGGTACAAGCACTCATTCATCCCACTGTCAGTGAAGCTCATAAATGAGCGGATGGTATTGGACGGATGGAGACGATGAAAAGAGGTTAAAGGATGTTATGCTGACTTTGCACAGATGTATTGCACTATTGTGACTTTTGAGTATATCTACGCATTTTTAGCATTAGCATAAATTATATATGTTGTCTATCTACCCTAATTATCTATTTATTAACTTTGGCATCTGTATTGATTATGTAATTGCTAGTGTTGTAGTCAAGACTGCACCAACCGAGACCAAGACATTACCGAGACCAGAGAGGACCGAGAACGAGACAAGACCGAATGGTCTTGAGACCGGTCTTGAGACCAAGAACGATCTCGAGTACTACAACACTAGTAATTGCTTTGTATTTTATCTACTACTTGTATATTTATTAGCTGATTTTTTTATGGACATTTTGTCGTGTGAGTGTGTGGTGAAATGTGTGGGTTGTCCGGTCAGACCCCTCTATCCAAGATAAATTTCTCCCATGGGAGACAAATAAAGGCACTTTGAATTATCCAGAACTTTAAAACTGGACTTGGACCAGTCCCTGATACCTGATCAGAACCTGTCACGGCAGTCTCTGCACATTCAGAGGTCCAGACCAACACCTGTCTCCACTCTTCAGAACTTGCTGGGTCTTTCCAGAATCTCCTCCTTTCTTTTAGGGGGCTTTGTTTCAGTGTGGCTGCAGTGGAGCAGTGGTTAGTTCTGGTTTGAGTCCCTGTTTTATAGACTACAGTGAGAGTAAAGTCGGGGACCCTGGTGTTTTTATTGACCTTCAAGGAGATCCTTCAGACTTTAAAATCACAACAGATTAGACAACACACAAATGTTCAGAACTCTGAGGTCTGTCACATTTCTGCTCAGACTGAAGCAGCTAACAAAGGAACTTGAAAAGTCCAGAAGTCCAGCAGTTTCCTGAGCTCCGAGTCAGTCCCTTCAGGATAATTCTCCAGTTAGCAGCAGGAGTCGGGTTTCTCTGAGAGTTTGTTTGTTTGTTTGTTCATGTCCAACCACACCAGCAGCTTCTCCTCAAGCGTGTTCATGGTCTGGAAGAAAAGAAGAAACTAAACTCTGGAGAGTTCTGTCGACTAAATGACTCAGAGGATTCCTGTTAAGGTCAAGTGAAGCTAAAACTAGCACACATATAAACATCTTACTCATATTTATGAGATTCCTCTCTCCTAAAGCTGACTGATTCTCCTCCCTCCAATCTTAAAGTTGTCCATCTTGACCTCAGTTTCTGTTCATCCTTGTCTTTTTGGATCTGGAGTCCTGTTTCTGCCTCGCTTCCCTCCTCAGATTGTTTTTTTTTCATGTTGCTCTGAAATGCTGATTGTGAGACTGTTGAGTTCAAATCTGCTGCTCTGGAGCTCCTGACGTTTCAGCTTTGACTGTTTTTAAACATCTTGTGCCACAGGGATTTCACTCTTATGGTTGGCCATGTGTCGAGTCAAACTTCTTTTATAGTAAAATCTTTCGCCACAGTCGGAGCAGGCGAAGGGTTTCTCTCCAGTGTGGATTCGGATGTGATCATTCAGACGTCCTTTCAGGTTAAATTGTTGCCCACAAACAGAGCAGTTGAAGGGTTTTCCTCTCAGGTGAATAACGCTGTGTTTCATCAGATGACTTTTTTGGTTAAAACTTCTGCCACACTCGGAGCAGTTGAACGGTTTCTCTCCGGTGTGAATTGCCATGTGTCGGGTCAGACACCTTTTATAAGTGAATCTTTTACCACACTCGGAGCAGGTGAACGGTTTCTCTCCTGTGTGAATTCTTACGTGGTCTATCAGATGACGTTCACACAGAAATGTTTTCACACACTCAGAGCAGCTGAAGGGTTTCTCTCCTCCATGGTGTGCCATATGAGCTGTTAAATTAGACTTATAGTTGAATTTTTTTCCGCACTCAGAGCAGCTGAAGGGTTTCTCTCCTGTGTGAAGTCTCATGTGAACTGTCAGACGACCTCTTTGAGTAAATCTTTTCCCACACCGTGGACATACGGAGACCTCGTCTCTGTGAACCTCCATGTGCTGAGTCATGTTTTTCTTATACTTGAACTTTTTGTCACACACAGAGCAGCAGAAGGGTTTCTCTCTCTTGTGTACAATCATGTGTATCGTCAATTGACCTTTATAGGAGAAGCTTTTCCCACACTGAGTGCAGCTGAAGGGTTGATCCCCAGTGTGATTTGTCATGTGATAGGTCAGACTCCGTTTGTATTTGAATCTTTTCCCACAGTCAGGGCAGTGGAAGGGTTTCTCCTCTGTGTGAATTCTTTGGTGCTCACTCAGATGATCCAACCGGGTAAATCTTTTCCCACACTCTGAACAGTTGAAGAGTTTTCCTCCTCCATGATGTGCCATGTGAGCTGTCAGATTAGATTTATGGTTAAAATTTTTCCCACACTCAGAGCAGTGAAAGGGTTTCTCTCCAGAGTGAATTCTCATGTGAACTATGAAACTAACTTTGTGGTTACATCTTTTCCCACACTCAAGGCAGATGAAGGGTTTCTCTCCTGTGTGAGTTATCCTGTGTGTGGTCAGATGAACTTTTTGGTTAAAACCTTTCCCACACTCAGAGCAGCTGAAGGGTTTCTTTTCTGTGTGGATTGTCATGTGTCTGTTTAGATTTCTTTTATAATTAAATCTTTTTCCACACTCAGAGCAGCTGAAGGGTTTCTCTCCTGTGTGAATTCGAACATGTTCGGTCAGAAAACTCTCATAAATGAATCTCTGACCACATTTAAAGCAGCTGAAGAGTTTCTCTCTCTCGTGATACGCCATGTGAGCTGTCAACTTCGACTTATGCTGAAATATTTTGTCACACTTAAAGCAGCTGAATTTCTTCTTTCCTTTGTGAAGTCTGACTGAAATCTTTTTGGATGTTTTACAGCGAAGCAGAAAATTCTTCAGATTCCTGTCCGAGCGTGATCCTTTAGATTCGCTCATCTCTTCAGGGTTCGATACTGAACGCTGCTCTGCAGTCTTTTTCCAGTCCTCGCTGTCATCAGTCTCAGCTCCAGACTCATCCAGCTTGACTTCAATCTCTGCATGTGTCTCTAGATCTGAGTCCCTGTCTGGTTCTGGTTCTCCATTGTCCTCTTCATCAGCTCCTGGTTCCATCTGGTCCCTTGGTCTCTGATGAAGCTGTGAGGACTGAGGTTCCTCTTCATCACCTTCACTCTTCACACAGACGGGAGTGAAGGAGATCTTGTTGGTATCAGCCTCCTCCAGTCCTTGAAGCTGCTCTCCCTCCTGACTGCTCCACACTTCCTCCTCTTCCTTTTTAATGTGGGGGGGTTCTGGTTCTGCTGGGTACTGCTGGTCTAAACTGGAGCTCCCCTCCTGCTGCTCAGGAAGCTCCTCCTCACCCTCTGAAAACTGGGAGTCTGCAGGAAACTCTAGGAAAGACACATGAAGAAAAACAAACGTGGAGTCATGATGCTTTCAATCATTAAACATCTAGAAACTGTATGTCTATACACTTTGACAGAGGAGCTTTAAAACTGAAAACTCTGACTCTTTAATTCTTACAGACAGACAGGCAAACTTTAACAAACCCAAAACCTTTTTAGGCTAAAACGGTTTTTATTTTAACACGGGCAGTGATTTTTATTTTATTTTATAGATGTCAGTGATAGAGATGTTGTGTGTCATTGTTTCGAACAGCTCTGATACAGTTTCTATCAGAATTACTGTGACTCTGACTTCCTCTGTCCTCCTCCTCTCTCCTCTCTCCCCCTCTCCCCTGCTGCTCAGGAGGTTCTTCTTTACTCGTGGACAGCTGCTGGATGACGACAAGAGACTCTTAATTATAAAAAGAGACAATAAAGGAAGCTGTGAGATTATCAGGTATGAGAGAGAGAAGCAGCAGGAGACCTCCTCGACTGTGACCCAGAGTCAAAACTTGAACATGATCCACAGTTCATCCTGGACCCAAAGGTCCTATCTGTCTTTACAGTAGAAGCAAATTAACTCCAACAGCCTCCAGGACTCACGGCTGTTCAAACATGAGAATGATGTGGTCCTCCTTTTGGCCAGTCTAACACTGAGGCTAAGACAAAAGCTAACATTGACTTTATAACTGAAGCTAACACCCAGGCTAACCCTGAAGCAGACATGAACCTTCTGCACCTCTCTTTTCTAAATCCCCAATTTTACTGATTGACAAACTCAATCTGCTCAAGATGAACGCTAACCCCCACCTCATCCTCTGGGTCCTCTCCTTCCTCACAGGGAGGGATCAGAGGGTAAGGGTGCATGGTCACCTCAGCACTATTCGGACAATATCAACTGGCTCACCTCAAGGTTCGGTCATCTCTCCACTTCTCTTCACTCTGTACACTAAAGACTGCAGGAGCACCACCCCAGGAATAACCTACATCAAGATGACACAGTAATCATGGACACCACAAACACAGTCGGACTACTGCAAACAGAACTGGACCCTTTTTCACTGTAGTGTAGGGACAACTATCTAGACCTTAATGTATTCAAGACAAAAGAAATGGTCATTTACTTCCATCATGGCCACTCCACTACACCCTCACTTACAATCAACAATGAAACAATCGAAAAGCTCCCCTCATAGAAACATCTCGGCTCCATAACCGACCATAAACTTACATTTCAACTCAATACTGAACACATTTTTTCAAAATGCCAACAGCACCTCTTTTTTCTCCGTAAGCTCCGAAAACGTCAGGTTCACCAGTCTGTTCTTGCTGTTTTCTATAAATGTTAAATTGAATCCATCCTCACATTCAACATCACTGCCTGGTTTGACTCACTCACCCTTATTCACTCTTAATAAAATTATCAAAATCAGCAGCAAAATCATTGGTCAGGAACAGCAGTCACTCACCACTATCTACAACACCAGAGTCCTGAGGAAAGGCAAGCAGATCTCCACTGACCCCTCACTTTGCTGCCTTCACACAGGTACAGGTTGCTCCCACTGAGGACAAAGAGGGCCACCTCCAGCTTCCTACCCACCTCCATCCGCCTGTTAAACAGCTGATTGCTACACAATATTGTAGAGGAGGACTAGTATGATTGACCTTTTGTTTTTAATGTAGATTGTGATCTGTGAATGGACATGTGCTTTGTTTTATTTGTTTCTGCACTGGCGCTTTCTCTGCAAATGAAGCTCCTAACGGATGAATAAAGTTGATTTGAGTTGAGTTTGAGTTGAACGTCTCTCATTTGTTTGTCCATGAGTTCATCAATAAGAAACAAATCCTTCCTGACTGCTTCAGAAACTTTTTTAACCTTTTCATCTGGCCTTCAACCATACTCAACAAGACAAAATGACCATCTTCAGTTACTTTTCTGTCATCAGTCTAATATCACTTTTACAGGACAGAAAATATGGACTGATCTGAATGGATCTCTAAAATCAATATCATCCTTCAAATCCTTTAAAATATTATTAAAATCTCATCTAATCATGTTTTAAACACATCGTTATGTACATGTTTCTTTCCTTTTGTATGTATACTTATATTGTCTCTATCTCTGGTTGATGATTAGCCTATGTTTTATTTATGATAGTTTGTATCTGTTTTAACCTTTCCCTACTCGTTGTATATTTACAGCCTGTCTAATTAATTACTTCGTTGTTTTCACCCTACGCCTTTACTGCCCTGACGAGAGTGGAACTCCGTATCAGCCGATCGTAGGGTTCCCAACCGTACCGTAAAAAACGGGATCGTACCGTATTTGAAACAAAAAGAAATGTCCCGTAATGAACTACAACGGGACGCTCCTTTTCCCGTATTTTCTGACAGCGTCTCTCTGCATAACACACTTGGGGTTGCCAACTCCAAGAGATTGAAAAAAAATTGGTGTCCCTTATTTCAGGCCGGGCCTGAAGCTTACCTGCTGCTCTGGTCATGTGGATCAGCTCAGGTGTTCTGATCCCATCATCATCATCCAGCCCAGTTTTTCTCGATCGGTAGAGCTCCTCTTCTTCTCCAGATCTTGTTTGTCCTGTCAGGAGCAGATCTTTCAGATCCTTAAACCCGGACATTTTACACACATCCAAAAACCGGACCAGGACCACACACCGGGACCAGGACGGGCCAACAGACCTTTAACCCGCTCAGAAACAACGTTATCTTATTCTGCTACATGCTAATAGTTTTCGGTTAGAGAGTAGCAGAGGTGACCCGGAAACTAAGCTCTTCTTCTTTAGTTTAATGGCGCATCGCAAGCAACCTACAGGTTTATACCGCCACCTATTGGACAGGACTGCGTGGAAACGAAACTCAAACTCATACTAGAAAAATTGCATTTCCTTGCAGAAAATGCGTGGAAATGCTGAGTGCTGAAAGCTGAAAAAGCAATGCTAAACTGCTTATAAAAAATGGATGAAGGTATAAATGTAAAAGCTGTTGATTGGGGTGAAAAAGAAATAAAAGTTTAGTAATTGTGAAAATGGTTAAAGGACAAATAGTATGAATATGCTCCATAAATTGAAAGTTGATTCATGCTGGAAGAGGCTGAAAAGTTTGAATGAAGAAGGAAATTGCCTTAAAAGGCAGAAAGGTGAGAAGTGGCATAAGTTTAAGTTGTAGTTCCAGTAGTAGGATGATAAGTAGTCATATTAGTGATATTAGTAGTCATGTAAGCAGTAAAAGTAGTTTGAGAATAGAGGAAGCAGAAGTCAAAGAAATAGAGCTAGTGGTAGAAGAAGTAGTACCAGTAGAGAAAGTAGAAATAGTAGCAATAGCCAGGCATGAAAATGGGTCAGAGGTTGAAAAGGTGAGAAGGGTGCGGAGGAAATAGGTTCCGGTACACTGTACAACCCAACAAAATATTGAGCTCTGTCCACCCACATTGTGTTTTAGTGATCTGCAGGAGGCGCCAAAAACACTCTAAGTCTCTCCCTCTCTCTCTCTCTCTCTCTCTCTCACACACACACACACACACACACACACACACACACACACCACATCACATGCATCTTGTGCTGGCCATGTTTTATTTAGAAACAAAGTTTACTTTCACAGAAGCTAAATGAGTTAGCACAACACCGGCGTGGATAAGTCCTGTTTCTCGTTCTCGCAGCTTTGCAATGCTACCACAGGCTCTCCAAGCACTCCAAGTACACGTGAAGAGTGTGCGCATAATTGGAATAATGGAACGCAGTTTGGCCTATGCTCCTCCATAAACTTTGGCCATGGAAAATGTAAGATTTGAACTTCTTAACAATATCTGATGAGTTCTGTCATGGGCTTGATAACGCCGACGGTCACATTGACCGTATTTCTTCTGTGTTTTAAGACTACAAAGAAAGAGAAAACATCCTAAATGAATGAAATATGAATATTGTTCACTTTTCGCCCCATAAATTATCTGTTCAACTATTTCAAACTCTGAGCTGGGATGTTAGCCCATATTTAGGCCTACTGTAAAGCTCTAACCTGTGCTCTAGTAGCTAACCTGCTGTACAATCTGACCTGGACGGTCTGACTTGCAGGGGACCTCAACCACAAAAAAATAGAGTTAAACTGTTCAAAACCTGTTTAGATCATGTGCAGAGTACTAAAATATATAATATAAAATATATAATATATGCTTTATGCACCCACAAAACATAAGCAAAAGAGTAAAGTCATCTGCGCATGCGTCCGCGTCGTATGGCACCCAGCCATTTCTCTATCCTGCGACCAACTTTTTAACCCATTTTAACCGGTTTTAAACAACTTTTAAGACTGCATTTTAAGAGTTTGCTGGCTTTTAAGTTGAACTTTTACCGTGTATGGGTTTTTATTTTATTTTACTTTATGTTATTTTATCTGTCGTAGCAGAGAAAAAGAGCGCAGGTTCCCGCAAGCCATCGTATTTATTTGGTTTTAAAATGTTTTGTTTTGTTCCTTGAGCAAAGGATAATTTTTATCTTTTTGCTTTAACCGGACAAAAGGTTTTAGTCATTAGACTCTGGGATTTTATGCACTTTTGCTGAGCTAGCTACATGGCACCCATGGAGGCTACCGCCATAGACGCTTCCTTACCTGCTAAAGTTAGTCAACAACTGAAAAGGGCCCAGTGAAAGATTGCTGATCTTCTAGAGGACATTGGTCGACTCTCAGACGAGCTGCAGAGGAAGGACTCACTCCTGGCCACTTTTAAATCTTGGGGCCCTAAGACACATTTTACTTCAAGTCATGCAACAAATATCCCCATTGGAAGGGAAGTACCTTAGGGTCATAGGAAACATTTTATCCAAAGAGACAAGTTAGATCACCCTTCAATTTTTTTTAATCGCCATTTTAAAAATGGCCGCTGACAATAAACCGCCAATACACCAGACCCCGTATCTTTGCTTCTGTTAGAGCTATAATCATAATATTGGTGTCAAAGTGTACGTTTTTGGGGTCTAGGAATTCAATTAAATAGGTTTCAATGCAAAAAACCCAATGCATCATTAATTACCATGACAATGGGGGGTAAAATATGCAAATTTCATGAAAAAATGTACGTTTTGACAGGGTAACTTACCCCCCCACCCCTCCCCCTAAACTGAGATTTACTGTTCCTTTGGCATGGAAGTACCTTAGGGCCATAGGAAATAAATTATCCAAAGAGACAAGTTAGATCACCATTAAATTTTTTTAATAGCCATTTTAAAAATGGCTGCCGACAATAACCGCTAATACACCAGACCCCATATCTTTTCTTCTGTTGGAGCTATAATCATAATATTGGTGTCAAAGTGCACATTTTTCCACTAGAGGGCCCCATTGAGGCTCAGGCTGGCTCTGGGTCGAGCAGAGTTCATGCCTCTGTGGGTTAGGGCAGCAAAAGGTGGACCAAAACAACATCAGGCAGGTAGTCTTCATGTGATGCCTGATGGGTGTTTTTATGTAAATGAACATATGTCTGAGTATGAAGATAAAGACTAAGATGATGAAGAATATCCTCTAAAGTATTAGTTCACTAGTTCATAAATCAAACCCTCGAAGTTCTCAGTGTTTTTTCTATCAGTCAATCAGTTTGTGGATTTCTCCGACTCCGCTGAAATCCACTTTCTGTTCATGTTTTAATATTTTGATCTTTTCCCACCTGCTGCTCGACCTTACGTACAAAAACCTCCAGATTGCAGTTTATTCATCTCTGTGTCTTTTTTCCAAACTAGTCAAACCTTTGACCCAAATCAACTCAGTCTACTTTATTCATTTATGATCAGGTTCACTGAAAAGCAGCAGCGTGTGAAATTATCAACATGAGAAGATGATCAAATTTAAAAAAAACACTTTCAAGTGTCAGACACATGCGGACTCATTCTTCTGACAGTCAAACTCTTTCAAATTCATGTTGGTGATCCCTCAACATTTCCCAGATCTTCTACAACATTTCAGCTCCATATGTCAGAGAGTGACCTTTTGTGGCGTGATGGGGTGTTTTGAGGACCCAGAAGCAGACACAGAGGCAGATATCAACTTAAGATGTAATTTTAATGTCCAAACTCAGGTTAAAAGGCAAAAAGAGGAAGTCCGGTAGGCTGGTTGGCTGGCTGTCGTGTGGGCTGGAGACACTGCAGGGAAAACAGAGGAGAGGGAAGTGAGTAAACATACAATAAATCACGAGCTGCAGAGTTACAAGCACTTATTCAAGAAAGGAGGCCAGGAGACGCGTCTGTACCACTTGGGAGTGAAGACAATACTCAGGCGCTGAGACTGAGGGCTGCTGGCTTCTTGAAGTGCCTTGATTGCAGATGTAGAGCAGGTGTGTAGTCTCACTCAGCCTCAGCGACCGGGGGAGGGGGAGGGAGCTCTGGAAGAGAGTCAAGCCAGACCAGGCAAACAAAGAAACACAGGAAGTCCAACCAAAATAAAACAAAAGGAGGAGGCGTTTCACCACACCTTTGTCTAGATCATGTCTGTGAAAACAAATTATCGAGGAGATCTCTGCAGCTAACCCAAAGTTGATCAAGTTCATCACAGATTCCACTTGGTCTCCTGGAGAACGTCCAAGCTCTGCAGCCATGGAGGTCCTGAGGAGAATTGAGTCTTTTTTAGGGGGTAGGTATCATGGTATCTTCTCCCAGGATGCCTTGAAGCACATCTGACTGAGTTTTCTACGTCCATGAGTACGATCAGATGTTCTTTTTTAATTACCTTGCTGACATGTTTCAATGTGCTGGCAGCAGTCTTCCTCAGAGTGTCATGTGATGGTTGTGTGACGCGTCTTAAAACAGCTGGGGGGTATTCCATCAAGCTCGCTTAGCTCAAAGTCTGGCTTAAATGGCCAAGTCTCGCTTATTTTAGTGAGAGTTGAGTTTCACCAATGTGGCTAAGATTAACTCCAACTTGGTAACCATGGAAACATGGTTCTGGCTAAGCCGGACACTTGGAGCTAAGCTCTGACTTTCTATTCCATCAACCTGAGCCTCAATTCTGTTCCATCAAAGTGGTTAACACGAATGCCAGCCTTGTAACCATGGTGACTTATGCTGCTGGCCAAACCTGGGGCCTGTTCTACGAAGCAGGATTACTGCTTAGCGAGGTAACTTCGAGGGTAAGTTCGGGGTTTCCTGTTCTACGACGCGGGTTCACTTCTTAGCGAGGCGAGTCTCCATAGCAACATACGCTGAACGGCTAACCTGCTCCGGGGCAGGTTAAGTTCCAGATTGAACTCACCGAGTATAAAAACCCCGCCCACTGACCAATGAGCTCTCACGAAAAACGACTTGTCCGTTCTTGGAGGATCCTGTAGACCTCGGTGCTCGCATTGTCCGAGGAGCACTCCGGCTCGCGAGAGTTTTCAGGGAGAGTTTTCTCCGGATGACCACCTTTATGAAAGGCTCATATGGCCGACATATTACACAAAACATGTAAACACGATAGGAATGAACACATGAATGATTCATCTTGGGAATGAATGGGCATGGGCTGCGTGATCGCAGACAACATCTTGGTACTATTTAGTAGCAGCGCATGCCCCTTATAATAACCCCCGTAAATACTGTTGTTCAGGACTGCTTACTTGTGCTTCCTACCCACTGTAACAACCGTTGTTCGAGCCCACATGCAACATTTTTGTTCTCATTCATGAAACGCTTAAATCAGGGACATTTTCGGGGACAGCTTTAGCCGGGGACAGATCATCCAATTCGGGCACTGTCACCTTAGTTAAAAGCGCATGTTGAACAGTGCTATTTCAGGGTGATAATGGCATCAAAGATTACTTTTCTGCCAGCATTCCCTCCGTGCTTTTGCAGCGGCGACGGTGTTGCTTTTGAGGTTTATGATAGCTTTCAATTCATGATCTCGTGATCGTCTCCTGTTCCTTGTTTGTAAAGTCTGCGGTCCTTCACTCTCCAGCCTGCTCTGATGCTCCAGACTGATCCATGTTCGCGATTGGTCAGATGCGGCGGGCTCCGCCTTATATGCGTGCACGCGCTCATAGCAGAGCTGGATCCACTTATGAGGTTGATAACCAGCGTCGTAAAACCGCTTAGCGAGACCGCTTGCTACCGCGCTAAGTTGAGCGAGGTAGCTCCAAGGCTACCTCGCTAAGTTGAACCTGCTTCGTAGAACAGGCCCCTGGTCTGGAGCAGGATTAAGGTGAAGATTAACTCCACTAATGTCCAAAAAACATGTCTGTTTTGCATTTACATACACAATGCACTGATAAAATAATTTGTGAACCCAAAACGTGCTTTCCATCCACTTTGTAAACTAAGTAAAAAGTGCATTTGGTAAGTATTGTGATTTTGGCCCTTGTTGTAGCTGAGGGCTAGGGATTCGGCCTGTGTTAACTCCTCAGGTGGTGGTCCCCGACCAGTGGCTCCCAGTTGAGCTTTTCTCTTGGTTGCTGCAAGGAACACAGTCACAGCTTTACAGTGATATTTACTAATACATTTCACATTATTACAATTATTATGCATCACTGACCATTTGTAAGGATGTTTTTATATTTTATTTTGACCTGTTGCCAGGTGCGTTTCTGGCCTCCGAGGTTGCTTCTGTTTGGACAGTAAAAGGAGGTTAATAAAAGACACAGTGAATGCTGAGTGAGTTTTAGTTAGTTCCTCATCCTACTGCACAGACATGAAGGTAAAATGAAGCAATTAGCTCCTTTTTATGCAACAAGAGAATCAATTAACCCCTGCAAACATTTAAACAGCGCTCCTCTGAATAGGGGGAATTAGGTAAATGAGATAATACATGATCAATTGTGTGATAAATGTTTTGCATATAAAACAATTTGATTATAGCCACTTCAACTCCGATTATAAATCTGATTAAATCACTATCTGTAGCCTACAACTTGTCTTGTAGTGAATTTCTTTAATTTTACAGCCTAAATTACAATTCTGTTATGTCAAACAGGTTGTATCAATAACATTGAGACGGGATTATCATCTGAAATAATGAATGGATGAAACATCACTTACGCATTCAGCCTGTCGGCAATTGTCTTCCATGCTGCCTCTCTCGCTTTGTTTATTTGAGCGGTGTTACCTTTTTTAGTTATTATATCACGGGAATCATCATATAACTCCATAAGGAGGTTTTGTTTAGCATCAGAAAATATCTGGCCGTGGTTTTGCGGCATTCTGAGCCATTTTGCAACACTTTCAGCACTCGACTTGTTGGGTCTTTTTATATTCCACGGGGAGGCGCTCAGTGTGAGGTTTAACAGGTGAGGCTGGAATTAGCATCAAGTGGAGCCAGCTGATCTCGTTTGATGGAACGGGTTGGGGCTAGGTTTGGAGTTGCCGTTAATTCAAGCTTCAAGATTACACCATAGTCCCGATTTTCTTAGCGACTTTGATGGAATACCCCCCTGATGTTTCCGAAGGCGTGACCTTTCTTTCAGTTTGACAGATCAGTCACGCCTTCAGCTGCCTGCTTCCCTCCTGCAATATGGCACTCCAGGTGTGGGATAGCATATATGCCCCCTCATCCCCGTTGATGGTCCTTGGGCCTTGCTTCCGGATTTCTATTGCCTACCTGATGGAAAGGTCACGCCTTCAGAAACATCAGCTGTTTTAAGACGCATCACACAACCGTCATGTGACACACTGAGGAAGACTGCTGCCAGCACGTCGAAACATATTAGCAAGGTAATTAAAAGGCCTGTGTCTGTATAGAAGAACATCTGATCGTAAATCTTTATTATCGATGAGTTCTCTGCAGCTGACCCAAAGTTGATCAAGTTCATCAGATGTTGAGGCAGGTTTTTCCACCTGGTCTCCCGGAGAATGTCCGAGCACTGCAGCCATGGAGGTGCTCAGGAAAATGGAGTCTTTTTTAGGGAGTAGGTATCGTGGTATCTTGTCCCAGGATGCCTTGAAGCCCATCTGATTGATTTTTCTACTTCCCCGCTGAATGGACCCTCCTCACACAGGGTCCTCCTGCTCCTGAGCTTTGGGTGATTTCTCTGCACTGTGAACTGACATGTGCCGGCTCAGATTGACCTTCTGGTTAAATCTTTTGCCACACTCGGAGCACCTAAACGGTTTCTCTCCACTGTGAACTAACCTGTGCTTCGTCAAATGTGCATTTTGGGTGAAATTTTTCCCACAGACAGAGCAGCTGAATGGTTTCTCTCCACTATGGACTAGCATGTGTTTCTTCAGATTTCCCTTGTCAGAAAATCTTTTCCCACAAACTAAACAAGAGCACGGTTTCTCTCCTCTGTGAGCTCTCATGTGTCTGTTCAGGAGTCCTTTCTGGGTGAATCTTTTCGCGCACACAGTACAGCTGAATGGTTTCTCTCCCGTGTGCATTGTCATGTGTTTTCTAAGACTTTCTTTATGGGTAAAGCTTCTGTCACACTGAGAGCAGTGAAAAGGTTTTTCTCCACTATGTGTGGAGATGTGTTTGGTCAGATTTCCTCGACGATTAAACTGTGTGTTACATATGCGACAGCTGAACGGTTTCTCACCGGTGTGAAGTCTCATGTGTTGGATCAAACTTCCTTTCCGAGTGAATCTTGTACCACAGGCAGAGCAGCTGAAGAGTTTCTCTCCACTGTGAACTGACATGTGCTGGTTTAATGTTCCTCTTTGGGTGTATCTTTTCCCACACACAGAGCAACAAAATGGTTTCTCTCCTGTGTGAACAGACATATGTCGAATCAGAGATCCTTTCAGGGGGAAACTTTTAGCACACACAGAGCAGCTGAATGGTTTCTCTCCCGTGTGAACCAACATGTGCTGATTCAGTTTTTTCTCGGCGTAAAAGCTTTTCTCGCAGCTGGAGCAGCTGAAGGGTTTTTCTCCTGCGTGACGTCTCATGTGTTGATTCAGAGTTCCTTTTTGGGTAAATCTTTTGCCACATTCAGAGCAGCTGAATGGTTTCTCTCCTGTGTGAACTGACATGTGTCTGCTCACACTTTGTTTTCCTATAAACCTTTTCCCGCATACAGAGCAGCTGAAGGGTTTCTCTCCTGTGTGAACTAACATGTGTTTGGTAAGACAAACTTTCTGAGTGAATTTTTTCCCACACTCAGAGCAGCTGAACGGTCTCTCTCCAACATGAGCTAACATGTGTCTTTTCAGAGTTCCTGTTTGGGTAAATTTTTTTCCACACTGGGAGCAGCTGAAGGGTTTCACCTCACTGTGACTCTGCTCCTGACTGACGGAGCTCCCTCCAGAACCGAATCTGTCCCCGTTCCCAGTGTGAATGATCATGTGTCTGACTAGATTTCCAAAACTTTTAAAATTTTTTCTACACTGAAGACAGCTCTGAGATTTTTTACTCATCTCCAGTCTCTTTTCCTGAGAGTTTAATCCCAGCAGAGAGAGGTTGGTCTCCTCACATCGATCATCATTGTCATCAGTCTCAGGTCCAGAAGAGTCCTCGATCTCCACCTCAATCTCTGCTTGTAAAGAACTCTCTGGATCTGGATCTGGTCCCCCAAAGTCCTCTCCATCAACTCCTGGTTTCATCTGTGAGGACTGAAGTTCCTCTTCACCATCTTCACTCTTCACACAGACAGGAGTGAAGGAGAACTTGCTGGTATCAGTCTCCTCCAGTCCTTGAAACTGCTCTCCCTCCTGACTGCTCCACACTTCCTTCTCTTCCTCTTTAATGTGGGGGGATTCTGGTTCTGCTGGGTCCTGCTGGTCCAGACTGGAGCTCCACTCCTGCTGCTCAGGAGGTTCTTCTTTAAACCCGGACAGCTGCTGAACGTCTGAAGGCGACTCTAAATTATGAAAACATTGAAGTTCATATTTAGTTTTTTAAAAACCAAACCGTGAATTGTATTTTTCACTTTAAGAGTCGCTGTCAATCAAACAATCTGATCCGAAACATTTGACTCTCTCTCATTCCCTTTCTCTCTTCTCTAAAAGATGTGAGGTGTGTGTGTGTGTGTGTGTGTGTGTGCATTGTCAGACTTTATGTGTGTTTAAGGATGAAGTTTGATTTTTTTTAGTTTCTTTATAAAAGTTTTTCAGACTCTTTTGATGGTTCGTAGTTTTCCACCAGCTGAAGTCTGAGCAGACGGACAGGTAAAGAATTTTTAAAATCGACATAAACAAAGTTTTTTTTTATTTTTTGTCTCTACTTGTTTGATCCTGGGAGAGACCCGACGGTCCATGTTCTGATTCTAAGTTCAGATTTCTACAAACTGACAAACTCACACAGTTTCTAGAAGAAATGAGAAAAGAAATGAGAAAACAAAGTCTTCTCTCTCTCTCTCAGTTCTCAGTTCTGAATCCTGATATAAACATGAAGACTCGCGACTTTATCATCTCTGAACTGGAACGACAACAACACAGTTTCTCCTCTCTTTGGGATCAGATCAGAGAAAACTCCTCAGCAGACCTGAAAGAAGATCAGACATCCAAATGTGGAGGTGACAGAAGGTCAGGATCCCTACTTAAGTCTTGATGATGGTCGGTCACCATGAAGGGTTTTTGTTTGATATGAACCCCCCCCCACACACACACACACACACACACACACACACCTGTTTTCTGAGAGCCATATAGGGTTGTGAAGGGGTGGAACCCTCCAGGGGAAATTAAACTGGGGAAATTTGGAAATATTTCGAATTGGAAACTTTTCATGGGAATTTATGGGAATTAAGTGTAAATTAATCTTTGTTAATTCAAACAAACTGTCTCATATCCAAACATAAATGTAAATATTTTTCCTTAAAGGTAAGCTTGTGTGAAATGCTTCCACACATCAGATGGTGAACGTGGCATTTATCTGTAGAATAAAATAACAATAAATCTTGTAAAACACTAATGCAATGGCGTGAACAGAAATATAGTCGGCTAAACAACTGGAATGGTCTTAAAAATATTTGATAATTGATGTATAAATTATTGTTTGGTTACAGGAAACCGTCTGTCAGGAGTCAGAAGAAACAGCATCACATTTGAGGTAGCTACCACCACCATAATAAGCTTGCCCCTTAAATGGTCAATATAATGAAAAATAGCTTACATTCAGCACCTTTTTTTATTTAATTTTTACAAGTTAAATTTTAATACTATTATAGGTCAAATGTATTTACCCCATAATATTATCCAAACTTCCTTGACTTTCTATAGTCAGTGGGCTCAAATGTCTTTGGGCTCCAAAGTGTGGCCTCCAGGGTTCAAGAAATCATCTGTGAATCATGTACCTGCAATTTGGTACATTTCAGATTTATTCCCATTAATTCCCATGGAAAGTTTCTAACTTTTCCAACCCAAATGAAGAGAACCAGCTCTCAAACTCTGGAGAACTGCCTGTTCTGGTTCTACTGTGGATCAGACCCTAAATCTATGAGGTCCCCTGAAAAACCACCTGAGAGTTTCCCTTTAGACAGTTTCATGATATTGACCCCCGAGAGAGGACTTTGGAGTCTGGAGTTAAATACGGACCACAGTGAGTCTTTGGTCTGCGGTTTTACGGTCGAATCAGGAAAATGTAAAAAAAAGAAGTTTTGACAGAAGAATGTGAAAAAAACTGAAGACAGGAGAATCTGAACTCCTAAAAGAAACACAGGTTTGAGGAGGTTTTTACGACGGAGTATTAGGGCCACATTAAGACCAAAAAAAAATTTAAGACTTTGAGATTAAAGTCATTACTAACGAGAATACAGTCGTAATAAAATCATTATCTACGAGAATAAATTTCTAAGGTAAATGAAGTCTTAAAGCTGCTTTTGTGGAGGAGGAAATGTCTTAACTGGTCAACTGCAGAGTTAACTGTGGGTTCATCAGTGGGTCATTCAGAGAGCTTTTGTGGTTTCTCAAGAAATAATTGAACTGATGATTAACATTTGTGATTCAGAGGGAGTCGAGCTCCAACAAGCACCGCGTCTGTCTCTGATGTCGGCACAACACCGGCAGTAACCTCCACCTGCAGAGGCACCAACACCTTATGGCGTATAGATTCATACGATAAACAAAAGACATGTGAAAATATTGTTATAAACAGCTGCATTGAGGGATTTAACCTCTGCACAGACATTTACAGACATTTCCCCCTCTTCAAAAACAGTGATTCCCAACAGTTCTGCCTGGTTCTTTCTGAGGGAAAGATGAATTTCTTACATATGTCCTGACACTTCTGACAATGTGATGCTGAAAAGCCAAAGGATTTAGTATCTCCTTGTTTGTGAAACCTTACTACTGAAGTTCAATTCATTGAAATGCTCCACAGCGCTCATTTAAACAACTAACAACAGGTTAGACTTTATTATCGTAAGAAATGACTTTATTACGACTTTGTTCTCATAAGTAATGATTTTATTACAACTTTATTCTCGTAAGTAATCATGAAGTCTTAATTTTTTTCTTTTCTTAACGTGGCCCTCATACTCTGTCGTAGGTTTTTACTGGATTAGAGGAAAAACTGATTCGGGGTTTGGCTGCTGATATTTCTGTTGATACGAAAGTCGATCTCTGATCGATGCCCAGTCTGGGTTTGATGTGCTGATACCGGGTTCTTCAGGACTTTTTCATACCCAGCTGATTTTTGTCCACAGCAGGTTTCTCTTTCTAAAGGTTTGATCATCTAAAACATCCTCTGACTCTGATCATCTGACCTCCTGCTGGATCGGACCCTAGCTGTTCCTCTGCTGGTTCTGATATTCTCTCAGTCTTCAGGTTTTCACTCTCCTCCTCTCTGTCTTTGTGTTTTATCCGTAAATATGACCACATTTCCCCTGTTTTAGCCTCTCTTCACTGGCTTCCTGTGCGTTTTAGGATTGATTTAAAAATTGTGTTATTAACTTATAGATCCTATAAAAACAGGCTTGCTCCTTTTTATATCTCTGACCTTTTAAAACCCTATATTTCATCTGGGACTCTCAGATCCTCTGACTTTCTGACTGTCCCGAGGTCAAGGTTAAAGTTCAGGGGTGACACAGTCGCTTTGGTGCATTTCTCACATAACTATTAACATTTGCACAACAGTTGGTGCATTTCTCTGAACAATTAGTACAAACTGCAAAACCTAGTGGATAACCTGCAATTGTGTCACTTGTTAATGAATAGTTGATTCCTCAAAAGCAAGTCTTCATCTCAATGAAAGTGTCTGTGTCATCAAAATAATTAGTCCCAACATCATTGTTTATGAACACAACAGTCAAATGGATTTGTCATGTTTTCATTATGACATTTTACTCTCTCTATGTTTTCCAATGCAAAAAAGTCCGATCTTGGTGACATGACCTGAAAATGCTCAAACAGCACTATACACTACCTGTACAGCCATTTGAAAACTACAGTAAAGTTACACATTACTGTATTTAGTGAGGTAACTGAGTACAAGACGCATGTATGTTTCACATATTTACTGCATATGCTCTTTGCAATTCTACAGCATTGTGCAAAAATAAAATAAAATCACAGTCACTTATTTAGAACAAACATAAGAACTGTGAACTGTGTACAAGTAAACAATAAAACCGTACATATCACTGTAAACTGAACATAAATTATTCCTGGACATTCACAGTGGTTCTCCTGACATTTAGTTGCACCCCTCGACCAGCCTCAGCCATAATGAGGCCGTGATTGACAACATGGTCCACAAGTGTAGCCCTAATTTCATCAGGGATATATGTAATTCACCTCCTCTTCCCCTTCCTCCCTGCATTCTCATCCCTCCTCCACGACGCTGACTAGGGCCCGACCGACATGGATTTTTTTGGGGCCGATGCCGATACTGATTATTAGGGGGGAAAAAATCTGAGTACCAATTAATCGGCCGATTTTTTTATTTTTTTATGAAGTTATAAAAAATACATATGTTTATATATTGTAGATATCTACAGTATGCTATATACTACAGTATATTATATATTGTAGATATCTACAACTGTAGGCTACTGCTCTTCACGCCGACAGGAAGACCGACTGATCAAACTCGGACCAGAAAAGCGTTTTCAACTCAGAATTGTAGAAATGGTATACACTATGTCCTGCTTGGTCTATATATGCTTGCCAAGTGAGGGTTCATGGGATTCAGCTCTGAGTGACTTGTCATTGACTACAACTAATGCTTCACAAATCTCCTCATGAGTGAAAGCTGAGGTTCACCTGAGAGCACCTGTTCAATTTAGGAGACATCTTCAGGAAAAAAAAAAAAGATAAAGAAATGTATGAAATCAGCTTGACAGATTTTGAGAACTAGTTCAACAATTTTGTATGTAATGACTCAAGCATTGAAATGAGGACTATTGGTTTTATAGGGAATGACTATTCAGCATTCATAAGTATGTTTTATTTTGACTGACATGACAGACGCAAACGATAATGTTAGAAAACAGCAGAGAATTGTGTGTAAGTAACTGATACATGTCCAAGAGCATTTGCAATTGGTTCAGAGGAAGGAGAAACTGCTACGATGATGATGTACAAATGACTCAATGTTGTGGAGGTTGAACTAAAAGTTGTGAGAACTTTCATTCTGATTTGAGAAATGCACTAAAGCGACTGTGAAAAACTGTGACTCCTAAGAACTTGGTCTTTTAATCCTGTTTTACTGAACCATCTCTGTCCCTTTATTGTTTTCTCATGTTTTTCATTTTGACTGTTCAGCACTTCGGTCAGTTTTGTTGTTTTTAAATGTGCTTTATAAATAAACCTGGATTGGATTGTAGCTGATCCTTTTGTTCTGATTTCATGTTTGTTGAAGAAACAGAACCTTCATTAGAATTGGAGAAGAATTGCACCCTCACATCAAACTTTAGGGGTTTTAAGAACATCAGGATCTAACGTTAACTGAAGCCTCCAGTCTCAGACACACTCTGGCTGACTAACCCGCTCTCTGCAGCTTCATTTCCGGGCTCTCTTCCGGTTTGGTCCGGGTCTCCGGGTCTCTGCGGGTCCCCCTGATCGGACTGCAGGATCCAGTCTGACCCTGAAACCTGAACATCCTCCTCTGATCGAAGAGGGAAAGACTCACTTTGGACCTTCTCTGTGGTTCTTCTGCTCAGGTAGGACGTTAACCTCGTCTGCACATGCGCACTGTGTCTGAGAGGAGGAAGCGTACCCGGAATCACAATCCGGCCTTCAAAGTAAAAGCGTGGGTTTAACTGCAGGTCATTTCTTCTCTTAGAGAGAACTGATGTTTTTAGGAGGATTATCAAACTTTACAGAAGAAAAAAAAAGTTTAAAGTGAGTTTTCTGTGTGGACCCCTTTAACAGGTGCTGATGAGGCTCTTGGTCAGTCTCCAGGTTGATCTCAGTTACACAGACCTTCAAAAGGATGTAGTGATCCGAAATATGAACAATGGCTCATCTTACTCCACTCTCCTTTTGTCCAGTTAGTTCAGCTCCAGAGTTTATGTAACTCCCAGAAGTTCCTGTGGTTTCTTCCATTTCTCCTCAAACGTCTGAATCCTCCCATTTATAGAATGTCCCGATTTTCCAAGAGTCACAACCTCACACATCAGAACAGAAGGTGGGTCATCTCCTACCCACTTTACCAGAATTGCTTTCTTTGCCAACATTAAGAGTGATTGACTCACCTCCTCATGTTTTGAATTTCCCTCTGGGATTAATAAAGTATCCATCCATCCATCCATCCATCCATCCATCTATCTATCTATCTATCTTAAGGAGAATTGGGGAAACTTCCCAGCAAACATAAGAGTGGAGTTGCTGTCACCTGTTGTCCTGTTGCAATACTAATGTTTGCACATATTACCCTCCAGAATACCTGAATTGTATTTCATTCCCACAGGCAGTGCAACCTAGTGCCGCCATGACTTTTACATTTGGGACAATTTGGTGAAACTCCTGCTGTATGTTTACTGTATACAACGAAATATAAATATTATGTTAGATATTATATTGTAATGCTCTATATCTGTCGCGGACTGAGATTCTAGAAGTCAACCGCAGTATATCATTCTACATAATCGCACATTTCAGTTAAACTACACCAAGATGTTCTCAGCCATGCAAGTTTATCCACATTTAAATTTAACATTTCTAAATAGAATTTTCACACAAAATGGTTTTGCTCTTTGTGGTTCAGAAAAAATATCTCTAATAGACCAGACTTATTGAAGCATTCCAGCGGTTGGGTTTTCTCCTGCAGGTAACGGGGCTGAGAGGTTTAAAAAAAAAAGGGTAAACAAAGATTTACTCTGGAGTCCATTTAATGATTCAGTAGAAGAAGAGTTACCTAAACTCCTCAGTCTGAAGATGAAGTCTGATGTAGAAGACCTGACAGAGTCCAGAAAGCCAGGTCAGCACAGTCCACATCCATCTCCCACATATCCCCCCTGAAGTTCTGACAGCTGACCTGCTCCTGTCCTCACACACATTCACATCTTTGAACGTTGATCTCTAATAACAGGTTGGACATAAAAACAGTCTGTAAATGAAGATCTGGATTCTGAGCAATAGGACGGGTTCTGGTTCTGGTATGTTGGTACTTGTCTGAGTGCTGCTGACCAATCATGTCTCAGACTGCTTTTGCGATTCTGCTGTCATCACATCAGCGGTTTTTCTCAAAAGTCAGTAAGCACTCAAATTTCCAGACATCCATGAACGCGTCAGGAGTGACTGAACTAACCTTCGATCAGCTGTTTCCTCTCTTTAGTTTCTGAACTTTGACTGAATCCAGGCTGAAGAGCAGGACTGATGGGGGCTCTGATGGTCTCGTATCTGAAATAAAACAAAAGACTCAGTGGACTCTGGCGAACTGGAAACTTTGGGGGACTCTAGTTATACCACCAACTTTAGTAACGACTGCAGGATAGCAATACACAGCAGTCTGAGGAGCCATAAACAAACCTCAACCAAAACGCCACTCCATAGCCACAAATAATGCTCAGAACAGCACCTAACTTCATCAACAGTACATATAGGGTCCCAGCCATAGTACTATATTCAGAGTTGTTTAAACTCCTAAGAAAACACAAACTTAAGCAGGGGGCGTTTCTCCACTTCTGTAGTCTTTGAGCAGGGCCAAAAAACTTCTACTGTCGTAAAATGAAAAGGTAAAGGTGTTTTTATTGAGCCGAATTATCAATAAATCATGACTTTGTTAACAGGTATGGATATATGTGCTGTCGAGTTAATATATTTGAACAAGAGCACAGTAAAGTTAAATTAGCCAATTTTCCAATGAGGTTCTGTTACTGAATGGAACTACACCATCTTCTACTCAGGTTAGTACATAAAGGGTCATGTTCTTTCTTGAGCTGTGTCACCCCCGCTGTAGTCTGTAATGGACTGGCCTGAGGTCTCTCTACAAACAAGCGTCTGCTGGAAGAGAGTAGGTGAGTTGTGTTTAGTCTCTTTGTTAAAGAAATGAGTCAAAGTTAAAAAGATGTTTGGTGGCTAGTACACAGTGATTGATGGTCAGGACGTGGAAATTGTAGAGTCCTACAAGTATTCAGGAACCATAATAGACAACAAATTGTCATTTGAGAGAAACACTAACACAATTTACAAGAAAAGCCAGCAGTGTCTGTTCTGTCTCAGAAAACTCAAAATTCCAGGTTGATTCATCCCTGATGACCCTGTTTAATCATTCTTATATTGAATCTGTGATAACTTTTTCTCTGGTCTGTTGGTTTTCATCACTTAAGGTAAAACAGAAAAATGTTCTTAACAAGGTGGTTAATGTCTGCAGTAAAATAACTGGCTCTGTTCAGGAAACTTTACAGGATCTGTATAACAAACAGCTGTACAAGAAAGCAAAATCCATCCTGTCTGACTGTTCCCATCCTCTACACGATCAGTTTCAGTTTCTTCCATCTGGTTCATTGATCAGAGTTCCTTTTGCTAAAATGAACAGATATAAACGTCCTTCATACCTTATGCCATTTCCCTTCTCAATTCATGGAGGAAAAGGTAGCTGTTTTGATTAATTGTGTTTTTGATTTTATGTTTTCCATGATTTTGACTATTGTGCTTAAGTATTTTTTATGCTCCCTTTGTTGCACAACCAATTGCCCCATTGGGGACAAATAAAGTTATTGATTGATAGTACTATGGCTGGAACCCTATATGTACTGTTGATGAAGTTAGGCGCTGTTTTGAGCATTATTTGTGTCTATAGAGTGGCGGTTTGTTTATGGCTCCTCAGACCGCTGTGTATTGCTATCCTGCAGTCATTACTAAAGTTGGTATAACTAAGCAAGCGGTCAGCTACATTAATCTCTGGAGGGGGGGTCTAACTCGGTGTTACTGTGTGTTTGACCCTAAATTAATTTTACGATGGAATATCCCTTGAAAACATCTCATACAACAACCAGAGAAGCTTCCAAAAAACAGAGAAATGATGTGTCAGCAGAATGATCTTTTCTTTTTGAGGCAGTAAAGTGACACAATCATTCACTTCTCCTCATTATATCACAGACACACACATCAGCAATGACTAAGGCTATGTTCATACTGCAGGTCAATTCCGATATTTTAACCGTGTGACACATATCTGATTTTTTCATGTAAGTGTGAACAGTGCAATCCAATAAATTGGATATGTATCTGATGCGACTGCAGTGTGGACGCTCAGGTCGCGCTCATCCAACCTATACGTCATCAATATGCGACAAACATCACCATTGTTCGACAACACAAACAGGCGTGGAAAGCAATGGCGGACGAGGGAACCGATAACAGCCAGTGGCGAAAAGAAGAAACATGAGAGTAGATAAATATATGGGGAGACCGGTCAGTTCAAGCCAAAATAGAGGGCTCATACCGTAACCGGGCGCTCTTCGAGCAAATAGCCAAGGAATTGGCAGAGTGAGAAGTGGACGCGGTTGTGTTACCTGTCCATGTTATGAAGAGCCGTCCTGCTTTGTGCGCATGTGGGTCACTTCCTGCTGATTCCGTTCACATTAGATGCCACATTCGTTGTTGTAATGTGAACAACCGCACAAAAAGATCGGATTTAACAAAAAATCCGAATTGGGCATCATAACCTGCAGTGTGAACGTAGTCTAATATACACACAAATCAAATCCAGTCTGAGGGCCCAAGAAGATCTCAGCTGTAGTAAATTAATCAGTTCATCCTGCTGCTGCTCAAAAAGGTGAACGAATGAAAAATTGAAAACTTGTTTTTTTTCAACTTCATGGACTCATAAATCCTCGTTCCAAGTTTCAACACATGAAGATTCATCAGCTGCTTTCTGATCTGGTCCTCTAGGCAGTTTCTCTCCAATGTGAACTGACATATGTCGAGTCAGATATCCTTTTTGAGCAAATCTCTTAGTACAGACAGAGCAGCTGAACGGTTTCTCACCTGTATGAACTCTCATGTGTATGGTCAAATTACTCTTCCCAGAGAAGTCCTTACCACACACAGAGCAGCGAAATGGTTTCTCCCCTGTGTGAAGTCTCATGTGTCTGGTCAGATGTCCACTTTGGATAAATCTCTTACCACACTCAGAGCAGCTGAACGGTTTCTCTCCGATGTGAACTGACATATGTCTGGTCAGATATCCTTTCTGAGCAAATGTCTTGGTACAGACGGAGCAGCTGAACGGTTTCTCCCCTGTGTGAAGTCTCATGTGTATGGTCAGATTACTCTTCCCAGAAAAGTTCTTACCACACACAGAGCAGCTGAATGGTTTCTCTCCTGTGTGAAGTCTCATGTGTCTGTTGAGATGTCCACTGTGAGTAAATGTTTTCCCACACTCGAAACAGCTCAGATGTCCCGTTTTGGGGTGAACACTCATATGTCTCGTCAATTCCAGTTTAGAGCTGAAGTTTTTTTGACACGCTGAACAGCTGAATGTTTTCTCATAGCTGTGACAACTCTCTTCACCATGGATGGACATGTGGATGTTCAGACTAACGTTAAAGGCGAACCTTTTCCCACAAACAGAGCAGCCTAACGGTTTGTATCCTCGGTGAATGAACATGTGTTTTTTAAGATGTTCCTTTTGATTAAATCTTTTACCACAGAGAGAGCAGCCAAATGGTTTCTCCCCAGTGTGAACTCTCATGTGTCTGGAAAGATTCTTCTTTTTGGTGAATCTGTTACCACATGTCGAACAGTCGAACGGTTTCTTCACAGAGTGGATTTTCAGGTGGTCTGTCAGTTCTTTTGGGCGGGAGAATCTTTTGCTGCACTGAAAGCAGCTGAAAGGTTTCTCTTTTGAATGAGATTTTGAGAGTATGGTGAGACTTTGTTTCAGGGTCAGTTTTTTACTGAATACGGAGCATCTGAAAGGTTTCTTTCCTGTGTGAAGTTTCATGTGTATATTTAAACTAACTTTGTAGGTAAATCTTATTCCGCACACAGAGCAGCTGAACGGTTTCTCTTGTGTTGTTTGGTTTCTTCTCTGATGATTGGACTTCCTCCTGTCTTCAGTCTCAGGTTCAGAGAACTCTTCGATCTCCACCTCTATCTCTGCGACCTTTGGTTTCTTTTCCTCAGAGTTTGTTCTCATGTGTAAACTCGGCTGATAATCTGCTCTCATCTTCCAGTTCTCATCATTCTCATCATCAGTTTGACATTTAGCAGAGTCTTCAATCTTAACTTTGATCCCTGCTCTTAAAGAACTCTCTGGATCTGAGTCCCTGTCTGGTTCTGGTCGTCCACAGTCCTCTCCATCAGCTCCTGGTTCCATCTGGTCCCTTGGTCTCTGATGAAGCTGTGAGGACTGAGGTTCCTCTTCATCATCTTCACTCTTCACACAGACGGGAGTGAAGGAGAACTTGCTGGTATCAGCCTCCTCCAGTCCTTGAAGCTGCTCTCCCTCCTGACTGCTCCACATTTCCTCCTCTTCCTCTTTAATGTGGGGGGGTTCTGGTTCTGCTGGGTCCTCCTGATCCAGACTGGAGCTTCGCTCCTGCTGCTCAGGAGATTCTTCTTTAACCCCGGACTGCTGCTGGACATCTGCAGGAATGACAAAGAGACACAAAGAGACACAAATGAAGCTATGAGTTCATGTCAGTTTGTTCAAACTGTTGTTGTTTCCTGTCAGAGGAGAAAAGGCATTCAGAGACAGTCGCTTCATTTAAGTCAAAATTAAACAATCAACTTTGACGGACTTGCTTTTATGTGATGCTGATAAAATTTTATCTTTAACCTCTTTTATATTATTTCGACTTCCTGTCTTTTTAGCCTTTGTTTTACTTGAAATCTTTTCTTATTTTACCTTTTAGGCCTTTTATTGATTTTATTGTTTTTCCTGCTCATTTTTGTTATTCCATTTTATCATTACTATAACCATCATTATTAATTTTTTATTACATTATCCAGAGCTGGCCCAAGGCATAAGCGAACTAAGCGCCTGCTTAGGGCCCCATGGCTAGTAGGGGGCCCCAGAAAGCAATCCAAACAAAAAAATAGATTTTTTATTTTTTGCATGTATGAATGATGCTTTCTGTATGATCAAATATATATTATTGTAAAAATAAAATAAAGTAAAAATATTTTAGTGCTGCTGCTGATGTAGGCCTATGATTCTTACTGCCGATGACACTTTTACAGTAAACACATTACCCAGGTCTCCTCAGGATCTTCTAACCCTGTCTTCTTCTGCTCTTACCTGCTGCTCTGGTCATGTTGATCAGCTCAGGTGTTCTGATCCCATCATCATCATCCAGCCCAGTTTTTCTCGGTCGGTGGAGTTCCTCTTCTTCTCCAGATCTTGTTGTTTGTCCTGTCAGGAGCAGATCTTTCAGATTCTCAAACCCGGACATTTTACACACATTCAAGAACCGGACCAGGACCACACACCGGGACCAGGACGGCCGGGTTCATTAAATAAAAAAGAAACACGGGAACGAGGATCGGCGGGTAAACACAGACCCGGAAACAAACAAACAAAAAAAGGCTTCTTCTTCTTCTTCTAGTTTTATTGGCGGTTGGCAACCAGCTTAAGGAGCATTACCGCCACCTATTGGATTGGAGTGTGACACAGGCAATGAAGCAGAAAAAAAACATGATAGATAGATAGATAGATAGATAGATAGATAGATAGATAGATAGATAGATAGATAGATAGATAGATAGATAGATAGATAGATAGATAGATAGATAGATAGATAGATAGATAGATAGTAGGAATGTAGGAATGTATGTAGGTAAGTGGGTAGTAAGGTAGGTAGGTTAGGAAGACAGATAGATAGATAGTCAGCAGCAGTGAAACACGGTACACGTTCTACGAATACAGATACTCTTACAATATTTACACTAAATTAAGAATAAATAAAAACAGTCTATAAACATGACCACAAGGCAGTAGTGTATATGCCTTTACATACATATATACTCACTAAGCTTCAAAGTTAAACTCTGTGCAATAATCCAGTCTTCCTCAAATACTTCAATAATGACTTGAATACTTTTTTCTGACCGGACCAGATTCTCTACAGTGAGATCCAGATTCTCTATGTCAAGTTGGTGACTAATCTGTTGCCTTTTCTGTGTTTAACACAATCAGTTCGTTCATGTTTTACTGTTTCTGATGTCTTACAGAAATCACAAAGTCCTATTTAATCCAGGCTCTGATTGAGTCCTATATGTCCAATTCTTGAGGTCCTTACACACTAGCGAATTTGTGGAGCGAAGCAAAAAAGCGAGATGAAAGTGCGAAAATATTCGCCGGTCCGAAAAATCGCTTTCGCTTATACACATTGGGCGACCACTCTGTGGTACACACTCCTTTCCTGGATCACAGATTACCTTACAGGAAGGCCACAGTTTGTCAGGCTAGGGAACTGTGTTTCTGGGACATTAATGAGCAGTACAGGGGCTCCACAAGGGACAGTGCTGGCACCATTCCTGTTCACACTGTACACGTCAGACTTCAAATACAGTACTGAGTCCTGCCACATCCAGAAATACTCAGATGACACCGCTATTGTGGCATGTATCAGAAATGGACAAGAAGCTGAATACAGAGAGGAGCCTTCAGTGACTGGAGTCACAAAAACTGCCTCCTCCTCAACACCTCAAAGACAAAGGAGATGGTCATAGACTTCCGTAGCTCCAAACCCCCTCTTCAGCCAGTGAACACCTGTGGAGTGGACATCGAAGTGGTGACATCATATAAATACCTAGGTGTACATCTGGATAATAAGTTGGATTGGTCTAAGAATGTAGACTACATCTACAGTGTCAGAATAATGTGTATAAATCAGTGGTTCTTAACCTTGTTTGAGGTACCGAACCCACCAGTTTCATATGCACATTCACCGAACCCTTCTTTAGTGATAAATCAAATATGATTTTTTTCCAAATTTAAGACATAGGTATATGTTTTTTTACTGGTACACAAAATGAACCGTGCATGAACATCACCTTGATCAAAGAACAAAACCAACACAATGCATGAACTCACAACAAATTACATACCTGCAAATCAGTGTGACTTCTGCTGTTGTTTTCTAAAGACCAGTTCAGATATGCGTGGCTTCACCTTGGCAAGTGCTACTCTCATGTCATTTTCACAGCAAAGTCTGTTCCTTTTCTTTGTTTTTATGTCCAGCATCCTCGAAAAGGATTGTTCGCAGAGATATGTTGTAACAAATGGTATAAAAAATTCCAGGGCTCTCTTAGCAATAATTGGGTACTTTGACATGACAAATCGTTTATATCCGACGTCTTCTGCTGATATAAACGATTTCTGCCGACTTTGCAGAGTCAACTGCAGAATTAACGGCGTTCTGAATGAACGGGGCTTTGAAAAGTCCCGCAGCATGTGTTAGACGTCACCACTACACATGGACCAATCAGGGGCTGCCTTTCCCTGTTGTCCGCGTAACAGTGGAAACATGGTCTCTGATTGGCCCGATTATTTTCTGATCGGGAATACACGCTCTCTATGGGCCGAAGTCCAGACTGTGGTGGGAAGGAACATCAAGTGATTCACGCAACAGGATGGCCCAGCCAGGCTACCGTGGCGGAGGCTCTGCCGAACCCCTGAGACTGACTCACCGAACCCCTAGGGTTCGATAGAACCCCAGTTAAGAACCACTGGTATAAATGTATATAGAAGTTATCATCTTACTCAAATTCTTATGTAAGAGTTTGCTACAAGTATGAACTGTTTTAACCTCTTGTTACACATCATATAAGAGTGTTTTTTAACTTCTCTCTCCAATAGCTTTATTACACAGCACATGAATGTTTCTTAACTTCTTTGTCACCTTGTTTCTCCTATCAGCAGGTATGTGTGTGATGTATCCGCCACTGTGAATCGTGGGAAGTAATGAGGAGGATCCGCTCCTATCAGAAGGAGCTCGTTTAATGTCAACAATGTTGCCTTGACCCTCACATATTATCTGTTGTTCATTATTATGTTTTATGAGAGTGCTTACGTTGCTGCACATATTTTCCCCCCATCCTTTAGTAACAATGTGTAACCAAGGACAACCCTAAATAAAAGAGACTGGACAGAAATACCTTCAGAATGGTTTTGAGATTGCAACTGAAACTATCTCTGTCCATTCTCCTTGAGTAAGAAACCATTGTCTTTCTCTTCTTTATATGTTTTCAGTCATTTGTTGCAGGTTTTAGACCCAACATACAGAAAGGGGCAGAGCCGCCTCTTTTGCCTGAGAAGACTCCGATCAATAGACATCTGTAGTAAGACGCTGCAGATGTTTTATCAGTCTGTGGTGGCAAGTGTTCTGTTCTACGCTGCAGTCTGCTGGGGAGGAAGCATCAAACACAAAGATGCAAGCCGTCTTAACAAACTGGTGAAAAAGGCTGGCTCTGTGGTAGGGCTCAAGCTGGACTCAGTGGAGGATGTGGTGGAGAGATCTACACTGAGGAAGGTGGAGACTATTCTCAAGAACATGGATCACCCACTTCACAACACCTTGATGGACCAGAGGGCAAATGGTGGTGGACGGCTCCTCTCTCTTCGCTGCAGGACAGAAAGATTTAGAAGATCTTTTGTACCAACAGCCATCAGGCTTTATAACTCTTATGTAAATAATAGATAACTTTTATAGACATATTATGTGAGACAACAGACAATTGAATTTCCCTTCAATAAAGTTCTTCTCACAGTATCCTTCTTTCCTCAATGTACAAATCTGTACTTTTGTTTCTTTACTCAGTTGCTTCTTTCTAGCCATTTTTGTGGTAGTTTGAACGCAGTTGAGATTTATTAGGATTTTTGTATGCAGGCTCTCAAAAGCCAAAACGTTGAAGTGAATAATCCAACTGTGATTTGGTTTTTGCTTTTGCACTAAAGTTGTGACTCTTGCAAATGTTTTCAACCCAAAAACTAAGCTCTTATTATCTTTTGCTGACATGTATTTAGCAATGGTCTGTTAACATCAATGTATATCTAAAGGTAAATGGAGTAAAATGGTGCATTTCCATGAAAACAACATCTGAACATGGAGTAATGCATCCCAAAATACATAAAACCCGTGCTGGATTTAAAAAAAAAAAAGCATTGTGAACAAAAACTTGAAGTTACTCCCAACTGTTTGGCCTGTAATGGCCTTGCTTCCAAACATTTGGCCTGTTGTGTACATATATATATATATATAGGAAACACAGTGGTTTTGACCAATCAGAATGAAGCACCTTTTACCACCTTGTCATGGATCCTTGTGAAGTTTTGGTTTCATGTTAATGTTCAACAGCTGCTTCACTGTTAAAGATATTTGTAAGAAAATATGAGACCATGTTATTCTGGTGTTTAAGATCATGAATAAAAAAAGAAACGTACTCCCGTTATATTTGCTTTTATTTTGAAAGACTTCAAACAACCTCCGGCCCTCTCAGTGGAGGTCTGCAGCTGTACTGTCTTGAATAATGTTGCTTTCATACGTCCTTTGACTCCAGATAGTGAAAAAGAATTGAAGCTGTGATTTTATTCTGAAGGACCGAAGTGTTTTGTTTCCGGATCTCGGAGGCGTGTTTCCGCTGAGCACGGACGGTGAAGAATAGGAGGTCTAAGATCAAATGGATTTAGGAAAGAGAGTAAAGTCTGAGTGTTAGTCCACCACATGGACGTGATGAAGGGGGTCTTCAGAGCTGAGACAGGTCTACAGAGACCAGGTGGGTCTCCTTTCTTTAGTCCGGGTCTGTGAAGGTCTCAAAGGTTTCAGACTTTGGCTCCCCGGAGATCCGGAGTCCAGCTGTGTAAAAAGAAAACCAGGTGGGGTGGTGGAGACGATTGTTTAGTGTCGGTGTGCATGTTGGGAAACCAGCTGTGTGCTCCGATTATTGATAATATTGATATAATGATCATGTTGATTCGATCATGTATGTTGATCATTATTAGTGCCGCGGGCTCACGCGCTGTTGTTGTTGTTCCGTGGATTTTCTTCTTCCTCTTCCGGATAAACTTAGGCTGTGTCTCATTTCAGAGACTGCATCGACCTAAGTGCCCTTCTGCACCGTCGAACGGTGCATTTGAAGTGTGCATGACGTCACGACGGTGCGAACGGTGTCCCATTTGGCACGAGATGCTAAAAAATGCTAAGCGCGCTTAGCATGTTTTCAAGCGTGCATTTATGCACGCTTTCGTGCCGTCGGTATCCCAGAATGCTTTGCGTGCCGCTGCACAGCTGCGCATTTCAGGTGAGAGGCTGGACTCGCTTGGAGACACAGCGCGTCTTCAAAGAAATTACAAGCAATCCAAAAACAGCAGACAGTCAGCTCAGGCTGTATGAGAGCTTGATCTCTGAACTCACTAAAATCTGTAAACCAAACATTATAGATTTAGAGACGAACTGATCCGCTCTGCTTCAACAATCAAAAACATTAGAAATGAGAAAGCTGACAAAACTACAGCAGAGGATCAGGACAACATTGAGGTTTTTTTCTTTTAAGATTTAGAGATTAAAGTTGTAAATTTAGGAGAATAAAGTCATAAAGTAAATAAAGTCATAAAGCTGCTTTTGTGGAGGGGGAAATGACTGAAGTTGGTCATCTGCAGGGTTATCTGTGGATGTATCAGCGGGTCATTCAGAGAGATTTTGTGGTTTCTGAAGAAACAATCAAACTGATGATGATCAACATTTGTGATCCAGAGGGAGTCGAGCTCCGACGAGCACCACGTCTCTGACACCGGCCGTAGCCTACACCTGCAGAGACACCAACACCTTATTACTGCATATGGATTCATATCATAAATTAAAGCTCAATGTCATTCACGGATATTTACGGCTGCATTGACAGATATATCCTCAGCATATTCATTTCTGCCTCCACAAAAGCAGCGATTTCCTTCAAGTACACCAGTTTTTTCCCCGTGGAAAAGACGTATTTCTCATATATTCTTTTTAAAGTCTTTATACTTATGACAATGTGATGCTGATGTGCCAGAGGATGAAGAATCTCCTATCCTCCTTCTCAATATGGCCCTCATACTCCTTCATACAAAACAATCATTGGATGAATTTTGTGGGAATGATCTGGGCTTGTATGTATCTACTATTTTGTGTCTGTGCAAGGTCGCACAATTAAAACAATACATGCTGCGCTCCGCAGCTTTTTTTCTAATCAGTCGTGACGTAAGCCTGAGGGCGGGGACATTTGGAGACCTTCGGAGGACTTCCTGGTGGAGTTGCCAAATGTCCCCGCCCTCAGGCTCGCGTCACGACTGACTTAAAGGAAACCCGCGGAGCGCAGCATTTATTGTTTTAATTGTGCGACCTTGCACAGACACAAAATAGTAGATACATACAAGCACAATTCATCCAATGATTGTTTTGTAAGAAGGAGTATGAGGGCCATATTGAGATTTAAGACTTTAAGGACTTCGAGATTTAAGTCGTGAATTTACGAGAATAAAGTCATTAATTTATGAGAATGAAGTCATAACCTGTTATTTCAGAGAGACTTGTTAAAATTAGGGCCATGAAGCATTTAAAGGAACTGTGCTTCAGTATAGATTTCACAAACAAGGAGATTCTTCATCCTCTGGCACATCAGCATCACATTGTCATAAGTATAAAGACTTTAAAAAGAATATGTGAGAAATACGTCTTTTCCACGGGGAAAAATATTGGTGTACTTGAAGGAAATCGCTGCTTTTGTGGAGGCAGAAATGAATATGCTGAGGATATATCTGTCAATGCAGCCGTTAATATCCGTGAATGACATTGAGCTTTAGTTTATGATATGAATCCATATGCCGTAATAAGGTGTTGGTGTCTCTGCAGGTGTAGGTTACCGCCGGTGTCAGAGACGTGGTGCTCGTCGGAGCTCGACTCCCTCTGGATCACAAATGTTGATCATCATCAGTTTGATTGTTTCTTCAGAAACCACAAAATCTCTCTGAATGACCCGCTGATACATCCACAGATAACCCTGCAGATGACCAGCTTCAGTCATTTCCCCCTCCACAAAAGCAGCTTTATGACTTTATTTACTTTATGACTTTATTCTCCTAAATTTACAACTTTAATCTCTAAATCTTAAAAGAAAAAAAAACCTCAATGTTGTCCTGATACTCTGCTGTAGTTTTGTCAGCTTTCTTATTTCTAATGTTTTTGATAGTTGAAGCAGAGCGGATCAGTTCGTCTCTAAATCTATAATGTTTGGTTTACAGATTTTAGTGAGTTCAGAGATCATGCTCTCATACAGCCTGAGCTGACTGTCTGCTGTTTTTGGATTGCTTGTATTTTCTTTGAAGACGCGCTGTGTCTCCAAGCGAGTCCAGCCTCTCACCTGAAATGCACAGCTGTGCAGCGGCACGCAAAGAATTCTGGGATACCGACGGCACGAAAGCGTGCATACATGCACGCTTGAAAAAGAGGCGGGGGTAGTGTGGTTTTGAGACCGAATTTGAAGCGCGCTTAGTATTTTGTGCCAAACGGGACACCGTTCGTGCCGCGTGGTGACCTCACGTACGCGTCAGATGCGCCGTTCGATGGCTGCTGTATCTGAATTGGGACACAGGAAGGGCACAGAACGGCGCAAAATGGCGTAAAACGGCTCAAAACGGCAGTGCACTCAGCTAAGCGCCGTTAAGCGCGCTTATCACGATGCGGTCTCTGAAATGAGACACAGCCTCAGATCCGTTTTAGTCCAACAGCTTCAAGAGTTTAAACACAAATTCAATATCGATACGTGCCGATCGATCGGGATCGGTGATATTTAAATTTTCTCTGCTGTGCATGAATTTTTTTGTGACGTCAGTTTTTTGCATCGAAGTCAAAAAGAAAAAAAACTCCCAAATGTGAGACCAGTCTCTCTTTTGTTATAGTTTAGACTGCTCCACCCTGGGGTGCTTATATCCTCATGGGCAACCAGCTTAAGTTGCCATGGCAACCTGTGAGCCTCAGGCTAGGCCCACAGCTGAGACTGATTCACTAATTAGGGACTGCTCTGACATCTCTGGCTGGCCCAATCCCAAACTGCCCCTACACACTCAGCCTTCACTACCGAGTGTCACTCGTAATAAAATTATACTCGCAGCTGTGGAGTGCGCCTCAATTGAAATGGGAGTGTATAAACAAGACGGGCGGGTATGGGACGCCCTCCTCACTCCACTACAAAACGAAAAGATTCATCGCCATAGCAACACAAAGACGCGTCCTGTGCATGCCAGCGTTTATTTTCTTAGTAAACGGACATCATGTCGTTTCTTCATCCTCATTTCTTCATCCTCCCAGTAAAATCATAAACTAGCAACCATCACAATGACAGAAGCTAAATTAAACTTCTGATTGTTAGTGATTTCACACGTCTCTGAAATCCCTTTACTGTTTGACATGTCTGCCTGCACAATCAAATCAAACCTCAGCACAGAGTAAGATTTCCGACTTCCGTCTGATCTTTCCAAACCACGTCTTTTGTGAATTTTTTTTGTCAGGTAGACAAAGGTGGGCACATACTGAACTTATATTTGTTTGTTGTTTCCTCCCTCTCCATTTTTGCGGGCGCACTACCTGCAAATCCTGCAGTAAGTCTGCACTAGCCTGGCTGGGCCATCCTGTTGCATGAATCACTTGCCGTTCCTTCACACAACAGTCTGGACTTCGGCCTATTGGGAGCGTGTATTAGCGATCAGAAAATAACCGGGCCAATCAGTGACTGTGTTTCCACTGTTCCCCAGACAACGTGGAAAGGCAGCCCCTGATTGGTCCATGTGTAGATGGTGACGTCTAACACATGCTGCAGGAGTCAACTGCCGTTAATTCTGCAGTTGACTTTGCAAAGTCGGCAGAAATCGTTTATCGTTTATCAACACTGTGAAAACTAGATAACTGAGCGGGAATTTTGTTCAGGTCAAAGTCACACTTCAATAGAAAATCAATAATTCCGACATTTTTACATATCAAATTTGGAATAATATACCACATTTTTTCCTTACCAAGCATATAGTTTTTTAGCCATTTAATCTTTAACATAGTGTTTGAGGAGTTAAAGTCAAGAACATTGAGCCCACCTTGAGAACACGGGTTACACAAGACACCCTTTTAAGATAATGAGGTTTGTTTCTCCAAATAAAATTAAGCAATTTAGAATCAAAAATGCATCAGATTTCATATAGCGCTTTATCAGAGACCCTCAAAGCGCTTTACATTGGATACATCATTCATTCACTCACACAGTCACACTTTGGTGGTGGTAAACTACCTTAGTAGTCACAGCTGCCCTGGGGCAGACTGACGGAAACGTGGCTGCCATTTTGCGCCTACGGCCTCTCCGACCACCACCACACAACACTCACAATCACACACCAGTGGAGGACACACACTGGGAGCAAGGTGGGTTAAGTGTCTTGCCCAAGGACACAATGGACAGACTTGGGATAGGGGGGAATCGAACTGCCAACCTTCCAGTTATTGGATGACCGCTCTACCTCCTGAGCTACTGCCGCCCCACAACAATCAACAATCAACTTGTTTAATTAATCCTTGAGGAACATCCAATGCCTGGGCACCGTATAATAATAGATCTCGTTCTAGCCAGCTGTTGAAATTTTTACTCATTTTCCCTATTAGTGGAATAAAATTTAATTTGGCTCTTTCTTCTTGATTTTTGCAAATTTTAGTGCCTAGGTATGTTACCACATCTTTCACCGGGATCTCACATATTTCAGTTAAATTGGCAGGTTTGTCCTTTAAAGGAAAAAGGTCACATTTCTTGACATTACCTACACCTGCAGAGACACCAATGCCTTATTATGGCATATGGATTCATATCATAAATTAAAGCTCAATGTCATTCACGGATATTTACAGCCGCATTGACAGATTTATCCTCAGCATATTCATTTCTGCCTCCACAAAAGCAGCGATTTCCTCCAAGTCCACCTGTTTTTTTCCCCGTGGAAAAGACGTATTTCTCATGTATTCTTTTTTTAAGTCTTTATACTTGTGACAATGTGATGCTGATGTGCCAAAGGATGATGTATCTCCTTGTTTGTGAAACCTATACTGAAGCACAGTTCCTTTAAATTCTAACAACTCTCCTTTGAAGTAACAGGGAACCTTATGACTTTATTCTCAAAAATTAATGACTTTATTCTCGTAAATTCACGACTTAAATCTCAAAGTCTTTAAAAAAAAATCTCAATATGGCCCTCATACAAAACAATCATTGGATGAATTTTGTGGGAATGATCTTGGCTTCAGCGTATCTATTGTTTTGTGTCTGTGCAAGGTCGCACAGTAAAAAAAAATAACTGCTGCGCTCCGCGGCTTTTCTTCAAGTCAGTCGTGACGCGAGCCTGAGAGTGGGGACATTTGGCGACTCAACCAAGAAGTCCTCCAAAGGGTAGTGTGTCCCATTTTACAAAAACCGGACCATCTCACACTCAGGGTACTCAAGTCCGCATAACAGCAGTGCGCTCAGCTAAGCAAAACTTCCACCCGGAGACTCTATTGAACCATTTAAAGTCTGCTCTATTGGAGTGTTGATCTGGGTTCTGATCAGTCTAATAGTTTCGATCATTAACTGTTCAATGATCATGTTTATAGATTATAATGGGTGTGTATTGGACAGACATTACACTCTTTTCCACAGGTGTAGACAGACTGGTTCTGGTTCTGGTTCTATCCATGTGTTCATCTAAACAGAGAGACAAACAGAATTTAAACTCTGAGTCTCTCAGTGAAGTGACGTCTCTGTCTGCTCCTCAGAGAGGCAGAAATGACTCCTGTTTGTGACCTGCTTGTGAGTCCAAACTGTTTCGGTTAGAAACACCAGAACCGCATCAGATCGTTCAGGAAGTCCTGACCAGGACCGCGCTCCAATCAGATCAGCTTTTTTATCAGAATAAGTTCAAATGTGAGACCAGCGCTGAGCTGAAAAATCACTCTCTTCCTTGTTTTGACCGCCTCAGCCTGCAGTCTATCGTCTCGGGCAACCGGCTCAAGTTGCCATAGCAACCTGTGAGTCTCAGGCCAGGCCAACAGCTGAGACCGATTCACTGATCCGGGACAGTTCTGATCCGACTGTACACACCCCAGATTTCTGTCGCAGTATCTCCTGATGAGTTTAGTTTGAAATTATATAATTTCACACCGATTGATTGACAGCTCTCTGTTGACCAATTAGAGTGAGAAGATAGGTCAGAAACTCGAACACAGGAACCAAGAATGTGTCTGCTCCAAACCCACAAGAACCTGCTCTGGTTCTTCCTGTAAGGGTGAGACCGCTGAGCTGCTCCTGTTCTTGTCTGCTTCTCAGTCTCTCATTGGTTCGATCGTTTTCAGATTTACCAGATTTCAGAAATGAGGGCTCACTCTCTCTGCTCTGGTTTGTGTCTTTATATCATAGACTCTCCTGCAGACGCCCAGCAGCTGACTGTAAGTCGAGTGGACCTGGAGGACCCAACAGAACCAGAACCCCCCCACATTAAAGAGGAAGAGGAGGAAGTGTGGAGCAGTCAGGAGGGAGAGCAGCTTCAAGGACTGGAGGAGGCTGATACCAGCAAGTTCTCCTTCACTCCTGTCTATGTGAAGAGTGAAGATGATGAAGAAGAACCTCAGGCCTCACAGATGGAACCAGGAGCTGATGGAGAGGACTGTGGGGGACCAGAACCAGACAGGGACTCAGGACTGGAGAGCTCTTTACAAGCAGAGATTGAGGTGGAGATCGAGGACTTTTCTGGACCTGATACTGATGACAGTGAGGACTGGAGGTCGAGGACAGAACAGCAGTCGTGTTTGAAGGTTACAGAGAATGGTGTGAAGGCGAGTGTGCGATCCTTCATTTGCTCTTACTGCAGGAAAACCTTCAAAACGAAATGGATTCTGACCTTACATATGAGAACTCACACAGGAGAGAAACCCTTCAGCTGCTTCGAATGCGGCATGAGATTCACACAGAAAAGTTCGCTTACAGCACACATCAGAATCCATGTGGCAGACAAACCCTTCAGCTGCTTCAAGTGTGGGAAGAGCTTTGGCCATAAACGTAACGTGATCACACACATGAAAATTCACACGGGAGAGAAACCCTTCAGTTGTTCAGAGTGCAGTAAAAGATTTACTCGAAAAGGGGATTTGACTCGACACATGTTTCTTCACGCAGAAGACAAATCTCTCAGCTGCCCTCAGTGCGACAAAAGGTTCAAATGGAAAAGTAACCTGACCACACACATCAAATTTCACACGGAAGAGAAACCCTTCAGCTGCCTTCAGTGCGGAAAAAGATTTACTCGAAAAAATCATCTGTCCATACACATGAGAATTCACATGGAGGAGGAACCAGTTCTCTGTTCAAAGTGTGGGAAAAGCTGTCGACATAAAGGTGAGCTGAACAGACACTTACGCGTTCACACAGGAGAGAAACCCTTCGGCTGCAAGCAGTGTGGTAAGATGTTTACCCGAAGGCATGATCTCACCCTACACATGAGAATTCACACAGGTGAGAAACCTTTCCACTGCTCAGAGTGCAGCAAAACTTTCACCCTGAAAAGATATCTGACCACACACATGAAAATTCACACAGGAGAGCGATCCTACAGCTGCTCCAAGTGCAGCAAAAGCTTCATCCAAAAAGGTCATCTCGCTACGCACATTAGGTGTCACACCGGAGAGAAACCATACAGCTGCTCTGAGTGTGAGAAAAGCTACAGCTGCAAAAAAGATCTCAACAAACACATGAGTGTTCACATAGGTGAGGAACCTCAAGGTTCAGTCCAGGAGTTCCCTCAACAGGAGAGAGAAACCAATCAGCTGCTCTGAGTGAAGGACAGTCATATATACAGCAGAAGTTCTTCAGGCTGATCGTTGAATCACTCCTTTGCTAGGAAATATCAGCATAGAGAGTCTGAGTAGAAAAACTGAATCGTTCATGTTTCACTAAATGATGAATTTCGGGTCGGTTCTGTTCGCCTGTAACTGATGATTTCTGTTGGAATGAAGCTTTACTGAGCCGGCCCAAGCCTCAATGGGGCCCTAAGCAAAATGTAATTTTGGGGCCCTCTATTTCTGCCAATAATATTGATTGTTGATCGTTCACAAATCTTTGACTTACCTTCCCTGACATGCAAACATACCTTTATCTCGGCGTTTTTTCTGTTCTTCCACATTCTTTTCTCTGCTCCTGAAAGATATGTCCTTTTTTGTCCCACAACTACCTGCTCTTTGGATGCTCACTGCACATTTCACAGCAGGAGGGACATAACGGTAGAGGAGCTTTGACATATCGGCAGTAAGAATTATATGCCTACATCAGGAGCAGCAGTAAAATGATTTATTTTATTTTATTTTTACAATAATATATATACATGGAAAAAATAAAAAATTATTATTATTATTATTTTGATTGCTCTTGGGTCCCCCTATTGGTCGCGGAGCCCTAAACAGGCGCTTAGTTCGCTTATACCTCGGGCCGGCTCTGGGTTTGTGAGATCGGCAGTTCTCTGCTGATCATCTCAAGAAGTTGTTTTTCCTTCTTGGCATCGACCCAAAAAGATGTAATGTGACCCGCAGAGATCAGGTCTTTGTAGACCTCAGTGGACCTCAGACTAAAAGAACCTGGAAAAACAGCAGTTCAGTCAGGATCACTTTAGTCAAAATTAATTATTTATTACAAGCAAACATTTTTTTACATTGGCGGTATGGCTCTGTTCGGAGAGTTCTCTGCCCTTCCATGCGCTTGTATGGAAATGCCACGGCTGTAACAGGGGAGAGCTCCTCCCCTCCCTTTTATGTGCATACATGAAATGCCAAGGCAGAGAAAGCAGCAGCAAATAAATATGATTTATGAGAATATGAGAACAGAGCAAGCATCAGTGACAATACATATGGTAAGATCAGACACAACATAAACAGGAGGAGCTGGGGTGGAGGTGGGTTGCAGAGTAGTTGCAGGAGGCAGAGTAGGCAGGAGAAGCAGCTTAAATAGGGCGCCATTTTGACATGCCGTGACCATGACGTGACCTGCCTGAACTACCCCTATGCTTCATTAGGCTGAGTATAACATGGTGGTTTAATGAAAAGTCTCTAGAAAAGATAACACACACACTCTTAAAGAAAAACCAGAACATGTGAGGATATCATCAGGATAAAGTTCTGTCACACGTCTGGACCTGGACCTAGTAAAGAGTTGGACCTTCTGTAAATGTGAGGGCCTTTGTAGAAACTCTTCTCTTATTGGTTAACCATCTGTGAACTTCCGGAGTTTATTTTAATTTAGAACAGAAAGAAACAACGAGGCAAAATGAATCCAGTTTTTTGCTTTTCGTTTATTTTTAAACTTTGTCTTTTTTGTGTGTATATGTTCATGCATGTTTATGTGTTTTTATTATTTTTTCTCTTTAGATTTTAATTGTCATTGTGTGTCTTTAAAAAATGTTTAAAACTCAATAAAGATATTGTTTTTCTTAAAAAAATAAGAGTTATTTTTGTTGTTCCTTATGTTGTCGGGGGTCCGTGTCCTGGTGATCGGAGACTAAAGTCCTTCAGGTAAAAATGTCCAAAGATGAAACTAAGGAGAGTTTTTTTTTTTTTAATCTTTTCATGTGTTCATAGTTCTGACTCAGACTTGATGGAGTTATAAGATGACACCGTTCAAATATGTGGTTTACATGACTCTGGAGGCTCCATCTGTGTCAGAACTTCAATAAAGACTACACGACTTTTATTCTGAAGGCCGGGTAAATGTGTTTTTATGATCGGTCATACAGGGTTAAATGGAACATTGAATAAAATAGGTTAACACACAGATGGAAAATGTCAACAGTGTGGGGTAACGGAATCAGTGCAGCATGTGCTGATGGAATGTATGAGATACGAAGAAGAAAGGAAGACCTTGAAAGCAGCAATTGAGAAAGATAAGGAATCATTTAAGTTAGAAAACTTGCTAGAAGTGGACAATAGGGCAAGGCTGGGGCGACTGATGGATTTTGTGCGGGATACAAGGTTAATAGAAAGGATTTAGGAGTCTCCGTCACTAAAGGGTTATAGTCTGTAACTGCCTAATCTCCTGTTCCACCGTAGACCCAGTAGGTGGCGGTAATGCTCCAGACACTAAGGAGTAAACTGCCATTAAACCAAACAGAAGAAGAAGAAGAAGAATGTGGCTGTGTCCGAAATGGCATACTGCCTACTATCTACTTACCTACTCAAGCAGTACCTACTGCATACTGACTACTCAAAGATGATTTGAGTATGCCATGGCTGCCCGAGCGTTTACATACAGATGCATACTAAATACCCCAGAATGCATTTCGTGCCGGCCGGATGCAGCGCCGGGAAAATTTAAATAGTCCTACAACAAGCTACACAAAACAACTGCATTCTGGACAAATTATATAAATTCATTCAATAATAATATTTTTTCTAGCGAGAAAGTAAGTGTTAACATCACGATTATGAGCCCAGTTGTTTGAAATAGTGGCTGTTTGTAAATTTGTCTCGGCGTTTTCGGAGACCGAAGCGTCCGCTTGGTGGGTGTTTGCGTCTATTTACCGTAAACACCGGGCAGCAGCAGCTCCCCCTTCACGTTTCCAAATTATTGCAAAGTGTTTTCATAATCACCATCTACACGACACAAACCGGGCAGCAGTGGATGAAAAAAATCACACAAACATCCGTGTATCCATGGTGATAATGCTATACACCACCTGCTAGGCATGTGATGAGCAGCAGAGGGCTGCAAAATGACCAACACACAACATAATTATTATGACCTTGTTCGGTTATTCCTTGGCAAATACATCATTTCCCGACTACATTCTTTTCATGTACAATGATAATTTCAGAAACCATCAGATTTTCAACCACAAGTAAGAATTAGTAAAGCTCACATACATTGTCAACTGGAAACTCCCCCGTTTGTATATTCTGAACCATGTGCTCTCTACCAATAATAATTTTTATTAATCAGAGGTCTGTGCTTAATATGAGCGACCACTTTGATGATGCATTCAGAGATGAGAAGATGCTCAAACTTGATGTAATAAATACATCTTTAATAGACACTTAAATAAATAAAGTCAATTCATAGGAATAGTTAAAAACATTACCTATAATCGTAATTTAAAATACAAATAAATCTGGTAAAAAGATCAAAATGATAAAATGATAAAAATTGTGTAATGTATACTGACTAAATATTGTTTATCTATTTATATATATATAATTATTATTGCAATCACATGCCATCTATTTACTTTCAGTTGAAGCAAGCTCCGTTGCACACTCAGAAATCGAAGCTGATTGAGTATACATCCGGGCATTTCTCGCATACACAAAATTCACATACTGTACAGTGTGAACGCACTGCCTACTCAATTCAGGGGCGGGGTTAGTAGGAGTAGTAGGAGTAGTATGCCATTTCGGACACAGCCCGTGTTTTTATTTCCGGGTCACCTCTGCTCCTCTCGAACCGAAAACAGTTAGCATGTAGCAGGATAAGCTAACGTTGTTTCTGAGCGGGTTACAGGTCTGTTGGTCCGTCCTGGTCCCGGTGTGTGGTCCTGGTCCGGTTTTTGGATGTGTGTAAAATGTCCGGGTTTGAGGATCTGAAAGATCTGCTCCTGACAGGACAAACAACAAGATCTGGAGAAGAAGAGGAGCTCTACCGACCGAGAAAAACTGGGCTGGATGATGATGATGGGATCAGAACACCTGAGCTGATCCACATGACCAGAGCAGCAGGTAAGACTGCAGCAGAACATTAATTCACAGACATATTAATACAGCTCATAAAGAACAGGAACCCTCCCCTCCCTAGTTGAAAATGCTTTTCTGGTCTGAGTTTGATCAGTCGGTCTTCCTGTCGGCATGAAGAGCAGTAGCCTACAGTATATCTACAGTATATAGTATACTGTAGATATCTACTGTATATATATAATTTTTATAACTTCATAAAAAAATTAAAAAATTGGCCGATTAATCAGTAATCAGATTTTTCCCCCCAAATAATCAGTATCGGCATCAGCCCCCAAAAAATCCATGTCAGTCGAGTCTCTCCATGATATCTTTAGGATGGATCTGGGGCACCGTCGATAGAAGACATCCAACTTGTTGGTGATGCTGGCTGTCTTTGTCCACGTCTCACAGGCGTAGGTCCCTGTAGGGATGACCACTGACATATAGAGCCATAGCTTTGTGGCCATAGTGATGGATTTCGACAACCAGATTTTCCGGGGTCGTTGGAAGACTCCTGCAGCTTTGCCAGTTCTGGTCTGTACGTCTTTCTCCATGCCTTCAGTATTTGAGATGTTGCTTCCGAGCAGTGGCGGCTGCTGGTCTTTCAAGGAGGGGGAGCTCATTTTTCTGGCCTACATCATAATTGTGTTTTTTTATTTGTATGTAACAGAACAGAGTCGCCAAACACAACGGTAGTCGTTTTTAACAAAGACAAAAGTCGCTGAGGATCGGTAAAGTCTCCGGAGCAGTTAAGAACAATGGAATAAATAACTTTGAAAATGCTCTGGTAGATGTTTTATTCTTCAAGATCGCTGATTCGCTTGTTTAGCTGTCAATTAAAAAAGGATTTCGCCTCAGACAGCTCATCCCATCATGGATGCAGAAGCTCAGCGTCCGCGAGAAAGTTGGGACCGCCCTCTCGTCATAGAACTCCAGAGACGCTGAGCGTCCGATGGGCGGGACAAAGCCCAGCATTTATCCAATGAGCGTCTAGTTTCGCTGCTGGAACAACCCACTTTGAGCTTCCACATTGAAGTCAGAAGACGCTGAGCGTCCGGCTGTGTGAAGCACTGAGGCGCTGCGAGGATGAATGAGAACGAAGTCATGCCGGTTACCTGTGATTATCAGCTTCTTATCACAGTGTCTGAACAAAAGATGAAGGCTTTCTAGCGCGTATTTAGTTAGTGAAATGTACACACAGCAGTACGTATTTCACCACTTTTTCTTTTTTTTTTTTGGGGGGGGGGGTGGTGGTTACATTTTAAGGGAAGCTGAGCTTCCCTTGCAGTCTTAGAGCAATCGCCACTGCTTCCGAGGTATGTGAAGTTCTCGGCGTACTCTATGTCTTGTTCGCCTATGGTGAGTGGTGGAAGGTGTTGATTTTGTGCGACAGTCATGGCCTTGGTCTTTTCTTGGCTCATACGTAGACTGACTTTTGCTCCTTGCTCATGCAGGTTGTTTGTCAATTCTTGGAGTGCAACTGGGGTATGGCCAATTAGCGCCAAATCATCTGCAAAGTCTAGATCTGAAAGTCGATGACTGTAACAAAAAGTAAGGGTGACAGGATGCAACCCTGTCTTACCCTGGTCACGATGTCAAAGTCATTGGTTGTGCTGTTGGTGGTTTTTACTTGGCAAGTGGAGTTGTGATATAGGGCCCTGAAGATTTTGACATACTTGGGTGGTATACTGTATAGTTGGATAATATGCCACAGTGATTCTCAGAGGATGCTGTCGAAAGCTTTCTTGAAATCATTGTAATTGATCCTGAGGGGTGTCTGGAATTCTTGGCACTGTTCTATGATGTTTCGGGGAGTGAAGACTTGTTCAGAGCAGGATCTACCCTTGGAAGACACCTGCAGCTTTGCCAGTTCTGGTCTGTACGTCTTTCTCCACATCTCCAGTATTTGAGATGTTGCTTCTGAGGTATGTGAAGTTCTCGACGTACTCTGTGTCATGTTCGCCCATGGTGAGTGGTGGAAGGTGCCCATTGAGGTTATTCATAAAGGATAAGAAGGAAGACCACACCCATAAGTCCTCAATTTCTCCTTTAGCCATGTAAGTCAGTTTTTCCAGTGCCAGGTTAGATGTCATTTCTGTAATCCATCAACCAGCGGTGGGTCCCTGGGTCTCCTTCCATGCTAAAGCAACCACTCGTTTGGCTTGTAATAGACAGAAATTAATAGTTTGCCTTTCTTCACAGTCACTGGAAAATCCTCAGGATATAATGTAACAAACATAATTTAGCCTCAGCCTGTATATTTAATCCTGTCAGTTTGAGGATCAAATCTAGAACCTCTTTCCAAAATAACATCAACTTTCGACAGCTCCACATACAATGCAACAGTGTACGCACTTCTTCCATACATTTGATACAACAGTCAGGAATATTAGGATTAAAGTGGTGTAGTTTAACAGGCCTGATGTAGGTCCTTACCAACCATTTAAACCTGAGGCTAGAAGACACTCCCTTTCCCAGTCTTCTACACTTATGGTCGACTTAAGACAGATGTTGATTCTTATTTACCCAGAATCCACTGTGGTCTGAGGCTCCAGCTGTTTTATTTCAAACCGGTTTGATCCGGTCCCGTTGGCTCCTCATGTTGAATCCTAAAGCAGGAGAGTCTCTCATTTCAGTTTGAGGGCGCAGAGATGATCTGTGTTCACAGTCAATGGTTTTTGAAGTAATTCTTAGGCTACGTTCACACTGCAGGTTATGATGCCTAATTCGGATTTTTTGTGCAATCCGATCTTTCTGTGCGGTCGTTCACATTACAACAACGAATACGGCATCTAATGTGAACGGAGTGCGTCCGTGAAGTGACCTGCATGCGCACAAAGTACAAATTGCTTTCCACGCCTGTTTGTGTTGAACAATGGTGACGTTTGTCGCATACTGATGACGTATAGGTTGGATGAACGCGACCTGAGCGTCCACACTGCAGTCACATCGGATACATATACGATTTATATCCACATACAAAAGAGGCCTTGGTCGGATTTGAAGAAACAAGAACTGCACTGTTCACACTCACATGAAAAAATGAGATATGTGTCACATATAGTTAAAAAATTGGAATTTACCTGCAGTGTGAACATAGCCTTAGTCCATGCGGTGTTTTCCATTCCAGAGTCCTGTCTGTTTTTAACGCCCTGAAGATCAGGACCATCTAGTCTTGGTTTTGTTTCGCTCACACATTCTCTCACAGACTTTTTGTTTTGAAGGAATAGAAAGGAAGCAGCTGATCAATCAGAGTCAGTCCAACTAAACACTCAACTTGAACTCTCACTTGCTGTAATGTTTGATGTCAACTCCACACAAATACAAACAATCAGGAACTGATTTAAAGAAATACAAACTTTAAATAAACAATAAAAATCTAATAAAACTGATTGATCTGTAATTTATTTTAAAGAGGAAACCATCAAGGATAACTGTACTGACTTGTCTGTGATGTCTGTGTTCATTCAGGGTCGCCTTCACATGTTCAAGAGCTGTCCAGGGTTAAAGAAGAACCTCCTGAGCAGCAGGAAAGGAGCTCCAGTCTGGACCAGCAGGGCCCAGCAGAACCAGAACCCCCACACATTAAAGAGGAGGAAGTGTGGAGCAGTCAGGAGGGAGAGCAGCAGCTGGAGGAGGTGTTCTCCTTCACTCCTGTCTGTGTGAAGAGTGAAGTTGATGAAGAGGAACCTCAGTCCTCACAGCTTCATCAGAGACCAAGGGACCAGATGGAACCAGGTGCTGATGGAGAGGACTGTGGACGACCAGAACCAGATCCAGAGAGTTCTTTACAAGCAGAGATTGAAGTCAAGATCGAGGACTCTTCTGGACCTGAGTCTAAAGACGATGATCTGAGAGAGACTGGGGATCATGGTCCTCTGGAAGAAGTTGAAAAAAAGGTCTCGCATCTGTGCTCGGTGTGTGGGAAAACATTTCACAAAAAAGACCATCTAACCACACACATGAGAGTTCACACAGGAGAGAAACCCTTCAGCTGCTCTGAGTGTGGGAAAAGATTTACAGGAAAAGGAAATCTGAACAAACACATGTATGTTCACAATGGGGAGAAACCACTCGGCTGCTCCATGTGCGGTACAAGATTTACCAAGAAGTCTGATCTGACCATCCACATGACACGCCACACCGGAGAGAAACCCTTCAGCTGTTTGGTTTGTAGTAAAGGCTTTTCCACCAAGAAGGAACTCACCATTCACACGTATGTTCACAGTGGAGAGAAACCCTTCAGCTGCTCTGCGTGTGGGAAAAGATTTACTGAAAAAAGGAGGATGATTGGACACATGACACTTCATACTGGGGAGAAACCATTCAGCTGCTCCAGGTGTGAAAAAAGCTTCATCTTTAAACAGCATCTGATCAAACACATGCGGGTTCACACAGGAGAGAGACCCTTCAGCTGCTCTGAGTGTGGGAAAAAGTTTCGTCAAAAGGAGGTTCTGAGCACACACATGAGAGTGCACACTGGAGAGAAACCGTTCAGCTGCTCCATGTGTGGCATGAGATTCACCCAAAAGATCAATCTGACGACACACATGACCGTCCACACAGGGGAGAAACCGTTCAGCTGTCCTTGGTGTGATCGAGGCTTTCTGTGGAAACAACATCTGACGAAACACATGCGAGTTCACACCGGAGAGAAACCATTCAGCTGCTCTGTGTGTGGGAAGAGTTTTACTGAAACAGGACATTTGATCACACACATGAGAGTTCACACGGGAGAGAAACCTTTCAGCTGCTCTGAGTGTGGTAAAAGATTCTCCCAAAAAGCAAATCTGACTAAACACATGTCTCGTCACAGCGGAGAGAAAACGTTTGTCATCCAGAGCTCCGGGTCATGAGGATAAGAGGAGAAACCGGCTGGCTGTTCACTGGAAGAAGATTTGTCACCTAAATTTGTTCTTCCCTAAAATCCTTCAACATGAATCTTTTTGTCCAAATTTAAAGTGAACAGCCTTTTAACAACTGGCAGGGAAGCACGCTGCTGTCTATCCCTGGCAAGGTATTCTGCAGTGTGCTGCTCCAACGCCTGAAAGACGAGGTAGATACCATCTTGAGGGAAGAGCAAGCCAGCTTCCGAAAGGGTAGATCCTGCTCCGAACAAATCTTCACTCTCCGAAACACCATAGAACAGTGCCAAGAATTCCAGACACCCCTCAGGATTAATTACATCGATTTCAAGAAAGCTTTCGACAGCATCCTCTGAGAATCACTGTGGCATATTATCCAACTATACGGTATACCACGAAAGTATGTCAAAATCTTCAGGGCCCTATATCACAACTCCACTTGCTGAGTAAAAACCACCAACAGCACAAACGATGACTCTGAAATCGTGACCGGTGTAAGACAAGGTTGCATCCTGTCACCCCTACCTTTTATTACAGTCATTGACTTTGTGATGAGGAAAACTGTCATCGGGGCAAACCACAGCATCAAGTGGGGAGGGGTAAGACTGGCAGATCTAGACTTTGCAGACTATTTGGTCCTCATTTAGCATACCCACATTGCACTCCAAGAATTGACAAACAACCTGCATGAGCAAGGAGCAAAAGTCAGTCTACTTATAAGCCAAGAAAAGACCAAGGCCATGACTGTCGCACAACATCAACACCTTCCACCACTCACCATGGGCAAACAAGACAATACATCGAGAACTTCACATACCTCGGAAGCAACGTCTCAAATACTGGAGACGTGGAGACAGACGTACAGACCAGAACTGGCAAAGCTGCAGGAGTCTTCCAACGACTCTGGAACATCTGGTCATCGAAATCCATCACCACGGCTACAAAGCTACACCTCTGTATGTCAGTGGTCATCCCTACAGCGACCTACGCCTGTGAGAAGTTGGATGTCTTCCATCGACGGTGCCTCAGATCTATCCTAAAGATATCATGGAGAGACCACACCACCAATGAAGAGGTGATGAGAAGGGCAGGTGTAACACCCTTGTCTGACATCATCCCTGACAGGCGAAAGAGAATGACCGGACATGTACTCCGACTGCCAAGAGAGAGACCGGCAAGTGTGGCAATAGACTGGATGCCAGAGGAGGGAAAAAGAAGGAGAGGGAGGCCAAAGAAGACATGGAGACAAACAGCCAAGGAAGACCTGAGTGAGATGGGAGTCAGCTGGCATGGAGCAAGAAGGGTCGCTAGGGACCGGAGCAAATGGAGGGGACTCCTCGCCCAATGTTCACAGGAACGAGAGGAACTAAGTCTAAGTCTAAGTAAAGTGAAATGATCTGCTGAGGTGTGAGGATGCAGTGATGCAGTGTCACATGATGACCTCAAACAGACGATGATAGCTGTGTCAGCCATTTTAGCTGTGCAGTAACGCCAAAGGATGGTCCTGACCTGTGTCCCTATAATCACTGATGTTGGTGAAGCTTTAAGATTTTACTGAAGTAGTTTAAGTTTAGTGATGATTCAAAAATCTCTAATCCTGCTGAAAATTAGGCCCAGGGTCAGAATATCTTGACTGTCACAGAAGAAGCTCTCACAGAACCACCACAGCGGTGTCATCACCCTAATTTAATGTTGGCGGAATCCTTGTAACTTTATTTTCATGCTGTATTTAAGTGTCTTTGGATAAATCTACAGGTTTGTTGGAGCATCAGTCCGGTTTCTCTGGGCTGACTCAGTAAATCTGTGTCTCTCTCTCTCTAACTAACAAGCTGCTGCTGTCTCCTTATCATGATACAAACATGAGCATGAGCGATCGCTGCACCTCCACCTCCTTCTCTGGTCTTAGGCCCGAACTACACGAATGCGGATGTATTTCAAACCGCACATATTTATGTCCAATTAGGCCTCCCTACCACACCAAGACGGGAGTTTGGAACACTCAAACCGGATAAATCTGAATCCGGAAAAACAAGTGGAGAAATAAAAAAATATCCGTAGCCCGTATCAGTAGTGGATCCGTGTGGTTGGACTTTTACGGATCGATGACGTCAAACCGCAGCTCGCGCATGTGAATTAAAAAGAAAAACAACAACAACGATGGCGGACAGACAGGGTTTTCTTTACGTTTGTTTTGCCCTTTTGGGGCTAATTTCATCCCTGCAAGTGAACCTTGTTTTATACAATTACATCCACCAGTCAGCAGCTCACAGACGCGTCTGCTGCGGCCAATACTTTTACTGGTCACATGGTCCGTTACATGGACCCGACGCACTAGCGTAGCTTCCGCAAACAATGCATGACGCATCACGCTGTTAGGATTCATCGGCCAATCAGTTAGCTTTGTTCCTGAATGTTTTTTAAGCGGCACCAGATAGGATTGAGTTTGAAGGCTACGCGTGGACGCAGATATTTTTGAGAACTGACACGTGTGGACAGATATATTTATTTAGATGGGAGTACAAAAATATCCTGATAAATAAATATCCATATACGTGTAGTTCGGGCCTTAGTGAAGGGAGGAGGCTCTGACCCCAGAGAACAAAGTGGATCAGGAGATCAGTACTTAGAGAGAGCAGACTTAGAGGGTGAAGGTCTGCAGAGGAGAGTTTTTAGGATCCACATGGAGTCTCTTCAGACCCTCACAGATCCTCCAACGGTGAACACACCTCCAGACTCACATCCTAACAGCTGCTCCTCAAGTCTCTGTGGACTGACCCGGTCTGAGTTCTTCTGAAGGGTTCCCCGGTCATGTTCTAGACCACAACATGGACTGTCCTGGACTTGAGCTTCTTGTTTGTTTCCTGTAAATGAAGAAACTCTGCAATGATGTTGACAGATTTCAGCTGGTTTGAAGGAGACGGGACCTTCAGTTGAACCTGTCTGCTGTTGTTCTGCTTCTGTTTTTAAACTGAATCTGTAAGAGGATGAAGGTAAGCGAGACTGAAATATGAACCTTTAATGTGACGTACGCAGACGTGAACAGGAGCCGTGAAAACTGAAACAGGAGGATTATTTCAGTCCGACTTCACATGAACTTCTCCACGTCCGAAAGATGAATCTGTTTCTGCTAATGAGCTTTTCTCTAAAACCTGATCCTGAAGTCTGTAAACTGTGTTCCTGTAGTTCTGTGTGAAGTTTGTCTCAGTGGTGTTGCCATAGGTATCTCCATGTCTCTGGGATTAGAGCGGCCATGTTAGAGTTTTTGGTCTGAGTGTCTGTTTTTATCCCCCTGTTTTTGTTCCTGATCAGCATGTGAGTCAAAAACTGTAAACAGTGATATCTGAAGTGTGTGTGTGTGTGTGTGTGTGTGTGTGTGTGTGTGTGTGTGTGTGTGTGTGTGTGTGTGTGTGTGTGTGTGTGTGTGTGTGTGTGTGTGTGTGTGTGTGTGTGTGTGTGTGTGTGTTGGTGTGTACTCTTGACTGCTTCAACAAAAAGAGAGAAAAAAACATGTTTTTTTTTAACATTTTAAATCAGTTTTAATCTAAAACTTTCACGTGTTTTGGACGTGGAGGATCTTCATCTGACTGGAGTTGATGCTCAAGGAGTGAGACCTCCACACAGGTCAGAGTTCACATGTCCAAACAGATCAGCTGATTTCTGGAATCATCACAAAAAAACTGAGTGAGGTTGGAGGACCTGAAGATCAGGGGGGTATTGCACAAATCCAAGATAAGGGATTAGGCCGGGATATGAAAGCAGGTCAAATTTAACGTGGTCAAGTTACTATGGTGATTTATTCTCTGCAGCTAGCCTGCTCCAGACCAGGCTAACAACTAGGCCAAGATTAATCCTAGTGGTTCATCTGGTAGTTTGACTGTCAAGCCTGTAAGAAATTAGTATGTTTCACAGCATTTTCATGCTCTTTCTAAATATGTTGCATTATTGTAATCGTCCTGCATTAAAATATTACAGATATATTGAAATTTGTCATTTTATTGCAGTCTGTTGACTGTCTTTTTATATTAATTCATGTGGCATAATGTTTACTGTCAGCTCTAGTGTTACATTGCTATGCAAATGAAGAGTGCTTGTCAAATTGCCATCAGAGGTTTGATGAATTTGTGTAATATTAAAGTTATTGAGATTAGAAAAAATGGCTGATGAGATAGCGAAGGTGGTTTCAATTCAGTCTGTGACGAGGGCAACAGTATAGTATATAGGTTCAACTCCCATTCACCTGTTTTCCTCTTCATCATGACATGCCCTTTTTTCGGAGGATGTTTTGGACGAGGAAGCCCTAATCCTTAGACGAGCATTTAGGCGGCAAAGAGTGTTCTGGGACAGGTCGGACCCATTGGCCTTTGGAGACGAATATCTCTTTGAGAGAAATCGCTTCTCTGGTGATGGACTCCGATATTTATGTAGGCTGCTGGGTCCTAAAATTCAGCACCAGACGGGACGAAGCCATGCCCTCACCGTACCACAGATGGTTTGTGTGACATTGAGGTTCCTTGCGAGCTGGAGCTTGGAGAGAACCTCAATAAAGGAACAATTTGCCGCACAATAAGACGTGTTTGTCTGGCTCTGAAGGCACTCACACATATATTTATCACCTTCCCTGGCCACAGAAGACCCCTCTACATCAAGGAGGAGTTTGACAAGATTGCAGGTAACATCCATGTCAACTTGCAACCACTACTTTCGAATTTCATCAGGCACAATTGGATACTCACTATTTTTGTTACAGCCTTCCCTAATGTCATTGGTGCAATAGATTGCACCCATGTGAGAATTAAACGCCCCTCAGGGGAACATGAGGGGGATTACATTAACAGGAAATCCTTCCACAGCATCAACGTTCAGGTGAGAGTTTTTTGTGGTTACTCTGACCTACATAAATTACTTATGTGCATTAAAGGGCTGTAATCGGTTACATCTCACATCTTATCGTTTCAGATGATCTGTGATGCTGACTGCCTTGTGACCAATTTAGAGGCCAGGTGGCCGGGCTCAGTCTATGATTCCCGAGTCTTTCGGGCTTGTCAAGTGTTCGAGAGACTCTCACAAGCTAAGCCACACTTTTTATTGTTAAGCACCTTGGACATTATGAGTCTTCACCCCTGCTGTGTACTTTAATAAATGATATCTTGTATTATCAGGTGAATTCTCTGGTGTGCATTCTGTAAAATAAATATCAATTAGCAGAGCACAATTTATGCAAAATGTAGCTTTACTTAATACTCACAATGTTACCAGGCAGCCTAGGAGGCTGTGCAGAGTCTGGGTCCTGTGACACGTTATTTTGTATTAGCACCATATCACTGACCTCAATGGACTAAATAAATCGGGATATTTTCAAAAAATTGACATGGTACCTCATGCCTTCTGGAGTCTACTGAGATGGTCTCATCTGCTGAAGTGCATCCCGCCGCTGCAGAAGTGCCTTCCCCCTGCCATACACATACATGCATATTTTCTCTGAAGATTTTTGACAGGACATGCCAAGCCTGTGATTTGAATCAAATGTACAAACCGGATCATCTTCTGGTGGCTCCAGAAGTGTCATTGTGTTCCCAGACACTGCAAGGAAATCCAAAGTCAGACAGTATAATATATTCATTTAATTGTGTTCCATGTGCAGTAGTACTGCAATATGTACCTTGTATGAGGCAGCCAGTTTGTGTTGCTGGGACACAGTCTGTGGCCGTCCCTCCCTGGATCCCCTCCATCACTGGCCTCCCTTCATTCGTGTGGAGGGCCAGCTCCTCCACTGGGGTGAAATCCTGGCTTGGTGGGCCGCCCCCCGTGCCACTTTTATGGGCTTTTTTTTTTTTACTGCAACAATTATACAGATATTCAACATGTCAGCAGACACTTAAACTATTCACCGCATTTGTTCATTGTTATCTTGACTAAAGTCACTTAACTGCCTGTAAAATGTTCTTGTATTTGATTTTGACTTGCTGCCAGGTCCTTCTCTGGCCAGACAAGTTTGTTCTTTATGAAGGATATACAAAAAATAGATTTGAAAAAGATGACATGGGAAAAAACATTAATTAGACAACACTGACACACATTGTGGATAATTGTTTGCAGAAAATTATATTCTACATTTCCTGAGTAACATGCACTTCTACTTGCCTCATTTAAAGCAAAGTGTACAACTGTTGATTAGTGGAGAGTAACTCCTTTAATAATAATGATGACAGCTCGAGTGGTACGGAAGCATATTGTATGTACTTCAGTTTAAAACAAACGGCTTTTCTGAGTAATTAATTTTGGGTCCGTTTTTCTAGGTAATTTTCCCCTGTATTTCTGAGTAATTTTTCCCTGATTTTTGGCCAAATCATTTCCCCTGTATGTCCAGGAGATCTGAGTGGGCTTTCCTTCTGAACAGCCGCAAAGTCCTCAGGTGTCAAACTAATAGTAACACCATCTTCTGCAGGCACCTGAAGACTTTGCGGCTGTTCAGAAGGAAAGCCCATTCAGATCTCCTGGACATACAGGGTTCCCTCCATGTAACTGATCGTCCAACGGCAAATTAAATGCGCGTCTGCTCCGCCGAGTCAGCTGTGCAGCGGTGCCAATGAACAAACACCTGTGTATCCATGGTGATAATGCTATACACCACCTGCTGGGCGTGTGATGAGCAGCATAGGGCTGCAAAATGACCAACACACAACATAATTATTATGACCTCGTTCGGTTATTCCTACGGAAATACATCATTTCCCGACTACATTCTTTTCATGTACAATGATAATTTCAGAAACCATTAGGTAGTTCTGCCTGGTGTAGGCTGAAAACCATAGAGCGCCGCCATGCAAGAAGACAAAGGCATCTTTTTTTCAGGGCAGCTTTGTACTTCCTAATGGATTTTCAACCACAAGTAAGAATTAGTAAAGCTCACATATACATTGTCAACTGGAAACTCCCCCGTTTGTATATTCTGAACCATGTGCTCTCTACCAATAATAATTTTTATTAATCAGAGGTCTGTGCTTAATATGAGTGACCACTTTGATGATGCATTCAGAGATGAGAAGGTACTCAAACTTGTAATAAATACATCTTTAATAGACACTTAAATAAATAAAGTCAATTCATACGAATAGTTAAAAACATTACCTATAATCCTAATTTAAAATACAAATAAATCTGGTAAAAAGATGAAAATATGATAAAATGATAAAAATTGTGTAATGTATACTGACTAAATATTGTTTATCTATTTATATATATAATTATTATTGCAATCACATGCCATATATTTCTTTTCAGCCTCCGGAAAGGGCCATATTACCAGCTGAAGTGCACAATGCATTGTGGGGCAGAAGCAGTACGTGAAGCAAGCTCCGCTCCATACTCAGAAATCGAAGCTGATTGAGTATACATCCGGGCATTTCTCGCATACACAAAATTCGCATACTGTACAGTGTGAACGCACTGCCTCCTCAATTAGGGGGCGGGGTTAGTATGAGTAGTACGAGTAGTATGCCATTTTGGACACAGCCTAAGACTAAGTGGAGTCGAGCTTGCTCAGTTATCCTGGATTTCGTTATTCTACTTTTGTGCAATACCCCCCTGCAGTCATCCAGATTTGTTGATCCAGGATGTTGTTAACAGTCAGACTCAGTTGAAGATGAAAATTCACAATTATTCATGTTTATTCATTATTATTTATTAGGGCCCGACCGATTTATCGGCGAGCCGATTAAATTGGCCAATTTTAACTCGTTTGAGACTAATCGGTAATCGGCCAAAACTCATCGATTTTCGCCGATATTTTCAGAAATAAAATGCGGAGAATAAGATTCGTTTTCACTTCGAAAATGTTCCGCCATTTGAAAAGTTCCATGACTTATCCTGTAGATGGCGCAGCGACCTCATGACAATCTTCATCCACTAACTCCCTCACAGCACAGCAGAGTGACGGATCTGAAGCTGGCAGCCCAGGGATGAGGAGAGTGGTCTGCCTAAACGGTAAATAAACCAGTTTGTGAAATACACAACAAGTCAACAAGTTTCAGTTCAATCCACTTCACGATGTTCCTCACCGTGCTGGTCTCGGTCACACCGAGTTAACGGTGAAGCACCATGTAATATGCAAGCTTAAGTTAGAGCTAACTGTGCTATAAGCCTTGCTACACTGTTAGCCGTGCCAGTAACAAACAAATAACAGTACACATTACGTGATCGAGCTACTTCTCTTACTGAGGCAGCTGCATGTCTGCATGAGACATGGGGACATGGGGGGTTGAAAACACTTTTCTGGTCCGAGTTTGATTAGTCGGTTTTCCTGTCAGTGTAAAGAGCAGTAGCCTAAAGTTTATCTACAGTATACTGTACATATCTTCAGTATACATTTTTTATAACTTCATAACAAATTTTAAAAATCAGCTGTAAATGGGTCCTCCCTCAGTGTTCAACCGGCAGCACTGTACTTTTATTTTGAAGGTCATTTCTTGCCGGAAACTGTGCTTTTGTTTCCGGGTCTCGGGGCTCCTCTCTCTGTAGTTCTTTATGAGCAGAATAAAGGTCTAAACCCGTCCTGGTTCTTCTCTGTGGTCCTCCTCCGGTTTTTGAAGATGTCAGGAGGTTTTGAGGACCTGAAGGAGTTCTTCAAGCGGAAGCTGCTCGCTGCGACCCGAACCGGAACGACCAGAACATCCGGAGAGGAAGAAGAGAGGAGGAGGAGGAGAGGACTGCTGCTGGTGATTCTAACAGGAAAACGGGAAAGAGCAGGTCAGAGTTCTGGTTCAGATAACTGGACCTATAGGTTATTTGAGAAAGTGAGGTTTGAAGATTTTCTGGACTTCCTGTTATGATGATGTTTTACCGTAATCTAATCGGTAATAAAGGTCCACAGTTAGGTAAATGATCTCCAAAGAGATTCAGGTTTTGGGTTTAGGGTCTCTGGGTTCAGACAGAATGAATGGAGGTCAGTGAAGGCTTCAGTTGAACTGGATCAGTTGTGTAAAACAGACTTTCTAACTCGTTTTATCACTGAAACCGTGTCAAATATTTTTAAATGTTAATAATTATTGAGTGATATCAAATTTAAAAGGAGAAAAACTATATTGAATCTGTAGGAGCCAAAATACAATTGTTTAGGATATGATTTATAGGTATGTCACTTCCGGGGATGGTCACTGAGGGGTGTGGTTTTGGGATGTTTGGCGGGTTATTTAAATCTCACCTGTGTAGTCAGATAGGTGGTTTTCATTAAGCTCTGATCATTTTCTGTTGACTGTTTTCACTGTTTCACTCATCCTGTTTTGACCTCATTTCATCGTATCGCTTTTTCATTTAAAGGCAGAAGTTCTGGACCCGGATCAGCATGTTTTCTTTACTTTTTTGTCACTGATTTTGTCACGAGTCACAGATGCAAACAAACCTAAACCCCAACAGTCGCTACAATATTGATTAAGAAAATATTTCTAAAATGAATTTGAAACTTCACCAAAGCAAAAACAGACAGGTCAGAAAATTAAATACTTAAAATTAAAACGTTTTCATTCCTGAAGTTTAAGATATGTCGATAAAGTTATTCTCATGTCTAAATACGTTGATAAAGTTATTCTCGTGTCTAAATATGTCGATAAAGTTATTCTCATGTCTAAATATGTCGGTAAAGTTGTTCTCATGTCTAAATATGTCAAAGTTTTTCTCATGTTTAAATTTTTCTGTAAAGTAAAGCAGCCCGGCGCTCCTCCTCTCATCCAGGATCTGGTCCTCATGTGGGACAGCGTGTTCCTGAAGCTCAAAAGGCAGGATCGGACTTTCGATCCTCTGTGTGGAGGGTTAGTGGGGGTGATTGGCAGTCTTGGCTCTGAGCTGCATTTCCTCCTCTCTCTGTTTTGTTGCTTTATAATCCCATCTGTTTCTCTTTGAGGATTTTTAAAATAATTGATTTAGAGTTTTCCTCAGTTTAATGAAACAAATTCCTGATATAGGAAATAAAACAAAATTATTATTGTCGTTGTGGAGTCATATATTACAAAAATTAAAGGGGCCATGGCATGAAAAACTGACTTTGTTAATGGGAGGGGGGTGCATATCAGGGAAAGAAAACCGCTACAATCCCCCCAAGTTCGAAAAAATTCCATCCAGTCGTTTTGTAGTGATCTCCGTATTTAGGAACTGTGTGCTCAGAGCCGTTCTGAAAACTCCACTGACATGACGTCATGTCAGTGCTGGCAGGTTGATGGCACTGCCCATGGAGCCGCCCACTGCCCTGCCCACTAAATTATCAAAACAGCGCCATTATTCCCGGCCGCTCGCTCGCATTGCTCCGGTTAGAACCATGGCGAAAGTACGATCTGAAAAAGAGGCAGCGTTTGCTCTGTTGTTGGCTGCACAAACGAGCACAAAACTCTTGAAAACTCCCTCGTCGGAGGATTTGAGGACTCAAATGGTGGATTTTATTTATAATGGGAATGTACCCGCGGCACTTCCAAAATATCTGTACGTATGTGCGCACCATTTCACTTCGGACTGTTTTATCAACGAGGGACAGTTCAATGCTGGATTTGCTAGATGTCTGAAGATAAAGAATGGATCCGTACCAACTATCCGTGATCCTACTACAAACGTGGCATCTGTAAGTATGAACGTTTTAGTTTGATTTACTGTTTAGCCTAAATTCCCCCCGGTGCCTCAGCACGGCCACCTCGCTTTGATAAACAAAGGCGACGGGGGACAAAATCCTCCTCCGGAGCAGCATGTAGCTTTAGCATTTACCCGTGCGGCGACGCGCCTCTTTTGGCTCAAATATGGGACGTCCCGGCTAATGCTGGACGGTCGGCCATCTTATTTATTAGCAAAGGCTTCAGAGAAGTTTTAGAGCACCAAAATCTTACATTGTAGCAGAGCTCTGGTTGTAATTTTTTCTACATTCATATCTTCCTTAAGTGTGACCCTCCTGGCGGCTTTGAATAATACATAGGATGTGTCGACTAGGTCGCTTCAAGTTTCTTCTCAGAGTTTCTTCTGGAGCCTCTCCCTCTGGGTCAGACTCTGGCTCAAACTGGTAGGGTTGTACGAGCGATCTTCTTGCAGCCATGACCGAGCCAGTGCAAACATTAGCACATGGCTATCGGAGCACAGCCACAGCCCCTTCCAGAGAGATGGGTGTAAAGTGGACGTGGCTTAGGTGCAGCTCATTTCATTAAAGAGACATGGGCCAACTTTGAGCAGAGCTGTTTTTAGCTGATACAAAGAGCACTAAAATAATTGATCCAAATCGAATTTTGACCGAAGGACGTCACAGACATGATTTTAACACACCAGGGGACTATTTTAAGTTGTGTGAAATTGGCATGCCATGGGACCTTTAACATCACCACCATCCTTCGCACTGTGCACTGGCTCCCTGTCCATCTCCGCATCAAATCCAAAATCCTCCTCCACACCCATCTCTGTCTTCACGGTGCAGCCCCCTCCTACCTCACTTAACTCCTCACCCCACACACCTCAGCCAGAACCCGGTCAGTCCAATTGCACCGTCTGCATTCGCCACACACCAAATCCATTTGTGCTCATATGAGACAGTGTGGAGGACGCCCTCTGCAGCGCTTACAGCGACACATCGTGTGGCATTGCTGTCTTCAGACATCTCTTGATCTCTTTGACTACTTTACAAAAATTGTAATATGCCTCGCCGGTGGCAGATTTAAAGGCGAGGAGAGGAGCCTATGTTATAGGAGGTTTTCACTTGATGTCACTTCCGTGTTACGCGGCACGCGCGCAATACAGATGGAGGGCAGGAAGTGAGTTGCGGCGATAGAGACCAGCAACATGCCGATGTTTTACTCGGTTTACGGCTGCTCGAATCGATTGAACAGGGAAAAAAACAAGAGCTTTTATCGTGTGCCCAAAGTAGTGTTACACAAAGGGGAAAAACATAAGAAGCTGACTGAAAAATGACGGAAAAAATGGCTTTTTAATCTCTGCCTACAGCAGTGGTTCTCAAGTCCAGTCCTGGAGCCCCCTGTCCTGCATGTTTTGGATGTTTCCCTGCTTCAACACACCTGATTCAAATGATTAGCTCGTTATTAAGCCATTACAGAGCTTGATAACGAGCTGATCACCCGCTTTGCAGCCCAAAGCGGGTGGTAAACTCCATCTAAGGCTAAATACCGGCACACATCTAAACCGGTTTATCTCCTCCATTGCAGTCGGTCGCTTCCTGCCCTCCATTTGGTCCTCGCGCGAAGTCAGGATCACGTGACTGAAAACCTCCTATTGGTGAATACAGGTCTCGGCTGTGTTAAACCCACTCCACTCCCTCCCTACGACTCACGCTGCTGGGAGGAGCTGAATTAGGGAGGGGGGATACTTATGCCGGGCTGCGCACTCACCAAAATTGTGCTTGGAAATGCCTTGTCGGCGCGGTGGACCTGACTTACGCTGCGCCTGCGCCACGTCGCCTCACCGAAAATAGAGCCCAAGAACTTTAGGGGAGCTTCACAAGGACCGGACTGAGGCAGGAGATGGGCCACTACACACAGTCAAGACTAGGAAGTGGACCTGCTGTCAAGACCCTCCTGAACCAGAGACAAGGTCTTCAGAGTCCCACCTGGACTGAGAGGACAAAGAACTGGACAATTGCTAAGTGGTCCAGAGTTCTGGTTCTAGATTCAAGTCGGTTGAACTTTTTAACTTGATTAAAAAAAAAAAATTTAAAAAAAATGAAAATGTGTTTTTATGACTTTAGACTTCAAGGTTCCAACTTTACAGAACCAGCAGCTTCAGACCGAAAGACGGACCGATCCACATTTACTGTCAGTGAGTCACATCTGATCTCTCTTTGTGTCTCTTTGTGTCTCTCCTGCAGATATCCAGCAGCTGTCCGGGGCTAAAGAAGAACCTCCTGAGCAGCAGGAGAGGAGCTCCAGTCTGGACCAGCAGGACCCAGCAAAACCAGAACCCCCCCACATTAAAGAGGAAGAGGAGGAAGTGTGGAGCAGTCAGGAGGGAGAGCAGCTTCAAGGACTGGAGGAGGCTGATACCAGCAAGTTCTCCTTCACTCCTGTCTGTGTGAAGAGTGAAGATGATGAAGAGGAACCTCAGTCCTCACAGATGGAACCAGGTGCTGATGGAGAGGACTGTGGACGACCAGAACCAGACAGGGACTCAGATATGGAAAAACATTTACAGCCAGAGACCGAGGTCAGGACTGAACGGAAAGGATCGAAGATGAGAGAGAAACCACAGAGCTGCTCTCAGTGTGGGAAAACATTTAAAAGAAATGGACATCTGACTGAACACATGAAGACTCACACAGGAGAGAAACCTTTCAGCTGCTCCAAGTGTGGTAAAAAATTTGCCCGTAAATACCCTCTGATTCAACACATGATCATTCACACTGGAGAGAAACCGTTCAGCTGTTTTAAATGTGGGAAAGTTTTTAATTCTAAAGGGAGCCTAAACAACCACAGGATAGTGCACAGTGAGGAGAAACCCTTCAGCTGCTCCGAGTGTGGCCGCAGATTTAAACATAAGAAGAATATTAGCAAACACATGCGCATTCATACAGGAGAGAAACCCCCCCGCTCTGCTCAGGACACAAACACCAATGACGATAATGTCAACAGAGATTTAGACAGTCTCACCAGGGAGAAACCCTTCAGCTGCTCTGAATGTGGTGAACGGTTCACCCAGAAAGGAAGTCTGAACACTCACCTGCGAATCCACACAGGAGAGAAACCCTTCAGCTGCTCCGAGTGTGGTAAAAGATTTACTCAAAGAGGAAATCTGACTAAACACATGCTGGTTCACACAGGAGAGAAACCGTTCGGCTGCTCTGAGTGTGGGAAAAGATTTACCCAAAAAGAGAGTGTGAAAAAACACATGACTCAGCACAGCCAGGAAAACCCCTTCATCATCCATAGAAGCGGAGCATGGTCCTGCTGAGGACCTGAGGACTCATCTGAAGATCTTCATGTCTTCATCGTCTCTCTTGGTTAATATCTGCAGACATGACTTTTACACTTAATGAAAATCTAACTTTGAAGTGCAAGGAAGCAGCAAGACGACATTGAAGACTCTGCACTAGGGTTGAGTATCGAGTCTCGAGCATCGATGGGGATCGGGACTAACACTTTTTAAAATTTCAATTCCAAATTTCAATGCCGGAGTTCACAGACCGGAAGAAATAGCCGCTGAACACCAGCGAGGAAGACGCCGCTAAATACCAACGAAGACGAGCATATGAGATGAAGCATATGAGATGAAGCCAGACAGAGACAGAGACAGAGAGAGAGAGTGCATTGCAACCCACAGCAGCGGTGGTCAAAAGTTTGTGTAACTTTTGCAGGAAGAATGAACTCTTTTCTCAGATCAATATTAGCAACACAGTTATATCATGTAAAGGAGGGTGTACGACCAACATGACCAAACACCTAAGGATTCATGGAGTCTTTGACACGCTTCGCCAGTGTTGCGTTGTAGAATGCACCTCTGACCTCTGGTTGAAAGTACTTAACAAGGCAAAATAATCCAAGTTTTCCTTACCATTGGACGCATTCTAAAGCGTGCGCCTTTAATGATTTCAGACTATTCAGATAAGCCGAAAACAATAGCCCTCTGATTCAGAATATTTGCTGTCCTGAAGATATAATGTTCTCTACCTTTACAGCTTACTGTACAGTTTATACACCCAAGTACACCTCTATATGAGCATTTTTGAGACATATAAAAACAGAACAAAAGTTTGCTGCTCCATTTGACATGTTGTCATGATCCAATATTTTTTTTTTATCACGAGATCATTTTCTTCCACTTTAGGAAGTTAATGAGTGGATGCATGAGTGCATTCTACAGCACACCACTGGTCTTCCGCTAACCAGCCAGAATCAGTTAAGTGAAACAATAAATTACTTCTGTTTTCTGCTAACTTTGAAGTGGCAAACAAATTGTACTGTGTACGGAGGGTCAACTTAAATATCAAAAAAACGCTAGCCCTCATACTTTTTCATAGACAAACGACCTGACAACAAAACTTGATATTTATATACTGGTTGAAAATAGCCCTGTGAGAAATTCATAGTTAAGTTCCTAAAAAGTTCATATGATTTAAAAATTCATGGAGAAGTTCAGAAATTAAATCCAAAAAGAAGTCCGGTTAGCACCCTCATTTAAACCATGCATTTTTTTTAATATCCTGCCGTTTCAGATTTTTACTGAGGTCCAGGTCCGACCTGCTGATCCTGAATCCATTCTCTAAAGAACTTGAATCAACAACAATCATTATTCCACCTTTACCTGAATGAAAGTTTGAAGTATTGAGTGTCGAACACACGACTGTCTGCTTTGTTGTGTGTTAGTGTGCATTTGTTCAAAGGAGAAGTGTGTTTCTGTGTTTCTAAAGGGACTGAAGATCATACCAAATAATCATGTTCACAGTTTACCTTCAACTCTCTCAGTCACTGAGTCGTTTAATGTGATTCATTTATAAAGACTAACTAAGTCGTTTAATGTGATTCATTCAAAAAGAGTAACTGAGTCAATTAAAGTGATTCATTCATAAAGATTCACTGAGTCGTTTCATGTGATTCGTTCATAAAGAGTCACTGGGTCGTTTAATGTGATTCATTCATAAAGAGTCACTGAGTTGTTTACTGTGATTCATTCATAAAGAGTCACTGAGTCGTTAAATGTGATTCATTCATAAAGGGTCACTGAGTCGTTTAATGTCGTCTACCCTCAGGGTAAAGCAATCTGATCAAATGAGAGACAAACATAATATTAAACAAACACGCTGTCCAATTGATTATACCTCTGCAGCACATTTGAATGTATAAATAATTTTCCTGCATGATTCGTGCATTTAAACTATATGTAAAAGTGGTCACTTCATGGAAAATCACTGAATAGGCCCCGATAATTGCATTTATTAAATTGAGTCTGCAACACACCTCTCTCCTGTGTTGTTCGATGTCTGGTAGACACAGAATTGCATTGAATCTGCCATGCACATTCTTTGGACATCCGATGCCGTCTGCGTCATGGTTTCCTTGACAAGTCAATTTGAAAAGTAACATCAATTACCAAATACATCGAGACAATGTTGATCCATACAACTGTGTGCATTTTGAAGGACTCCCACTGAGATAATACTGTTTTTACAAGGCAATTTTCTAAACTCTATGTCCTGCTGCTCTGCCTTCCTCTTTAGACTGAAGACCGGAGTATGCTTTCCAGCAATGAGCTCTTGACATTCTTTGGTCCAGTGGGCGAAGATTTTCCCACAACTGTAATGACAATATATCTTTAAGTACAATATATTGATTGTCTTCCAGTTAATTAGGACATCTAGTTTACTTAAACTGTCTACCTGTTCAAAGAATTGTTCTCCAGGAGCAACAGGCACCACCATCGCCGCCAAACAGGCATGTCATGCTGAAATTGTTGTTTGTATTTCATTTTAGTGCACAATACAAAATACAATCTTGAGGATGACACTGCGTGTTGAAAAGTACTTACAACTGAGTAGTCAAACTGTGACTCCATAACGATGTACATGGCAGACTTCAAAAAAAAAAATTATGAGACAGCATGTGAGATAACTTTAAAAAAGTCCATGTTGGAAAGTTATTCTAGATACAATATTTGTGCATTACAGCTCGTTATGACCTACCATCAACATGAATATGCCACAGTCTGAGCCGAAGTCCTGGCTGGGGAAGCCCTGATTTAACAAAAGCAAACGTTAATCATCTTGTCACATAGACTTTGTAGGAGCCAGATTGGGGTTTTGCAGTTTATTGTTATGTATTTTTTGTGCCAGCAGATGGTGCTATTGTGCCTGTCTATTTAATGGGTGGGTTGATTAGGAGAGGTGCGCACATAAAATGATGAATGAGTAAATAAATCAAAACAACAGAAAATGTGTGTGACATGTGACATTATTCCACCTGCGGGCACGCATCAACTCAAGCAAAAAGGTGTTCGCCACAAGTAACAGCATTGGAAAGCTGTTATACACTTTTCAACTGTAATATAGAGCATGCACAAATACCTCCAAATCTCTGCCCGTTTTCTCAGTCCATTGCCCAGGACATATCTTCTGCGCAATGTTCCTGTTAATTTGAGAGCGTCACTTAGATTTCCCATGATGGAAACAATGGAATGCAGGGTTAGGGTTAGTTTGAGTGGGTCGGATGTGAGATTGAATGAATGCGGACGGCTTGCTTCTTTTCAAACTTCCTGAGAGTTTTTCTTCTTCTGTAAATTTTGCCGTCAGAAAGTTTAGGTGCATACCGCCACCTACTGTTCTGGCATCGCAAAGCAGAAGTTCAAAGTTCATGTTTTTGGGTCCGCCAATCGGAGGTAATGCGGAAACTTATTGCGTTTTGTAAATGTGGTTTTTTATCTTTGGGTCCGCCATCTTGGCGCTGCATCTGGGTACTCTTGAATAAAAGCCGAAGTTAAAATCCAAGTTAAATGACCTAATAATAAAAAATAACTGTTAATGAAGGAAACCTTTTTATTTTTATTTGAGGTCAAAACTCAGCAGGTCTAAAGAAAAAGAAAAACCTGCTGAACAAAATTTGAGGGAAAAAACAGAAAAGAGCTGAAGGTACCGGTGGTCCAATCACTGATTGATTTGTTTCTGTGTGTCTTCAGGTGTTATTACACTCTTCAGTTCTTCATGAGTGAGCAGCATCTATGTCATAGATTCATGAAGAGCAGACACTTCACTTTTTTTATTCACACTAGATACCAACCCCTCACTCCAAACATCACTCTTGAGTCACTCTTACATCACTCTTGTGTCACTCTTACATCACTCTTGTGTCACTCTTACATCACTCTTGTGTCACTCTGACAGCTGACCTCGCCCTGATGATCACCCTAATGACCACAGATACCTAAACAGCAGTGTCACCTCTATCTGACCCGGACATCTGAACAGAACCAGGACTCAAAGAGGGAACTATGAACCCAGAACAGGAAGAGGACTAGATTCGGTTATTGTGTTTTCTCTGTAACAGGAAGATCAGACTAACAGGTTCGAGACCTGGAAGCTGAAAGACTTGGGTTTCTCTTCAGGAGTGTAGAGCAGTTAGAAAAACAGACTAAAAATGATAAAAGTGTTCAGCTGAATTTTCAGGATCTGGAAGGACATCAATCTGATTCTCCGGTTATTTCTCTGTTTTTACAAATTCAAAATCTTTAAAATTATTTTTGACCACATTCAGATGACAGGACAGGAGTTTAAATTTCTGTTTGATTAAAAACCATTTTTATATTCAGATTAATTCAAAGACAACATAGGATTATAAATCCTGTCATACAGATTCATGAACCTCCAACAGTAAAAACCTCCAGACCTGCTTTAACTTTAATTTCTGCTGTTTCTGTTTTTTATCTTTTATTGATCAATGCTGACCAGAGGGGTTTGATAATCCAGATCTGACCAGTCCTGGTCTTGGTTTCCTCGAGTCTAAAAATACAATTTAAAACAAACTGTGTTTTCATCTCCGCGTGCTTTTATTTTGAAGATTTACTGTTTACGGATGTGAAGCGCTCTTCCTCTCTCTGGATCACGGTTAGCATGTAGCAGGATGAGCTAACCCTGTTTCTGAGCGGGTTAAAGGTCTGTTGGTCCGTCCTGGTCCCGGTCCGGTGTGTGGTCCCGGTCCGGTTCTTGGATGTGTGTAAAATGTCCGGGTTTGAGGATCTGAAAGATCTGCTCCTGACAGGACAAACAACAAGATCTGGAGAAGAAGAGGAGCTCCACCGACCAAGAAAAACTGGGCTGGATGATGATGATGGGGTCAGAACACCTGAGCTGATCCACATGACCATAGAAGGTCTGGGTTCAGTTTCTTTAGGGGGACTTTCTGATGGTTCAGGTTCCTGTGGTCCTCAGACCTGCTGCTGACTTCAGGGATGACATTACAGTAGTGCTATAGAAATAAAGTTGTTATTATTATTATTATTATTATTATTATTATTACTAGTCGTAGTACTATTATTATTAGTAGTAGTAGTAGTCTTATTGTTTTATTATTTTAATATTATTATTATTGTTACTATTATTATTATTAATTTTTTTCGCCTCCGAAAACACAAATTTGACCCCCTGAACGACCTCGAATACTCACCAAAATTTGCAGGCAGGTCGGGCCCGGCGAAAATTGCAATGTTTTAAAGTGACCCAAAAAAAGGGATAAAAGATGGCTTGCTAGCGCCCCCTACAGAGCACCACGAACGTCAACTTTGTCCGATCTGCCTGAAATTTTACAGGCACGTTTATCTTAACGAGATCTTTGATTTTGAGCACTTAGACTTTTTTCTCAGACGAACAGTTAAAGAGTTATTCTGCTGTTTTCGGCCCATTTTCGCCATTGGTCCCCTGACCATTAACCTCACTTAACCCAGATCCAGAGAGTTTTTTACAAAGATTGTCACACCAAACGTATCTTGTTTGATGTTTGATACTTTCTGTATAAGCAACTTGAGTAGCTGTCGTCCTCAGTACATGTGCTCTGAAATGCACTTTACTCAATAAAACAAGTGTATTTATGAGTTGTTTTTTTTAATATTGAAAATACATTTTCTTGGTTTGAATTTTATAAAAATGACTCGCGACTTAAAGATTATGGGAAAATGTGGGTCCCAGAGTGAGACCAGCTGAGAACCACTGGTTTAAACCTCAAAGGACAGCAGATTAAAATGAACATTTATGCTGACTCTGCTAACTCTGTTTCTGCTGACTCAGGCATATTTCGATTCAGGATTTTGCTGACATGTCAATTAATGTGCTAATGTTCTAATCAAATAAATAAAAAAACAAAAGAACTTTGTTGATCCTTAAAGGGAAATCCATGACTTTATATTTACCGATAAACTAAAAGAAATCCTTCAGTTTTAGAACAGAGACCCTCAGATTTAGATCCATTAGTGTTCACAGTCGATGGGTTATGAAGTGACTCTGAGTCCATGTGGTGATTTTCACTATAGAGACACCATACTGCAGTCCTTCTGAGGTTGATCTTCAGCATCTTCATCTCGAAGAGTTTGGATCATTTAGAGATTCAGTCTGAAAATGTTTCAACAGAAACTAAGAGCTTCTCTTGATGAGCTTGTCTGTTTTTCACTGTCTCTTTTGCAGATGTCCAGCAGCTGTCCGGGGTTAAAGAAGAACCTCCTGAGCAGCAGGAGTGGAGCTCCAGTCTGGACCAGCAGGATCCAGCAGAACCAGAACCCCCCCACATTAAAGAGGAAGAGGAGGAAGTGTGGAGCAGTCAGGAGGGAGAGCAGCTTCAAGGACTGGAGGAGGCTGATACCAGCAAATTCTCCTTCACTCCTGTCTATGTGAAGAGTGAAGATGATGAAGAGGAACCTCAAACCTCACAGTTTCATCAGAGACCAAGGGACCAGATGGAACCAGGTGCTGATGGAGAGGACTGTGGAGGACCAGAACCAGATCCAGAGAGTTCTTTACAAGCAGAGATCGAGGTGGAGATCGAGGACTCTACTGAACCTGAGACTGATGACAGTGATGATGTGAGAGAGACTGGAGATCATTTAAATTTTAAGGAAAATGCCAAAGAAAAGACGTGTAACGTTGGATTAAAATCACATTGCTGCCCTCTGTGTGGTAAAAGATTTCACCGAAAAGGACATCTCATCCAACACACCAAACTCCACACTGGAGAGAAACCCTTCTGCTGCTCGGTTTGTGGGAAAACATTTACTGAAAAGGGAGGTCTAACCAGACACATGTTCATTCACAGTGAAGAGAAACCATTCTGCTGCTCTGTATGTGGGAAAAGTTTTACCCAAAGAGGTCACCTGACCCAACATGCGAGAATCCACACAGGAGAGAAACCATTCAGCTGTTTTGTGTGTTTCAAAAGCTTCTGCAATAAACAACAACTCACCCATCACGTGTTGGTTCACACAGGAGAGAAACCATTGAGCTGTTCTGTGTGCAATGAAAAATTTAAGGAAAGAAGGCATCTGACCAAACACATGTCCGTTCACACAGGAGAGAAACCATTTCGCTGCTCCGTTTGTGGTAAAGGATTTACTGAAAAAGGAAATCTGAACAAACACATGTCAATCCACAGTATGGAGAAACCATTTAGCTGCTCTGTATGTGGGAAAAGTTTCACTCAAAAAGCCAATCTGACCCATCACAGGAGACTTCACACAGGAGAGAAACCATTCAGCTGTTCAGTCTGCCAGAAAAGCTTCTGCTCGAAACCTCAACTGAACAGACACATGTCCATTCACCAGGAGGAGAAACCTCTCAGCTGCTTTAAGTGTGGGAAACGATTTATCCTCAGTGGACATCTGAACAGACATATGTCAGTTCACACAGGGGAGAAACCGTTTTGCTGCTCTAAATGTGGTCAAAAATTTTCTGAAAAGGGTAATTTGATCAGACACATGAGACTTCACACTGGAGAGAAACCATTTGGCTGCCCCGTGTGTGGCAAAACATTTATCCAAAAAGTCAATCTGGAAAAACACATGTCAGTTCACAGTGAAAAGAAACCATTTACCTGCTCCAAGTGTGGGAAACTCTTTATCCAGAAAGCGAGTCGAGACAAACACATGTCAGTTCACAGTGAAGAGGAACCCTGTAGACCCCAGACCTCTGAATCCTGAGGCTTCTGGTTTCATGCTGCTCTCTGTGGAAATCTGTTGATGGATGTTAAAATAAATGGTAAAGAATGACAGTTTGTGTGGATGTAGATGAGTTCATCTCTAAAAATCAGAGTGGGATTTTAACTGTAAGAACATCTGACCACCTGAATTTAATATTCTCCATAAATAAATACCTTTGAAGAGGATTTCTGTTTGTTTGATTTTGTTTGAAATGAACTGTGTGTGACATGATCTCAGACTAATTTTACTGGTTATTCAGTTTTTTAACGTGAGATTCGTTAATGCTCGAACTGGATCATAGTGATCTACAGCTAAGTAACCTAAAAGGTGTCCTTCACTTCTGACTGTGTGTGTCTTCAGCAGGTCTGATCCAGACTGATTATTATTGTCGATTATATCACAGTAAGAGTCCAACAGTGATGGCGATCTCTGGATCAGACCTAATGGAGTTCCTCTCAGCCAATCAGATTACTCTGACCCAACATCCAAAATGATGACCCTCTATCCCCATGAGTCCTCTGTTTTGTTTGCTCTGATCCTTCTCATGTCATACGATAAACACATAAAAATACGTGGAAAAAATACTGTTGTCATGGTTATTTTTGAGGTTATTTCTATCTATAAAGCCAGCAGTGTCCTCCTCTCAGTGTGTGAAATGTTCCTTTAAACTTCATCCTAATGAACCTGCCATTGTGATTAGTGCAGCCTCCAATAAAATAACAGAATCAATGATTTTAAACCAAAAAACTCCTAGAGTTTTAAATTGAAGTCTGTCGAATATAATAAGAATGATAATAAACATAATAATAATAATAAACATAATATTAATAACAATAATAATAATTATTATTATAACAATATTGATGATATAAATAAAATTGATCCTAAGAACAAAAATAATATAACAATATTATGACAATAATAACATTTTGATAATAACTGTTAAAATAACGACAATAATAATAATAATAATAATAATAATAATAATAATAATAATAATAATAATAATAATAATAGATTACCAGTTTTCATCAGGAGAACATCATAATGTGTCTTTTCTTCCTGCGCACATGTTAAGAAATCCTCCACGGGTTTACTTTTTCACGGACCAGAGAGAACTTCTTTATGTTTGAGAATCCAGACCAACGTCCAGGGAGAGATTTGGTCAAATTCTGTCAATATGAGCAGAAACACTGAAAGAGAAAAGTTTCATCCATTTGTCTCAGTCAGCAGAGTCTGACTGAGATAATCCACATCCAGTTTCACTATTATAGCTGGGCTTTTATTCTGAAGGCCAAGCGAGTTTACACTAACTTCTGTTTCTCTTCCGGGTTGAGAAGCTTCTTTTCCGTAAAGACGCTAGCTTGGATTGATGAGCTCCGGTCCTCCATGAGCGGGTTAAAAGTCTTTAAAACCGCCCTGGTTCTGGTCCCGGTGTGTGATCCTGGTCCGGTTCCTGGATATGTGTAAAATGTCCGGGTTCTTGGATCTGCTCCTGACAGGACAAACAACAAGATCTGGAGAAGAAGAGGAGCTCCACCGACCAAAAAAAACTGGGCTTGATGATGATGATGATGGGATCAGAACATCTGAGCTGATCCACTTGACCAGAGCAGCAGGTAAGAGCAGAAGATCCTGGGGGGGCTGAACAGAACCTTCTCAGAACCTCCCAGTCCGGTCACCTTCGTTATCTGCCGCTAAAAACTGACTTTTTCCCGACTTTTCTCCTGGCTGTTGAACTTTCTGAGAGTCTGACCCGGTTCCGGTAAAGTTATTTTGGATCTGTAGCAGTGATGTTCGGTCTGTTTTCGCGGTTCGTTTCACGTTGGATGTTGGTGATTTCCCCGGAACTCGCGGTGTTTCCTAGAGCTTCTACCCGGAGTAGTGTTGTATCGTTCGCGAACGATTCGTTCAAAAGAACCGAATCTTTTAAGTGAATGTACTGAACCAAATCACTCCTCAAGTGATTCGTTCGTTTCTCACTTCAGTTTAGCTGTCAGCAGGGCAGATGTTATAGCATGCAGCATTGCTGTGTGAGCAGTCGGCGAACGAGGGACCACATTCACCAACGCCTGAATCCCTTGGTGAACGAATCACGCATTGAACTACACTCTCTGGAATCATTTTTGTTAGACAAACTTACTTTTTTTTTCACTGCTAAATTGCCGCCACAACAACTTTCATACAATAGGACACAGCATGTAACAGGGAGTGCATTAAACCCGCAGCATCTTATCATTGCAGCAGTTTGCAAGGGAACGGTGCATGTTCAGTGTGAATTCTTCTCAATGTTCAGTGAACAAATAATTCACTGAGTCTAATTTACTGAGCAGACCTGATAAATAGCATACCGTAGGACAGTACACTTAAAACATCATGACTTATGAGCAAGTTCATTTTTACAAACCTGTTTGCCAAAGCCACACAGACAAACACTCTCGTCTCCCGGTCCCAGAAGCTATGATCTGAACTAAATCCTGGACTGTTCAGCTGTGTATCAGTTCAGGAGGTTGGAGTCACAGGCTTCTCCCACCAAACGCTAAATGATTCAGTGATTCTGTAAATGAATCTTTTGAGGATAAAGGCTTCGTAAATCTGACAAAACACCTGAGTCCACGGTACAAATTACCAAGTAGGGTGTTTCATCAGATTTACGAAGCCTTTACCCTGTACTACGCTAAACGGCTGGTCCTCCAGTGCCACGAACTCCATTATTTTCCTAGTGGTGGCTTTGGACTTTTCAGTGCTGATGTCGAACATAGGAGCCACGGCGGAGGGTTGTTGTGGTCGCTGCGACTCTGCTGCATCCCTCCTCTTAGCGGCAGTGTATTCCTTATATTTGCTAAACAAGCCTGGGTGCTTCTTTTCCAAGTGGCGTATTAAGTTTGTTGTTCCAAATGTCTTAGGCGTTGATCCTCCACGGCTGACTTTTGACTTGCAAGCATTACAAACAGCGTGTTTTGGGTCGCTCTGGCACACAGTGTCAAATCACCGACATGTTTTCCTCCTGAGTCTTGCTAATTTTTAGCAGTTTTGCTCTGAGCTGATACGCACCGCGCATGCGGGTCAGTTTGCTCGGGGAAAACCGGCAAATTACGACAGTGACCGGCCGGTCACCGGTTGGGGCCGGTTGGATATAAAACCGGCTTTTTAAATCGGCGGCCGATTGATCGGTGCATCTCTAATGGAGATCTTTTCTTGCCAGAGACTATTTTCACCTTGGTGGGCACAATGGCAACCATCACATTTGTGATTCTAGAGCAAAGGTCTTCTACAAGCTCATTGACCGAGAGCCGTGAGAGAGCTGGGAGAAGAGTCAAAGCCTGATTAAATATTTCACTGGTGTTGTCAGTGATAAGCCGCTTGGTGATTACCTCTAGTAGTAGTTAGTAGTGAATAGCATAGAAATAGTACTCTCAAAAACACACAGGAGTGATCAGAGATAGCAACATCAGTATCCATGATTTTGGGTATGTTCAGGCCCTTGGAAATAATGAAGTCTAGAGTGTGACCTCTATTGTGTGTGGGCTCTGTTACATGTTGGGTCAAACCATAGTTATCAAGGAGACAGCACAATTCTTTGGTGCCTCTGTCCTGGGGGTTGTCAACGTGAATGTTAAAATCACCAACAATCACTACTCAAAGTCAATACAGATTATAGACAGCAATTCAGTAAAGTCATCAAAAAAATTCACCCAGTACGTCATCCGGGTACTTTTGCCTACTCAATTTTCGCATACTATCCATACTTCTTTCCATTTTGCATTGAGTATACTCAAAATTTTAAGTCGTTAGTATGGAAGTATGCGATTTGGGACACACCATCTGTCTCTGTTTGACCGTTTTCTGGAGTTTTCTGTCCTCCTATCCTCTGATCGCTGTCTCACTGCGTCCCCCATCTCTCTTTATATTTTAGATTCCCCTGCAGATGTCCAGCAGCTGATTATGGGTGGAGAAGAACCTTCTGAGCAGCAAGACTGCAGCTCCAGTCTGGACCGGGAGGACCCAGCAGAACCAGAACCCCCCCACATTAAAGAGGAAGAGGAGGAAGTGTGGAGCAGTCAGGAGGGAGAGCAGCTTCAAGGACTGGAGGAGGCTGATACAGCAGATGTTCCATTCGTGCCTGTCATTGTAAAGAGTGAAGATGATAAGGAAGAAGAAGATGATAAAGAAGAACCTCAGTCCTCACAGATGGAAACAGGAGCTGATGGAGAGGACTGTGGAAAACCAGAACCAGACAGGGACTCAGATCCAGGGAGACGAGCAGAGATTGAGGTGAAACTTGAAGACTCCTCTGAGTCTGATGAGGGTGATGAGAGGAGAATGAGAGCTGATCTTCAGTCAGCTTCAAACTCTGGAGGAGACATGTCTGAGGAGGTCCCAGTGATGACTCAGAAAACTCATGGCTGCTCTCAGTGTGGGAAAACATTTCCTCGTAAAGATAATCTGACAAACCACATGAGAAGCCACAGGGGAGTGAAACCCTTCAGCTGCTCTCAGTGCAGCAGGAGCTTCAGCTTCAGCATCAATCTGTCAAGGCACGTGTTACGTCATACAGGAGAGAAACCCTTCGGCTGCTCTGACTGTGACAAAAGATTCACCCTGAAGAAAAACCTGAACAGACACATGATCGTACACACAGGAGAAAAACCCTTCAGCTGCTCCGACTGTGGGAAAAGGTTTAGTCGTAAAAGTGATCTGGCCACACATATCAAATTTCACACCGGAGAGAAACCGTACATCTGCTTAAAGTGCAGTAAAAGATTTACCCAGAAAGGTGATCTGACCATTCACATGAGGATTCATACAGGAGAGAAACCCTTCAGCTGCTCCGAGTGCAGTAAGAAATTTGCCCTTAAAAGCTCTTTGAACACACACATGAGGAGTCACACAGGAGAAAAACCCTTCAGCTGCTCTGTGTGCAGCCGAAGATTCGCCCAGAAAAGTCCTCTGACCACACACATGAGGATGCATACCGGAGAGAACCTGTTCAGCTGCTCCAAGTGTGAGAAAAACTTCAGCCGTAACTGTGACCTGATCACACACATGAGGATGCACACAGGAGAGAAACCCTTCAGCTGCTCCGAGTGCGGGAAAAGATTTCAACGCAAGAAATATCTGAACCGACACATGAAAACCCACATGAAGAGTGTGTTTCAGTTCGACAGACTGGAGTGTTTGAGTTTTAACCCTTTAGAGTCCCATCAAGACCCGCCAGAGGAGACCAGAGAGGAGCAGGGGGGACCAGAACCAGACAGAGACTCTGGTCCAGGAGGTCAAATGGTAATCAAGACTGAGGACAGTGAGGACATCATTCGGGTGACGATCCACTGAGCGGCTCTGATCCACTCAGCTGGAGTTCCCTGAGGAGAGACACCAGCAGGAGAAGATCCAGATCAATGTTAGAATTGCATGAGTGGAAAACCAAGACGCTGAGATAGACCTTCACTCCAGAATCAAAAACACAGTCTTCATTTTGTTTAGATGTTCAACAATAAAGAGACTCATTTAAATGAAAACCAGGTTTGATGTTGGCGTCAGTAAAAACTGGACTCAGAGAAAAAAAAAGGACTCGAAGATCCGGGTATCCAGCTTTAGATTAGAGACTCCACCTCTCTTCTTAAGGTCCTTTCACACCGGAAGCGTTTTTTTTTGTGCGATTATTTTGGACGTCAATATTTTTTTTGGAACCCGTATCCTGTCAATACAAGCGATCACATTAGCGACGTTTTCCCATCCTGTGATATTGTGGCATTTATTTTTTTGGATCACGGTCGATTTTTCCAAAGTCCCATATTGTGTGTCCACTTCTGACCAATCAGATTGCGTGTTGTTGTGACGTCAAATTCACCGGTATATCCAACATGGCCGACCGGCTGATTTTTTATGTGTCGGAGAACAGAATGCTTTTTGATAAAAGACACAAATATTAGAAAGATAACAACCTGAAAGACAACTTATGTGTTGTGTGCTTTAACAGTTTGCTAAACGTCCTTGTTTTAACTTTCATCTGTGCTAATGTAAGCGGTTGTTGCCATAGTTTCATGAGCTTATCTGGTCCTGGCCCCGACTCAGTACATGATATCATGACAGAAGGCCATCTCAACACTAGTGTCTAGTGTCCAGTCCTCTGTCTCTTCAAACTTGGAGCTAATTGTTTCAGCAGAACTTCTAATTGTCCAACAGACATCTGAAAATAGGTTCTGAAGCGACCGTGGTACAGTTGCAGCTCCTGAACCAAGCAGTGAAACTCACCAAATTCTCTTCTTTTTTGTAATATTGGATGCACCCATGTGCTACGTTTCTTTTTCTTTTGAGAAAGCAAAAGGAGTACCAATTCGCCATCACTTCAAGTTGAAGTAGAGGTTCTGGAGGACGGGGATGATGTGTTGGTGGGAGCGTGTGTGGGTGAGGAGGCGGGCGGCAGAGTTCTGGATGAGCTGAAGTTTATTGAGGAGAGTGGAGGTAGTGCCATGGAGGAGACTGTTACAGTAATCAAGACAGGAGGAAATGAATGCATGTATGAGGGTTTCAGCTGCAGGGTAGGAGAGGGAGGGGCAGAGGCGGGCAATGTTTTTGAGGTGGTAGTAGGCTGTTTTGGTGATTTGCTTTACGTGCTGGGTGAAGGAGAGGTTGCTGTCGAAGAAAATACTAAGGTTCCGACAGTCGGAGGAGAGAGGGTGGAGTTGTCAATAGAGATGAAAGTCTGTGACTGTGTAGGTGAGGGAGTTTGGGCCGATGATGAGGAGATCTGTGAGAAGGTTGCTGTCCATCCAGTGTTTGACATCAGAGAGGCAGTTTGAGAGGGAGCGGTGGGTCTGGGGGGTGATGGAGGTGGAAGAGATGTATAATTGAATGCCATCAGCGTAGCAGTGGAAGGGAAGATTGTGTTGACAGAGGATGTGGCCAAGAGGGAGGAGGTAGATGATGAAGAGGAGGGGACCAAGCACCGAGCCCTGGGGGACACCTTGGGGCACGGGGGCAGTTGTGGAGGAGCAGTTGTTGATGTGGATGAAGTGATTCCGGTCTGTGAGATATGAGTGGATCCAGTTAAGAGCGGTGTCTGTGATGTTGAGGAGGGAGTGTAGGCGAGACAGGAGGATGGCGTGGTCGATGGTGTCGAAAGCGGCGGAGAGGTCAAGGACGATGAGGATGGAGAGTTGGCCGGAGTCAGCAGAAATGAGAAGGTCGTTGGTGACTTTGATGAGGGCAGTTTCAGTGTTGTGGTGGGTGCGGAATCCTGATTGAAACTGTCCGTAAAGATTGTTATTGTTGAGGTGGGCTTTGATTTGTGATGCGATGACACGGTCAAGGACTTTTTGACAGGAAAGGGAGGTTGGAGATGGGCCGGAAGTTGTTGATGTCGTCAGGGTTGAGTCCAGGTTTTTTGAGAATGGGGGTGACAGCGGCCAGTTTGAGTGAAGGGGGAACAGTAGCGGAGTTGAGGGAGGAGTTGATGATCTGTGTGATGATGGGAGAGATGACGGGGAGGCAGTGCTTGATGAGGGAGGATGGGATGGGATCCAGGATGCAGGTGGATGATGACATGGAGCAGATGATGTTGGTCACGTCGGTTGAAGAAACAGGTGAGAAGCGGGAGAGTGCTGATAGGATGAGGGGAGGAGCTGGGAATGGAGGGTGGGGGAAGGAAGTTGTAGCTTGTGTTGATTTTGGATTGAAAAGAGGAGAGGAATGAGTTGCACTTTTCTGGGGTGAAGGTGATGGAGGTACTGTCTATGGGGTGGAGCAGTTTATTCCTCTTTCCAGATCTTCTCAAAAACACAGAGCCAGTGGCTTGTGTTTTTGATGTCTTTACCAGAATAATTACAAAAATACTTAATGCATGATGAATTGTTTTGTTTAAGGTGAAGACACCTCTGCAGAAGGAGAGGTACTTCGATGTCTGTTGTAAGGTGGCCATTGATGGACCAGACCAGGAGGCCTTGGACTACAAGGAGTGCATGAGGAGGTTCTACAGAATGAAAAAGAGGAGGCTGAAATGTTCTGTGTCTGGTTGTGAGATGTGTGGATGAAGTGTACTTTCAATTTAAAGTTGCCAGCTGATTTGTGTATGTATATAGTTTTAATAAATGAATGCTTTAACATGATAATGGTCACACTCTTTTTTGAACTCTTAACTTAAAGTATGTTGCCTGTAAAAGAAAGTGAGTCAGTTGAATTTACAAAATACATGCACGTCATGGCGCATGGTCAGGATGGTGCCACCTCTGCCTCAATTTGAGCTACAAAAAACCCTGGACCTGTTTGGTTGTTCCTCCAGACGAACTTCTGACCTGTTTGGTTCTTCCTCTATCAGAACTTTGGACCTGTTTGGTCTTCCTCTATCAGAACTTTAATAAAAACACGAGTGAAGTTGGTCTGGAGTGTTTTTGAAAAACATTAAAACTGTCTTAAATGATTTTCCTCTGTGTGTCTCTCTCTCTCCTCTGGGTCGTCCTGTTGTGGACCGGTAGGACTCGGTCTCGGTCTCCTGCTCTTGTTCTGTTCTGATGTTGATCTGAGAAAAACTGGTTTCTGGCAGCTGAACTCATATTTCAGTTCTTTAGCAGATCTCTGTGGTTTCATCCTCTGATACTAACTGATCAGTGGGTTGTGACTCAGTAGACCAGGACTGTCAGACTGAGTCTCTGAGGACTGTGGGTCCAGGTTCAGACTCCAGTTTGTTTCAGTCCAAAAGAACATGAGGAGATCTTGGACAACAAACTATGATCACCTGGAGTCTGGCTCCACCTGCTGGTCCATGTCAGGACTGCAGCTGGAGCCACACACCTGAACCCTTCAGCAGCAGCACACTGTCCCAATCCCAAACCGCCCCTAAACACTCGCCCTACACACTCCCCCTCCGTTTGTGCATCCCCGCGGAGGCTCTGCCATATTGAAGGCCATCCCAAACCACAGAGTGAGGAGGGCAAGTGAAGCCCTTTAATAGTGAGTCTGCACTGGTGCACACTTATGGCGGGATTTACAGGTAATGCGCCGGCAAAAATGGAGGAGGAGGAGGAGGACACTACAAACAAATCTAAGTTCTGTTTGTGTCTACCTTTGTCTCACTGACAAAAAAAATCATAAAAGACGTGGTTTGGAAAGATCAAATTAAGGTCTGTGCTGAGGTTTGATTTGATTGGTCAGAAACATGTCAAATAGTAAAGGGGTTTACAGACCTGTGGAATCACTAACAACCAGAAGTATAATTTAGGTTCCTGTCACTGTGATGGTTCCTGGATTTATGATTTTACTGGGAGGATGAAGAAACAAGGCAGCCAGAGCGGCTCAGAACTGAACATGATACCTGTTTACGCTGGCATGCACAGGACGCATCTTAGTGTTGCGATGGCAATGAATCTTTATGTTTTTCGGTGGATTGAGGAGGACATCCCATACCCGCCTGTCTTGTTTATACCCTTCCATTTCAATTGAGGCGCACTCCACAGCTGTGAGTGGAACTTCATTTAGGGCGAGTGTGTAGGGGTCAGATTGGGATTTGGACACTGTCAGAACAAGAGCACTAACTGACCTTTGACCTGTGACATGGGAAGAGTCCGAGCTAAAACACTGATCCCACATTAGGATGAACCTGGACCCATGGGCTCTACAGGAAGGCCACATGGAGAAGGTCTGCAGGTCTGGACTCGTGGACTGTTCTGGAGACTTGGTGAGGTGGAGATCTGGGGTCCGTTTCACGTAGGTGGTTCAACAAACTCTGAGTCAAATCCTTAACTCTGAGTTGATCTACTCTGAGATAGGAAACTCAGACTTTCCGGTTTCACAACACCTGATTTGAGTCAGTTTTAGCAACTCCGAGTAGTTTGACCTGGAGTTAAGCAGGTGCACGCCAGACATAAACAGCCAGCATCTGTGGAGCCCAGATTCATTGATCAACCAATGGAAACAGGGAGAAGGAGGGGGCAGCAGCAAGCCAACGGCGAATTACAGCACGTTTTTAAAAGAAAGTGCAATACAGCAGCAGCTGCAAAGGAGAGGGAGAGGGCTTGGGAGGAAATCGCTGCTCGCGTCAATGCGTAACTTTAAATCTAGTCTTGTGCAATCACAATGACAGACTGTTGCAGGGGAACTGCTTGCATGGAGCAAATTAATTTATTTTACGTAGGTGCAATCCAGCGGGACAAAAGCGCACTTGGCAGCAGCTGAAAATTAAATATAAAAACATTGTGCAAACAGGTGAGACATCTGCATTTTCTCATTTTGATCATGTTTTACATTGTCAAGTAAGTATTAAGTGGCAGTTTGATCCCTTAGAAAATGCTCTTTTCACACTCAAAAATGAATTTTACTCTCTTATGATGTTCTGTTAAATGATTAGGAATATTAAACTAACTCTCAGTATGTATATGTACATATATTAAACTAACACACAGTACACTCAATATTAGACTTTCACTCAGCAAACAGAAAGAGGGCAGATGCCAGAAAAACGGGTGGTGGTCCAGCAGCCCCACCTTTAACGGAGGCAGAGGAGCTGTTGATGATGATGATGATGTTGGTGATGATGTGATGATGACAAAATCATCACACCCACTGGTTGCAGTGAGTGTGATGATGATGATGACGATGATGATGATGATGATGATGATGTTGGTGATGACAACGATGATGATGATGATGATGATGATGATGATGATGATGATGATGATGATGATGACGATGATGATGATGATGATGTTGGTGATGACAACGATGATGATGATGATGATGATGTTGATGATGATGATGTTGGTGATGATGATGATGATGATGATGATGACGATGTTGGTGATGATGATGATGATGATGATGATGACGATGTTGGTGATGATGATGTTGGTGATGACAACGATGATGATGATGATGATGATGATGATGATGATGATGATGTTGGTGATGATGATGTTGGTGATGATGATGATGATGATGAAATCATCACACCCACTGGTTGCAGTGAGTGTGATGATGATGATGATGATGATGATGATGATGATGACGATGTTGGTGATGACAACGATGATGATGATGATGATGATGATGATGATGATGTTGGTGATGATGATGTTGGTGATGATGATGATGATGAAATCATCACACCCACTGGTTGCAGTGAGTGTGATGATGATGATGATGATGATGATGATGATGACGATGTTGGTGATGACAACGATGATGATGTTGATGATGATGATGATGTTGATGATGATGATGTTGGTGATGATGATGATGTTGATGATGATGATGTTGGTGATGATGATGATGACGATGTTGGTGATGACAACGATGATGATGATGATGATGATGATGATGTTGATGATGATGATGTTGGTGATGACAACGATGATGATGATGATGATGATGATGGTGTTGATGATGATGATGTTGGTGATGACAACGATGATGATGATGTTGATGATGGGTTAGGGGGATGTCGACTGTCGGGGGTTAATCCTTGGTTAGCTTGCCATGAAAAACCCTGACCTGGGATTACAAGACCAGAACAAGGTTAAGACTTGAGAACTTATGAACTTAAGAACTTAATGAACCATTTGAACTGAAACACTTTAAACAAATGCTGTTAACTCATACCTGCCAACCCTCCGTCAGTCTACTATTTGTTTTTGTTCCCCGTATTTTCTCCCGTATTTCAGCCCTATCTCCCTTCGCTCTCCTCCCTTATTGTCATTTCTCCCATAGGGAATCTTCCATAGTTTGATGGTCCACATTCATTCATGAATGTCCCGGGATTTAGATGCTCCATGTTCATTCATGAATCGGATCACTATATTTATCCAAAGTTTCCAGACAACCGAAGATTGTCCTGTCTTTTTGCTGAGCCTCACAGACACTGGATTGATACTTTGACTTTACAGTTTGGGATGATTCAGCTCGGTTTAAGCTGTTAACTATATTTAAACAGTGTCTGTTGTAAAACGAACACTTTAATAAAAGGGAAACAAACCTGAGATATAATATCAACCAGCAACCAGCTTTTGGTGCATTATCGCCACCTGTCGTGGAGTGTGGGTCAGACAAGACTTACAATCTATTCCAGCACTCTACCCCATTCCGTACAAACAAACAAAATTATCCTTCTCATCCTACCTATCCTCAGATTCTTGAGAACACTCCTAACAAAATCCTAACCTGTGATCTCTCACCCAGTAATCCTTTTAATGTGATTTCCTGCACCCCTAACTCCCTTATCCTACTCCTCATTATCTGCCTCTGCCTCCGATACCTCCTATACCTCAGAACCACATGTTCCACTGACTCCTACTCCTCACACCCTTCAAATAAACCTGTCTGATGTTTCCCCAATAATTTCAATGTTTCATTCAACGCACGATGTCCCATCCTCAGCCTTGACAATACAATGTCCTCTCTCCTACACCTCACCTGTTTCAAACTGCTGCACGTGTGCGATCATTGGCTGGCAGCGTTCACATGAGATTTAAACATGGTTTGACAAAAACTCCGCTATCATGACATTTGATGTAAAGTGTCACAGTTTAATTACATTATTTAAAAATAAATTAAATTATTTCAAAATCTTTTCCTCCTTTTTTCTTAACTTCTAAAGTCTTTTTTCTTAATCCGCTCATTTCTGTGTTCTGGGTCACATGACCACTGAAAGTGGTACTATAGAGGACTGAACAGGTCTGATCTGGTTTAAGGTTAGTGTAGAATTACCCTGTTAAAATCTAACCCACAAAGGGGTCTCTGAGTCTTCCTCAGACACAGACGTCAGAGGTCCGGTCTCAGAGGGGGGTTATTTAATTCATCAACAAAAAACAACTGAACAGACAGAGGGAGAAAACTCCAACCTCACACTCACACACACACACACACACACACACACACACACACACACACACACACACACACATGCTGCTCTTTTAAAGGTGCTGACTCTGGCCCTGTCCTAAAGTAAAAAACACCTGAGTGAAAGAGAAACCAGGAGAAAGAAATCTCAGTAAATGTGATGAAAACACCAAATAATTCAACATTTTACATTAAAAACTCTAAAACTCATGGAGATAAAAATATTCACCGAAGAGTGAGGATCCACTCAGGATCAGGGGAACCCTCTGAAGTCTGTGGGGAGAGTGGGTTTCTACAGTTGTGACGGGGGTCAAAGGTCAGTCGAGAGTCTGAGGGTCAACTTCATATTTAATCTAATAACAGACAGACCTGCTCTGTGAAGTTTCTCTCATCTCTTCTTCTCCTCTCCCTCTAATCTCAGAGTTTGGACTTTCTGATAGACCTGGGTTAGTTCCATATGAGGTCAGCTAAGCTCCGCCCCCTCTCTGTCTGTCAGCGTGACGAAACTGAGAAGACAATATGATGAAGCTGAAGGACGGAGGTTCCTCTTCCTCACCATGATAAAGTTTTAAAATCACTCACTGTAGGAGCTAAAATAACTTTGTTTAGGATATGTACGTCATGGGATGGTCACTGAGGGGTGTGGTTTTGGGATGTTTGGCGGGTTATTTAAATCTCACCGCTGTAGTGAGACAACTGTTTACGCTAAGCGCTGATAATTTTCTGTGGACCATTTTTCACTGTTTCACTCATCCTGTTTTAACCTCATTTCATCATGTCACCTTTTGTCACCACCACCAAAGGACAGATTATTTTATAATCTAATCTGAATTGAGGGTGCAGGTGGTTTTGTATGGGAAAATATAGACAATATAAATATAAATATAGATAGTGCTGAGTAATAAACGCACCATGTAACCATGTACAATTTGTTTTGTTTAAAGGATTGCTACACTGAGATTTGAGATTTTTATTATTTTTATATCTGTTCTACATTTGTCTGCGTTTGTGTTTTGATCTTTCTTTTCATATTCTAGAGGGACTGATAAATGTCAGATGTTTTGACACTGTGATACTTGAATAAATGTTTTATACCATATTTTGAATTAATTCAGACCTTTTGTGCATTTATTTTTGTCTTGTTACATTTTTCCATTATTCCAATTTTGGGGGAGCGTGGTAGCAATTTGACTGACTTTCAGCCATTTATGGCCATGATGTGCTGTTTATATTTTATTGCTTTTATTACACAGTAGGTTGTGTCATTTTTATGTATGAAACATAAGCTTTTAGCTAAATTTAATTTATATATTTCATTGTGCTGGGTGCAAATCACTTGAGTTGAGACGTTTTCTTCAAGAAATTTGCTACATTTCATACTCTGAATTCTCTTATGCGTATACTAAGGCACCAATAACTGTTTCAGATGTTAGGTAGATGTATTTATGACATCTGAGAAAGATTTTGTCTTGCCAGAATCAACATAGCAGTTTCTACAAGCAAAAACAGCAGCACCATATAATTGTTTTTTGTGTTACTCACATATATGTACATTTCTGGCTGGTCTTTTGTCTCACCCTGTAGAGAAAGACACTTTCTAATACTAGTTCTGTAAGTTTCCCAACGTGTCCTTGTAAAGTCGAGAACGTCTTCACTCTGGACAGATGATAGATGCATATAACATTGTTTCGTTCCTTTTTGATGCACTTTTGAAGGCTGTTTTCTTTTTTCCTTTTCTTCCTCTTCGCTTGTCTCGCTGCTGGATGCGCTCGTCGCTATGTTTGTGTATTTCTGATACTATGGCAACGAGACTCGGCTCCTATTGGTCCACGTGACAAAAATCGCTTCACCCCTCTGCATATTCGATTGCGCATGTGCAAATATCACTACGCCGCAGAAAGAGGTTAACTGAATCAAAGAATGATTAAACATTGTGTTTATTAAAAGTGAATGTTCTGATCACAAATACAAGTTGAATTGTTCTGATGGTGTGACAGATGCATTTATAGTTGATGTACCAATATCATACTGCATAACATTGTCGTAACTCATTTATTTTTAATGTAACCAAAGCTAGGACAAGATAGATGTACTTGTCCAAGGGCATCAGTGGGGGTTTAATCCTGTAAGATTAAAAAGGGGGATTATGTAGGGGAAAATATAGACAATATAAATATAAATATAAATATAGACAATAGATTTGAGCAAAGAAAGTCTAGAGCGGACTTAATGGCCTGTTTTGCAACATGTTGAAAAACAGGATGAAGGCCACGGCCTGAGAGGTCACAGCGACCTTGTCACACATGGAAATTTGGCAGAGCCGGTCAGCGAGCAAAACATGTTTACAGGAAAAGTCACGTTGTTGGCTATCAGACACCAATGTAAAGTACACTACAAAGGACCATATCTGACGTCGTTGGAGAAGTATAAAGGATTTGGAATTGTTTGGTTCTGAGGTCCATCGGCTGATCTGTCATGAGATGTGGTTGAAGGCTGCCAACTTCACTCTGACTTCTGCTGGTTCATTTTTGCACCTTTTTGCATCTATGAAATCTACCATAGTTTTATCTGCATTCCTCAGCTCAAGTCTTTGTTTGACTCCTGTCCCAAATCCAGAGTGATGACTTCATCAGGTTAGAGTAGTGTTGTGTTGTTCACGAATGATTCGTTCAAAAGAACTGCTAAGTGAACGACATGAATTGAATCACTCAGAGACCTGATTGGTTCCTTTTTCAGTTCAGTTGAGCTCAGCCTGGTGTGCCGGTCAGGAGTGGAACTGCTGCCTTTGACTCTTAGGCGAATGACACACAGCCAGCAGGTGGGCGGAGTCTCATGATTTGCTCACAGCGAATGAACGATATGTATCAGTGAACGAAACGAACGACTTCTGAACGACTTTATTCTGGCAGAGGAGGGAGGGATGTAGCGTTGTTCCCTTCCTGCCGAGCAGCGGTTGGTTGACTGAGGCGAAGATAAAACAGGTCATTATAGCACCTTTACATTAATACACGTGTATAAACTCTCCTGTAAGAAGGATTTAATTTCAGCCGATTTAAAGAAATACGCTATTTGATATCTTCAAAAGTGTCCGAATCCCCGCTACAGCTGCCATGTTCATATATTTTTAATCTCTCCACTTTTCTGCCATATAAAAGAACGACACTTGTTTAGCGGGCGTGCTGCTGGCTGCTGTGTTGTTTCCACCAACAGTGAGACACAGACACTGTGACTTCAGCAGCAGGGGAGGGGAGGGAATCGGTCAATGAGCGAACTTGCCGCTGTTTCACTCACTGGTGTACTGCACCGGCAGGATGGGGCTCTGAAGAACTGACTAATTCAGTGAATGAATCTTTTGAACGAATCGTTTCAATGAACATATTCTAAAGTTTCAGTACAGTCAAAAGAACGGATCTTCCCATCACTAGGTCAGAGGTATCAGTGCTGCCCTGTTTGGAAAATACACACACACACACACACACACACACACACACACACACACACACACACAGAAACACACACAAATTGACACAGACACACACACACGCACTCACAGACACACACAAACACACAGACACACACAAACACACAGACACACACACAGACGAGGGTCCAAATACAATCACTGAAGTTTAAATACTTAACAGAAGAAAAAGTTCAGAGTTACAAAATCAAAGAAAAAACTGACCCCCCCCCCAACACACACACACACACACACACACACACACACACACACACACACACACACACACACACACACTCGTATCAAGATTTCAGTTATACTGATCAAAACAGTTTTACAGCACTAAGACACTTTTACAGGATTTTACCATTAAAATGTTTTTAGTGTTTTTTACTACAGAAGTTCAGTCTGGATCTGGATCTGAGTTCCTGTCTGGTTCTGGTCGTCCAGAACAGTCCTCTCCATCAGGTCCTGGTTCCATCTGGTCACTTGGTCTTTGATGAAGCTGTGAGGACTGAGGTTCCTCTTCATCATCTTCACTCTTCACACAGACAGGAGTGAAGGAGAACTTGCTGGTATCGGCCTGACTGATCTGGGGCTTTGGTCCTCCAGTTTGGTCCCCTTTTGAGAGTGTTTTTGTTGATTTCTAGGGGGTACCAGGATTCATCAGAGCCTCATGTTGCTGCTCACAGGTCTCAGAGGGTTCAGGTGGACCTCAGACTAAGTCCCTCTGACCCTCATCGCTGACTTCAGTCTCGGGTTCAGAAAACTCTTCGATTTTGACCTCAATCTCTGCTCCTGAGTACCTCTCTGGATTGGATTTCCAGCCTGTTTCTGGTCTTCCACAGTCCACAGGATCAGCCTCTGGTTGTGCCTCTGTAAAATCCTGTACCGGGTCCAGATGCGGCCCTGAACCCTGACCTCTCACACACACGTGTCTCTGAAGTTTTCTGAACCATGAGAACTTTTTCCCACAAACACGACAGTTGTACGGTGTCTCCCCTCTGTGAAGATTAGACCTGCGTTTGAATCTTTTCCTGTGCTCAGAGTGACGCAAAGGTTTCTTTCTGCTGTGAATTCGTGAATGTGCGATCTGTTGATCTTTACATGTAAATCTCTTCCTGCAGATGGAGCAGCTGAAAGGTTTCTCCTCCTTGTGAGTTATCAGATGTTTTGTCAGACTGTCTTTTTGGCTAAAGCCTTTATGGCACTGGGAGCAGCTGAAGGGTTTCTCCCCTCTGTGCTGTGCCATATGAAATGTCAAATCTGACTCTTGAGTAAGTCTTGTACCACACTCCAAACGGATCAGGTGATTATTTCCTGTGTGAGTTTTTCTGTGTCTGATCAGATTTTCCTTTCGGTTGAAGGTTTTCCCACAAACAGAGCAGCTGAAGGGTTTCTCTCCTGTGTGAATCGACACGTGAGCAATAAGACCTTCTTTTTTGTGAAATCTTTTCCCACACTGAGAACAGCTGAAGGGTTTCTCTTCCATATGGATGATTTTATGCCTGGTCAGATGGGCTTTGAGTGTAAATCTCTTCTCACATTCAAAGCAGCTGAAGGGTTTCTCTCCTCTGTGACTGGCCATGTGACGGAGCATGTTGGACTTTCGGTTAAATCTTTTATGACACTCAGAGCAGCCAAACGGTTTCTCCCCGGTGTGAACAATCATGTGACTGGTGAGTTGGTGCTTCCATGTGAAGCTTTTACTGCAAAGTGAGCATTTTAGGGATTTCTTGTTAGCGTTAGCTCTCCTTTTATTGATGTTTAAATCAGAATGACTCTCTCTGGTTTCCCTACAATCATAATCGCCCTCAACCTCAGCTCCAGCAGACTTATTGTTCTTGGACTCAGTTTCTGACTGTAAGTGCCCTCCTGAATTCCAGACTCTCGAGGTGTCTGGTCCATCACAGTCCTTGGTGTCGGTCGCTGTGTCTGCCTCTCTGATTGGCTCTGAGACCTGACCTCCACTGCATTTATGTTTTTTTAACTGTGGAGACCACGAGAACCTTTGGCCACAGACGCTGCAGCTGTATGGTTTTTCCCCCCGATGGTTGGCCATGTGAAGTGTTAGACTGTAATTCCTGTAGAACTTTTTCCCACACTCAGAGCAGCTGAAGGGTTTCTCTCCTTTATGTCGAACCGTGTGAAAGGTCAGGTTGGACTTATGATTGAATCTCTTGCCACAGTCAGAACAACAAAAGGGTTTTTTCTCGGTGTGAAGGACCATGTGTGAGGTCAAACTTCCTTTTCGGTTAAATCTCTTCCCACAGGTGGAGCAGCTGAATGGTTTCTCTCCGGTGTGGATGGTGGTGTGCATGGTGAGATTCTGTTTGGTTTTGAATATTTTACCGCACACAGAGCAGTTGAAGGTTTTCTTATCGACGACCATGATGGTGTTTTCTCCAGAGTCGAAGTGAAGCTCTCTGCTCTCCCGCCAAACACTGTCACTGACTTCAGCCTTTGTTCCTGGAGAGTCCTCAGTTCTAGTCCTAGGCTCAGTCTGTAAACAACTCTCTGGGTCTGAGTTCTTGGCTGGTTCTGGTCCCCAGCTGTCTTCTTGATCCACTCCTGTATCGGGTTCTCTCTGATCCTCTGACTGGTTCTGATAAAGTTCTGACGCCGGACCACCAACACACTTGTGTTTCTTGAACTGTGGATGCCAAGAGAATTTCAGTTCACAGACGGAGCAGCTGAAGGGTTTCTCTCCTCTGTGATGGGCCATGTGTAGCGACAGATTACACTTGTAATTAAATCTTTTCCCGCACTCAGGGCAGCTGAACGGTTTCTCTCTGGTGTGAACCACCAGGTGATTGGTCAGGCCTTGTTTTCTCATGAACTGTTTCTTGCAGACGGAGCAGCTGAAGGGTTTCCCAGTGTTCTGAACGGTGATGTGATTGGTCAGTTTTTCTCCTTCAGACAGAGAGCAGCTGACCTGTTGCTGTCCCCCATGAATCGCCATGTGGCGCGTTAGATTCGACTTCTGAGCGAACCTCTTCCCACACTCAGAGCAGCCGAATGGTTTCTCTCCTGAGTGAACTAACAGATGTTGGGTCAGATTATAATTCCGACTGAATTTCATGTTACAAAAAAGGCAGCTGAAGGGTTTCTCCTCTGAGTGTGTTGTCATGTGTCTGGTCAGTAACCAGTTATTTTTGAAGGTTTTCTCACACTGAGAGCAGCTGAAGGGTTTCTTTTCACGGATTGGCTCGTTGATCTTCTCCTCCACAGAGTTCGATCCTGACTGAAGCGCTCTGGGGTCTGTCCAAGCTTCACTGTCATCTGTATCTGAAGCAGAGAAGAACTCAGTCTTGATCTCAGTCTCTGGATCTGAGTCCCTGTCTGGTTCTGGTCCTGCACAGTCCTCTCCATCAGCTCCTGGTTCCATCTGTGAGGACTGAGGTTCCTCTTCATCATCTTCACTCTTCACACAGACAGGAGTGAAGGAGAACTTGCTGGTATCAGCCTCTTCCAGTCCTTGAAGCTGCTCTCCCTTCTGACTGCTCCACACTTCCTCCTCTTCCTCTTTAATGTGGGGGGGTTCTGGTTCTGCTGGGTCCTGCTGTTCCAGACTGGAGCTCCACTCCTGCTGCTCTTCAGTCACAGTCATCTGCTGGACGTCTGCAGGACTCACTGAAAGAAACAACAACACACAAAAACAGTCAGTTCACTCTTTCTTCATGTCTCCGTCTTAGATCGCTCTGACTGAACTGAAGTTTGAGCAGATCTGTGAGGAGACCCCGCCTGGATTCAGAGTGACTAAGATCTAAACTGGAGGAGGACCTTTAAGTATGGAGGGGTCCACATGAAGCCAGAGGATCCACGATGTCCATCTGCTCCAACCCTCAGAGACAGCTTCATGGAGCAGCTCTGGTAACAAAGGAAACTTTGTACTTCATATAAACTAAATTCAGCGTCACAAAAACAAATTTTGTCTGACAGTTTGACATTAAAACACTGATTATTATTTTAACATGCAAATAATCATAATGAGTAACCTATATAGTGTTGAGCAGATATCTTAGTGCATAATATGGAGGTTCTTATACAGATCTTTGTAATTTATATAATTAGATTTTTTAGAGGGTCAGGACTAGATAAGCTCTTTTCTTCGTTCTGCTTCCTCTCAAACTGTTTATTTTTGACAAACATTTGTTTGTGTAAATTTATCTTTGACATGTACAGTTGTTTGGTGTACAGATTCATTATTTTGTTCTGTGTTTTTGTTGTTTTTCTTAAAGTTTGAGATAAAGAAGACAGAAAAGAAAAGAAAGAAACCAAAAGCACAAAAAAGCCAAGATCACAAAACATCCAGAGGTTTCCTAAAGCTGGTTCATTTTTCCTTCTCTGCAGACTGGACAGACCAAACCTGTAAAAAACTGGAGCCTGTGAGTCAAAATTTGGTTCTGATTCCATAGTTGAAGACTGGCTCTGTGTGACTGTTGTGACCGCCCCTGTGTTTCTAGATCGGCTGAGTGAAGTCTGCTCTGATATGAAGCACCTGGACCTGCTGCTCCGCCTCCTACATATACAGGCTGTGTCTCATTTCAGAGACTGCACCATCGAACAGCGCATTTCAAGTGTGCGTGACATCATCACGCGGCGCTAACGGTGTCCCATTTGGCTCATAATTCTGAGCGCGCTTCATATGCGGTCTCAAAACCACACTGCCCCCGCCCCTTTTTCGTGGCCTTGGTATCCCAGAATTCTTTGCATGCCGCTGCACAGCTGCGCATTTCGGGTGAAAGGTCGAACTTGCTTGAAGCGCGCCCTCAAAGAAAATATAAGAAATCCAAAAACAGCAGACCATCAGCTCAGGCTGCATGAGCGCATGATCTCTTAACTCACTAAAATCTGCAGCTGCAAACCAAACATTATAGTCTTTAGAGATGAACCAATCCGCTCTGCTACCACAATCAAAAACATTAGAAATAAGAAAGCTGATAAAACTACATCTGAGTATTAAGGCCACATTAAGAATGTTTTTCAAAAGACTTGGAGATTAAAGTTGTAAACTTCGGAGAAGAAAGTCATTAAGTAAATAAAGTCATAGAGCTGCTTTAGAATAGAATAGAATAGAATAGAATATTCCTTTATTGATCCCCCATGGGGGAAATTTTTTTGTCACAGCAGCATCACAAACAAAGTGCAAAAATGAAGTTATAAAAATAAATATCGTATATTAAGAACTTAAATAAATGTAATAATTAAGAAAAAAATTAGAAAAGGAAAAAGGGAGAAAAAAATAAAACTATATACAATATACACAAGTACCAGAAAAAAGTGGTGGTGTGAGTCCAGTTCTATTACAGTTCGTTGTAAAGTCTTATTGCAGAAGGGAGGAATGACCTGCGGTAGCGCTCTATCTTGCAAGGTTGGAGTCTAAGTCTGCTGCTGAAGGAGCTGCCTAAGGCCCCCACAGTCTGGTGCAGTGGGTGAGAGGGATTGTCCATGATGGATACAAGTTTTGCTAACATCCTCCTCTCACCCACCTCCTCCAGGGAGTCCAAAGACCAGTCCAGGACAGAACTGGCCCACCTGACCAGTCTGTTCAGTCTCTTCCTGTCCCTCTCGGTGCTCCCTGCCCCCCAGCAGACCACTGCATAGAAAAGTGAAGATGCTACCACAGAGTCATAGAAAGTCCTGAGCAGAGTCCTGCACACTCCAAGAAAACCCCAAACCTCCCACCCGCACAATTATACCCATACACACACCCGTGAACATAGACATACATTTCCACACACACAACTTCACATACATACGCATCTACACAGTTAGCAGCTGATGGTGAGGAGACATGACTGGGCACTGAGATCTGAGGTGAGGAAGACGCTACCTTTGGGGGCCACGTCGACCGGGAGGCATCCCGGCCCATTGCTGCTGCAGGGGGCGCCGTCACAGGGACCACCAGCCCAGGCAGACAGGAGGCTCCGCACCAAGGTGTAGAGCTCTCTGGTTCCACCCGGGCCAGAGCTGTCCCCAGAACGGCGCCCCCACCAACAGACCAGAACCCGCTCCCGGTGAAGCAGCTCCCAGGAGGAAACACTGGAAAAACTGAGGGACTAAAAGAATAAAATAAGACATAAAAGTATAGAAACTAAAACTGTCTGCTCTCTATCTCTGTCTTTGTCTGCTCTCTGTCTGACCTCTATCTCTGTCTGCTGTCTATCTGTCTGCTCTCTATCTCTGTCCTCTCTCTTTCTCTGTCTACTCTCTATCTCTTTTTGCTCTCTATCTCTGTCCGCTCTCCATCTCTGTCTGCTCTCTGTCTGACCTCTATCTCTGTCTGCTCTCTTTGTCTGTCAGCTCTCTATCTCTGTCCTCTCTATTACCTCCTGCTCTCTATCTCTGTCTGCTGTCTATCTCTGTCCTCTCTCTATCACTGTCTGCTGTCTGTCTGCTCTTTTTCTCTGTCTGCTCTCTTTCTCTGTCTGCTCTCTATCTCTGTCCTCTCCATCTCTGTCTGCTCTCTGTCTGCTTTCTATCTCTGTCCACTCTCTGTCTCTGTCTGCTCTGCCTGCAGATCCTTGTACACATTTCATTGAGTTACTTTTGTTTGTGCACTTTTCAACACATTATTCTCACACACCCACATACACTTGAGTGACATTACAGACCAACACACCTCATTCCTGACGTTTTTGTTCGTTTGCTTTACTTTAATTTGCACCACGTTAACACTCAAGGACCAAACACACACACACTCATAACCACTGAACCACTACTTACAACTGTCTACAATTACCTGCACTTTATATCTATACCTATATTCAAACCTCATTTGCACTACTGTAAATACATCCAATATTGCACTACTGCATATTTTATCCGTCATATAATCATATTTATAGTCTGTCTATAGCCTTCATATTTATAACCACATGTATAATCTGTTCATAGCCTGTACATACTTATGTATATATTCTTTCATACCGTGTACATTTGAAAATATACCTATTAGGGCCGACCGCTATGATTTAGTTATCAAATATACATATACAGTAGATATCTACAGTATACTATACACTGTAGATATACTGTAGACTACTGCTCTTAACGCTGACAGGAAGACAGACTGATCAACCTTGGACCGGAAGAGCGTTTACAACCCCCCCCCACCCCCCGTCGGTGCCTCTGCATCTTCACTGATGTTACTAGTTTCCGGTCCGGTCTCATCTGGAGACATGCAGCTGCCTCAGTAAGATAAGTAGCTCGATCACGTAATGTGTACTGTTGTTTATTCTACCGTTGGGGGCACGGCTTACAGTGTAACAAGGCTAATAGCAGGTGGCTAACTCTAACTTTAGCTTGCATATTACATGGTGCTTCACCATTAACTCAGCGTGACGGAGACCAGCACAGCGGGGAACATGGTGAAGTGGGTTGAACTGAAACTTGTTGACTTATTGTGTATTTCACAAACCGGTTTATTTACCGTTGAGGCGGACCACTCTCCTCTGTGCGTCCCTGAGCTGTCTGCTTCAGATCCATCACTCTGCTGTGCTGTGAGGTAGTGGATGAAGATTGTCATGGGGTCGCTGCGCCATCTACAGGATAAGTGAGGTAACTTTTCAAATGGTGGAATATTTTCGAAGTGAAACCGAATATTACTCTTTGCATTTTATTTGGCCGATTTCCGATTTGTCTCAAACAGGCTAAAATGGGCCGATTTAATCGGCTCGCCAGCAAGTCGGTCGGGCCCTAATACTTATACTTGCTAAGCACTTCTGGATGGACGCAAGCTGCATTTCGTTGCTCTGTACTTGTGACATGTGCAATAAAGTTGAATTCTATTGTATTCTAAATAAATGAATTTACTTTTGTATAAAATGCACTCCTCTCATCCTTTTGTCATGGTTATAACACTGTGTCGATTTGCAGCTGAACTCAGTTTTTTTCTGTGTCCGTCTGTTCAGAATATGAAAGAGTTAATTTATGTCACCTTCTGTTTCATCGACTCAGAACTTTTTCTGTCACCAAAACTAAACACACTTTTTTTTTAATTTATTTAAAACGTTCATAAACTGAATAAAATATTCAGATGATAGTGTGAGAAACTGTGTGGTAACAGGTCAACAGATTCAGAATAAAGTTCCTGAGTTCATCGTTTACAGAAGATCAGATCATTACATCTCTGTACTGGAAAGTCCTGATCTTCAGGGCATTAGGCAAAAGGTCTCAACTAAGTCCAGTTGTCCTTTTCACAAAGAACTGGAAATCATAGATGCTGCATCCTCAGATTCAAACAAGATCTCCAGGTTTAGGAGGAACATCTGCGTCCATCCCAGACCAGGATCAAGACCTTCATATGATCCAGAACCAGATTCTGACAACAGCATGGCTCTGTAGGAGAAGAGTCCTAGGCTGTGTCCGAAATGGCCTACTACTCCTACTACTCCTACTACTCCTACTAACCCCGCCTCTGAATTGAGTAGGCAGTGCGTTCACACTGTACAGTATGCAAATTTTGTGTATGCGAGAAATGCCCGGATGTTTACTCAATCGGCTTCAATTTCTGAGTGTGGAACGGAGCTTGCTTCACGTACTGCTTCTGCCCCACAATGCATTGCGCACCTCAGCTGGTAATATGGCCCTCTTTCCCGAGGCTGAAAAGAAATAGATGGCATGTGATTGCAATAGTAATTATATATATAAATAGATAAACAATATTTAGTCAGTCTACATTACACAATTTTTATCATTTTGATCTTTTTACCAGATTTATTTGTATTTTAAATTAGGATTATAGGTAATGTTTTTAACTATTCGTATGAATTGACTTTATTTATTTAAGTATTAAGTTTGAGCATCTTCTCATCTCTGAATGCATCATCAAAGTGGTCACTCATATTAAGCACAGACCTCTGATTAATAAAAATTATTATTGGTAGAGAGCACATGGTTCAGAATATACAAACGGGGGAGTTTCCAGTTGACAATCTATGTGAGCTTTACTAATTCTTACTTGTGGTTGAAAATCTGATGGTTTCTGAAATGATCATTGTACATGAAAAGAATGTCGTCGGGAAATGATGTATTTGCCAAGGAATAACCGAACGAGGTCATAATAATTATGTTGTGTGTTGGTCATTTTGCAGCCCTCTGCTGCTCATCACACGCCTAGCAGGTGGTGTATAGCATTATCACCATGGATACACAGATGTTTGTGTGATTTTTTTCATCCACTGCCGCCCGGTTTGTGTCGTGTAGATGTTGATTATGAAAACACTTCTCAATAATTTGGAAACGTGAAGAGGGAGCTGCTGCTGCCCGGTGTTTACGGTAAATAGACGCAAACACCGACCAAGCGGACGCTTCGGTCTCCGAAAACGCCGAGACAAATTTACAAACAGCCACTATTTCAAACAACTGGGCTCATAATCGTGATGTAAACACTTACTTTCTCGCTAGAAAAAATATTATTATTGAATGAATTTATATCATTTGTCCGGAATGCAGTCGTTCTGTGTAGCTTGTTGTAGGACTATTTAAATTTTCCCGGCGCTGCGTCCGGCCGGCACGAAATGCATTCTGGGGTATGTAGTATGTATGTGTGTAAACGCTCGGGCAGCCGCGGCATACTCAAATCATCTTTGAGTAGTCAGTATGCAGTAGGTACTGCTTGAGTAGGTAAGTAGATAGTAGGCAGTATGCCATTTCGGACACAGCCCTAGACTAATGTGGTCCTGACTTGAAAACATTTGGACCATCAGGACCCCAAAACCAGGACCAAGGAGACCCTGATCTGTTATTTGTGTTTATAGATGTCTAATCTAATATCTAAGTTCTGATGTGGATCTCCATCAGACGGTTCCTGCTGCAGCTCATTAAAGGTTCAAGTCTGAGGAAGTTCTGAGAAGGTTCTGTAGAGGTCCAGGTCTCACTTACCTGCTGTTGTAGCCATGTGGATCAGCTCAGGTTTTCTGATCCCATCATCATCATCCAGCCCAGTTTTTCTTGGTCGGTGGAGCTCCTCTTCTCCAGAACTTGTTGTTTGTCCTGTCAGGAGCAGATCTTTCAGATCCTCAAACCCGGACATTGTACACACATCCAAGAACCGGACCAGGACCGGAACCAGGAGACCTTTAACCCGCTCAGAAACAACGTTCGCTTATCCTGCTACATGCTAACTCCGCTCTATGAGAGACATGCTCTTACACCCGGAAACACTTACACTGCTTTCGGTGTGCTTTCAGAATAAAAGATGAGAGGGAAAAAATATTCAAATTTCAAAAGACTTTAAAAAAAGAAATATTTTCAAACCAACAGAAACATTAATTTTATTTAAAAAACTCAAAGTGGTTTCATAGAAGAAGGTAAAGAGTTGTGATCAGACCCAGAACCAGACCCACTGAGACGAGAACCAGACTTACTTTGGTCAAGGACAACAGTATTGAGTCTAACAGGTCTCCGGTCTGGTCTCTCACACACACACACACACACACACACACACACACACACACACACACACACACACACACACACACACACACACACACACACACACACACACACACACACACACACACACACACCTCACTGATTAAACACATTAGTGAGGGGTGCGTCAATCTCAGTGGCCCTTATTTATCAAGCTGGCGTACGGCAGAAAACGTATGTACACCTTGCGTACGTAAATTGCAAAGTGAGGATCGGCATTTATCAATCTGCACATGAGCGTACACTACGACCAAATCTCACGACAGGTCTGACATCGTGTACACAAGTTTGAGTCAGTGTGGATCTGCGGTGCAGCAAATGTCTGTCTCAAAATAATTGATAAACAAACCTCAAACCTGTCATTAAGCACAATCAGCCAGATTTCATTAAATATTAAGACGTAAATAAAACAAAATACATTTGTTATGTCCTTAGTGAATAGGCCTATTTGATAACTCTGCCCAGAAACACTGCCACAGAACAGGAGTGCCATTTTAACATTGCGCACACACGCACCACTGTGGAGCTCAGCGTTTGACTCCTAAAAGGCAGGTGTCTCTGTCTTGGCCCAGCAGCGGGGACGTTGTTGTACACTCCTGAAAGGGTGTGGGACATCATTTGGGCCAGTACTGTTTTGCACAATGTTGTACTGGTGAATGGAGTGCTGTACAGAGGAGACAGGACCTTATCCATGGATTCTGACATGTAAAGTATAAGTTTAGAAAGTGCTCTTGCTATTTAATCAGTGATAAAAATCCAATACATAAAAATGTGCCTCAGGGACAGCAACACACCGTTCTGTGAGGTTATTAATTATTTTTGTTCCGCCTCTGTCAGACTCTCCAGTCTGCACTACATTACAAAGACGCTACAAATTAAAACTAAATACTTTCAATAATAGGAGCAACGTACCCAGTGGTGCTCCTGTCATTAGGCGGAGTAGGCTGCTGCTAGGGGCGCCCGCGAGCAGAAAGGACTTTTTATTTCGCAATATAAAACAACAACAAAAACATAGCAATATAACAACAGTAACAACTGGGCTTAAGTGTCTGTCTGCCTGCAACCTGCCTGCAATTTTGCCACGGTCCCCAATGGATTGCACACAGGACACGACTCCTCCCCGCCCCCCTGCTCTCTCCTCGTAGTTGTACTGCACTTGCTTCTGAGGTAAGTTGGGTTGGTAACTCTCTCTCTCTGTTTAACTGAACTAGTTACAGCCAGGTAACTTGTAACACAACACACCCGCAGCGCCGCCGCGGCTTATGCATCGCCACCACCAGTTCACCACACAGAGAGACCACACCAAGCACAGCCAACAAGGCAATAATGAGCCAAGGCAGGCCAGGCAAAGCAGCGTCAATTATTATCATGGCTTAATGCCTCAGCTGTTAGGCAATAACATGCTTTCTTGCCGAGGCATAATGCCTCAGTGCTTGACTTCTCCAAAGTAAAAAGTCGAGACGAGTCTTGAATTTTAATTCATTCATAGTCGTCAGATCATGGCAGTCCAGCATGTTGCAGAATGCAGATCAAAAACACAACGTACTAGCTAAGCAAATCGTTTGTGTCAAGCCATTTGCTGATGTTTTAGTTGAAGTTACAGATTTACAGATTTAAGGGAGATTTATTAAGACCCTGTTTCCGCGGCAGGTGTTGTGCCATACAATGCACCCCTGCCGTAGAATGCCCCCCACCCTGACGGGAGCCCAGTTGAAAGAACACAACAAGGCGAAATAATCCAAGTTTTCCTTACCACTGGACTGATTCTAAAGCCTGTGCCTTTAATGATTTCATTCAGGCTATTCAGATATGCTGAAAACAATAGCCCTCTGATTCTGAATATTTGCTGCCCCTGCATTTTTTTGAATACCTAAGAACAGAACGAAAGTTTGCTGCTCCATTTGACATGTTGTCATGATCCAACACTCGTGTTTTTTTTAAATATGAGATCATTTTTTTCCACTTTAAGAAGCTAATGAGTGGATGGGATGCATTCTACGGCGTAACACCGGCCATATTGGCTTTTCTGCCTCTTTTTTTCCTTTCTTTTTTGAGCTGTACAGACTAATGATTTACACTAATTTCTCTGTGCAGTGATGACTGACTCATCATGAAAATATTTTACAGATATTTGCCACTTGTTTCCTTGACTGAGATTGAATGACAATGCTGCTGTGTTTTGAGCAATTTTGTTTTCCTTTGAGGATGTTGTGGGCTTGATTAAGGTTGTCCAGGGTATTTTGTATATGGCCCTGTTTACTGTAGTACAATTATTATAATTAAACTTATTAATATTGCAATTTATGTTTTTGACACTTGTTTTCCTTGACTGATGTTAAATTACAATGCTGCTGTATATGTCTTTTGAGCCATTTTGTTTTCCTTTGAGGATTTTGTGGGGTACTGTTGATTGCGGTTGTCCAGGGTATTTTGTATATGGCTGCTGTTTAGTTTATTGTAGTACAATTACTACATTATGCATATTGCACTGCAACTGCGGTTTTAAAATTCTAAAGATTTGAAGATACCCTGTGCCCTGTGTGAGTTTATGATGAATATTTTGTGGTTGGTCTAATAAGTTGCGCGCGGGGGGCTACAAGAAATCCTGCCTAGGGTGCCAAGTTGCTTAGGAACGCCACTGAATGTACCCTCTGTCATAGCAATAAAAAATATGAGGCATATATGAGATATTAATTTATCATCACGAGCAACTTATTGACTAATGATTTATTCAAACTTCAGCCACTGTCCGTTATTCCGCGGCAGCGCTGTTCACCGCCACCATAATCCTTCTCCAGACAGGAGTTTTCTGGACTGCTTTTATACCAGTTTTGATGTTTCCAAAGAGCAAATCCTTGTTAGTTTCCACCACAGATGTGAGGATATCCAGTTTCTGATCTTTTTAATATTTCTCTTCTTTCATGTTTGACCTCAGCGGGCGAGGCTTCTGAATCACGAATATTTAAGGGTGTTGGGATTGGTCACATACGAACCCTTTCATAAAGCTCACGTGTGTCCTATCGTACGATGAATCCTCAGATCTGCGCTCAGTTCTACGCAAGTTTGATAAATGAGGGCCATCCTGATGAACTTTATCAGCTGTTTAACCGACATGTGGGTCAGACCTGTGTGTGTGTGTGTCTGTGTGTGTGTGTGAGCTTCACGCTGAGACTCTTTTTGTCTGAACCCAGTGAGGCCTGATCCTGGACCTCTAACTGGTTCCTGACCCTGATTGGTTCCTGTCCTCAGGAGGAGCAGCTGACGGGTTTGTCACTCTTTCTCGTGATTGGCTAAAAACAATGGTTTCTCATTGGGTGAATCTAATGGATGTTCTCTGGTTTCTCTCCAGTCATAACTGTCGTCAGTTTCGGCTCCGGAAGAGTCCTCCAGTTCGACCTGGATCTCTGGTCCCTCATGTGTCTCTGGACCAATGTTTTTCTCTGGTTCTGGTTCTGTCTGTCGTCTGTGGTGAAGTCTGTTACTGACAGGTTTCCCTCTGCTGTGAATTCTCATGTGTCTGGTCAGGTTTTGTTTAAAGTTGAAGCTCGTCCCACAGTCGAAGCAGCTGAAGGGTTTCTCTCCGCTGTGGATTCTGGTGTGTCGGATCAGATCTCCTTTACGGATGAAGCTTTTCCCGCACTGAGAGCAGGGGAACTGTTTCGCTCCGATGTGTATGATTTTGTGTTTCGACAGATTTTCTCTCAGGTTGAAGTTTTTCCCACACACAGGGCAGCTGAAGGGTTTCTCTCCGGTGTGAATCCTGAAGTGTCTGATCAGATGCTGGTTTGTTTTAAAAATTTTCCCACACACAGAGCAGCGATGGAGTTTCTTCACACTCTTTGGTTTCTTTTTTGGAATATTTTCCTGTTTTTCGTTCGCTGTCTTCATATCTCCACAGTCCTCTCTATCAGCTCCTGGTTCCATCTGTGAGGACTGAGGTTCCTCTTCATCATCTTCACTCTTCACACAGACAGGAGTGAAGGAGAACTTGCTGGTATCAGCCTCCTCCAGTCCTTGAAGCTGCTCTCCCTCCTGACTGCTCCACACTTCCTCCTCTTCTTCTTTAATGTGGGGGGGTTCTGGTTCTGCTGGGTCCTGCTGGTCCAGACTGGAGCTCCACTCCTGCTGCTCAGGAGGTTCTACTTTAACCCTGGACAGCTGCTGGACATCTGCAGGAGACCCTGAAACACACAAAGAGCGATAAGAAAAGTAGGTAGTTTGTGTTTACACGTGCGCTGGGTGATAAAACGATAATGATATATAGCTAAAATTAATTTCCCTCGATATTAACATAAAACATGGTCAATATGCTTTAGCAATAGTCGTCATTAAAAAGGAGAAAAGTTCGTTCTCCGGGGTTTATCTGGTTATGAGTGTCCCTGTTAAAAGACACGGATGCAGATGTCCAGTTTAGTGGATTTATTTGACTGTGGTTCTGCAACAATCAGTCCAGCTCACACCGTAAATAACATGGAGTAACATAAGATAGCATTAGTCATGTTCACAGTAAACATTACAATAAAAGTGGTGTAGTCAGGACCCGATGAAGTTCCAGTTTTAAGGAGAAATCTTGAATGTAAACACTACCCCTCCCAACCTGTTTTCCCCTCAGCTCCTCCTCTCCCCTCCCTCTCTTCCAGCAAGCCCCGCCCACAAACAGACGCTCCTGCTCACTTTTATTGTTCCAATTAAATTCAGATATAATGCAGATAAATACTTCGGATAATTACAAATGGAGCCCAGTCAACGTGAAAGTCAAAAGCATTGGTGCTACTGTAGATGCCAACAGACTACCAGCAAACACAATGTTTTCAGAACTTCTACAACGAGGATAAAGTCACATAGTCCAGAACCCGAGGGAGGACAGTTCAGCTGCGCTACAACATGCTACAGCAGGTCCAGTTTGACAAGAAACACTAATGTCACTTATGTTGGCTTACTTTGTGGCTTACCAGCAGAAAGGTTACAGGGTCACAAAGATCCCAAAGCATCCCCCATCGTTTATGTTGACTCAGCTTTTTAGCTCTTGTCCGGTCTATCTCCTTTTTAAGCGCCTGTTATTCCGCCAGTCTCAGGTATTTACTTCATTTTCTTGCTTGTGTTGGCAGTCGTGGCCAAAGGAGGATTCAGACAATTTTCCGAACTTTCTGGTTGGTTCCTACTGTCCGATATTGTTTGGGCTCGTCAACGACACGGGGGAGCAGCGTCTGCTTTACAATCAATCAGGTTGGGGAGGCAGAGAACGGCTTTGTTTACAGTCAGAAAGAGCGGACCGCTCAAAAATGTTAAAATGTTGACTACACAGACATAAGAGAACACAGAGATATCGCTATATTACCAAATGTCATCAATAACTTATAACTATTGACTGATATTAAAAGATTTTTGTTTATACATCACAAAAAAAGATGCTTCTTTAACAGATTCCTGTCTACCCCACCTTTAACACAATATAAAATCAAACTTGGACAGTGAATCATCATCAAACTAATTTCTGACATTTACACACAATAAACCCAGATATGAAGGTGAATATTTGGTAAAAACAGCGAAGAGGTAATTTACAAACTCCATTTCCTGATACCAACACTGTGCGCATTCGATGCGAGAGTCACAGAGAGTCGCTGTGATGACGCCCGTCTCAAACAGCGTTATACCAGGTGAGCTACTCAATCTTGGTACGCCCATAGGCTGTATCAAGTGTCAATCATAGAAAACATGAACCCCCTAATAACTTTTAAAAATGGAGCTGTACAGAAAAAAGAGGACTTGAGCACAAACCAGTCTGACAGTAACTACATGTCAACATCACAACCAGGGGGTCGAAACATTTATATTCTGTGTCATTCATTTATAAAGTTTGTCCACAGCTCCATAAGGGGGCGGGATTTATGACCTATACTGCAGCCCGTCACCAGAGGGTGCTGTTCTCAGAGTGGATTCACTCAGCAAGGAGGCAGACGGCGTCCACTTTAAATACAGTCTATGCAAGCTACCAATAAACACTGTTAAATTAAATTTTTTATAATGTAATGTACTCTGCATCCGGAAAGTATTCATACCACTTCACTCTTTCCAAATTTTGTTATGTTACAGCCTTATTCCAAAATGGATTAAATTCCCCTTTAACCTCAAAAATTCTACACAAAAAAATCCCCATAATGACAAAGCGAAAAACTTTTTTTAGAACATTTTTTAAATTTATTAAAAATAAGAACACTCAAATGTTGCATATAAAGTATTCACACCCTTTACTCAATACTTGGTCAAAGCACCTTTGGCAGCAATTACAGCCTCCAGTCTTCTTATGTACGATGCAACAAGCTTGGCAGACCTGGATTTGGGGAGTTTTTCCCCATTCTTCCTTGCACATCCTCTCAAGCTCAGTGAGGTTGGATGGGCAGCGTCGGTGCACAGCTATTTTCAGGTCTTTCCAAAAATGTTCAATCGGGTTCAAGTCTGGGCTCTGGCTGGGCCACTCAAGGACATTCAGAGACTTGTCCTGAAGCCACTCTTTTGTCCTCTTGGCCGTGTGCTTAGGGTCATTGTCATGCTGGAAGATGAAGCGTCGCCTCAGTCGAAGGTCTCGAGCGTTCTGGAGCAGGTTTTCCTCAAGGATTTCGATGTACTTAGCTGCATTCATTTTTCCCTCGATCCTGACAAGTCTCCCAGTTCCTGCCGCTGAAAAACATCCCCACAGCTGCCACCACCGTGCTTCACTGTAGGGATGGTATTGGCGAGGTGGTGAGCGGTGCCTGGTTTCCTCCAGACATGACGCTTGGCATTCAGGCCAAAGATTTTGATCTTCGTTTAATCAGACCAGAGAATTTTGTTTCTCCTGGTCTGTGAGTTCTTCAGGTGCCTTCTAGCAAAGTCCAAGCGGGCTGTCATGTGCTTTTTACTGAGGAATGGCTTCTGTCTGGCCACTCTACCATAAATGCCTGACTGGTGGAGTGCTGCAGAGATGGTGGTCCTTCTGTAGGGTTCTCCCATCTCCTCAGAGGAATGCTGGAGCTCTGTCAGAGTGACCATCGGGTTCTTGGTCACCTCCCTGACCAAGGCCCTTCTCCCCTGCTTGCTCATTTTGGCTGGGCGGCCAGCTCTAGGAAGAGTCCTGGTGGTTCCAAACGTCTTCCATTTCTTAATGATGCAGACCACTGTGCTTTTTGGGATCTTCAATGCAGCAGATATTTTTCTGTAACCTTCCCCAGATCTGTGCACCGATACAACCCTGTTTCTGAGGTCTACAGACAATTCTTTCAACTTCATGGCTTGGTTTGTGCTCTGACGTGCCCTGTCAGCGGTGGGATCTCAGATAGACAGGTGTGGCTTAACAAATCATGTCCAATCAGCTGAATTTGCCACAGGTGGACTGCAATCAAGTTGGAGGAACATTTCAAGGCTGATCAGTGGAAACAGGATGCACCTGAGCTCAATTTTGAGTTTTATAGCAAAGGGTGTGAATACTTGTATATGCAACATTTGAGTGTCTTATTTTTGATAAATTTAAAAAATGTTCTAAAAAAAAGTTTTTCGCTTTGTCATTATGGGGTATTTTGTGTAGAATTTTTGAGGGTAAAAAGGAGTTTAATCCATTTTGGAATAAGGCTGTAACATAAAAAAAATTTGGAAAAAGTGAAGTGGTATGAATACTTTCCGGATGCACTGTATATCGTTTATGATTGATAAGAAAAAAATATATCCTGATACATTTTTTCTCTTATTGCCCAGCACTAGTTTACACAAAACCTGAAAAAGTGATGATGCTGCGCACAGTCAGACCAAATCAACCATCGTCCAACTCAAAGAACTCAGAGCGAAACAAAAGAGGAGGAGGAAACATCTGTCAAAACAGTTTCAATCTGTTTCTTATCTCAGAGCAGCTGGAGGTTCTCAGGAGCATTCCTGTGGTTTCTCCTGACTTTACCTTTTCTTTTCTTGACGGAGTTTGAAGCTGACCGACGTCCTCGGGTTTCCATTCGGTCCTCACTGTCTTCAGTCTTTAAAGAAGAAGAGTTTTCAGTCTGGACTCCTTTCTCTGGATCTGAGCCCTTGGCTGGGTCTGGTCCTCCACAGTCCCTCCTGCTGGTTTCTGTGCCGGTCTCTCTCCCCTCCTGGTTTCGCTGAAGTCCTGAACCCTGACTGTCGACACAAACATGTCTCCTTAACTGAGTCTGCCAACAGAAACTCTGGGCACAGACGCTGCAGCTGTAGGGTTTCTCCCCTCTGTGATGAGCCATGTGAAGAGTTAGACAGAATTTCCTGTAGAACTGTTTCCCACACTCAGAGCAACTGAAGGGTTTTTCCTCTGAGTGGACCCTCATGTGGAGGTTCAGATGACACTTCCGGGTGTATGTTTTTCCACAGTCAGAGCAGATGAAGGGTCTCTCTTCAACAGGATCTCTTGTGTGTTCAGTCAGACTCTCTGAGTCCACACCTTCATGGACGCCTTGACCGTGTGTCGCATCACTTCCTGTGTGCAGAGTCATGTGAGCTTTCAGAGTTGCTTTCTGAGTATAACTTTTTCCACACCTGGAGCAGCTGAAGGGTCTCTCTCCTGTGTGCGTCCTCATGTGTCTGATGAGATTATGTTTCCGTTCAAACCTTCTTCTACACTTGGAGCAGCTTGGTAGATCTTTCTCTTCTTTCTCTCGGTTTTTTAATCTTATCTGTTCTTTATACGCCGGATGAGTTTTCAGGTGAGTGAACAGAGAACTTTTCACATTAAAGCTTTTCCCACAGGTAGAGCAGCTAAAAGGTTTCTCTCCTGTGTGGATTCTTACATGTTGAGCCAGAAGCCATTTGGTTTTGAATTTTTTCCCACAGTGAGAGCAGCTGTGGGTTTTTTTTACTGACTTCCTGTCTGTCTCAGCTCGATTACCCTCCAAGTTTAAACCTGACCCTTGTCCTGTGGTCTCAGATCCAGCAGACCTCTCAGTCTGTGGTCCTAAATGTGTCTCTGGATCTGAGTTCCTGTCTGGTTCTGGTCCCCCACAGTCCTCTCCATCAGCTCCTGGTTCCATCTGTGAGGACTGAGGTTCCTCTTCATCATCTTCACTCTTCACACAGACAGGAGTGAAGGAGAACCTGCTGGTATCAGCCTCCTCCAGTCCTTGAAGCTGCTCTCCCTCCTGACTGCTCCACACTTCCTCCTCTTCCTCTTTAATGTGGGGGGGTTCTGGTTCTGCTGGGTCCTGCTGGATGTCTGTAGGACTCACTGAAAAAAAAAAAAGAGTCCCATAAAGTCAGCTGACATAAGTGAAGAGGAAGTCAGGGATGAAATTTACAGAGACTGAAATACAAAATCATCTCTGATCTCTTGTTGTGACAGGGATCATTTAAATTGTATAAATTATTGTATTGTTGTTCTGACCCAGTTGTTTTGTTCTCGGATCACAATCCGCTCGTGTTTCTGTTGCGCATGCGCAACAACAACCAATGCCTTATGCGTTGGTCCCTGTTGTTGCAGGATTTTAATATTGAGGTTCGTCATATCAAAGGGTTAGATAATGTTGTCACGGACGCCTTGTCCAGAGTGGGGTCTTAATTGATCAAGCATTTCTTTTAGGGGAAGAAGTGCTCGATCTTAGATGGGGAGATGTTATGACAGTGTGTCATTTAAATTGTATTAATTATTGAATTGTTTATCGTTTTATTGTGTAGAGGAGAGTTTTGTTTCTTCCCTCCTCTCTTCCTCTTCTTCTCTGAGCTGTACTGCAGAAATTGTGCGTCCGGATTGGACAGCAGCGTAAAGACGCACCAGACGCGCATTGGAGGACTGCTGTGGAGTGGAGGCATGATTGGCGGAGAGCTGATGGGTGGCATTTTAAATTTAGCTGCAGGAGCAGGGATGCCGACACTCTCCTTCATCACTCCCAATGTCTCGCCAGAGCACAGCGTCTTGAGCCATCGTCTAGTTGAATTATATTGTGTGATTTCGGATTGTTGTTAATAAGGGACCTTAGAGGGTTGTTGTATTGTTAGAAGCAGTCGGTATGTGTAGGGGAGAGTTAGCCCTTGTTTTCTCCTGTTTTTGAGTTGGTAGTCAGATTTAGGTTTGTATATGTTTTTATTGTAAATGTCAGGTAAGGTATTTTGATTTATGGGTGTTTTTTTTGTAATTGTTTGATTTTGCGTCACCTCCCTGAGGTAATTTCCTGAGTTATTTGTAAATGAAAAAAAAGAGAACAATAAAAACTGATTCTTTAAGACTGCAAATCCTGTTTCTGTCGTTTTGTGCTGTGTCACCTTGAAAGTGACGGAGGAGTGGTCAAACTTTTTATGTGACCTCCAGTAACCCCTAGGCTGGTCGTTACATCTCTCCCCCTTCAAACCATCATCCTCTTTTCACTCGTTTATGATCATCCTCTAAAATCAATGATCTGGTGAGTAAACAAGTAAACTCTGAGTGACCTCTGGATGATGAAAGGGTTACTGTTATATCTCTGATTATAGAGTGACAGATCTTCAGAAACACAAGTACATGTCTGTCTTCATTTAGAGACATGGACAGCAGACAGGAGCTGTTTAATGAAAAGGAGTAGGAAAGGGTCAAAGTTCACCAGGACGTCAGAAAATAAATGTGAGGAGCTCAAATTCTCTGAGGAGGACCCTCAGAGCCTCAGACCCTTGATCATCTTTAAAGATGATCATTGGATGTTTTTAAGAATTCTTTCATTTATAGATTTTTTTTTTTCTGTGCAGCAGAATTTGTTTTACAATAGTAGAAATGGAAAAAGAGGATTGATAAATGAAAGGATGAAGATCTCTAAAGGGGGACGGATTGACGGTGACATTAAGACCTCAGCTGAGACGGTCTGATCTGGTTTGGATCAGTTAGACCTAGGGCTGGGTGATAAAACAATAACGATCATTATATATATATATATATATATATATATATATACACACATATATATATATATATATATATATATATATATATATATACATACACACATATATATATATATATATATATATATATATATATATATATATATATATATATACATACACACACACATATATATATATATATATATATATATATATATATATATATATATATATATATATATATATATATATATATATATATATATATACATACACATCAGTGGCTGCAAGGGAAGCTCAGCTTCCCTTAAAATGTCTCTTGGAGACTTTTGAGAAGATCATTGCAGATAAGACCATGGATGATGACACATTAGATTCTGAGGCTTTCTGATGAAACTGGAGGATTTTGAGTTTGTGTTCATGTTGTACACATATGAACAAATCTTCTCTGAGACTGATGTGGTGTTTGACATTGTCCAGCAGAGATCTATGGATGTTCTGTACTGCAAGAAAAGAATTGAGTCTCTTCTTGCTTATGTCAAAGAGAAGAGATCAGAGGGGGCTTTCCATGCTGTCGATGCCAAAGCAGCAGATCTCACATCGGACCCGCAAACTGAGCCCCTAAAAAAAAAGCGCCGTCTGTCACAACTGCAGGATCCTAGGGAGCGCTACAGAAGTCTGTACATGGCCATCCTAGACAATCTTTCAGAGCGGATACCTCAGCGTTTTGCGAATTTGGAAAGCATGCGCTTCTTAGAATTAGTCAATCCAGGGAAATTTGATGAGATGAGAGAAGTGTTCCCAGAGGAGGCATTTCAGAGTGTCCTGAAAAGTTATGGCCAGTTCTTTGATTCAGGGAGACTGAGGTCTGAACTTCAGGTCCTTTATTCAAACAAGGACTTGCAGAGCAACAGGGGAAAGCTGTGTGATTTCTTGCTGTTTCTGAAAGACATGGAGTTGGACAGTGCAATGCCTCAGCTGTACAAACTGTTGTCATTAGTAGCAACAGTTGGAGCTACATCTGCAGGTGTAGAGAGGAGCTTCTCCTGTTTAAAGCGGCTCAAGTCTTACACCCGCAACACAATGGACCAAGGCCGTTTAAGCTGCCTAGCTCTGCTGGCCATTGAGAGGACACTGGTCAAGTCCCTGGAAAAGACGCCTAGTTGGTACGACAAGGTTACAGATCATTTTCTTCAAAAGGAACGAAGGGTAGAATTTACATACAAATAAACAAACACAATTATATTATGTAGGCCAGAAAAATGAGCTTCCCCTCCTTGACAGACCAGCAGCCGCCACTGATACACATACACACACACACACACACATATATATATATATATATATATGTGTGTGTGTGTGTGTGTGTGTGTGTATGTGTATAAAATCAATTTCCCTCAATATCAATATAAAACATGCTCGATATGTTTTTCGATAAATTACGATCAGATGTTCTTTTATACAGACACAGGTTTTTTATTTACCTTGCTGACATGTTTCGTTGTGCTGGCAGCAGTCTTCCTCAGAGTGTCAAGTGATGGTTGTGTGACGTGTCTTAAAACAGCTGTGTTTCCGAAGGCGTAACCTTTCCGTCAGGGAGGCAATGGAAATCCGGAAGCGAGGCCCGAGGACCATCAACAGGTATGAGGGGGCATATATGCTATCCCACACCTGGAGTGCCATATTGCAGGGGGCGAGCAGGCAGCTGAAGGCTCCGATGGGTCAAACTGACGGAAAGGTCACGCATCACACAACCATCACGTGACACTCTGAGGAAGACTTCTGCCAGCACGTTGAAACATGTCAGCAAGGGAATTAAAAAACCTGTGTCTGTATAAAAGAACATCTGATCGTAATTTATCAAAAAAGACACAATGAACCTAATCCAAGAAAGGTATACTTTTCAAAAGTCATTCTGCCATGTTTTGGTAGACTATACAAATAGCCAATGAAAAGGGGAGTTGCACCGGGTCCGCTTGGCGCTGAACCAATCATGTGCTGATGTGGAAACCAAGTATCAAACAACTGCGTAGTAGCAGACAGCAGCTACATCCAACCATAAAATGAGTGCTACCCCCAACAGAAATGACCATGAAGGCTCAACAGATGACATCATCGACAACACTGGCACGAAAACGTCGGTGGTGTGGAGGTATTTTGTTTTTTTGAGGTCGGACATGAAGCAGAGTAATGTGTACTGCAAATTATGTCGAGTACATGTTCTCACAAAGTCGGGGAATACCTCAAATCTTTTTCACCACCTGAAGCAGCGCCACGCCGCAGAGCACGCGCAACGCCAAAGGTTCCAAACCCTGAGAGGAGCGAGGAGCCCATGACACTTGTGCAGCCGAAACAGCCAACCATTCAGTCCGCTTTCTCTAGAGCAGTGGTCTCCATATGGCGGACCACGGTCCACTTCCGGACCAGGAAAGAGTCCAATACGGACCCGAGCCAAGGGTAGCTGACTGAGATACACTGCATGTGCTGTGCAGCGATCCACCAATCACCTTCGTCCTTTACTCAGTTGCCAATTAGACTACGACAAATAAGAACTGTATGGGTTTTAAATTGTACATTTCCGTGGACCACTCTATTATAAGCGGTGCGCGTTTTGCGAGGTGCATGCAATTCTCGGAGGACATGCGTTTCTCGGCACAACACCGCTAACAACAACAACAATAACAACGATCGAAAACTGAGCAACGAACAAGAGAAAACCACTGAAAATGAAGATTTGTTGCCAAAAAGAAAAGGAAAGTCAGTTATCTGGAATTATTTCGGTTAAAAGAAGGATGATGTCGACCAAAACACGTCTTCTGTGTTCATCTGTCGCCACAATAACGTCCCAGCACAATAAAAGCTAAAAATATCTCTGAGACAGACAGAAGCCATTCTAACATTCACAAAAAGAGGTAAGATCAGAGCAGATTAACTGTCCTCAAGACTTCAGCAGTGCAGCATAACATTAAGTGCTATTCAGGTCATCTGGTGAAAATTCCTATATTTTTAATATCACAATATATATCGCAGGGTTGAAAAAATCGCAATGTTAGTTTTTTCCAATATCGTGCAGCCTTACTCTCTTGCTTTGTGCCTGGTTCAGTAAACTGCACGTGCAATTTAAGCAAGGCATTACATCATTTGCTTACTCGCTTGACTTGTCAATCAAATCAGACCTCTTAGCCTACTCGACACATGAAGATTACCGAGCAATCCCGATGTGGAGGAGAAAGTTGTAGCAGCAGCAGCTAAACATGTCGGCTTCAAAACCACGAAAGGTAGAGAATGAGAACAGGGTGTTTTATGGCGAGTAGACCGAGTCATTTGCATTCATTTTACCCGCAGGAAGCACACAGCCAATTGAAAGTAGGCAGTTATTGGCAATACAAATGAAGTGAATATTTCAAAAGAGTAATGCACTGTAAAAAAATAAATAAATAAAAATCCCTGGACCCAGGCCTGCAGGCATTTCATTCAGGTGGACCCACTGAAAATTTATATGAAGACCCCTGCTCTAGAGCAACGCCCTACAACGAAACGTCAAAGAGACACAAAGACCTCACAGATGCAGTAGATTATTGTATTGGAAAAGAAATGCTACCAATAGACACTGTAAAAATTCATTTTTATATTGTGATATATATCGATATCGACTGATATTAAAAGAATATATCGTGATAAATTTTTTTGATATATCGCCCAGCCCTACTTACAACTAAAACGATCAAAGTATTGTAGTTTCATCACTGCTAAGTTTTCATTAAACTCGGGAGGTTCATATCAGCAGGTCTGAGGACCACAGGAACCTGAACCATCAGAAAGTCCCCTTAAAGATCCTGAACCCCGACCTGTTGTGGTCATGTTGATCAGCTCAGGTGTTCTGATCCCATCATCATCATCCAGCCCAGTTTTTCTTGGTCGGTGGAGCTCCTCTTCTTCTCCAGATCTTGTTGTTTGTCCTGTCAGGAGCAGATCTTTCAGATCCTCAAACCCGGACATTTTATACACATCCAAGAACCGGACCGGGACCACACACCAGGACCGGGACCAGGACCAACAGACCTTTAACCCGCTCAGAAACAACGTTAGCATATCCTGCTACATGCCAACTCCGTTCTACGAGAGTAACGCATTTACACCCGGAAGTACTTACACTGTCCTTCAGAATAAAAGCGGTACTTTAATTCTCCCTCAGATGGAAATCAAATAAAGAATTTTATTTGATTTTATTTGATTTTTTTATTTGATTTCATTTGATTTGATTTGATTTAATTTATTTTATTTTTATTTTATTTTATTTTTTTAATTTCTTTTATTTTGTTTTATTTATTTGAGACTCTGAAGTCAACTTGGAACGGCGAATCGAGGACCTTGAACAATACACAAGAATGGATGATGTAATCATAAATGGACTGGAGACTTCACACCGAACCTATGCTAGAGCTATGGCAGGTGGAGGTAAAGACGGTGAGGATGCCCCAGCAGAGGAGCTGCAAACACTCGAACAGCAAGTTATACAATTCCTCGCAACTAAAAATGTCCATATTCAAAGTCATCATATTGCAACCTGTCACACCCTCCCCAAAAAAGACAGCAAAACAAAGCCGGCAATCATTGTTCGGCTTGTGAGCCATAAAACCAAGACTGAACTACTGAAACAGGCAAAGAAACTAAAGGGGACTGGTGTGTATCTGAATGAACATTTAACAAAAAAGAACGCTGACATCGCCAGACAGGCACGCAACCTAAGAAAACAAAATAAGATACAAGCTACGTGGACAAGAAATTGCAAAGTAATGATTCGACTGAATGGCACACCCGAGAAAGCAAAAGCTGTAATGATAAGAGATCTCAAAGACTTAGAACAATATAAATAAAAGTGAAATGATCGCAACTGTCAATGAGAACATTCCTCCTTCCTATGGAAATGTGTGAAGACTGGACATTATGGACAATGGATTGTGGATGGGGAGCACTTCAGCGGACAGTGAAAACAACACAGTAGACAAATGACAAGTGTGGATGAGGATTATATGTTTCCATTCAGAGACTTTGAAGAGGAAGATTCCTGTGGAAACGACTGTCAAGGTGGGCAGCTGCCCAACACACAGACTGAAAAAATTAACTTTAAAACCTTTGAATATACAGAGCACAAGATGCATGATCCTGAAAGTAATTTTGATCCAGACAATTACTATTACAATAATAACACCAACAACAACATTTGTGAGTATTACACAGATGACCAATTCAATGTAAGTATTAAAATGGAAAATGCATTGTCAGTTATACATTTCAATAGTAGAAGCCTTTATAAAAACTTCTCTAAAATTAAAGAATATTTGAGTAAATTTAATAAGTTCAGTATAATTGCAATATCAGAAACGTGGCTTGATGAGGAGAAAGTCAGTGATATGAGACTGGAAGGATATGAATTATTTACAATGAACAGGGTGAACAAAAAGGGAGGGGGGGTTGCCTTATATGTGGATAGAGCTTTGAGATGCAGCCAGATTGAATGTACACTCACCGGCCACTTTATTAGGTACACCTGTCCAACTGCTCGTTAACACTTAATTTCTAATCAGCCAATCACATGGCGGCAACTTAGTGCATTTAGGCATGTAGACATGGTCAAGACAATCTCCTGCAGTTCAAACCGAGCATCAGTATGAGGAAGAAAGGTGATTTGAGTGACTTTGAACGTGGCATGGTTGTTGGTGCCAGAAGGGCTGGTCTGAGTATTTCAGAAACTGCTGATCTACTGGGATTTTCACGCACAACCATCTCTAGAGTTTACAGAGAATGGTCCGAAAAAGAAAAAATATCCAGTGAGCGGCAGTTCTGTGGGCGGAAATGCCTTGTTGATGCCAGAGGTCAGAGGAGAATGGCCAGACTGGTTCGAGCTGATAGAAAGGCAACAGTGACTCAAATAACCACCCGTTACAACCAAGGTAGGCAGAAGAGCATCTCTGAACGCACAGTACGTCGAACTTTGAGGCAGATGGGCTACAGCAGCAGAAGACCACGCCGGGTGCCACTCCTTTCAGCTAAGAACAGGAAACTGAGGCTACAATTTGCACAAGCTCATTGAAATTGGACAATAGAAGATTGGAAAAACGTTGCCTGGTCTGATGAGTCTCGATTTCTGCTGCGACATTCGGATGATAGGGTCAGAATTTGGCGTCAACAACATGAAAGCATGGATCCATCCTGCCTTGTATCAACGGTTCAGGCTGGTGGTGGTGGTGTCATGGTGTGGGGAATATTTTCTTGGCACTCTTTGGGCCCCTTGGTACCAATTGAGCATCGTTGCAACGCCACAGCCTACCTGAGTATTGTTGCTGACCATGTCCATCCCTTTATGACCACAATGTACCCAACTTCTGATGGCTACTTTCAGCAGGATAATGCGCCATGTCATAAAGCTGGAATCATCTCAGACTGGTTTCTTGAACATGACAATGAGTTCACTGTACTCAAATGGCCTCCACAGTCACCAGATCTCAATCCAATAGAGCATCTTTGGGATGTGGTGGAACGGGAGATTCGCATCATGGATGTGCAGCCGACAAATCTGCGGCAACTGTGTGATGCCATCATGTCAATATGGACCAAGCTCTCTGAGGAATGCTTCCAGCACCTTGTTGAATCTATGCCACGAAGAATTGAGGCAGTTCTGAAGGCAAAAGGGGGTCCAACCCGTTACTAGCATGGTGTACCTAATAAAGTGGCCGGTGAGTGTATATGTAGATCCTGTTTGTTGGGCTTCAGACTGTAAGATGAGTTCACTGACAGCAGTTTTTTAGAGACTGATCAGCCTGCAGAGACTGGAGTCACCATAATAATAACAATAATAACGACAATAATATTAATAAATAAAAATAATAATAAAAAATACTAATAATAACGACAAGAATAATGACAATATTAATAATAAATAAAAATAATAATAAAAATAATAATAAAAATCATAATAATAATACTTATTAATCAGGTGATTTATCCCACGAGTATTCTGACTGAAATGTCTTCAAGAACCTTAAACAAGTCCAGCTACCCTTCCAACAAAGACTTGGAAAACCAGGACCTGGAGGAGTGAGAACTGGCACAGAAGTCCTGGAGTTCTGATTCTTCATTTTTACTGACAGTGAATCACAGATGATGTGTTCTGTGTCAGTTTTCTTTATGACGTCTGTAAACACATACCTGGCCGCTGAAAGGAGTTTCTATGCAGTTAAAGGAAACAACCATCTGGTTTCTGTTCTTCAGTCAGCTGGGTGCAGAGAGGAGCATCACACAGACCTGTGTGGGTCCAAGGACTGACCCCCCCCGACAATCACTACGTCAGTTTCAGTCCCACAGAGTCCACCTCCCGATGTCCTTTAGCGGCCTCTGCGTCTGCTGGCTCTGCCCCCTGCCTGGCTGCCGCCGCCGTGTGCAGCTTCATGTGTCTCTTCAGATGTCCAGTCACTGTGAATCGTTTCCCACACACAGAGCAGCTGAAGGGTTTCTCTCCTGTATGAACCCTCATGTGGATCTTCAGGCTCCCCTTCTGGGCACAGCTTTTCCCGCAGACGTTGCAGCTGAAGGGTTTCTCTCCCGTGTGAACTCTCATGTGTTTGGTCAGGTCTCCTTTCTCAGAGCAGCATTTCCCACAGAACGGACAGCGAAAGGGTTTCTCTCCAGTGTGAACCCTCATGTGTTTCTTTAGGTCTGTCTTCTGGGCGCAGCCTTTCCCACAGACAGAGCAGCTGAAGGGTTTCTCCCCAGTGTGGTACTTCAGGTGTCTGTTCAGATGTTCTTTGACATGGAAGCTCTTGTTGCAGATGGTGCAGCTGAAGGGTTTCTCCCCGGTGTGGATCCTCATGTGTCGGGTCATGTTCCCCCTCCCGCTGAAGTTCTTCCCGCAGAATAAGCAGCTGTACGGTTGCTCCCCGGTGTGACACCTCATGTGGGCCGTCAGAGACCCGCTGTCTTTAAAGGATTTCTCACAGCTGGAGCAGGGGAACGGTCTCTCCCCGGTGTGGTCTCTGATGTGTCTGTTCAGGTTCCCCTTCAGGCTGAATCTTTTACCACAGTAAGAACACGGGAAGGGCTGGTCCTTCACCGAAGACCTGGTACCAGCCTCGGCAGCTTCACTGTGTTTCGGACCCTCAGAACCAGACCGGCTCTTCATGAGAGCCCAGTTCAAATCACTGTCATCGGTCTCTATGGAGTCCAGAGAGTTCTCCTCACTCACGGGTCCTAAATGTGTCTCTGGATCTGAGTCCCTGTCTGGTTCTGGTCCCCCACAGTCCTCTCCATCAGCTCCTGGTTCCATCTGTGAGGACTGAGGTTCCTCTTCATCATCTTCACTCTTCACACAGACAGGAGTGAAGGAGAACTTGCTGGTATCAGCCTCCTCCAGTCCTTGAAGCTGCTCTCCCTCCTGACTGCTCCACACTTCCTCGTCTTCCTCTTTAATGTGGGGGGGTTCTGGTTCTGCTGGGTCCTGCTGGTCCAGACTGGAGCTCCACTCCTGCTGATCTTCAGTCACAGATAACTGATGGAGGTCTGTGGTCCACTCTGAGAGACAGAAAGAAACTGTGAGTGATTTTAGATCAGAGGAGACAAAGTAAGACCAAAATGGGACGAAGATGATGACGATGATGAGAAGATGAGAAGATGAAGAGTTAACCCGTATTCAATTTTTTTGATACCTTTTACAGTTTTTCCACAATTTAGCTTTAAGCGCCTCATGGTTTTCAGCAAATTTCAGGCTTTATAATGGGTGTGTATTGGAGAGGCTAGAGTGTTTGATTACGTCGCTAGAGTGCAGATGTCCTCTTTGATCGACAGAACCTCGCTCGACTATATCGCTCCCACCCCCACAAATTTCACTCCACAGCCATAAAAAATACATCAAAATGGAGGTACATGTGTCCTGCTTCTCACAAAAGAGGTTTCAAATAATTAAATCCTACCCCTTGGCCAGCAGGTGACCAACTGTCCAAATAGGCGGCGATTCCCCCCATTGACCATAATGCATTCTTTCCTAGAAAATCCTGACTTTGACTCAGGGTCAGACTTTTTTAACTCGCTGTTGTGGCCACATTTTTTGGAGTACAGACATGAAAAACACATCATTGTGTTCATGAAGGGCGGAGGATTCGTGCAATATTCTTATTTTCATTCTGGGATTTAAGGAAATCACGCTATGTGAAGAAGTTCAGAGGCCCTAAATTCACAGCAGATAGGCCGCTTCTCATTCAAACAGTAGGTCAGTTAATGCCTTTGATCTCACAGCTGTTTAGGATAAAATCATTAACGAGACACACACACACACAGTCTGACAATGTGTGTGTGTGTGTGTGTGTGTGTGTGTGTCACTGCCTATGGCAACCAATTAGCACACCTGGAGACACACAGCTGACTGAAACGCTGCTTCTAACTAGCCTGGCTGGGCCATCCAGTTGCGTTAATCACTTGCCGCTCCTTCCCACAACAGTCGGGACTTCGGCCAGTTGGTAGCGTGTATCAGAAATCAGAAAATAACCAGGCTAAGCAGTGACTGTGTGTCCACTGTTCCCCGGACAACAGGGACAGGCAGCCCCTGATTAATCCATGTGTAGATGGTGACGTCTAACACATGCTGCGGGACTTTTCAAAGCGCCGTTCATTCAGAACGCTGTTAATTCTGCAGTTGACTTTGCAAAATCGGCAGAAATCGTTTATATCCGCAGAAGAAGACGTAAAAGACATTGTTTGCTTGCACACGTTGAAATATTACCAAACTTTTACTTGATGCTTGAGAGCCCAGCAGGGAACACAGTTGCGCACTGTGATGATGTCAGATGTTTGGTTACAGTGATTGGTTACAGTAGTCTGTCTATCAAGGAAAGTACTCCCGCCCACTTTTAGGGCTCCCAATTGGCCGAAGTCCAAACTGTTGTGGGAAGGAATGGCAAGTGATTCAAGCAACTGGATGGCCCAGCGAGGCTAGCTTCTAACGGCCATATGAGACACATGAAGCCAGGCTCAGTACACAGAGCACTGGGGGTTACATTTAAAACCCTTCAACAGAGCACTTGACAAACTTTGGCCCCTATCTCCTACAAAAAACTTTGACCTACAGAAACCATTCAGGGCTCCAAAAATGTATTCAGGATTTTTATTCACTGAAGTTTTCCCCACTTTAAATGTAATCCCGTTATTAATACATTATTCAATTCTTCAGACAAATTTAAACTCATTCAAACTGATTCAAACCTTTCTAATACTTCAACCTTGTCTAATCCTTGAGGATTTTAATTTTTTTTTTCATTTTAAAATCATTCTTATTGTTTGTGCATCATTTAATTCTTCAAACAGATTCCCAGATTTACTGCTACAATTACTATTATTATCACTACAACTTCTATCTTCACTACTCTGGCTTCTCTAAATATTTTTTAACTGAATCTCTAACTTTTACTGCCACTATTACTTCTACCATGAGCTCTACTGCTTTGACTTCGACTTCTTCTATTCTAAAACTACTTCTACTGCTTACATGACTACTAATATTACTACTACAACTACCTATTATCATACTACTCCTAGTACTAAAACTTAAACTTTTCTGTGTTTTAAGGTCATTTTCTTTCTTATCCAATTTTTTTGCAATTTCAGACAGTTTTCTTGCCTCTTTCAGCATGAATGCAATTTTAATTTATGAAACAGTTTTCACTTTCATCCAACTTCCACTTCTTCACCGCTTTAACCAATTTTACATTAAAACCCTCAATTTTTTATTAGCAGTTTAGCATTGCTTTTTCAGCTTTCAGCACTCAGCATTTCCACGCATTTTCTGCAAGGAAGTGCAATTTTTCTAGTTATTATTGTGATGATGATGATTATTGTTGTTGTTTCATTATTATTACTATTATTACAGTGACTACTACTATTATTATTATCATCATTATTATTGTTATTATTACTATTATTATTATTATTATCAACTGTCAGTCCGGCTCGGTCCAACAGAGCCCTCTCTGTAACTTTTCTTCAATATTTCTCTAAAACTGAAGATGAACCCTCTGATGATGAGATCGCACTGTGAAAAACTTCCTCTCCCACAAAGCTTTGCGGTCTCTCTGCTCTATGACAGAGTCGTTCCCTTCTTTATGTGAATAAAGAGGTTTTCATAACTCTGGACTCTGGATCAGCCTGGATCAGAGTCCGGTTCGGCTCAATACGGTCCAGGAGAACCCTCATGTTAGCTTCTGTTAGCCACCGTTAGCTGCTGCTCCTCCTCCGAGTTCTCTGTGGTTCCGGTACTGACCTGTTCTGGTCAGCTGGACTCGGGGCTTCAGGACGGCCTCGAGCAGCCTCCTCTGGCGGCAGATCTCGCGCTCTTTGCGCTCCACACGCTCTTCGTACTCCGCCACGGTGTCCTCGAGCAGAGCGACGATCTCCTCCGCGGCCGCCGTTAGCCGCTCGGTGAGCAGCGCTCTCAGTGCCGCCGGGACTTCCGCCGCTTCTTCTTCTTCTTCTTCTTCTTCTTCTTCGCCACTTCTTGTTCTTCTTCTTTCCAGCTGCAGCAGGAAGGCTTCAGCGGCGGCACTCAGCCGCTCATGGACCGACACCCGCAGCAGCTGCACCCCGCACATCCTGCTGCTCTCTGCGGACAAAGACGACCAGCACACCCGCAGTAAACACGCACTGAGTTCCGCGTCGACGACTGTTCGCTTTGAGCCGAGCGAAGCGCGCAGACGAACAGAGACCCCTGCTGGATGGGAGAGGGAGCAGACCCACAGATCGGCTCTTCAGATGGTTCTGAGTCTGGACTGGATCTGGGGGGTATTCCAGAAAGCAGGTTCAACATACCCTGAGTCTATCCCTGAACTCTGAGATGGGAGACTCTGAGTATCCGGTTCCAGAACAGCTGATCTAAATTAGTTCAATCAACTCTGAGTATGATAACCTGGAGTTACGCGCGTGCACAACCACTATAAAAAGCCATCATCAATGGAGCCCCGATACCACGAGTCACCATGACAACAGAGCAAAAACGGTCAATTTATTTCACCCCGGTGGAGTTGGAGGTCCTTATGCTGGCCTACGGCGAGTATGAGAACATTTTTCGCCGCAAATCCAGCACGGCTGCAGCAGCGAAGGAGAGAGGCGGTATGGGAGAAAATTGCTGCGCGAGTCAATGCGTAAGTTTGAATGTACTATTCCACTGACGTAACATATAAGATCGAAGCATAGTCTATAGTTATGAATATAAGTAGGAATGAAATCTGATTTTGATTTAGGTGCAATCCAACAGGAGAAAAAAGGACTTTGAAGCAGCTCAAAATGAAACATAAAAACAAAATTCAAAAAGGTAAGGCATATTTTGCTCGGCTGTGATTGCACCTCACTTTGGTTTTAATTTAATTATTTTAAATGGACTTAGGCTATTAGACAAAGTCAATATTAATTTAAACTAAAATATTAATTCAGCGGCTACTTCAAATAATAATTTAAACCCCAAACAAAATGTAGTTTTTCAACGTCCTCTCACTTAATTCTACACTTCGTGGATTAATACTTGATACAAACACATTTATATTTTAGACCTATTGAAGTCATTTAAAATGTGACGCTGTAGCCTACACCAACACTGATTAAAATACTATTTTAAAATAAACACTGACTTCTGCTCAGCCAACAGAAAGAAGGCAGAGGCCCGAAAAACGGGTGGAGGGCCACCTCCACTACATCTGACGGAGGCTGAGGAGCTGGCCCTCAGCCAAAACAGGGGTTGCCCTGTGGCTGAAGGCATCCCCGGGGGAAGCTCATCTGAGCCTGTCACCCCCCAGGACACAAGTCCCTACATCAGATGCAAGTATACACTTATGTCTTTGAAAAATCAAACTAATATATAAATATATATAGCCTACTTTTTAACAAATATATATCCACCCACCCAACAGTCGACAGAAACAAACCCTGTAGCTGTAAGTTCTCTATTATTATTATTATTATTATTATTATTATTAAGTGGAAATGCTGATTAAGCATCTCCACTCATTGTTATTCTCCTGTTTCTTTAATATTGAGTGGGATTGCGAAGCATTTCCACTATATGTTAGTCATATCTTTATTTTTATTATTCCGCCGTTTTTTGGCACTCAACTACTTCCACATACTTCAATATATTCAAACCATTCAAGCTTCAAAATAATCATCTCATTGAGGACATTCCGCGTTGTATTCAAAATGTTCCTAACATTCATACTTTCTGAGAAATTCCTGGTTTTCCGACCGATTGCTCCCATTAGAAATGCATTACGGAATGTTAAAAATTGGCCCTTTTCTCACATTTTCTTCACAGCACTTCAAAAGCCTTCAACTCCCCCATACTTCCACATAGAAACTTCATTTAAACTTTAAAACATTCACACACCTTCAGACATTCACTCATTCATTCACCATCTTCATGGCATTCATACTTTTCTCACAGTGACAGTTCAAAAAGTCACAGGATTTTCTGACCTCTTCAGGTTTTAACATTAGTGTGTATCGCATGGAATGTTGGCAGCTAGAGTGAGAGAGGCTGAAAATTCATCCTCAAAACTTTGTCTTTACAAAAGGATTGTGGCAACTCACTTCACTCTATACAGATGATATTTGGTACAGTGATGCCAAAACTCGCTGTCACTCTTCATCTCAAAAATCAAAGCTGTAGGACACACACAATGGCCTGGGCAGAAACCAACTGCCACAGACATCCCCAACATTTCTCCAGCTTTCTCCATTGACTCCAATCTAAACCTGAGAGGAGGATTTTCAGAGGAAACACAAACTGGACATGTTTGTATTCTTGTCCTAGTGAAGGCATTTTTGGCTCCACAAACACAGAGGTTGTATCAACGTGTTCAGCCAGGACTCCATACTCTTCCACCACGTAACCTGGGATGGGATGGGACATAACACAACCCATTTTTAAATTGTGTGATTGTGCGATACAACGTTCAGATATACTTTCGCCTGGAGTGCCAGCTCATTACGGCAAAATCTGCAAAATTACATGCCCTACGTGTAGATGTCACATCAGAATGTCACTTAGACCTGGTTAGTGGAATTTGGTTAATGGAATAATGGTTGATGGAATTCATGTTTATATGTATGTTCTATCTGCTGTGAGGTGCAACGAGTAGGGCCACTGACCAGGAAATTGATACCACTGTGAAGAGATGGCTACACCTTGCCCCTGATTGAGACGGTGGGAGGAAAGAACGGATGCAGAGGAAGAGCAATGAAGAGGAAAGGAGAAATTAATGATGGCACCCATTTGTAAACTCGTTCCTCTAGTTGTGGCCATCTAGCTCTTAGCCCACAAAGCTTTTTTTGTTCTATTCATTGTAGGAAGACTAACTCTGCTGCTTGATTACTGTTTTCAGCTGCATATTTCACTTCTTGAAGCTTGTAATCAGCAGAGCAAGTTTTTCTTTTCGGGGGCATTTGTGTTCGTTATTTCTTAGTCGTCTTTAGAGTGTGTAATGTGTTATTGTATAAAGCTTGTTCTTTACACTTACAAGAAAAGTTTGATAGACATTTTTACATTGTATTGTATTGTTATTGTATTTATAAATAAATATTTGATACTGTCATTGTTTGGGCATTTTGTTTTCTGGGCCAAATACGGCAAGTGAGTGTATTAAAGAATCGGCTTGGTTACAGTTTCTGGTCCTACTCAGGGCCAGCTGTGGTCATACAGGTGACTGACATCTAGTAAAAAACAAAAACTTATCTGGCCCAACACTGGGCCAGGACAGGGCCACATATGGCTATATAGGTGGCGGAGACATGGCAAAATCATAGGCCATTTGTGGCAACCAGATGTGGCCCTCCCAAGTGCTACACACGTGTGTCACAGAAAACAGGTGGACATGATCCTAAAAGACAAAAACAATGACCTAAACCTGTCAGGAAAAGGCTTTTGACCGTGTTGAACACCAGTACCTGTGGCAGACTCTGGCTGCCTTTGGGTTCAACCCTGGGTTCATAGCCATGGTCCGGGTTCTCTACAGTGACACTGCGAGTGTTCTGAAAATTAACGGCGGGCTGAGTGCACCATTCGAGATCCAGAGAGGGGTGAGGCAGGGCTGCTCTCTCTCTGGGATGTTGGATTCAGTTTCCATCGAGCCTCTGCTTCACAATCTGAGAGAAAAACTGAGTGGTGTGAGTTTCCCCCGGTGCCCTGTGTCTTTTAAACTGTCTGTTTACGCTGATGATCTTATTGTTTTAGTTAAAACACAAAGAGACATTGACATTTTAACTGACACTGTTCATAACTTTGGTTTTATCTCCTCAGCTAAGGTGAACTGGGGGAAAAGCGAGACTCTGATGGCTGGAGGGGAGCTGGGGGGCCGGCTCAGGCTGCCCGGGGGCCTACAGTGGAAAAAAGGAGGACTCTGATACCTTGGGGTCTTCCTAGGAGATGAGACCTACATACAGAAAAACTAGGACAATGTCCTGGAGCAGGTTAAAGGTCGGCTGGAGAAGTGGAGGTGGCTGCTCCCTAAAATGTCGTACAGAGGCCGAACCTTAATCTCAAATAATCTGGTCTCATCTTCCCTGTGGCACCGGCTGCTGTGTGTCGATCCTCCAGCTTCTCTCCTTTCCAAGATTCAGTCGTTTTTAGTTGATTTTATTTGGGACAGACTCCACTGGGTCCCACAGAGTGTCCTGTTGTTACCAAAAGAAGAGGGGGGACAGGGCCTGGTCCACCTGGCCAGTAGGGGCGCAGCCTTCAGGCTCTAGTTCATCCAGAGGCTGCTGATGGGGCCGAAGGACACTCTGTGGAGGCCCCTGTCCCGCTGCATTCTGCAGAGTTTTAACAGCCTGGGTCAGGATTTTAATTTGTTTTTAATGAACACACAGAACATGAGCACATCTTCTCTGCCTGCTTTTTACCTCCGCCAAGGAGGTTATGTTTTTGGTAGCGTTGGTTTGTTTGTTTGTCTGTTAGCAATTTTACGGAGAAAGTAATGGACGGATTGACCTGAAATTTTCACCAGAGTTGCGTCTCAGCCCCAGAAAGATCCCATTACATTTTGGTGGTGATCCGGATCGCCTTCTGGATCCAGGAATTTTTTGAAGGATTCTTTATCATTGTCAGATAGGGCAAATTTTGGAATTTTTGCATTTAACTCCATAAAAATGTCCAGAGTCTTTAGTAAAAAATGACACAAAAGGATCTCAATGAGTTTTATGAGGTGTCAAAGGTTGATCCTGATCCTGTGATCCAGAACACACAAAAATAAGGGTGTCGTTGGAATTTTCAATAGTGAAAGATAACCAATGAAGATACAAGGAAGTGTACACTTACAAATATTGCGTAATAAATCATGCATTTATGTATCTAATATGAGCTTTGTTGTTTTAGGAACATTATGAACAGTGAACATACCAGTTTAAACACTAATAAAAGTTCATAAAAGACACGGAACAGTCAAAGTTTTGGTGTGAATCACAATATAAGGGGGGACATGAGCTGCTTGGCGGAGGTCTGCGCTCTCCGAGTGCTTTTCTAGTTATCAAAGTGTTTTTAAGGTTTGGAGCCTGCTGAGGAAGGAGAGGGGGGGGCAGGTGGACTCTACACTCCTGCAGGAACCGGTCCCAAACAGGGACCCGTTTGGACCTTCCCAGCTGGGCAGGTCAGAGTCTGGAGAAAAGACTGCAGATGGCGGGGATCGTCACTCTGGGGCAGGTGGTGGATCTGACGGGACCCCGGATGGACGACCCCTCTGGACTCGCTGCCCGGCTGGGACTTTCATCGATGAGGGTCACCCAAAAACTCATAGATCACTGGAGACAGAGACTCACAGGACACGACCGCCTGCTTTTAAACTCCCCTTTTACCCAGACCGTGAACAAAGAAAACCCCTTTCCTGCCATCTTCCTGGCACCGGATTTTAAAGACTGTTCTGGCCCGCTGTTGGATTTTAACCACCCCGCCCCTTTGGAGGGCACAACTGGGAAAACCTTGTACAAGATCATGGTAAAAACAACAAACAGGAAAAAACTGAACCAAAGACCTGACACCCCGTGGAGGACCTATCTGAGCCTGGCTCCTGAGGCCAGGCCTGAGTGGAGGGCCTTCTACAAACCTCCACACTCAAAGAGACATGCAGATGTTCACTGGAGAGTCCTCCATGGGGTCATCGCAGTGAACTCTTTTATATCAAACATCAACCCGGCAGTAGAGGACACATGTCCCTACTGCCCCCAGAGAGAGACAATTTTTCACTGTTTTTATGAATGTCTTCGTCTTTTACCTTTGTTTCTGTTTTTACCAACTGTTTTTACCAAGTGTGGAGAGGTTTTTAACAAGCGGGTTTTTATTCTGGGTTTTAAATACACACGCCAACACAAGAACAAGTGCCAGCTTTTAAACTTTGTTCTAGGGCAGGCCAAGACGGCAGTGTATTTTAGCCGCAGGAGGACGGTGGAGGATGGTTTTATTGTTGATCAGGTCACTGTTTGTAAGAACATGATCAAGTCCAGACTCCTCATCGATTTTAATTTCGACAAGGCAGGAGGAGATCTGGACTCATTCCAGCAGGTTTGGGGTTTCAGTCAGGTGTTAAGCAGGTGTAGCAGGAAATATTTTACAGTTTGAAGATGTGCTCATGTGAATATTTATTTATTTATTTATTTATTTGACTGTGTGTGATTGATTATTTGAATTGACCTCTTTTATGAAAAAGAGTGACAAATAAAGTGGATTCAAAAATCTAAATCTTTCTGTCTTCCTCTTTCTCTCTTATCCTCTCTCTCTCTCTCTCTCCTTATATATATCTATATCTATATCTATCTATATATATATATAAAATATATATATATATATATATATATATATATATATATATATATATATATATATATATATATATAGATAGATATAGATATATATAACCGAAATATATCCCTATTTTAATTGAAGTTTAAATATATATATTTATTCTAAACTTTGATGAAAATTTAATGCTGTGCTTTTATTCTGAAGGCAGAGCGAGTCCACAGGAAGCAGCCTTTGTATCCGGTGCGAAGGCTCGGTTTACCCGTATAAATGAGTGAACGTTGTTTCTTAGCGGGTTTAAGGTCTCCTGGTCCGTCCTGGTCCTGGTGTGTGGTCCTGGTCCGGTTCTTGGATGTGTCTTAAATGTCCGGGTTTGAGGATCTGAAAGATCTGCTCCTGACAGGACTAACAACAAGATCTGGAGAAGAAGAGGAGCTCCACCGACCAAGAAAATCTGGGCTGGATGATGATGGAATCAGAACACCTGAGCTGATCCACATGACCACAACAGGTCTGGGTTCAGGATCTTTAGGGGGACTTGGCTTCATGAATAATTTCAGTGATTTCAGAATGAATTGTTGTTCTTCTCGATCCTCAGTCTCTGAATCTTTCAGCCCCTCCTCCTCTTCCTGTCAGGATGGTCAGTCACTAAAAGTGTTTTTAGGATTTCAGTAAAAACTGGTTTTCAAAGAGGAGGAAGAGACTGAGGTTCATTCAGGAGAAGATCAGACCTTTAAACTCACAGCTGATCTTCTCTGATCTTCTGTTGACGCTCAAATGATTCACAGAAAAACAGTGTCAGAGCTACTCTTGTGTTTAACAAGGAGGTCAAAAAACATCAGAGTAGTTTGCGAGGAAGAGGTCTATGACTCGCTAAATAATAAGCACTCGTGGAGATATTTCAGCTTGAAAAGAGGAATCTTGAGTTTATTTAAGCGAACAAAAATATTCTCTGGGTTGATTTCAAACAAAAAATGTTTAGTGGTAGGTAAACTGTTTCACTCCTCACTTGCCTCACTCCTTCAGTCCTTACTCCCTAACCACTGAAGGAGGGACGTGAGCAGCAAAGAAATGAATAATAATTCACTCACAATAATCATTATCCTTAGCATTTTCAAATAAGTCCAATAATTATACAAGGAATCAATAAGCTCCAACAAACAGAGATGAGTTTTGATGAACTGATGTGAACTCAGTGAAGGTCTCTGTCTCTGGACCTTCAGGATCATGAGTTAAGATTTAGTCGATCATGGTTAGAAGGAGCTTGTTCACATGTACTGTTATAATATTTTATTATAGATATTTTTATAGACTTGAATTCTCAGCAGCTGGAAAAGTTCATGTCTTCAGCTGTAAATATATGAACAAGTACTAAATTCTCTAAAATCTTGACTTTGTTTGAATCGATTGGTTTTATAATGATGACCCCTGTGTAGTGACTATGCTAACCTGAATTTTAGTCAATGTCTGGGTGCGGCAGTGAGGTGTTTTTGACGCGCTTCCAGTACAATCCAATGTCCAATCCAAGGTTGTTGTTGAGTTATAATTTTGCCATTTGTTGATTTCATGAAAAACAAACAAAAAAAGACAGATACGTCCAACTTATGACGATGTTGATTTTCGTAATGAGGGTGAGAGTGGTGTTAGAGATTAGCGGTAAAAACAGTGTGCTCTTCCCGTTCCCCAGATCACTGCTTCACCTGTGTCCCTCCTGAAGTCTTTACCTGCTTACTCACGTGAAGCGCCCCTTGTAGTGATAGTGTGAGGAACAAAACAAAACCCCAAAAATTATATAGATAAAATGGCTCATACACCCCGCTGTCGTTGACGTAATTTTTCCTGACTAACAAACCTGGTCGACTGTCAAAAAACCCATCACCTTATTTATCAAAGTGACATGAGGGCGGTCTCTGGAGGACCACAAAAGACCATGGGGGGGTCATGTCTGGTCCATAAGATGATTGAATGTCTGTGTGAAGCAGCCTGTTGGATCACTTGGTCTTTTTTCTGATCTTCTCACAGACATAAGACACTCCAAACTGAGGTCAAAGGTCATTCTCCACTTCTACAGACAGACCTGGTCCAGGAGGCTGAACAGTTTTTGGGTTTTAAAGAGATTTGGACTTAAAGTTTGCAAACTCAGCATCTCTCCACTGAGCAAATTCAAAACTTCTTTCCTTCTTTCTTCCTTTCTTTCTTTCTTTTTTATGAATCTCAAACTTGAAGAACACCAAAAAAAACAGTGAACAAAATAAACCATCTGTACACCAAACATCTGATGCTCACAACTTTCCTTTTTCTCTCTCTATATTTCAGAGTTTTCCGCAGACGTCCAGCAGCTGATTCTGGGGTGGAGCTCCAGTCTGGACCAGCAGGACCCAGCAGAACCAGAACCCCCCCACATTAAAGTGGAAGAGGAGGAAGTGTGGAGCAGTCAGGAGGGAGAGCAGCTTCAAGGACTGGAGGAGGCTGATACCAGCAAGTTCTCCTTCACTCCTGTCTGTGTGAAGAGTGAAGATGATGAAGAGGAACCTCAGTCCTCACAGATGGAATCAGGAGTTGATGGAGAGGACTGTGGAAAACTAGAACCAGATAGGAACTCAGATCCAGAGACACCTTCATATACTGAGATTGAGGTCCAGATTGGAGACTCTTCTGAACCCGATACTGATGACAGTGACGACTGGAAGATGATGACCGAACCTCTGTCCAGTTTGAAAGAGACAAAGAAGAAGCCACACCGCTGCTCTCAGTGTGACAAAACATTCAAAAGTAACTGGATTCTGAGCAGACACATGTCAGTTCACACAGGAGAGAAACCCTTCAGCTGCGCTAAATGTGGGAAAAGATTCACCCAAAAAGGTTCTCTGAGCACACACATGAAAACACACACAGGAGAGAAACCCTTCAGCTGCTCAGAGTGTGGGAAAAGGTTCAATTGTAAAGGTGATCTAACTAAACACACCACGGTTCACTTCAGAGAGAAACCCTTCAGCTGCTCTGAGTGTGGGAAAAGATTTACCTTAAAATGTACACTGACCACACACATGAGAATCCACTCCGGAGCGAAACCCTTCAGCTGCCTCAGGTGTTATAAAAGATTCATTCGTCGAGATGATCTCACCAAACACATCATTATTCACACGGGAGAGAAACCCTTCAGCTGCTCTGAGTGTGGGAAAAGGTTTGGTCGGAAGAGTAGTCTGACGACACACATAAGAGTGCACACAGGAGAGAAACCCTTCAGCTGCTTTGAGTGTGGGAAAAGATTCAGTCAGAAGAGTGCTCTGACCACACACAGGAGACGGCATATAGGAGAGAAACTACACCGCTGCTCTCTGTGTGGTGAGAGCTTCTTTGTTAAAGATGATCTCTTTAATCATGTGAGAATTCAAACAGAAGAGAAACCCTTTGGCTGCTCACAGTGTGGGAAAACATTCAGTCAGAAAGGTAAACTGACTTCACACATTACAGTTCACACAGGAGAGAAACCCTTCAGCTGCTCACAGTCTAATAAAAGACTTCATTGTAAGAAAAAACTGAGGAAGCTCATTCAGACTCACGTGAAAAGGCCTCGCTGAAAAAAAAAGCAAAAAACCACGTCCCTCCTCAGAACCTCGTTGGAGCCTGAGGGGTGGACTTTTGAGGGACCAGAACTCCAAACCAAACAGACTTTGGAGAGATGAGAAACTGAGACTCAGCTGAGTGATGGTGAGACTTTTGGAGCTCATAGCTTTTGTTTTTGTGCTGAGAAAAGGTCAAAGTTCTTCTGCTGAACTCTGGAGTTGTGAGTTTGGAGAGTCCAATCCTACGGGAAACCACCAAACTGGAGGACCTGGTCCAGGTGTCTCTGTGACAGTCAGCGTCCTCACTTTAGAGAGAAGATCTGCTGAGGGCTGTTGATGCTCAGGTATCAAACTTTAGCGCCGCCCTGGTATGAAGTGACCAACATCAGTTAGACGGTGAGCAGCAGATCTTCTCTCCTCTCCTGCTGTGGTTTAAAATCTCTTTCAATTTTTTTAATGTGGTTTTAAGGCTGAATCGACCTTCTGAACCAGGAGGTCGATGTCAAACACATGAATAATAACGCATTCAAGCCAATTCTGATGAGAATCACTGATCAGAAAATATTGATTAAAAAATAGAATATCACTAAAACAGGAAGAAGACAATTGTGTTTGGGAGAAACTCTGAAGTCCAGACTCAGAGAGGATTTCAGGATTATTCCAGAAAGTCCAGTTGTAGATTTTTGATGTCTCATCTGTTTCCATGGTCTTCTTCACTCTTTTACCTCCAAATAAAAACTTCATGTCTCGCTAAGTTTTTGTCTTTTTTTATTCTAGACTGAATCTAAATCGCAGCTGAAGACTTCAGCTCCTCAGATCATATCATCGTTTTAACTTCTCAGGTTAAAAAAAAGATGTTTGAGAAGTTTTTTGTTTCTTCTTTTCAGCAGCAAACGCTGAGAAAAAACATCAAAAAGTTCAAGTTCAAATTATTTATTGTCATTATTGAACAAAGTTAACAACGAAATTTGTCTGGAGCACCCACATCACCACTGGCATCAAGTACTCAATAACAATGATCATAAATAGAACAAATGGGGTGATGAATGGGGGTTGGGAGGGTAGTCTGCAATAGATGGTAGATAGTATACAGTGCAGCAATCCAATCCACTTCACAGTTATCGATGTTAGTTATGGAGGTGGTGGAGTTATGTTACCAAGGGGGAGTTGGGAATGGGATGGGATGGGGGGGCCGGTTGTTCGTTGAGCAGTCAGACAGCATGAAGGTACAGGCTGTTGGTCAGTCTGCTGGTCCTGGAGCGGATGGACTGGAATCTTCTACCAGAGGGCAGTCTCTGGAAAACATGGTGTGCTGAGTGGAACTGGTCCAGTAAGATGTTGTTCACCCATCGAAGGCAGCGGGAGGTAAAGACTGCCGAGATCTCTGGGAGGCTCTTCCCAATGATCCTCTCCACAGCCTGGACCACTCTGTGGAGTGCCTCCTTGTCTGCCTTGGTGCAGCTGGAGAACCACACCAATAGACTATAGGTGAGCACACTCTCTACTGTGGCATGGTAGAAATTTACCATAAGTCCCTGAGGAAGTTACCCTCTTTAATTTCCTGAGGTAGAAAAGGCATTGTTGTGCCTTACCCACAGCCGAGGTGATGTTGGTCCCCCAGGATAGGTCATCAGCCACAGTCATGCCCAGGAACTTGAAAGTAGGCACCCTCTCCATCGCCTCCCTCCGATTAGGAAAAAATCCACAAACTGAGAAAAACAATGAAATAAAAAGACATTCACGTATCACGTAAAGGTCAGGACTTATTTCTGTCCCTGATGTCCATCTGCTTCATACTGAGTATTTGGTGTAATACACAATTTCACCAGAAGGTGTCAGTCACTCACCATAAATGTGTAACATTTGAAAACCATCACATTTTCAGGAACATGTTTGTTTTTGTAAAACTTAAACAGATAAAACATGTCGTCTCTTTGATGAAGAAGAAGAATATTGATCCCTGAGGTGATCCTCCAAATGTTCTCATCTTCATGTGAGTCAAATATCAACATTAAATCCAGACAGGATGGGAAAATGAGAGTCTGTTATTATCTCAGTTCTCAGTTCTTCACTATGAGAAATGAGGATTTCTAGAGTCTTCGTCAAAGGTTCATGTTTTCATTCACTAACTCATAGAGAGGTTGTCATGGAGACCTTAGTTTTATTCACTCCTGGACTCAACCAGCAGGGGTGGGCAGGGTCAAGAGTCTTGCTCGAGTACACTTGAGCACGTGGACAGCTCTGGGAGCTGACCGTTGACCTTTTTGCTCATTCTACCAACTGATCCACAAACGTCATGATCCAGGGCTGTGTCTCATTTCAGAGACCGCACTGAACGTCGCTTTTGAAGTGTGCGTGAGGTTATCACGCGGCGCAAACGCTGTCCCATTTGGCACGAAATGCTAAGCGCGCTTCAAATATGGGCTGTGTCCGAAATGGCCTACTACTCCTACTACTCCTACTAACCCCGCCTCTGAATTGAGTAGGCAGTGCGTTCACACTGTACAGTATGCGAATTTTGTGTATGCGAGAAATACCCGGATGTATACTCAATCGGCTTCGATTTCTGAGTGTGCAACGGAGCTTGCTTCACGTACTGCTTCTGCCCCACAATGCATTGCGCACCTCAGCTGGTAATATGGCCCTCTTTCCCGAGGCTGAAAAGAAATAGATGGCATGTGATTGCAATAATAATGATATATATATATATATATAAATAGATAAACAATATTTAGTCCGTATACATTACACAATTTTCATCATTTTATCATATTTTGATCTTTTTACCAGATTTATTTGTATTTTAAATTAGGATTATAGGCAATGTTTTTAACTATTCGTATGAATTGACTTTATTTATTTAAGTGTCTATTAAAGATGTATTTATTACATCAAGTTTGAGCATCTTCTCATCTCTGAATGCATCATCAAAGTGGTCGCTCATATTAAGCACAGACCTCTGATTAATAAAGATTATCTTTGGTAGAGAGCACATGGTTCAGAATATACAAACGGGGGAGTTTCCAGTTGACAATGTATGTGAGCTTTACTAATTCTTACTTGTGGTTGAAAATCTGATGGTTTCTGAAATTATCATTGTACATGAAAAGAATGTAGTCGGGAAATGATGTATTTGCCAAGGAATAACCGAACGAGGTCATAATAATTATGTTGTGTGTTGGTCATTTTGCAGCCCTCTGCTGCTCATCACACGGCCAGCAGGTGGTGTATAGCATTATCACCATGGATACACGGATGTTTGTGTGATTTTTTTCATCCACTGCCGCCCGGTTTGTGTCGTGTAGATGTTGATTATGAAAACACTTCGCAATAATTTGGAAACGTGAAGGGGGAGCTGCTGCTGCCCGGTGTTTACGGTAAATAGACGCAAACACCGACCAAGCGGACGCTTCGGTCTCC